CTTGCTTATCTTTAATTAACTACTTAATTTTATAAATAGAAGTTAAAAAGAACTTGTTCTTTTTTCTTTTTATATTAAAATAAAAAGCATTTACTAAAATTAGGGTAATAGTAGCTAAACAGACCTCTTTTAGACCTATTCTAGACTTCTTAATAAATAGGCAGAAAGATAATTTAAGTGTCTTTAGACTATAGACAATAGAAGACCTATATAATTTTAGTAGCCTTAGTAAACCCTTAATGCAGTAGATTATTAGGCTATATAACTGCTAAAATTAGTCCTTTTTCTATAGTGCGTTGTGTTGTTTAATATCTAGCTCTACTTCTTTATTATGTGTAGGCTAGGTTAATTGCATAAGCAAGGGCAGCAAAGGTTTATAGGTAAGTAGATATTTACTAGGCTATATAATCTAATTCCTCTTTATATCTAGATAGAGTTTAAAATAATGTAACTATTTAATACTAATAATGCAATCTTAGGAACTAAGGTCTATAATAATAAAAAGGCAGTTTTAGATGCTTCTCTTATTAATTTGCATGTGCAGGCAGATATACTAGTAGATAGGGACTTAGATCTAATCTTAAAAGCCCTTAACTATAACTTTAAATAGTAAGCATTAGATAAGAATATAAAAGCATTAGAATAATAACTTAGTAGTTAGTAAGTTAATAAATAAGAAACTATAAGCGCTAGTATTAACTAAAAGATTTAAATAGACTCTAATGCTTTTTAAATATAAAATAGTAGAAACTTAAAAGTGTTTTCCTTTAAATAAGTGTAATAAATTAATGTTTAATAGATTATACTTACTTAAGCTTAAGATAAAGAGTTTTTCTAGGCATTACTATTTTCTATTTAGAAGGCATCTAGGTTATAATTATTTACATTTATAAACTTTTTCTTAGATTCTTATTACTCTACCTTAATCTTCTATACTCTAGGGATAGGATAATTGCTAGTAAGATATTCTAGTTTACTATAATTATAATAGCTGCTAGAAGTTGTTTGTCTTTTAGGGGCAGGTGTCTAGCTAGGTTGTCTGTGGGTAGCTAGGGTAGATTAAGGTACTAACAAAGGTGCAGGTCAGGGTGCACTAGAATAGTATACCCCCTTAGATGTATTACTAGAAACCTTCTAAGACTAATCTATACTAGGTCTAATAGTAGACTGTTAGGTAAGATTAATAGTTTACTTTAAAATAGCAAAGGTATTCCTTCTTTCTATATTATAAGCTGTTAGGTAGGCTACTATAGTCTTAAAGAAGCCCTTTTAAGTATGCTTAAAACCTAAGTTTAGTACTTTTAGGCTAGGTAGTATCTTTTTTTATAAGTAAAAGAACTATTCTGCTTTTAATATAAACCCTTTAACAGCAGCACTAATAAAGTAAGCTTTAAAAGTAAAAAATGCTTCTTCTTTACCTATTTTTAGAGTTTAAAACACTTATTACGCCTTTATCTTTTTATTACTAGTAATAAAGTAAGTTTATAAAAGCTTAATTATTTTTTTTATGTTTTTAAACTAAAAGTTATCTAATTTAGCTAGGTATCTAGGCTCTAGGTATTCCTTTGCAATACTAGCAGTGTGTCCCTATACTAACGCTATGCGTGCACACTTACTCTAATAGTAATCTAAATTAATGTTAAGTCTATCTATAATAAAGGCTTACTATTATTTAAACATAAGTTCTTTGCTGTCTATAAGGTTCTTAATCTTAGGCATGTGTTTAGTAAGGTAGCTTTAAAGAAGCTTAGGGGTGCCTAAAAGGTCTCTTACTATTAAAGTAGCAGAGGTAATTTAAGGCATTATTATAAGTAATTTAGTAGTTAGTAAGGGATAATTAGAACTAACAGTTTTTAATCTAGTTAGCTATTTAATTTATGCCCTTAATTAAGCAACTTAGTTTTTAAAGGCTATACTACTAAAGTTTAACTCTAAATCTAGTAAGTTTTTAGCTTTAGGTCCTATAAAAGAGAGTTTAGCTATTAAGGTTAGTAGTAGTTTAGTTCTAAAGGCAGGTATCTTGCCTTAGCTATAGCTAGAATAGGTTGCAGTCTTTATAATAGAATCTAATAGTAGTTAAGAGTTAGGCATTAGTAGTTGTCCCTAATTTTAATAAGTTATTAGTAGTCTTTAAGTTTCTACTTTAGCGCACTCTTTATAACTTTTCTAAAGGTAATCTTAATTATAGAGGATAGAAAGTTCTAAACTTAAAGGCTTTAGTTAATAAAAGGTTTCTAGAATCTTATCTATACTAACTAAATAATTTAATGTAACAGTGTGTAAAAATAGTAACCTAAACTAAATTAAACACTTTTTAGAGTTAGATGTAGTTAAATAAATAATTAATATAATATTATTAATAAGGCTGTTACTAGTAAAAGTAAGTTTTCTAATATAATATAACAGCGTAGGCAAGACAATAGGTCTAAATGCGGTATAAATCCACTTAGAGGCATATAGGAGTGCGTGGGGACTTAGAGACCTAGGAATACCAATGACACCTATAGGCCTGGTACGTAGGATATCAGAAAACTACCAAGCTAGCTACAGGGGCAAGGTGCGACTAAATACATGAGGGAATAGGGGTAACTGCGGGGGGCTGGGTCAAGTCATGGTCGGGGCCGATACGGGGACCCTTCGGATAGGATCCGAGCGACCCGAGATGGAACGATTCGTAGAATCGTTACAGTTAGCATTCTCGCTTAAAGTCACAAACCCTCCTTGTATCATTAACAATATGGCGACATAAGACCCTAGAGCAGCAAGGTGTGAAGTTTTGCATGAGAAAACATATGTAGCATGAGGCGACGAATTTAGGCTGTGACTGCGAAGAGGAATGGACTTTGAATGGCAGTCGGGAGGAATTCTCCTTTATCATAAAGCTGAACAGATAGCATTACCCAAAATCAACGCAACAACCCTTCTATTGAGGTGCCTGAAGATTAAGAATGAGAGCAAGGGACTTCCCAGGAATGTGTTCGCCACCCCTTTGCAATGTCTGGCCAAACAATTTTCAACTTGCCATGGCTCAGTTAATCAAGGCTAATTTGCTAAATGAACCAGCGCCAACGCCCTTGAATCGCTCTTGACGCTGTTACTCTTAGACCACAACACCACCATGGAAGTTAATCGATAATAGAAGATGGTTCCGTAGAATCTATCAGACAGTGCAAATCAAGACGTTAGCTTGGAGCTCCGAGGCAGTCAAGGCTCAAATCTAGATATGAAGACCCAAGAACCACAATCCATATCCAGGGCGTGACCGTATCCAACGAGAAATCGAAGAGCACCCACCACCACTGCTCACTTCAGTGCTCTCTGCCAAGATGCTTCTAAATTTGGCAAGCAGAGCAAAGTCTCCCTAATCATACCATCATATCAAACCCTTGCGGCGCTGTTTTACATGTTGTAACTATTGTGCTGTTTGCCCCAAGGTTGACTAATCGTACGTTGATGTCTTGCAATGCAACTTCCAAGAGACTCATCTCGTCCATCAATAAGGCTCCAAAAACAATATCCAGCCATAGATATTATTTTCTGGGGTCCGAGCACGAAGTGATATATGCTTTAAAAATCCGAATCATCCTGATCTTGTTAATTGTTTATCAAGGGGTTGGTATGGTGCTTGGCGGTTCATGTGGCTGTTAAGCACCGCCCGCTCGGGATGACTCCCGCTCGTGATTCGCGATACATGTCATTTTTCCTGCGGCAGGTAGCGAAGAGAAGCAAGCAAAGGGCGCCATGAACGGGGGTATTGTAAGGGATTAGGGGCCACGAGGCGACGCGTTCACGGTTTGCTGAATGCAGCGTTCATGTTTTCTCATGCACAGAACATCATTAAGGCCAACAAGATCGATGAGTACATGTATATGGTGTTCTAGGCTTTGAATGGAAGGGCGAAAGCGAAGCGGCAATCGCGCAATGGGACGAATAGTAGGATGACTGGAAAAATGGAATCTAGTTCGGACGAAAAGCAGCGAGGCTGAAAAGCCGAAGGTTGAACGTGTCGGGTAGGCGCCAATGAATCATCGGCCCCGATACCCAGAGTAGTATGGGAGAAGAGAACCTCGTCTAAACATGTCGCTGATTCCTCATCCACCACCATCTCATCCCACGCATTTATCTTTCTTGCCCAGGGTGGCACACAGCTCAGTCTCAAGTGCAGCTTCTCTAGCCTATTCAGTCTTTATTGTCCTCGCCCTCCCATTTCGATAACTGTTGTTGCCTAAGCCTTTCAGACATGCCTTCAGCTCGAGGCGTCTTCTTATGCGTCGCAGCTCAAGCACGAGCATGAAGAAATCATAGCTAGGACTCGAAATGAATGTTTCGGCATGAGTCACTCGTGGCTCAGGACCGTTTCACCTACCCTGCCAGGCCCGCGCCAGCCAGCGAATTTCTTTTTACGCCTGTCTCCTCGTGATGATTCGACACATATGACAGAATCTACAGAGGTGCTGGCGATGATCTTGTTAGCAATACATACCCTTTTAGGGAGAGAGGTGCGCCCCAACCGACCCGGGGGCCATTCTAAACGTATCCCTCGCGAAGTGGCGCAGTCTGGGTGGGAAGTCCGCCACAACGAGGAGTTGCTCGCCTACCTATTCATGTGCAGGTGATGGAATGCCTCCACCAAATATTAATTCGCATCGACGCGTAGCTCTATCTTTTGTATTAAATGTTCGCTTCCGTCCCTTAGATTCCTCTTCTTTTTGCTCTGTTCGTTGCATGATATCATCATTTACAAATCTTTAAAAGGCTAAATTATGCGAGTTCGTTATCATCCTATCTCTCCTAGCCTCCTTTTCTTCAGCGCCCTCTACCTGCGATGCTGCCTTGCGATTGAAGCAAATCAAGACTTCGATCTTCTATGCGAATCCACCAGAACTCTAATATTGCAAGACGACCCCTCACTCCGCAACAACTTGAACTTCGTTTGTGGCAGAAAATATGCTAAAGGGGAACCGCCGGCCGAGAGAATCGTCATATCTCTTCCTGAATGTCTAGCCAAAGCCCCTGGATATAGAGGGTCCGAACTGGGGAATCTAACTGAGTGGGTTGGTCCGCTGGTCGGTTTTCTGGTTCCGGCTTTTGCATTCGTTGTCTCAATCCCACGAAGCTTCCGAGTTCCCAGAATGGAGAGTTGGTTTGGGCTTAAGAAGCGTTACAGTCTCCCGTGGCTCGTTTTCAGCCTTGTTATCATGATCCTTGACATCGTCTTGTGGATTATCATTGTGTTTGCATTTTCGGGACCACTAATTGCTGGAGCTATTCATGAGGCATTGATCGACCACACGGTTCTCGATGCAGTCAGGGAAACAGTTGAAGGAGCACTCCAACAGCCACTCCCGCCCCAATTGCGAGAAGAAGGGCGACAAGACATCGCCTTCGCGTTGGTGGGAAGCTTGATGCCAGGCGATGGGGAACTCGCTGCTAAGATCCAGTCTGACATTGTTTCTTCTGCACACGGACGACGCAAGCTGCAAGCGCTCCTGACTCTTCTTCCATCCTACGGGACTCGCGTCGGCGTACCTGTGTTCTTCTATCTCGGAGCATACGCCTATTCTCTCATCGACGCTGAGAATAGGAGAGGAGATAATGACACTGCACATGCAATTGCTTTCGGGTTGTGGTACGGAGTCATTGTCATCGGCGCCATCGTTTCCTCGAGCGTCCTAGGTATCGACAATCCTGCCAGTCTCGAGGCTGTATTTTCCGAATCCAATCCTCCCATCACCGGGTTCTCGCAGCCGTGGCACTTCTACGAGTCTCCCTTCCGGACGGTTTGGGTATGGAATCGGGCTCGCCTCTTCCAATCGTGGACCCACTGGGCACCTCTAGACCCCGCCATCTGCACCAAAATCCTATCCTTCCGCTGCCGATTCTGGGCGGCTTTCTCAGCCGCCTTGCTCATCACCATCCCCTGCTCCTTCGCGTTCACTGTCTCCTACTTCACGCCCGAAATCGGCATCGGGTGCCGCTCGCTCACCATCCTCGTCTTCGTTTGCTCCCAAAACGGGCTCCTGATCTGGTGGCTCTACCACAACTCCTCGCTCCGCCTCCAGCACAAGAACAAAAACATCCCCTGGTACAAAACTAAATCCTTCATTCTAGTCCACCTCTGGGCTGGGCTTTGTCTTATCCTTGGAGCCTTCTCCACAGTCGGTGGAACAATCATGCAGCTCGTCGGCGTATACCGCAACTGCATCTGCAAAGCCGGCATCATTCAGTATGCCATCCATAATGAGAATAGCACGGTGAGACTGTCGACGGATAACCAGGACCATCGTGATAGTTGGATTTTTTGGAATATTTTTGGTATTACGGGTATTGCATTTATCGGCGTTTTGAGCCTTTTCGGTTGGCTATACCAAGCAAGGACAAGGGCGAGGTGTAGGAAGCTTATTGAGAAGTTGTGAATGTAGATGTGGCTGGTAGGTATTGCATCTACGAGTAGTGTGCGTTTGCGATTTGTCAGAGTATTGGTTGGTTCCTCGACGGGAGTTGCTGGAGTTTTGTTTTATCTCTTGTATTTATATTCCCGTGCTAGCGCCTGGTTCCTAGTCAGCTCTTAAGATACCCCCTTTAGACATTAACACTACATCTAATAGAAATATTATAGTTCTAGATTTCTTCATTGCTTGAATTTAAACTTCTACTTGCTTCTTTTGCTCCTTCTCTTGCTTGCCCCTGCTCCTCCCTATCTTTCCACACACCCCTTCCATCCATACTACATCTTCTCCAGATTTCTCAAGCGATCTAACCCCTCCCCCTTCCCCCTCCTCTACAAATCTTTCCGCAACCCCGCCCATCTTTCCACCTATATCCAAACCAAGCCATAACTCTCTCTCTCTCTCTCTCTCTCTCTTGCTGCAAACCCTGATTATCCAACCTAATTATCCTCAGTTCCCAGCTTCGGGGTACGTTTGAGGGGAGATCCAGCCAGCTTTTGGCATCTCAACACTGAAAATAGAATACTGGGGGTAGCCTGCCATAGAAGTCGGGATTTTATTTATTTTATTGGAGTTTAGCGGGAGAGACAGCTTTGACGGAATGGATTGGGGATAGATGCGATGTGGTATATAGTAATATGCTGGAGTGGGAGAATATAAGAAGTTGATGCTGATACTAACTGTTTGGTATCTGGAGTTGCTGGGGGTTGTATTGTCTTATGTATTTGTTCTCGCCCATTTGGTAGCGTGTAGTTTTTGAGATATCTCCTCTAATAGCGCAACGTATCTCATAGAATGAAGTCCTAACGGGACCTACTTCTTGTATCCCGTCTGCCGTCAAACCATCCCGCAAGACCCTTCCTCATCTCCGCCTCGCTCCTCCCCAAGACATCAATTCCCCGGTCCACACACGCTCTTCTGACTTCCTCTTTGCCTAACCCCTGCCACCCCCCGTCTTTCATAATTAAATCATCATCTGTGCACAAATACCTCAACTTCCTTTCCAAACCCCACCTCAACGCCACAACCACCGGCCCAATCCGAGGTAAATAATCAAGAACCCGAGAGTGCGCATCCAGCTTCGCACTCACACTTATTAGATCAACACGACTCAACCTCCTTACCTCTTCCACCTGCACCGTCTGCGGAGCTCTCAACTTCACCACATGCCTCCCCTCTAGCCTGAGTTCCTCCTTAACACTCATTATCATCTTCTCCACTCTCTCCCTCCGCGTCTTCTCTAGCTTCTCCAACTCCTTCCGCACCTGTGCTGGAATCCGACAGACCTCAGGTACAAGCGGAGTAATCCACAACGCGATCAATGGCAACCACTCCCCCATTACCAACACCAGTATCCCAAACGCAGGTAACCTTAACATATCCCTTCTACTTCTCCTAATAACTTGCCATTCTGCCCTCGTTAAAACAGCGCTCCCCGCCCCCACCATCCGCGCTTTAGGTCCCAGCGATTTTGCGAGTCGCGCTGTGCTGCGGACGTGCGAGATCCCGGATTTGTAGAACGCGATATAGGCCTTGCCGCACGAGAAGAGATAGCTAAAGTACATCTGTCCGGGTTGTCGGGTGGGTATGTTGAGCTCGGGAGCGTATGTACATTCAGGGGGGTTCAGTTTGGCGTTCCACTGTGAGCGTGTAGGGAGTGTGGGAGTCTTTCGAGGAACAGGGGAAGGTGTGGGTTTCGTGGCAGTGGCGGTGGAGGAAGCATGGCGGAGTGCGGCATAGAATGAGTAGGAATGGATTTGGGGCTTGTGTCGCAGCCGGCCATGGCATTGGTGGCAGTTGAGTGTCGCAATGGCGGGAGAATAGCTGTGGTTTAGGTGGATGTTTCGACGGCATTGAGTGCTTGCAATTCCTCTCCGAGGATGGATGATGTTTACGCTGAGTTTGGATATAGACCGTGGTTTCATCGTGAAATGGATTGAATATACACTCAAGAGAAGTGGGTAGAAATGTTGGGTTCAGGAAGCCGGACGAAAAAGGATGTCGCTCAAAGAAAACCCGTCGATCCCTGCTTCGCGATGTCATCACACCGCGTAAATGCGCTAGTCTCGATTCGTGTCGTTCCTGGTCTAACCGCGAAATGCGAAATCCGATGTCACGAGGGGGGCAGTTTCAAGTATCACTAGAACATTTTAATACTATGACTAAATTACTTATGACGCTATCACATTGCGTCTGGCATGACTGCCATTTCATTCCATATGTCCAGACAATGAGCAGGAGCAAAGATGCACCCTGCAACAAAATGCCGGCAGTCCCTTCACGTATTGTCCCGGAACGCCTCGCCAATGAGCGAAAGCTAACAAGAAAACAGAGATTATGATAGGCCAGGGAGCCTAACATCAGGTGTCTGGTTCGAGAGATAGAGGGTGGATGAAGAGGTAAATTCGCCAGGTGTCCAATCGAGGAATGAAGCAAGAATATTTGACAAGCATGACCAAATCTGTACTTTGAATCACTGTGGCAAGTCCGTCCTCGACGGGCAAAAGTCTATATCACGGGGAGTACTACCGTTGATATCTCGCCAATTGCGCCATAATCTCGTTCATGTCTGGCTGGCCAGTTGGCCTGGCCTGTGTGGGAGTTCGAATAGGTGCTGTGGGTGGAGCTGGTTGCACTGGGGGCTGGCTACCAAGTAGAGAAGCGAGTGTGGGGTTTTGATACGTATTAGGGTATGTTTGGGGAGGAGGGTACTGTGTCTGAGCCGGGTACGCGGGAGTCTGGGTGGGAGGGGCCGATACAGATCCAAGAAGGCGTGCAAGGTCTGGCGTGGGTGCCGTTGGAGGAGGCTGAGGAGGCTGGGATTGACCATTTTGTGATATGGCACCTAGAAGTTGCTGGAGGCCATTGGGGTCGAGGGAGGATATGAGATTCGAGAGGTTGCCAGCGTTGCTCGTCGGGGTAGGAGGGTACTGGTTAGGGGCATGCGGAGTAGGTGTATACGAGGGCGCTGGAGCAGGAGGATTACTGAAAGCTTGGCCATACTGGTGAGGGGCTGTCGGTTGGACTGGCTGGACTGGCGGGGCTTGAGTCTGAGCCTGAGCCTGGGCCTGGTCCTGCTTAGCATTGATGACAAGCGCAGCAGCTACGGTTGGCTCAAGGTCTGCATATTCTGTGACGGATTAGCATTGGGTTGTGAGACGGGCAAACGATACACACCATTGAACTTAATGTTGTCCGCACCTCCTCGTCGATCGAAAACCTGAAGGTTCACTTTGCTCTTGGCAAGTGTTGCGGTGTTAAGTCTCACAATTGCGAGGACTCCTTCCAAGATCTGCCGCCGCACGACTGCAGGCTCAGAGAGGCGAGGGCTTAAGATAAGAACGTCTATTTGTAGACCTGCCTGCCGGAATGAGTCTTCGACCCATCGGATAAAATCGCTGGTTGCTGTTAGCAGGGGAAGAAAAGCAGCAAATTGTGTGTACTCACCGAGGCAAGCCCTCATTGACGACCAATACCTGGACTTCAGGGATCTGATGGGGGGCTCTACGCGGAAGCGGTAGATCGTCATCCAGGTCTCGCCGTGGAGAACGACTCCGGTACCGACGCGGTGAGCGCGACCTACTTCTCCTCCGCCCATCATACCGATCGGGGCTCCTATTCCTGCCGCGCATGCCGCGACTGCCACGCTGGGGTGAGGGAGAGCGTATAGGGCGGTAGTCGTCGCGGAACCTCCGGTTGTCCCGGTCTCTTGGAGACATTGCGCTCTGGCTTCCGGAATATCGGTCCATGTTCCTCTGACTAGAACCCGTGCCTCCCCGCGTATAGTCTGGCGAACGAGAGCGTCGACGCACTCCGTTTTTGTCATTTGCATTCCCATCCGCCTTCTTAGTGTTCCGCTGGGGTTTCGATATTTCAAGATCTGAGTTTAGTCAGATTAACGGTACTTGCTATTCACGGGCTCACTTACGCATCTTCCTTCCTCGCACGGTCTGCCCTTGTTCGGTATGCAATGCCCTGTAACACGAACCAGAATCTAGAAATTGCACGAATCCATATGCCTGCTTTATTGATATTTGAGCGAGTTTGCCGTGGCGATAGAAGCGGTGGAAGATGTCTCGCTTCGTCACCTTCTCCGTCGGGAGATTGCCTAGCGCATGTTAGGATGTACTTTCCCAGGGGATAGGCACTAGAGACTCACCAATGAATAGGCGCGATCCCATGGGAAATTGGTCCCATTGACCATCGGTCACAAATTTCCTCTCATCTTCCAAAAATTCCTCGTACAATTTGTTGATTTCTGGGGGCCAGCGGGCGTCTTCATCGTCAGGTGTGGCGCTGCGGAGATCGATTGACTGTCGATGGCCGTATCCCGGTGTGCTTGGGCTTTGATTCGATCGAGTGGCAGAAAAGGGTTCCAATGGGGGATTGCTAGAGCTAGGCCGGATATTTAAAGGCTGCAATTGACCCGCACTACGAAATTGGCTATTCTGCGGTTTCTGATTCTGACTATGTGGGTGGTATGACCTTATGTCATCATTTGGGTTATAGTTAGGGTGTGTGACAGGTTTCTCCTGGGGAGGGGGTCGCGGGGGAAGATTGGAAGGCGCTGGTAGCGAGGAAATGGGGGTTTGGCCTTGTGACTGGGAAGGAACGGATGGAGTAGCATATCGCTCAATGTTGGCACTGTTCGCAGCAGGAGCAGACAGATGATCGAATAGGGCTTGATAATTAACACGGCTACCGTCGTCGTCGTTGTTGTTGTTGTTGTTGCTGATGTTGTTGTTGTTGTTGGTCTGTGTGTGATAGTGATTGCCGGTCGCAGGCTGGGATTGGGGCTGTTGAGTGGGGTACGCATTGGACTCATAGGGCATGGGATACAGCGACCGACTGTCTTGAACGGGCGTGGATTTTGCCTCACTGTACGAAGGAGCAGGTGCTTGGGCTGAGATCTGAGATGCGAAATTGTGGATTGAAGTATCTTGAGTCTGCGAACTCCCGTTGTACCCCGTAGACTGAGAGTACTCAGGCGGGACTGCACCCACAGCAGCGCCATTTGCTGCCACGTTCTGGAAAGATTGCGCGGGTTGCTGGTCGGGGTAGTATGAGGTTGACGATTGGGCGCTCGGCGTTTGGGTATGAGGGTACGACTGGTACGAGGCTGGGGTGCCGATGTTGAGTGCGGCGTCATTGAACATAGTGGGGTCCATTTGAGTCTCAAGAATGGGGATATTTGAGGGTGAAGGGTAGTGGACGGGCTTCGGCGACTCGGGCGTGAGGGTCTTGCCGCGAATGTGCTCTGCTTGCTGTGGCGGACTGGTCATGTATGCTAAGCCAGAGCGCGAAGCGCATCTACGATGGGGCCACAGCGGGAAGGTCAACTCAGGTCATCTACTCAATGCTGCGTCGCGACAGAGGCGGGGAGGGGAGTTGTGCGCTTTGCGACAGAAACAGAGGCGGGGTCCTGTGGGTGTGTGTGCAGCGAGAGGTCAGAGCAGCAATGGGCGCGTCAGAGAGTTAGAAGCGGGAGGCAGAGGGCATGAGCAGAAGAGGGGATGCAGATGTGGTGGGCGATTCAGCGGATGGGCAGCGCATATGATGGCGAAGGCGATGGCGAAGGCGAAGGCGAAGGGGAAGAGGGTGGTGATAAAGGTGGGGAGAGCAAGGCGAGGAGGTGGAGGAGGCTGCAGATATGCTCGGCAAAAATGAGAGGGAGCAGTGTTTGAGCGCTGACTCAGCTTTTGCTTTCTTCAGTTTGGCCGCCCGAGAGAAGTTGCTTCACCACCACTTTCACTCACGACAATGCTGCGGCGTTGCGTGCCTCCTTTCATTTCTCCTTCCACTGTACGCCAATTGCCAGTTTTCACTATCGTCCGGTATGTCGCTGGGAGAACCACCAATGACGTCAGCGAGGAAGACATTCAGGCCGCGCGCAGGTGGCTTGAGAAACTCAGTGCCGAAACGGTCCCTAAAACCATTGCTGAATTGTCCTTCAGCAGGTCGTCAGGTCCAGGTGGGCAGAACGTGAACAAGTGCGCTTAGACGCGTCGCAGCTTCAATTGATGCTAAACACCCTCAAGAGTCAATTCGAAAGCCACGCTCAAGGTGCCCCTCGATGCTCTGCTCAGATATATCCCCAGCGCTCTCCACTCCGAAATCCGCGCCTCTCGATACATGGCCCCAAGATCCAATTCCATCATCATACAGGCCGATGACAGCCGCAAGCAGGCTGATAATGCCCAGAGCTGCTATGCACGGCTGCACCAGGTCATTGTCGAAGCAGGGCGGAATGCACTGCCTGGAGAAACGTCCGTCGAACAGGCACAACGTGTGAAGAATCTGTGGGTGCAATGGAGATACCACAGACGCATTCTGACCGTGTGTAGGCAGAAGGCCGACAACGAACGGCGGTTGAAGTCGAAGAAGATGCTCAGCAGCAAGAAGAGTTCTAGGAGGGCTGGGCGTGGCGATGGCTGACGCAACACTAGCCCGTAGCGGAACCGCTCGTGTGTGCGGCCCTGCGGCTGGCTATGGTGGGGAGTAGTAATGCAGGGTCCCACTCTGCGTCAGCTCTCCAACGATATTTGGAGGTGCTGAAATTTCGCATTCGCGGGCCATTGCTTTGCCCCTGCTTGCGCCAGTCTCCTTGCATCGTCCACAAGCCCTCCTTGTTGAAGTTTCTCTACCAGTTCCACAACGACATCACCGCCCGACCCCTTCCTTCCCTCCTCCAGAATGCGAGAGTATTTTCGAAGACTGGAAGCCAGAACCTTTCGCAGCGCTGGTTCGTCTATCTGCTCGGCCGTTCGGAGGAGGGGAAGGATCTGTCGTATGGCCGACTCCGATAGATGGGCCTTGTGTTTCGAGTCGCGCTCCGCAGTGGCACTGAGTAGCTCCAGCGAGTCGCGTAACGCAGGAGGGAATTCAGGTGATTCTAGGTGTAAACCAAACAGCTGCATTCGGAATTGGCAGATAATCGTGTGAATTGCGTTCGGAGCGTTCTCCTGGAGGAAGTCGAGGACATGTCGGAGGATGTGCTGGATGCAGGGTAGCTGGTTGAATTCGGCGAACATGTCGAAGAAGTGCTCCGCAAGTTCAGGCCCGCCTTGGAGCTGCTTCATGGCGCTGTCAAAAACCGCAATTGGGATCGCTCCGGTCAGAACTGGCGCAGAGGCAAGATTCTGTAGCGCAACTTCGTCATCTCCGTCCAGTTTCCCTAAACTTGGGTTCACGTCCTCTCCAGTGATTTCTGGAAGAGCGATCGTGTCCGCGCCAAAATCATCCCCCATCTCTTCCTTCTTGCGATCAACGTCTAGTCCGAGAATCTTTCTCCGCCCCACGATTTTGCCAATGTACAGCGTCTCCAGCTTTGCGTACTCCACCCAGAGGCTTTCCGAAGATTTGCAGAATCGTAGTCCCCGCTGCATGTAACTCCGCGCATTCGTAATATCGGCTTGCGTATCCATGAAATACTTGGCAGCATGTATCCAGAGGTTGGGTTTGGTGGGGTGGAGTCGGACTACCGCTGTGAAAATTTCATTGAGCTTCTTATAGGCCTTTTCCCTTCGCGCAAAGTCGATATATTGCATCCAAAGCCCAAGGTCGCCCGAGAACTTCCTAGTCGCACGGTTGTATAAGAAAAATATCGTCTTCTGCCCGCTCCCCACAGACCTCACGCCTAACCTCTTGATCCGCTTTCTGCGGAGTGCCTCGACGTTCTTTTCGAAGTCGATGTATCGTACATAGTCGGATGGGTGTGAGCCCCTCGCATTAATGATGTGTTCGAATTCAGATCGCTTCCTCGCTATCGAGCTGATTTCTTCCTGTGCAGATTGTGAGACGCTCACGGATTGATGAATGTGGGCAGGACAGTTGACTGACCTTGGTGAATATCTTCTTGCGTTCAAGCTCGTTGAGCCCTTCTACAGACTGCTCGAGGTAGAATCGGGCCTTGTCGCTCGGGCCGGCCATGGTGTACTTCTCGAAATCAAAGGTGAACTGTGGAGAAGGCAGAGTCCCACATGCCGACCCATGGAGATATAATTTCGTGCCAAGATTTTGTTTTTGCCAAGATCCGCGGCTCGGCAACGGTTCCGTGTTGTATCCAATCCAATAAACATTTCAGGAGACACCGCGTCTTACTTTTGAATCCTCATTCTCTACGCTCCTTTTACACTCTTTACCCCTTGGACGGGGGTTTCTTGTTGATACTCCCTTCAATCTCCTCATCATGGCGCCAAAATTCAAAGACGGAGACGTCGTTGCGACGGTAATGACCTCCGAGCTCCTGCCCAGTGATTCTGTCCTCACAGGTGTCTAGGTTAATGGGAGGTGGATATCATGGTCTCATACAATTGTGGCTTACTGTGAGTCATGAGCCTCCTTCACTAACAATGATAATTAACAGATCCACAGGCGCGTTCCTTGGAGCCCTCATTGTCGGCCTGTAATACTATCCCCCCAACAGAGTCATTGAATCTCTCTGAATCTGTCCAGGTCCCTGCATTACCACAAAATCGTTCAAAATGAGTTCTATGTCAGTTATTTCTATTTCACACTAGGATATACTCTATCATACCAACAATGCATAGGGCTACCCGCAAGAGTGGTTTCCGTCTGTTTCTTCCACAATCGGCGACCGCTATCCAGAACGTTCCGTATTTATGCTCTTCATTGCAATTACATCTGGTATGGATCGTATGGAATAGGTCATATCTGCCCACTAAGCACAATACTAGGTCCTCGATTCGCATTAGTTACTCTATGGTACATCTTAACACGGAGACCGAACTCTACCCTACCAAAGTTCGTTGCTGGCGTTGGCATATTCCGGACGCTGACTTGCGGAGGATGGACATATGTTACGTCTACTGATGACCATGACTGGCACGACATCTTCATGATTTCCTACTTGGTCGCTACGCTTCCCTGGACTCTGGGATGCTTGGCCCTGAGCCCAAGAAATCCGACGGCCTTGAAGTATAGGAAGATATTTGCTGGATCTTTCTTCGGTACTCTTGTACCATTGATCTATTTCTTCATCCAACACAAAGTGCACCGAGTAGCTGGAGGTAGGACGTGGCTCTTCGCTCATATCCGCGCCGAGTTTATGCTAACATATTATAGCCTACACCATCTACTCTTTCTTTGAATGGTCACTTGTACTCCTAGATGTAGCTTTTGATGCCGTCACAGCCATAGAGTTTGCAAACTTCGAAATTGTTGTAAAGGATCTCCGAGGCATCACTCGCGGGTATGTTACATGGCTCCCGAAGTAGATAGACCAACGATCGCCGAGAATGCAAATGGTTTACGACGATGTTCTGATCATCTTGTCACCTTCTAGTGCGGGCAACAAAGCCGTCTCCGGCGCCGTGCTGGAAAAGCAGTACGTGTCTAAGCCCAATTTTTTGATACATTATCCTAACATGTGCGCAGAAAGGACAGAGAGGTCGGTCAGGTCTTTGCTGGCGGGTTCTCCTGGCCTAGACTTCTCGACGCTGCAGCCGATGTTTACAATGGGGTGAGCTCCTTTCAGCCTTTTCTTTTTTGAGAGAGAGAGAGAAAACTTCGCTAACTTTATTAGTTTGCATTTTGGTCTATGCTGACCTCTCTCGGCTTGCTTGTGTGGTGTAAGTATTTCAGTTCGATTTATAGTCAGCATGTACTGATGATGCAGACTTCCCTCTGTGGCACATGGGGATTTCTGGCTACGAGGTTATGGTCATGTGTACCGTATCGCCGTTCCTCCTCGGTATCAAATCTCTTCGCTTCCTCATCATCCGTCAAATTCGGATATGCCATTTACTGTCCCTCTCTGGATTCCTCTCGTTCCTCACCAAATCTCCAGAAAACCGGCTCTTCTCCGCTGGGTTCGGTGTATGGATGGCATGCCTGTCCTGGGCCGCGACCTTCTACGCAGAGCGATCTCAACCACACCGACTGGAGGCTCGAATTTCGGCGTTCTGTCTAGGCTTACTCGCTTCTAGCATCGCGAAGTTCGCTTTCTGGACGAACAACCCTGTCTGGCCGATTATGCATGGACCGAATGGCGGATGGAACAAGCTTGGTCTTGCTTTGGCTATCTTGGCTATCTTGAGATCAACTCGGTCAACTGTTAGCTCTGGCGCTGATATCCCAGCTCCCGGCCCTACCAAAGGGTCTCCAACTCTTGCCGGACTAGGACTTGCTGGTCTCTTCTTCGCCATGCATTCTCTCCTCTCGGATTCCAGCACGATGATCCTCTGGGTATGGGAGGGTTACCCTGTTCGTGGCCCATTGGCCGTTCCACACGGCGCCTGGACCTTGATTGCAATGGGGCTCGGTCTCACGATTGGCTTATTCGCTCCAAATCTTGCCAAGGGATGGGCATTCTTCGGAATTGGGTCCATCGGAGCAGCAATTCTCACCACCTCCAGTCATTGGTTTGGTTACTATGGTGCTCTCTCTCTGGCGGTCTATGTCATGGCTATTGCACCACCATTTATATCCAACGCCGCGCGACACTCTCCTGCTCAAACGTTCGGCCTTGGCTTCCTCATCTACAATATCCTCGTGCTTGCACATGTCTGGGTTGTCGCGTATGCGTTCGTCCCCGGTGGACCCCTCATGCGAGAACACACCGATTGGGTTATGACTGCCATGATGCTATTCATTGGCTGTGGTGTCTTCTCCGCTACAGCCCAAACCTCTTCCCCGGCCATCCAAAAATACAAGGGCAAGCCAAATCCCGCTGCTGGCAAGCAGCGCTCCTATTATCTCTATGTCTTACTAGGTCTCGAGCTAATCGCCGTCGCAATCGCTTACCTCCGCTTCCCAAGCTATAACTATAGGCCATACCACCCGGAGGAGAGGTCCGTCACAGCCGGTATCTGGACCATCCACTTCTCCCTCGACAATGACATGTGGAGCTCCGAACACCGCATGCGCGACGTAATCAAGGAACTCGAAATCGACGTCATCGGGCTCCTCGAGAGCGATCTTCAGCGCATCATCATGGGCAATCGCGACACGACCCAGTTCCTCGCCGAGGACCTAGGCATGTACGTAGATTTCGGACCAGGCCCGAACAAGCACACTTGGGGCTCAGCTTTACTTTCCAAATTCCCGATTGTGAATTCAACACATCATCTCTTGCCCTCGCCGGTTGGTGAACTAGCACCTGCGATTCATGCTACCCTGGATATGTATGGGAAGCTTGTGGATGTTTTTGTGTTTCATTCCGGTCAGGAAGAAGACCCCGAAGATCGAAGACTGCAGAGCGAGTATTTGGCAAAGTTGATGAGGGAGACGCCCCGTCCAGCAATTTTGCTGTCATATTTGGTTACCAAGCCGTTGGAGGGTAATTACAACACATATGTGGGTGAGAAGAGCGGAATGCGTGATATCGATCCAAGTGATTGGGATAGATGGTGCGAGTATATTTTGTACAAGGGATTGAAGAGGACAGGATATGCGAGGGTGAGCAGGAGTACGATTACGGATACCGAGATCCAGGTAAGCCATGCCACCCTTATTATATGTAGCCAATGCTAATATTTGAGGGTAGGTTGGGAAATTCGTCGTCGATCAACCCGAGGGTGGAAACGAAATCATTCCCGAAGATCACGTGCCTCCAGGTCTGAGATTCCCGGCGCTGTTTAGAGGAGAGGGAGTTAGAGGGCATGCGTATCATGTTTTCAATGAGCCTAGGTACTATGCGTGAGTGGGGCTGAATCAGGTATAAAAGAGAATGAAATCCGTATTCGACACAGATATGTTTTGGTAGAGTAGGTAGGAGTAATGCGACGGTATTGTGGATATAATACGGATCACGTGCTAACGGCTTAACTAACGCCGACCCACTTATGGCTGGTTACTCTGTATGCAACTGTCTCTTCTTCTTCGCAAAATCCTTCCGTCTGTGTCCGACCCCAGATCCCAATCACAGACTAGCTACAATATCGTTTCTTTGTTCCTTCAGTATCCAAAAAATATGGGTGTTCCTCCCGAGGCGGTTCTACTTTTCCGCATCGAGATGGAGAAGCGGAGATAATGCAGGGAGAGGTTTTCCCCCCGAATTCCGATTTTGGAGCTAGATTTTAAGCATAGGAGATATATATTTGGGTATTGGGTCAGCTCAAATAATCGCTGGGGATATTTTGAAGAGCTGGTAATATTTGTTGCGAAGCCTGCTGCTGGACATTTCTGCCGAAGCTTTGCTACCTCCACGGTCTAGCATACTTTCGACTTTACGCTGAAATGGCTGAGAATAAGGTTGCTCTGATAACGGGTGGAGGTGAGATGCCTTTTCTTGGTCTGTGACTTTGGTGTGGTTGTGTTCTCGTTTCTTACTTTGTTTTTGCTGCTATAGCATCTGGATAAGTGTCGGAGATGGAAAAGGTGAAGGCATGCTTTCTTTCAGTTATTTGTCCTTTCTTGAGAGTCATTGAGCTTTGGGTCGACATCTGTCTTGGATCCTTCCTTAATCGATAACTCCTCTCTCTGAGTTGCCCTCTATTCTATAGACAATACTAGACATGCCCTATCACGCCCCTCTCTTTTATACCTAATCCACTCCAAAATGTCCATTCCCCAACCTATCCAGCATGCATCCACAGACACTAACTCCCGACCACAGCCTCTGGCATGGGCCTCGCGGTAGCCCAAAAGCTCACCAGCCTCGGGGGCTGGACAATCCACATCCTAGACCTGCACCTCGAACGCGGAACCTCCGCCGCCAGTTCCCTAGGCTCGGACGCTCAGTTCCACCAAACGAACGTCACAGACTACGAAAACTTACTCTCCGTCTTCCAAACCATCTACTCACAAACCTCTCGTCTGGACTTCGTTTTCGCCAACGCCGGCATTGCAGAACACGCGAACTTCTTCTCGCCGCAGACGGACCCGCCACCACCACCTAAAGGATTGGAACCGATTGTTGATATTAACTTAAAGAGCGTGGTAACGACATGTTACCTCGCGCTCCACTACATGCGTAAATCCCCGAAATCCCTAGATAAGAGTCTCGTCATCACGGCGTCTTGCGGGGGATTATATCCCTCATACTACTCCCCCATCTACACCGCCACCAAACACGCCGTTGTGGGACTCATGCGATCAATCGCACCGTACTTCTTCTCCAATGCGGGGATCCGCGTCAACGCGATCTGTCCTGGTACCGTGCGGACAAATCTCTTATCACCGAAAGAGTGGGAGAATTTCCCCGACAAGTATTTTACGCCAGTGGAGAAGATTGCGGAGACGGTGGCGATGTTGGTGGAGGGGCAGGATGGGGAGAAAGGGGAGAGTCAGGGGGTGCTGAGGGGGAAGGCGGTGGAGGTGAGTGGAAGAATGCATTACTATAGGGAGCCAGTGGAGTTTTGTGATGGAGGCATGAGGGCCGTTATGGGAGCGACGGATATTGAGGTTTTGGAGAATGCACAGCAATGGGGGAGTTAGAGTGTGTGGGGATGTGTGAGGATGTGTAGGGAAGTCAACATTGGTGGATAGGATGTGGGTGAATGGGGATGGAGAAATTAGAGATGAGCAGGATTCGTGAAGTAAGGATTCGTGGTATATCCTCCATTACCGTGCAGTATGTAGATTATCATAAGCTAATAACATGGCAGTTAACAATTGACTGTAAGGTTCTATAGTTGTTAAAGCTGAGAAATTTGAAGTAGAAAATCCATTTCGGATGAATTTTGATCTCCACCTGATAGTATGTGGCGGATTGGGTGTCTGGGAAGAGAGCAAGACTCAAAAGCAAACATTGTGAGCATACAACGATGGCTGATACAGTAGTGTTTGCATTCAGACGAAATGCCGAATTGGCATTATTCCCTGTTCCGCAAGTAAGCCGCTATAGAGAGCCTGTCAGCATGCCTATAGACAGGTATTGGACAGTGGAGTAGCACAAGGACGAAATAGATGAAGAAGGATCTGGCCCACATTTCTGTTCTAGTTTGCGGCATTCAGAATTGGAAAGAGATATTGCAACTGAATGGGACAGGGAATCGGCTCCCATTTGTCCAGACTCCAGGACAGTGGAACCCGTCTTTGCATGCAAGATGTTGGGTGGCTTTCCGACTGGACTTAGACCCCACAATGAATTTTAGAGGGGAAGCCGATAACAATTTCTTGTCTTATTCGCTCTGTTGTACGCACATGTTGGTTGTCGCATGTGGGGTCTGGGGTCGGATCCGGTAATTTCTGTACTCGTGACGTCGCGTATGCGAACTGTGTACCGGTTCGAGGAATCTCACGATGCGAGGCTGTGCTGCGACAGGATCGCTACGAAGCGACCCCAAAGTACTCCATCTTGACTTCGTATCGCTACTCCGAGTCCGGCTCGTATTACGCTGAAGAATCTTATCCAAACAGAGGGCAGATGATGCGAATATGAATAATGATGGCGAGGTTGCCGAGTTTCGTTGACGTCAGCAGTCCACAATGAGGCTCTTCTTTCCCCATATTGTTGATCGCCTCGTACTTTAACTTGAATTGAGGAACTCCGCATGGCAGGGATTTTTTTTTAAGCTTCTCGTCTTCGCTCCGTCTTACCGTAGGCCATAGCTCCTCATCCACCGCGTCGTGCCACATTCTTACTATCATCCAGGTCGTGCCGTCATGGCCGAGCGCAAGCGGGACCAGAATTGTTATCTGCCACGTGTTGGAAGAGGGCTAAAATCGGGGTCATCGGACGTTTCGCCCAGAAGGATCCAGAGCCTCCAATTGATTGCCATGTCTGGAGATGTCGGGGCTTGGAGGATGAAGGATTGCTTCGCCGCATGCAGCATGTTGGAAAGAACGTTGAGGTTCCAGGTGCTTGGGCGCTGCCCTGCCTGCCATGCAGCTCAATGCACCTTGGCAGCGGCATGGTAACGGTCCGTGAAGAAGGATTCGAACATTTCTAGAAGCGTGGCCTCAATCTGGGTCGGAGTCCGGTTGCGTCCGAATATTGCTCGTGCGAGAAGTGGTTATTGTGGCGAAGGCGTTTCGAGCTGTTCTTGGATCGAACGAGCGAGCGATATCTTTGCATCCCAGCTGCTCGAAATGAAACAGATGTTGTTGGCAGCGCACAGGATCGCGAGATAATGATGTTTACGAGAGCCGGCATGGGTGTGAGTAGCGACGATTGCTGAATCTAACGTTTTACGCTCAGACTCGCTTGCCCTATAGCCGTTTCAGATTGTTGAATCTGCCTTGCGCTAAGGCACGGCTAGCCGCTGTGGCTATGGTGGCGCGGGATGTATTGGCCGTCGCTCAGAAGTGTTTCAGATCGGGGTGCGGAATTCGTGCGTACTAACATTGATAGTTATCCGCTTCAACAACATATTTTCATATAGGTAGTAGAACTAGCGAGGACTTATGCGTAGCAAAAAGATGAATGATACTAATTAGAAATTTAGCGCTACCTTTCTGTTCTTAGGCATGTTTCAGCTTGTGCATCGAAAGCTCCTCTTCCCAAGCGTGAGATGCTCCATTTCCCCGATGAAGTACACAGCCACCTTACCTTTCATGTGTGAGGACATGTATTGTAGACTCTCACATTGGAGAAAAGGTAGTAGCGCATTGGCTCAGAGTAAGAGACCATTCTGGCAATTGGGATGGTGTTCGTTGTGTTGGAAGCTGGGGGAAACCCTTCAATGCACGGGAGCTCGAAAGCTTGTATTGAAGCCTTTGAAGTATTCCCCATCTCCTAGTATCGGATTTGGGGATATTGTTCAGGACTCTCATTATCTGATAGAGCCAGATAACTAGAAGAACGATGTTGCTTAAGATATCGTACAGCTTCCATTTTTTGGCCATGACCTCCCATTCGGTGATGCCTCGATAGCGGCTATGACTAGCGATTGGGGATAGGATCGTGGCCATATCGTGAAGGGCATTTTCTTCTCATGGTTGCTCGAATGGGCGATATATCGTAACGGTTTCGGGCAATGTGGGTATCGTGAGCTGGAGAGACGTCTTCCTGCTGCATTGTTCCATAAGGCCTTTGACGGCGTGACTTCCATCTATGGATGAGTGTATTTCAGTGGAGGTAGCTATGCCCAACAAACTTCAACAACCCGAAGTATTCTACGAAGTCCCGAGCCACTTCTTCGACTGGTTATCCGCCAGTCTCCGTTTGACATGGGAGAGTACGAGAATGTACGCAACTAGAGTGAGCGGTCGGCGGCGCGTGGTAAGTTGACACGATGTTCGTCCTGATACTCCACCATCTTTCTGAAGAGTGTTAATTTTCTTACCATCCCCATAGATCGTAAACAAGCCCAATTTGAAGAACCCGATTCTATCTCTGCGTCATGAACGGCGTGATAAAGCGCTCGCAAAAGCATTCCACTGAAACCAATGTAGGACCCTGATGAAAAGCATTAATATCGTCCGGTGGCAGACTTGAACGAAAATGACCCGCGCAAAAAGCTAGCGCTCCTGCTTTCTAGAGGCAACTGTATTCGGACCATATCGGATAACAAGACGAATGTGACGAAGAGGATGCTGATTAAAAAGGGTATCAGGGGGGGAAATTAAAATTCAGCGATTTGCTCTGATAGAATTCGCTCCCTTCTGCCAATGTAGCAAGCCTATGACTGCACTGTCACGACTGATCGGAGGCTGGAAGTAAAGACTGAGGCAGTGTCTGTACCTTCATCATGGTCAGCCTAGTGTAATGACACACAACCCACAGGTTCTCCTCTTCTAGAGTATTTGTCAATGTCGCGTCTGGATATCTGGCAACGACAGGGAGCATATCGGCGCAGTGTTACTGTTCAGGAACTTCTCAAGAAGGGTTCCTGTTGGGTGGCGGCCTTCTATGCGGCTGTTGGCTGTGTTTCCCTTGAACCCAGGCATCCGGACAAAAGACCTCTTTACAGGGTCGTATACAGCAAGTCGATAGAGTTAATTTGTGAAGGACTTGACGCATCGTTACACATAACGGCGGGAACATGGATTGCGGCTTGGCGCCACGGTCGACCGTGCACAGCGGTGGAAAGCTTCGTTCTCCTCCTTAATCTCCATGACCAGCAGTCAACGGCTCCGCGCGTATGTGGATGGAGGTTGACAGGTCGAACAATGTCAACAGTCCACCGCCTTGAAACGCCTCTGACTCAGAAATTAAGTGATCAGAGCAGGGCTTCGCTCTCGGTTTTCGGTCCCGTCATTACTAATTATACATCCGGTTCAACTTCGCCCGACTCTCTTTGGCCCCAACCACATCAACGAACGAACGACAACCGGCTACACACTGCCGGACTATGAGCTAAAGTGCAGCACTCGACCGGCGTTGGCACAACCCAAGAGTAAGCCAACCCGCACACCGACTACATACTGCCATGCTGCGATCGACCGTCCCATCATTTGCCATGCTCCTTCTAACTTGCGCTGGAGAACCGCCCATGCCCTCCCGCGTCTGATGTCGTCTTACGACACGCACGGGCGGTCTCGACAAAGCAAGCTCGCTCTCATGCCTGCATCTCGATGTTACCATCTCGGAGATATTGCGATTCAATGTTTCGAGATTTGCGGTCTTCTAGAAACCTTCCTAGACCGATGCGCTGCAGTCCGTTGCACACGGGCACTACAGGAGGTGCATGGCTGCAACGCTGATCCTTCGCAAGAAAATTGCAGTTTTGCTGGCAGCAGCCCTAGCGGCATGCCCTGGTCGGCCCCTTCGGAGGGCAAAGCTAGAGCGAGAGTTTGGTATGTACCACTATGGTGGTACTAGGAAGCTTCACGATTACAGGGATCAATCAGAGCGGGCTATCAGGCCCAAGGCTCACTTGAGCGCCCACCGCAATTGTGTAGAATTATGCACCAGTAGCGCCAGCCGAGGGCAGCATCTATGGGGTGATATCAAAACGGCAAGCCAAAGCAGCTCAAACATTAGCCAGCGCTACCAATTCGAACTCCCCTCTTTTTCTGGATTTTATTTATCAGGTTAGCTTGCCTGAGTGAGATGCTTCTCACTTCTGAGAATATCATAAGCATCTATTCAGTCTGCGCCCTGGATCAACTGACGGTCCATTGGACTGCACTTTGACCTACTCTGCACTTCACTTCAGTTTCTAAGTTGGTCGCTTTAAGGCCCAACTCACGGGCCAATCACCTGTGTCAAGGACTGCGAGACATAACAACTCCGCCACTGCCCGCCACGTAGGTTTTCCACAGACCTCCAGCCTTATTCTGCGGCGACAAACCCTAGAGCTCTTGAACTAAAGTTGTACATCCCGGACCTACAGCCCTACTTTAGCTCTAGCCCTCTACGGCCTGGGCCTGATCTTAAAACCCGGCCGTTTTCGCCTTTTACTCGAGCATCCCACTCGAGCGCACTGGCCTTCTTTCGCACGATATACGAGCCTCATACCCCTCAATAAAGACTTCATCTGATCTCGAAGATTGGCGCTTCTCGATAATTCCGGTCCCGCACTCTGCATTCTCCCGCTCTTGGCTCCTTGGAGTCGCACATACCCACCATGACAAACTTCTTCTCCCCTGAAGCTGAATTGGCTCTCATGGGCCAGGACGATGGCCTCGGGCATTTGTTTCCTTCCAGCAGCTGTCAATCACCGCCGAGCATCATGTATTCACCACCACTTCATCAAATGACGCATCGACCACCAGTCAGTCAACAAGGACTCGCCCAAATTTACCCGCAACCACACGACTACAGGCCGATGGTGAATTCACCATATCCACCGCAGTCATTTTGGCCTTCTCATCCTTCACCCATTCCTCAAACACACGTCTCCTACTCGACTTATCCTCCCCTGACAGGAATGAGCTCTTCACAGACTCTACTACCGGATTCAACACTACTTCCTCAGCCGTTAGGGGCAACCAGGCCATCAAGATCACATTCAGCATCATCTTCAGGAGGCCTGGGTATTCCATCAAATGGAGCAGCCGACCACTCTCCTCCCCCACTTTCTCGATCTCTCTCCCCGAGCTCGCCAGACCTTCGAGTCTACGGCTATCCCAACAAGAACGGTACTTGGAGCTGTGCCTACCCTGGGTGTACTTCCCGGGCAGTCTTCACGCGGGGCTGTGACCTGAGGAAACACCACAAAAGGCACACCAAATCTTTCTTCTGTCGTCACGAAGGCTGCCCACAGGCGACGGGAGGAGGTTTTTCTAGCAAGAAAGACCTCGCAAGACATGAAGCAAAGCACAATCCAGGCGTGCTTTGTGACTGGGAGGGTTGCGATAGAGTTTTCAGCCGAGTAGACAATATGGTAAGAGCCTTCTATGCCTAAGGCGTTCAACAGGAAGTAAATCTAATGCATTGTATAGAGAGACCATGTAAAAAGAATACATCTAAAAACATCTCGCTCCGGGTCTGGCTCAAAAGCTGGAAGTGCATCATGAAAGGCAACAACGACTCATCTTGCTTGCTTCCCTTGATGGGCAGAGCCGCTTGGTGCGGCGCCCCCTTTTCTCGTTGCAACCGCCCTTCACGATACCCAAGTTTTCGCGTTCTGTCGACACTCACTTCAAAAACCCGCGGCGGCGGGCGCTGGCGTTTGGCTGCTTTCTCATGAGTATGGCGTCTATCTGAACCAAGAGCTGATGTAGAGGGTGCTGGATGTCTAAATAGAAGCACTGGGATTGGTATGTTTCGAGCACAAGATCTGGCGCATTTGCATGGCTTGGAGGGATGCATTGAAAGCGTTTTTAGATAAGACATGTAATCCTTTTTATCGAGCAGAGAAGATTCTGTTTTCTTGTCGCTTCTCTCGCTGTCGTGTTTCTTCACGTTTCCAGCATCGTCCACTATTTCGCGAGACACCTCGTCGTGTGCGAGATCCTCCTTTCCAAAGCTCATTTCTCTCTAATTTCTGTCCTCCCCTTTCGGAGTTCGCGCTGAACCGCCCTCAAGTGTGGTCAAGCCATTTCCTGGATGGGGCATCCGCGTCATTCCTTTGCCCTGAAACGTCCGCAGTTAGTGGGAGGCCTTAATTCTTCGACAAGGCTGACAGGCATGGAAACCGTTACAGTTCCACAAGATCGCCATAGACTTTCATTTACAGGAATGTCGAGATAAGGGCCCATCCAGCAACACTAAAAGAACTTTCTGTAATTGAATTGATGGACTGGAGCATCGTCGGTGGACTTTGTTCACAGTAGACCTTGACTGGCCGGCAAGACATGATGTCGCTTCGTAGGGCGAAGCCCTGTTGGTGGCTGAAGCACCGAGGTCCCGCCACCCGGCTCGCAACAGGGGTACGAAATAAGCGTACAGCACAGTCAGACCCGCGTGGTTGAGGATCGATAGAGAAAGATTATGTTAGAGTAATGGTGGCTGATCAAATACTCGAGCTTTCCACTCTACACAGAAGAGCAAGCCGGAGAAACCCTTCCTAGAAGGCAGACGCATTAGTAGTGTCAGATTACATGGCGATGTGAGCTCTGTTTAGTCTTTCTCTTCCTTGTAGCCGAGTCAAAGACAGCTCGTGCTTCGATAAGTCCCGAGACTCCGATTCAGATTCACACTGCACGGGATTGGGGCACAAGCTCGTTCATCACACGCCCGGCAAAAGGGAGGCTTGCAGGGTTCCCGCTCTTTTCCCACACAGCTGCCAAGCATCTCACGAGACTTCTGCTGCGTTTCGAACAGATGCTCAACCAGCCTTGTATTCCTGCATGTCAGGCTTGTTCCCGCGTAATTACATACAAATGGTTCGACATCATACGCATCCCCCACAAACCGCAATCCTTTGAAGCCCCTTCGATTGCCGAGTCCGAAGTTGAGGCTACTGTTGTCATTTTTGGATTTAAGAATGTGGATACATGTTCCTACCGGAATCCTGCCACTCCTCGCCGTTGATGTGGCCATTCGGTAACCTGCCGTGGTTGTGTCCAGCGTCACGGTGCAGTGGCCCCCCCGCAACCATGCACGAATTGCCAGGGCATGTCCCCTTGTTTCCCCTCCCCTGCCTTCAGTTACCTGTCTGTACACTATATCGTCGAGGGGGCCAGGTGGCCACTGTCAAATCACCTTGCTAACCAATCACCATGCAGGAGAGAGCGCACGACGAACGACGGTGATGTAACTGCGCCTCGGTCATCAGGATCCATCTGATATCCAGTGACAAGGAACTTGTTACCAACGAGCTTAACTGGTAAAAGCTTCGCGCCCCGCTTCAGCCAAAATGACAGTCTAGTCCACAATTCGTCCGATTATGGAGTAGGGTCTCTAGCTCCAGTCCTCTTACGTCTAGCTTGCATTAGCGTAGATCTTGGGGTCTCCAATGTGGTCAAATCACTGTTGCAGGGTTCACTTGTTTAAGAAAGACGCGCCAACCGACGGCATTTGTCTTGTACCTCGCCTCTTTCTTCTCCGTCCGTATGTACACACGCGAGCTGTTATGGCCCCCATCATCTCAAACCAACATCTCAACAATGCCACTTCCATGCCCACCGGGAGTCCCTTCGACGCATATGCTGCCCCAGAAACTGCAGTTCCGTGCAGTCTCCTGTTCAAGAGAAGCCGGCCGCATGGCGCAGCGGCCACACCTCTTTGACGGCAGAGCCTAGTTTTCGCGGGAAGGGATTGTGATTCAAGTAGCGAACCACTCGGTCGTTCTATTCTTACAGCGAGATGCAAAGTGACGGAGAGAGGCTATGTAGCCGGTTTCATCTCAGGTGTTGACAACTCGCTTCTTCACTTCATCGCCCTCTGATGGCGCGGTGTCCGGCAACTTCAAATTTCCCTTCTCCGACCACTATCTCCGACCAGATGGCCAAGCATGATCCCCCGTGGGCCGCAAATTGATGAGCTTGCAGATGGGAAAACTCTCGTCCTGGCGCTCCCCTCATCACTGAGCTCTTCCAGACAACGATCATACCATGAAAAGTGTCTCACAGGGGAGGAGCAGTCCCCGAGCTGACCACCTCCGTTATCAACTTCAGACTCACCCTGACAGCATTAGACTTGATCCATCTGCAAGATTGTTTCAATGGCTCGAATCCTCTTGTCTATGAGCCCATTACACCGGCATTCCAGCCAGCCAAACACGCAAAGCACCACATTGAACGGCTCGAAATGGCAGTTCATCCCAAGCGCTAGCCCCATCTTCTGTGTCTAATTCCTTGCATTCTTCAGTGTCAAAATTTCCATTCCTTGTTCTACGGAGCTCGTACTTGATGCAGGTAAGCTGCATGTTCTTCTTAGGGCTGGCGATGGTAGATGCACATTTCCTAATCATCATGCAAAAACACAAGTCTGAACTTGCTCTTCACCCACCGAGTTGTAACTGCAGTGCATGCAAAGTGACATACCAACCAGCCTTTGGCGCTTGACAGGTTGTTCTGAATGGCCTCTTTACGAACCCACCAACATTTGCCTAGGGTCTCGAAGCGCCTGCACTACACCACCAGAAAACGTTCCTACAAGGATTTGAAACTATTTTCTCGACACTTCTCTCACATCGTGGAAGCAATTATCAGAGAGTGTTGTTGCACTTCCCAAAGCGTTCATGGACCATTTGGACCAATGAGAGGAAGGGATCTTTATCAACTGATAAGATTACGTAGCTTCGGGATCTCTCACCTTTTGGACAGGGACGCGTAACACAGCTCCGAAAAGAGCTATCGTCAAAAATTGAGAGTAGGAAATGAAGAGATTTAGTTCTTTCTGTCCTCCTTTACTGCTTCGTTACGAGTTTATCTGAATCTTCCTGTATTGTGTGTAGATGTTTTGTTAACGATCTCGCCGAGCCAGCGAGCCAATTCATCAGCATCATTATCTGAGCAACTTTGAGCTGAGACGATATTCAGTAAGCTCAAGATGCTTTCTGGAGCTTTGATTTCCTCGACTCTTCTCCTTTGCTCTGTTTCTCCAGCGCTCACAGCCGACATAGTAACCGAGCCTCAAAATGCGAATCACATCTTCAATGCGATCCACTCCTCAATGCGCCAATGGGGCTCCTCGCTCAATCACAATGGAATGTCGCTCTTCTTGGCGACAATTCCAGCGGGTGTTCAGCTCTATCATGGAACTTCAAACCCGGAACCAGTGAGGGGCATGGAATGGCTGGCATTCGAACCTGAACACGCTTTGATATTTGCAAGACCGAGAAGACCGCCAGGAGGGCGGCCACCTAAGAAGGGAAATCCACCCAATAATCCAGGTGCACCACCTCTTCCGCTCCCTGAAGTATGGGATAGTAGTGCAGAACATGACCCCCATGAGCTCCAGAACTGGTCGAAGGGTCATCCACCACCACCACCTCTGGACCGTCATCACAAAGGACCACCTTCGCCTCCTCCAGGACAGCCTCATAGAGGATCGCCACCTCCCCATCCTCATGGACCACCGCCGCCGTTCCCTCCGCACGAAGGCCCTCCACCTCCTCCTGGCTCACCACCTCCTCCTGGCTCACTAACCCCCTCCTACGACCGCCAACACCCATTTCTCATCCCTAACTCCAAACAATTCCAAGGGGAAGAACCCTCCAAACCGGGCTATCTCCACACCTACGCCTCAACGCACCCACTCCACCTCCTTTACATAGACGGGATGTCAGCCGGCAAAACCTCCAACGGCACCCTCGACACCCAAGACTACCTCCTCGTCAATCTCTCTGCTCCTGAGCGCGGTGGAATGTGGCAAGAACTCGAGCGTGCCCACGTTCTCTGCAATCTATCCGCTACTGTGTGGGACAACAAAATTGATGGGGTGTTGAGAATGGAGGGAGGGTTCGAAATTATTCTTTGTGAGTTTGGGCGGCATTTGCAAGTTAAGGGTATTATGCCTGTAGTCGAGCCTGGAAATGGAGGTGGGGGACACGGCACCGGGGAAGGCGGAATGCTAGGGGGCTGGCGGTATATCAAGGCGATTACAGATCGGTATCATGGGATTGGCGGGTCGAGGGTGAGTCTGGATTTCGAGAATTTTGTTACCGTTTTTGAGGACGAAGGGTTGGAGTTGTGGAAGAATGATGTTGTGAGTGATGTCCCCATGCCAAGACTCCAAAACGTTGGGGATGAGGATTTGGTCAGGATACGAGATCGCGTTACTGCGATGATATTGAATAGCGAAAGAGAAGGCGAGGGCAAGGAAGTCGTCCGGGTCAACTGGCAAGAAGTCACGGATATGATTGTCCAGCGCTATAGCACGCCCCTCCACTACCTCAGCAATACAACCTCTCCCATCCGGACCTCGAAAGAAGAATACGCGACATACCTCTCGACTCTCCTCCAACCCTTCATCGACTATACATCCCGCAACACAAGCCTCGAAACTCAGCGCTGTATCTCGCAATTCCTGCACACTGTCCCTAGTAGCACCTCGCTCGCCTCCCGCGCCGTCCAATCCATCATGCGCCGCATCTGCAGCACACTCCTCACTTCCCTTGATATTACCACGCTATCCCTATCCCGCTCCCTCAGCCGCACCAGCCCACCCCCAACACATGCACTCTCGGTCATTGACTCCCTGGTCTGGTATCTCCAATGGACGACCTGGAAGCAATGTCCCTCGTGCACAGACGAGGAGATCTGCATCATCCCTATCTGGCCACTGGGCACACTCGAGGATCATCGTGAGCCCAAGTGTCTCGGGGAGAGCGATGTTATGGGAAGGTATGGGTACTGGGGGATGAGGATTGGGAGACCGCCTCCAGGGGAACATGAGGGTGGCGACGAGGCAGGAGCAACGTAGCTGTTCAGGGGTGGGGGATGAGAACCGTAGTATTGGGAGAGGAGGATTGGGTTGGAGTGTTTGGAGATGCCGTGGAAAGGACCAGGAGTGGGTGAGCTTCATAAGTGGGCGGCTGCAGATTGTTCACAGGTAGCGTTAGAGTGTTGTGACTGGATGACTGGCTATTTTCTTCTGACATCTGCTTCACCGGTCATTTAAGGCCTGTGTCCTGATTTGTTTGCATTGCCGCGAAGACTTGTAGTACCAAATGTTTGGATACCAATGGGAACATGATATTGGAGGTACGAATCCAAATGCTGCATGTAAAGGATGGATGGAATGGCAGCACCGCAGTACCAATCACTGATTCCAGGTTTCGGGAACCGCTACCTGTCCCTCTAACCTGCATCCTAGAGGCGGGAAGGTTGACCATAATCCTGCGGCCGCTCTTCCCCGCTAGGTTCATGTTGCCCTCATCCTTGAGTTTCTCACCCGTGCCTCACCGAAGATGCCCTGTGCTCCATCAGAGACCCAAGCTCCAGCCCACCCATCCCCCTGGTCTGACTACATGTGCTTTGCGCATGAAACAAGCCGTGCCCGTCTCTGGGCCTCGGGGACCACAGCCTTAACGCCTGTACCCTGGCATGGAAAACCACACAGAGTAAGCGATCGTACACCAAAAATATCTTCTGTTTGTGTGACCTTGCCTCCCTGACGGAGCGCAACTTTGGACGATGCAGGCCCAGATGAGCTTGAAACACGCGCGGATCTCACCGCCTCACCTGGGAAAGGACTTAAGACTGACACAGGATGGTCGGAAGGTCCGCTGGTGCAAGGCGGCAAGATCGTCGGACTGCGATGTCGTGAAGAGGTGGGTGCGGGGCAATGCGAGCGATGCAGTATACGAGCTGAGGAAACGATTTGCACTCTATCGGTGAGTCCCCTAGATACGAGAAGCCTCGAAGTAAGTTCGCAAGTCGTGGAGGGTTCTCGGAGACATGTTGGGTGATACGACCGTTGCGTTACTGTTCCGGGGTTTTGGAGCATGTTGATCCTTTGCCGATCTGCGAGACTTGATTGGCTAGACACCATGGGTAACATCCCCGCACATAAGGCTGATGGTGGCGAGAGTGCTAAACTTGAAACTATCGACATGCAGACAAGGCGAAGCGGTGTCGATAGGATTTTGTGGATCGCTTCTGGAAGCTCGTTGACACATGTACTCCGTTCGGTGAACGGCGTTGGGCTTGACTGGAGGTGAAGAGGTTTGACGACATAAGGGAACGTCAGTGGACATGGCGGTGGGTACGGTGGAGCTTTCGAGGCTGCAATTCGAGGGGAGAGAATTTGAAACGATTTCCAATGGCTATGACTGCTTGGATCTCTTTACGGAAGAGAGCGCACTATGCGTTCCGAAAAAGCCCGAGTGTGTTTAGTAATGTGCCAGGATGGCAAAGAAGGTTGAGAAAATAGGGTCTGCAGATGATCAATACAAACATCTAAGAGTCCTATCAACTTCCAAAGCTTCATTACCGCTGTTCTTACGAGTAATGCCTTGGTCACGTGCCCGCAGTGTCAGGGTCGGTCCGCTCTTGCATCTTCTTGAACTCCAGATTGAATCTTCAGGAAAGCCTACGCCCCGAAGCTTACAACCCCCAGACCGGTGTCTTTCTGAATAACTCCGGGAAGTCTTAGAATTAAGACGAATCCTTTGAATCGTCCCAATAAGCGGCTGACACCATAGGATATATAGCCTCAGAGGAGAGTTAACGAGATAAGGGCCACCCCACAAGTATCCACACAAAACGGTCTGTCGGGCTAAGCCGCAATACCATACGATACAGATGGCTGTTGTCGAAGAGGTAAACGCTTCATCCGCTTACGCCATAGGGTCGTTGACAAGTCTCCAGAATCCATATAGTATGCCTAAAAAGACAAGTACTACTAACGCTTGACCGACCCATTCTGGAAGTGCTCTTGTTGTCTCTTCAATGTCACTGCTGGCGGAAGAGGATGCATCTGGCTCAGGGTACGCCTGATAAGTCCCATAATTTGGGGGTGGGCCGACTAGAAGAGGAGATGAGGAGGAGTGCGTAGCATCATCGTAGGAAGGAGGAGGTTCATCTGGAGGTGGGAGATGATATATAGGCGGACGGCTCATGACTGAAGGAGGTTGGCCTTGCAAGACCTGCTGCCGTCAGTTGCATGATCATGTTTAGGGCACTGGTAAGCATACCGGGAACGATGAATTCATTAAGCCTGTGTCATTCCTGCCAAATGTTTTATATGGACAATATTCACAATTTGGCTGGGATACAGCGAGCTGAGGGTGTAGTAGCTATGCGTAGCCTATTCACGGAAGGGGCATGTGAGTTTGCGGAGGGGAACAACATATCTCCGGGTCCCATCTTGGCGCAACAGCGAAACGTCTCTGAGGATTCACTTAGTAGGCAGAAATGTAGAGACTCTTTTCTAGCTCATCTAAGCATGTCCTGCGGCTTGCATTCAGTTGACAGACTCCTCTTCTACTGCCCGGCTCAGCATGTCCCTTGAACCCTCTGCGAGTTTGCAGATTTTCTCTCCAACGGGCTCTGGGCGCTCGTCGCCTTCACCAAGAGCAACCCGCAACAACACTGAAGAGGGTATGTCCCTAATATTGGGCTCAAACTGTCATAAAATGGCTGACATATACCTTACCTAGCGCTCTTCAAGAAAGACAAAGGTTTCCGACGATATGCTGCCGCCGTCGAACGCGCCTTGGCCCTATGGGATACCGCCCAGCAGGAATGGGCGGACTATATATCCTTCTTGGGCCGACTGTTGAAGGTCTATACTCCTCTCATCTAGAATTACAAACCACTCGCGCTCCTATTGACAGGATACCAGGCTCTACAAGCGCATCCTGCCGAATCACCCATCATTCCACATAGCGACACGGTCACGCTGCGACTAGCGCAGTGCTTGACCCCAACGCTACCTTCAGGAGTACATCAGAAAGCCCTTGAAGTCTATGCATATATTTTTTCAATAATAGGAGTATGAATATACCACCATTATTGGTCGAAGCAGCTAACGCATGCGCCAGAAAGATGCGCTTTCTCGTGATCTCAACCTTTACTTCCCCGGACTAGCATCTGTACTATCCTTTGCATCGCTGTCTGTCCGCCCATTGTTTCTCTCTCTCCTAGAGAGTTACATTCTGAGACTAGATGGAGCACCACTCCGACCAGCTCTAAAAGCTATTATTCTGTGCCTCCTCCCCGGATTGGAAGATGAGACCAGCGAGGATTTCGAGCGGATGGTATCCGCGCTTGACAGGCTCCGTGATGCTGTCAAAAGTCATCCAGAAGAAATTGTCGATGCCAAAACCGAAAGTGGATCTTCGCATTTTTGGCAATGCTTCTTCCTTGCGACAATTACGAATGCATCTAGACGACAAGGAGCCCTTGCATATCTAGTCCGCCGTCTCCCGCATTTTGGGAAGCCTCAACGCTGTGGTTCCTTTGCAACCGAGAAATCAATGCCTACAGAAGCCTTGTCGGCAGAAGCAGAAGCGGCAATATCACCAGAACCGGGTTTGCTTATTCGCAGTTTCGAAGCAGGGTTATCTGATTCTCAATTACTAATTCAGCGCGGATTTCTGGATTTGCTCGTCAGCCATCTGCCTCTTGATTCTCCCGTATTACAACAGCGAATAAGCAAGGATGACCTTGAGCGTTTAGTGGCTGCCGCCGCTGGTGTTGTATCGCGAAGAGATATGAGCCTCAACCGAAGGCTATGGGCATGGTTCCTAGGCCCAGAGCCTCCGGTGGGTGCAGAGGGAACTGAATCTGTGGCATCCCCTACGCAAGACAACAAGAACATTGGGCCAGACATATCATCGCATCATGCCGCATACTTCTCACAGCATGGGCTTCCAGCATTAACATCAAGTATCGTGAAGATGATCAATCGGACTAGCACGCTCCCTTCTGATCGTGCCAAACCTTTCCGGCTTTGCTTGTCTCTCATGGATCGTTGGGAGGTAGGTGGTTTGATCATCCCAGAGGTCTTCCTACCAGCATTGCAAAGCATTCAATCCTACAGCGAGGTCGCGACAAAGGAGCAATTAGACGAGGTAATGAGGAGCGCTAGCATCTTCTTCGATGGTGTAGAGAGTGGTCTGATATGGGGCAAGTTGATCGACTTGGTGACTTCTTCGCTGCAGCCGAAATCGGCGAATCGCCACGATGGACCTCGGAAGATGAAGCTTGCCAAATTTGTACTTGCTCGCTTTAACTTAAAAGAGGAGGAGATGCTTCTTCACCATATGCCTCTAATGATACTGTCCACACTTGCTGCTCTCAATAGAGTCATTCAAGGATCACCTGGGAATAAGCCATTGGAAAAAGAAACTTCAGATCTTGCTTTCGAAATTACCGACTCCCTCGTTTCGTTTGTGCCAGACCGGGCACTAAGGGATGAACATGTCGTTGATACGGAGAGCAATGATGTTGTTACCTCGCAAGACGCACTGCGAAAGCTCAGTTCTTTCTATAACGAGTCTCATGGAAATCTCGACTTCTCCGATCCCCCCTTCTCAGCAGCAGAGCTCGGGCAGCTGATCTTGCGCGAATCAGCCTTTATGTTCTCAGCATCCATTCAATCAACACAGATTAATAGCATGTCTGAAATGTCCTCGAGGATTCTGTCGAATCTGGTCTTCAAAGTCCATGACCTAAAGGCTTTAAGCAAGCTTGATCTACTCTCCTCCTTCCGATATGTTCTCTCGCCGAGCCAATCAATGGATGCGATACCATTCACCAATCTCGTTGCTATTAGTTCGGTTCTCGCAGCGTTACAGACTGCAAGACCGTCGAATCCATACATAAACCCCTCCCAACTTCCGGATATTATGCATCCTCTCGTTGCCTCGTTTTGGCATAATCTCAATCCCTTCATCCCAAAGTATCACGTCGAGGCCGTACGGTGCATATTACAACTACATGCTATCTCATCCTCCACTCGCATGGTAGAAGCCGCGATCTCTTCGATCCTTGTCCAGCAAGAATCATCGTCTGAGCATCTAGTACCAACGAATTACTCTGATGCAGGTCGGCGCTTCGCAATTCTCTGGACGCACGTTATGTACGAGCAAAGCTTACAAACAGAGAAACGAGGCAGTTCAGCGTCAAGGCGTTCCAGTGGACTTGGTGTACCACCATTACTACCCGGCAGTGGGTTTCATTCCGTCCTTACTCGGCCATTATTCATCTTGCTTGATTCGCTTGCGGACGAGGGGACAGAGCTCTCTACTTTCGTAAGAACTTGGTTACAAGACCTACCAACATTGAATAAGGTTTTCGAGGTTCTCGCTGTCCACCTACAATGTCTACGATGCGTGTCAGCCGATGACAGCTTGTCTCCAGACATAGTCTCTCAATCGAAGGTCTTTCGACAGCAGCTGTCCGATACAAAAGAGTGCCTTTACTATCTAAAGCACATTCTCCACATCTTGAAACGACCGTCTCCGTACACTTGGTCAATTCTATCCGAAGAGTTGGCACCTCAAACGAACGAAGGAGCTCCCACAAAGATCTTTTTACAGGAGTGGATCGTCCGCACCTGTTTAAAGTGTCTTTCAATCCAGACTAGATCCTCAACTTTTGAGGAACAATCCCATCTCCAAGAGCTCTATCAAACCGCAATCACCATCATCAATCAGATCTACCAAAGCCCATTGGCAGCTTCACTGAAGGGCTTAGAGCTTGAGGTACCTTTGATGGCGAAGCTGAAAACTTCGAGCCCCTCCTTACAGACTCTTCTTCTCGATGCAACGCTTTTGGCCTTAAGACTGCGACTCAAATCAGTAGAGGAGCACCAAGTGGACCAGAATGCGACGCCTCACAATACAACTCGATCACGACTATCTCTTGTCATGGACAGATCGCCTGTAGAAGCCGAACCTCAGCCCGTACCACCCCCCCCTCAACTAGTTGACTGCCTAAAATTCGGCTTTTCATCTCCCACAAGTCGCCTCATTCTCGACGACTGGGTTCACTTTCTCGCCGAGGTCCTCCCGCTATTTGCCGACACCATCTTCCAGAGTCTCATTGCCCTCGTGGAATGTTTTTGCAAACAGATTAATCAGACGTTCGAACAGCTCAGGTCCATCTTCAGGACGGCAGCAAATGTTGACGAAGTCTCGCCAGAATCGACCCTTATTTCTCTCATCAATGGCCTTGAGCGCATTCTAGCGAAGGCGCACGACCGATTAATGGTCCAAGAAACAAAGAGTACAGCAAACAAATCTCCAGAACAACCTCAAGGTTTCTTCGGTAACATGGTCTCGGGTGTATTCTCATCAGAAGCAACACAAGCTCGAGTTCCAACTGCAAATATCAGGCTTACGGTGCTCCTGTGTTTCCAGGATACGGTTCGAATATGTTTCTCGATTTGGGCTTGGGGTGGTTATGGCTCCAAAGATGCACGTCAGGATCCAATTTCGGCTGCTTCATTCGGATATACGGCGCTCCGCATGCGCAACCGAGCTCGGCGTATGTTGGAATCGCTTTTCACCGCAGAAGCACTAGAGTGCTTAGAGACGCTAGCGGTTCTCTGGGTTCATTCATCGAAAGATGACAACCAGGCCACGGCCATTATGGGTCTGCTTAATGTTCTGAATGGGTCTAAGCCTAAGCATACCATTCCAGCCATCTTCAATGCGGTCTACAGCCGCACCAACCCGAATGCTCTAGATCCGAATCGAATGTCAACGCTAACATCAGATTTAGACGACACTGACCTAGTTGCCTTTCTCGTAGATTATACGAAATCCTTAGAAGATGACGCGATGGACGAGATATGGGGCGATTGTACACTTTTCTTACGTGATGTTCTCGCAAATCCTCTGCCACATCGACAAATTTTGCCGACTCTTTTGGAGTTTACAGCAGTGATTGGGCAAAAGGTAGACCACACAAACTTCGGGGAGCAAAGAAAGATGAGGAAGGAGCTAGCAGTACGTCTTTTCTTTACTTGCTACATTTTTCGCTAACAGTTTGACCAGGACATTTTCACCAGGATCCTTACCGCTGTGTTTACCACTCGATCAATGGGATTTCTGCAAGAGCCAGCTCAAGTCGCGGCAGCTGAAAAAACGTCCACATCGACAAACGGTGGTCAGGGGCAGAAGCGTGCGGTTGATGTCGTCTCCACCCTTGCATCAATCGTACCCCACCTGCCCGCCATTCTTATTGAGAATGACCGAGTCACCAACGTCGTCACGAATATCTCAACGAGTGTCGTTGGGCCTACTTTTCGCGCAAAAGCATTTCCAGAGAACGTGTCGAAGCCTATCCTCGATCTGCTGTATCAGCTCGCGCGTGTAGCTCAGGCCAATAAATTCTGGAAGAAAGAAATCTACGATGCTTTCAACGATGCTCGGTTCTTCAACACTCCTCTACCATTACTAAAAGCCTCTTGGTTACCAATTCTTGCGCAATGGACTCATTCAGACAAAGACCGGCTACCTGAACTCCTTTCTCGTCTCTCCGCACCGACAACGGCTGGCATTATGTTTGGCGTTGGTGCTGCTTCAGCAAGGCAAGAAGCAGATCGCAGGACCCAACTAACTTTGCGTCGAATTGCACTGCTCGTTCTTGCAGCGCCCGAGGACACCTTTACGCCCAACCTTACGCAGGTAATGGAGAAGATCGTTGAACTACTCACCGCCACACCTGCCTCATCTCCATCGTCTACTACCCGCCCCGACCTAATCATCCTCCTCCGCTCCATTATTCTCAAATCATCCACCGTGCATCTTGCACCCTTTTGGCCCATCATAAACGGCGAGCTCACGTCAGCACTTTCCTCCCTTCTTCCCGATGCCGAAAATAAAGAATCCTACAACAATTTCGGCATAATCCAAGCCTGCAAACTGCTCGACCAACTCGTCGTACTAGATCCCGATGACTTCCAACTCATCGCATGGTTGTTCATAACGGATACCATCGACGCGGTCTACAAGCCTGCGGAATGGTATCCCACCTCCCTCACTGACGAAATTTCTGAGATCCTGTCTGCTAGTGAGACACCGACTTCGCGTCCACGTCCCTCAATCTCTGTGCCAACGCACACACATACGAGTACAGGTTTTGGGGAAGATGCGAAGAGAGTGCTATTCTTGGATCCGCTGATAGACGCATTGGAAAAAGAGGAAGATGCTCAGGTTACCAATATGGCGAGACGGGAGCTGGTGGATAGGGTAGTGCGACCGTTCTTGGGGCAGTTGGCTATGGTAAGTTTCGAGAGTACTTATGGAGGTGGAAGAGCGGATTGGGAGGGCTGTTGGGAGAGTTGTGTTAGAGATGCTAGTGGAGTTGATTAATGGTGAACTCTAAGGAGTTGAAGGAAACGCTTTATAGTTGACCTATTCCTATAAATGATATTAAGTTATCGTTCGCACGGAAATTGGGCGTGGATAGCACATATATATGTGCGAGGTACTCCCACAAACTGCTCCATCCGAACTGCTGTCCGTTCTTCGACTCGTCCAATGGCGTTACGCTCGATGCAAATTTACATTCTTTCCAGGCCTTTAGGTAATTTTCCTGGCATTTCTTGTCCGCCTGGAGGTGTGCTCGTTTCCTCCATGATTTTTCATGACTTGCAGGCACCATCTTTTCCCAAGAACCCTTCTTTAACATCCCAAGGAAAAAATCCGTGCCTAATCAAGATGCACTGTTGGGCAGAAAGTCCTTATTCACCCACTATTATCTCACAATCCTCCTCGGCCAAAAATTCACCTTCAGCCACGTTCCACTTACTATTTTTCAACTGAGAGCTGTCACCTCGCAAACTCTCCTTTACCTAAACCACTTCACGCACCCACACAAAAGGATTCGAAGAGACCAGATCCAGCAAAAATGCTGACACGAGTGAGGTTCGAACTCACGCGGGTTTCCCCAGTAGAGATTCAAGGACTGCATCACAAAACTTAAATCTACCGCCTTAGACCACTCGGCCATCGTGTCGTCGTTTCAAGCAACATATTCATGTTTCTGAAAACGTTATCTATTATATTCACTTGATAAATTTTTGGGACAAAACGGCGGTGTAACGTTGGTGTTGGAGGCGCAGACATTCATGCGACTCATCGAAGCGTGGGGGCGGGGTCAGGCAGGTGCATGTGTGTGTGGGATGGAGAGTCGGCGCAGCCAGAGAAATGTCATCACATCGCATCAATAGAGTCGAGATCTTAGGATGCTTAGAGACAACAATTACGCAGGTGCGTAGCATTGAGTTTAGTGTTTAGAATTCTAGTTCGACCAGGTGAATATTTTAGACGGGTAGCTTGGTGGCTCTTCTTTTTAGAATCGCAGCATACTGGAGCCGAATTTCAATGATAACGTTATGTTGATACAAGACCACTCCTTACACCCGAAAAAAGTGTATACTTGAGTTCTAATCACGATCGAGCTATCCTTGCACATACCATGCCGTGACATGACATCTCGTCCCAATCGTCAGGTTTCCTCTCGTCCAGGAAAGAAAACAGTTGGTGGCTGCAACAACCTCAGCCCTCAGCTTTCCATATTGCTGGGACCAGCTAGGTAGTACTGTAGTAATATAGCCTTTCCTGACTCAGGCTTACAGATCAACTTGAGTAATGACTAACGCGATCTCACACCTGATTCAGCAGTGAGAAACGCGCCACCCATTACCGTAACCCATTCGCGCGAATGGATTACCAGAATGGGAAGTGTTTCAGGCAGAAAAAGGTGCGGGAATAGTCACCAGTTGGGAGAAGTTGCCTTTACACATATGCACAGGTTGACTGAGGACTAGTCTGAGTATGGTCAGAGTGTAATTTGCGGGTGAAATTGCGAGGCTATCCGGTGTTTAACTTGCACGTGGGCACGGCTCCGTAGCGCCTTGGATTGAGGTTGGGATTGGAATCGAAACTACTGTATATAGGCGTTTGTGGTGGATATGTGTGAAGCGTAAACTAGCCGAAGATAATCAGAGCCTTATGCAGCACGACGAGATGACCCACCATATGCTTTGGAATATACAGTAAAAGACTCAAACTTCTGAATCGTTCAAACAATTGGGTCGGTTCAATGGAATACCTGTCTTAACATGTACAACCAAGCCGTACGCAAGCTTCGCGCAGCATGCCCGGAGCAGAGGGTTATTTGTGCGTGACCACTGATGTATTTGTCAGCGATTAAATGTAAGTAATATGGTAGTGGTACGATGCATAAACCAACCGCAAACGTTGGTTGAGCGACGTTGATATGCATTGGCTATGCAGTGGGTGCAAGGAAGTGCTCAGAAATCATGTCTTAGTGGTCACGATCCGATTCTATCAGCAGAGAGGTCACTCTGGTAGTCAAATCTCCGGGCGATTATCGGGATGCTAGATCAGAGCTCGGAGGGTATTCTGTGTTGCAGTTACATTGTGCCGAAGGCAGTGTCACAAAATACCCTGGATCCTATTTCGATTTGATGTTTAGAAGGCGTTCCCTAGACCTTCTAGTTTCCTTTCTGTCTAGATTTTCGGGAACAAATTCTAGGAGTCCGCAGGGTTGCTCATCAATGCCGCCCTTTCTGCAGAAATGTAGAGCCATAGGCTTTGACCTCCCATTTGTGTAAGTAATGAACTACATATCCTTATAGGTTTAACGTCTGATCTAGCATCTGATGTCCTCCTAATCGGTTAGTTAAGTATAGGACACTTAAGGTGACATCATTGATAATCCTTCGCCAAGTGTATACGGAAAGCCCACTTGTAGCTAGGCACCGTCCTGCACTCCATCTCAAGCATACCATGATCGTTACTTCACACTACAATGACGATCAATCTCTAATGCCCCTTTTCCGACATATCCAACTTGAGGAAGTTGTAATCCCTTTGTTTTATGCTAAGTACGATGCTATCTCTGGACAGAAATCTGCGGTAAGGTGCGCAGAGGCTTCATAGAATTTTTCCTATACATAGATCAAGAAGGCGAAGATACGGACAATCTAATACAAGACATGTAGAATAAGATGTCGAACAGGTCAAGGAATGGAGTGCCGCGGGGTGCAGTTCACGAATACTGGTTTGTATGAGGTATATGCTTGACGTTGAGGAGCCAAGAGCGGTGGGCACTTCGTTCGGCACTCGATAATCTGATATCAACTTCGAGACAACATTCGAAGAGAGGATGGCATTGTAGGCCTCATGGCGGTGCCACTGGTTGAATATTGAGCAATGATACAAACGTTAAGAAAAGCCTGATTCCGATCTCTGAATGTGACCGTACGCTCGTTGGGATACAGATGCAGATACATGAAGATATAATGCAAGATGCCGCGTTCGGCAGACGGTGAGTAACTGACTAGGTAATTCCTGTGGAAGTTGAAGGAGCTTGGGGGCAAAATCCGATTGACTGTGTAGAAATAAACTTCTTGGATGGCCGACGATTAGAAAAGCCTGGCGATGGCGTCGTGTTGCGAAGACACTACATTTGCAGATGCGGCTCCTGCACTTGATTCAAATGGGACGAAGCGGATTTGATGTGCAGAAGCGTATGGCATTGTGACGTTGTCGTGACAGTCATTTTCGGTTTCCATTCGGGACGCTAAGAATTATCTAGAATTCGGTGGATACCGGGACGAAAGAATTTGCATTGAGAAGCTTGATAAGTACAAGTGGAGTTGAGAGACGTGTAGTTCGGAAAAGGGCTGCTCGGAATCGGCGAACCGCTAACGCCGATTGCGGCGACCTCGTGCGAGGCAAACAAATCTCCCGTGTTCTGTCCTGCAAGAATTACTCGAAACAGGGATTGATAGTCATAGGTCACACACGTTGATCAGTGATTTTTATCGTCAGCCGACTCACTGAGGCATTTTCTTGAGGGAGAATGTTGACGAGGGAGGAATTGTAACACTATCTACTTAGATATAATACCGGAGGTGTTGACAGCAGCCCGGCCGTATGTACAGCTCATGCGGCTATCAAATCCGAATATTGGGTTCCGATTATCGGATATGGGATTGCCATATGACAAACGAACAACTTCCTCCAAGCTAGGGATCCATGCTACCATACTAGGTCTATGCTTCCCAGCCGCGGTAGACAATCTTGCTTCCGTATTTCTCTCCCCTCTTGAGAAGCATCATCCCTCTGTATTCAGGAATATTGATGGCATTGACGTAACGACTTGGCTCAATGCAAAATCCCGAGCGGGGCCCCCGAGGCGGAATATTTCCGACAGCTGGTACTTCGATGTATTTGCCCGTGTAGAATTGGAATGCTGGCTCAGTGGTTGATATTTCTAGATGAATCTTCGTCTCTGGGTGATAGAATGATGCAACTTTCTGGAGTGGCAATGGACGTGTATCAATCGGAACTGTATTTGGGTCGGTATTCACGATGAAGCAGTCATCGATATCTGGTTCCGTCTCACCCAGTATGAAAGATTCATTCGATTTCACACCAGGGTATTCCTCAATATGTCCTGTAGGGATGCCGCCGGAATCTACAACCTGATATATGTTTGTTATCAGAGTGACCTGCGTCCCGGAGATTGTTGGCCCATCGCTAAGGATGAAGTAGCTATGCATTGGGTTCATTTAGTGCTATTTTAAATGCTCAAATTGGGACGCACCTATGATTGGTCATATTGACCGCAGTCTCAGCGATCTCATCCCCAACCAGTTCAGCCTCAAATTCGATGTGCAACACCTCCTTCTCGACTCCATTTTCTTGCTCCTTTTCTTGGATGTACCAGACCCTCACTTCGACTGTCCCAGGATAACCCTCTTCTCCGTCTGCACTGAGGTATCTGAAGAATACGGCATCCTTTCCGTCCTTCTGTACGCTAGACGGTCCTTCAAACTCTCTCTTTCCCCAACCCATATCTCCGCCATGAAGGGAGTTTGGTCCATCATTGACTGGTAATTGGTAGGAAGTTCCATTCAACTCATTAATTCTGGCTCCTGATACCCGGTTCGCAATTCGGCCAATAGTCTCACCGAAGAAAGGTGCGTTGTACTGCTTGTATAGCTCTTCATGAGGGAAGCCTTGGACGATGTTTCTGCCATTGACTTTGAATTCCTTGATGATGGCCCCTAGTGGGAGGAAGGTGAAGGCTTTCGGAGATGTCTTAGCGTCCATCCTATGGTTAATAGAGTTCTAATGATCGGGGACGTACGTTAGCCTGGCACGAACGCATTAGAAAGGAAGATGGAGAAAAGCTAGCGCCCTTCTGGACTCTTTCGCTGGAGACAGGGAATTTGGGGGTTCCAAAACGTAGCGGGGTCGGTTGAGATGTAATGATTCTAGGAAGTATCCTAGTGCGGGGTTTCTGGAAGTTTGTGCAACTTACCTTCTCTGGTGCAAGTAGGCGGAGTTTGAGTCGACAAGCCGGGGTGTCCTTTTAGACCAAATCTGTCTGTTAGACGTGAGCAGATGAAGTATTTGAGGACATCATGACAAGAGTTAACTGATAACGTGACACTTGATTAGCCTAATCAAGCGGAGAGATGATATTAATTGTTCCGGTGGGGTGTTGATCCAATAGGTGACCTGATGGCGAAATGAAGGTGCAATAGACTCATCATGAATCTGATGTTCGCACAATGCCATCACTCAACGGTGTAGCTGTCTCGTCATCATCAAAGAGCAGTGATCCCATGTCTTGTTTGGAAGAGAGTTCACGTGGTGATGGGTCTTGACGACTAAGGTTAGTAATAGTGGTCTGTGCATAGACTCCTGAAGCGCGTCGATCAATGCGTTCATTATTATCAGCGAAGAAAACATCGAGTGGAAATAATAATACAATTGTTATCAGCGTAGTACACGCATTACTGACCATTCCTAAATCTGGTCAAGTGCGACACCTGGCAAACTCTTTGATTCTTTCAATTTCCCGCTACGCCTCTGTCTTGTGGCACTCCTCGGACGCAACCCGTTCAATACGCCGTTCAACTATGAACGTCATTGTGAAGCCTCGACTCTTGGGTACCACGATGCCTTTCCAAAATCACTCAAGCTTATGCTAAATAATCGCAAATTCCGAAATGCCCGATAACGCCTGGTCCAAAACCGGATCCGGGTCATGAAGTGGACCTGTCCCAAGACGCTTGAACGCTAGACACTGTACCAACCAACGACAATTCTAGGAAAAGGGAGAATAATCCAATTATGCGCCGACTGGATTATTTATGAAATTGCTGAAATCCAGATCATTGGCATCGTTCCAGTCGGACATCATAGGCCCTGCAGGGTTGATCACGCATGGATCGAGAATCATTGAGCTTGTATCGAAATTGTTAAACGTGTCGAAGGTGTACATGGACTTGTTGCCAAAATCCATGGGTTCATCCATAATCATTGCTTCTGCTGTCCATGCTGAACGAGTGAGAGCTGATGGGTCTAGGGCTCCTGTGTTCATGAACGCTGACGAAACCAGTGGTGTTTCTTGTTTGATTTGGGGTGTTATTTGTGATTGCCTAGGGAACGGACTGTTCATAGGTGGTGTTGGAGGAGCATTGTTGCGTGAGAAGTGCTCGTTGAAGGATAGGGTCTTCGTTGTGGGTGTGCCTCCATATGATGATGAGGATGAATGTCCATGCTCAGAATCGGAGCTAACAGATCCTCGCCTGTGTGTGTACGGAGCGCCTTGCTCAAGGAGCTTCTGTTGCATGCGACCACAGTCCTCTTCGAACCCTTCGTAGTTGCTGTTGCTATCGCTCGAAGAATGGAGCAAGTCGAGTCGTTCCAGTATGTCGTGGGTAAGAGGGTGTCCGCCTTGGGCCTCACGGAGAGGTTGACCTGGCCAGCCCTGCCCACTTTGTAGTCGGCTATACAACTCCCGCAGACCAGCCACGAGCTGTGCTTGTTGTTGCTCGAGCATCTCCACGTATCTATTCGTTTAGTTTAGTAAACTGGACCACCACAACAGCAAGGAAGAGCCTACCCTTTAGGGTAAACCTTGTCCTGTGACTTCTTTCGTTCTCCGAAAACGCAAATAGCATTGTCTGCTTTACATCTGCTGCAGGGACTGGCACCATCGCACTGTGTCTTATTAGGATATAGGTCATCGTAATGAATATGCCGAACGTGCCTTCGATTTCTTTAGTCGACACCGGTCGCAAGCTTTGCAGACTCGCTTTCTTATGTTGTCTTGTGAGGCCTCCATTGAATTTGATCGCTGTGAGGACATGTGGCGGCAGTAAGCTCAGCAGTGATGGGAGTGGTGAAACCAAGGAAGCCAATTCAAGATGTGTGGAGAGAGGCTGAGGAAGACTGGGAATGTTTTGCTTTTATGGAAAACAAAACATCAAATGATATGAACTGAGAAGGCCTGCGTTGGAATTCTTCGATCGTAAATACGGGCGTGGCATGTGTGGGCAGCATGGCATTATATCTATTCAGTCAGGGCAGGACCAAACGGTGCTCGGCCTTAACGGTTTTCCAGACAGGGCAGAAAGGCGGTAATAAATATGTAATAATGGAATGTGCACGCCCGCGCTGCTAAAGCTCCCTCAATTATTAGTCGGGAGTGTTGGATTACATTTGGCCGCGGCAGGGGTCTGGGATTGGTGTGCTGCGCCAACCTTACGAAATCACTGGGCTCAGTCGGTGCGGAGAGTCAAGCGGTGCCAGAGTGCGGCGCGGAATCGGCCTTCATGTGGACCGTGGACATGCATGGAGGTGCTGGACAAAGACGACCAGGGCAACGTGAGTGTGATCATACCACATCGTGGAGAAAGAGTGTCGCGAGCTGGCTGGAAGTCGGCCACGCTTGCACATCGTTCGGATATCGGATCCACTACAAAGCCGCTGAACACCCTCTGTTCGGACGGAGCATCCGCCCAACGCGAGCACTTCAAATCGACAAAGGCCTGTCCAGGCGCAGAACTGCAGAACCTCTCCCATGATCGACATCATCATTATCACTCATCACTAATAACACTATTCAAACCCATTTCTAGAACTTCCAGGCTTTTGTTTGACCGAGCTCGGCCGACCATTCTCAAAACTCCACTGGCCATAATCCACCTTTTGTTGCCCTGTTAAAGCGGTCGCCCGATGCAAAAAATGGCTCATGGCTTCTGAAGAACGCTGGCTCTGACGTTCTGAGGTTCCTCGTAGGACAGACGAGTGGCCGAAGCACCGAGCTCAACTCTGCGTCCAGGCAGCACGCAAACGCCCACCCCTTTGTCCATTGTTAACACCCCTCAAGCCACACCGGCCATATTCGTACAACGGCGATACCAGAAAGCGAGATGCGATAGTGCTGGACAAAAATGCGCGCCAACCATTTGTCGCTGTTCACTAACTCCGCACCAGCATCACCAAGCGACGTGCAAGGCTGCTGACAGCACGCTGGATGACTCTATCTTGCTCGCGCTTGCGCTTCAAAGACTTCAGGCAGCCAGTCGTAGCGTTCGAATGGCGAATATCAAACCTTCCATATGTAGGCCATCTCCGTCTGTGCTCTGAAATTGCTTATCAATGCCACTACCGGGCACTTGTTTGGTCCGTCAGACTCACCATGAGGGATGTGTATATGTTCTTTTCCTCCCCTCGTATTATCTCTCCGATTTTCTCATCAGAAAATTCTTTGTGGAGCTTTTTCCGATTGCCTCATAGTGCCGGGTACTGTGCACATGCTCGGGACGGGCATTTTTCGCTCCCGAAGCGCAAATCCTCTCAGACCATCACTCATACGCCCGTAGGCCGAATATGGGCTTGCCCTTGCATTTTCACCATCGACGTTTTGTCACGCTTGGAGCATGGCTAATTACTAACGGCCTCCTGAGGCATATTTTGAACACGGTGTTGTGTTTTCAATTTCCTATGGTCGTCGTCAGGCATCGTGGCTGAGAGAACCGCTTTGGTATAAGGTTGCGAGATGTTCGTACCCATCGTACTTGGGCCCCGCGTGTGCGTATCCAACGCGGTTCGCTCCATCGCGCGAAATTGCCCTTTAGACGAGACGACTGCGAATCCCGCTGGCTGTGCAGTTTTGGGAGTAAGCTTAAATTTCGCGAGTTAACGTCAGCAACCTCACGCGCCTTGTCAGCACCCTGAACAAATGTGCAGGTTCAGCGCACGACTTCGAAACACATTATCCTAACTAGTATTCTCCTTGTTGGGCAATTGCCCTCATGCAACTTGCTGACTGTGGAGCTTTTGATTCCGAGAGTTAGCTGGAATCTTTCGTCATTGCTTCGTTAATATTCACTTGCATGTTTCTGCGGCCGACTCCAGCGGAATTGCTTCAGCGATCCTCTTTGCATCTGAAATATGGCTTACAGATTGATCCTAGTGGGGTTCTTCTTGAGCGATCATGCAAGTGGACTCAGGTGGGCACCGCAGAGTGAGTAGAGATTGGATCGAACTCGGAGCACCGAAGCCATCACCTCTTGACTAAGCCCTAACAACTAGTTAGCCCTCGATAGAGCTGATTAAATTATTTCGACAACACATACTCTATCCCAAGCTAGTTTTGTACTAAAATACTTCAACCACAACGTATTATCAATCTCCCGGCCAGTTGTTGTCTTTGCTTAACATCCAGGGATGGGATTGATAAGGCTGCTAAGACCATTGGTCAGGCATCACCACGCGTAGACACCTTGGTTTCAAACAGGAACGTTGCGACGAGCCGCCTTGGAAAATGTGCGCTACGCAGTGCTGAAAGTCACAACGGAGCTCCGCCGTGGTGGGGGATTGGAGAGTTGTCGCGACATGGTTCCAACAACCCTCCACCACTTCACTTTCAAGTTTGAAAAGGGTTTCACCGATGCAGTCGGCTTCAACTCTTGGGAGAGATCGTGAGAAACGCAGAGCCCAGATTCCGCTTGCCATATTAGCTGAAGATGCACCCTGGATTCAGGATCTATCAGCATCTTGCAGCCCCTGTCTATTGAGAGTTGAATTCCCCAACATCATTAGAGAGACCCAGCAGTATCAGGAAACCGCTACCGCGACAGTTGAAATATTATCCATGGATTCATTTAAAGAGAAATGTGGCTGCTCACATCTTTTGCTCGTTGCCAAACAGTCAGACAGGTTCCCCCGCGATGGTAATACAACGGCGTTCACTCAGTCCTCCCGGAGCAAAAGCGCATGATGCTTCAAACTCGCCGAGCACCTTCTCATGATCGCCGAATGTAGAGACACGCCTCATTTTCTTGAGCTTTTGGGCGAGCATGAACTCAATTGCAAGTGCGCTTCGGACCCTTGCATGTCCTTGCGAGGCCACCCATGAGCAGTTTGGGCACAACGTCGACGATGCCATCATTGACGCCGAAGACAAACGTTTGGCAAAATACAGGTATTCGTGAAGCTCGTTGATTCCAAAACGCCATCACCACTCATCACCGTAACTAACTGCCAGGAAGGGAAAAGCTAGACTCCACACATCCAGCCACGAGAGCGCCACACATCTTGAAACTCAAATTCTGTCTCACTGTGCTCACAAAAATAAATTCAAGATGTGTGCTCAGGTACTCCGTGAACCGCAGCCCAAACGACACGCGGTTCAAATCTACAGAAGGCGTTCATCCAAAAGGCGTATTTGACTTCCCCTCTCCACCTCCGCTAGGCTGTGAATGCTGGCAAACGGAGAGCTGCCAACCACCAATCAGTTTGCCGCACTACGGTCGCCACATCACCACTTCACATTTTCAACTCCACTTCTTGTCCCCTTTCCACCCTGCTGGACAGAATTGCGGCCAAGATCTCCAACAAATGAACGCATACGCAATTTGCAAGATCCTCACTGTGACTCAGCCTCGTCCTTGACCGGTTAGTTGGCATCCTAATCCACCACGGCATCCCTGTCTCGCGTTTTTGGTCGAATACGATCTGGAGACCGCCAAGCCGACTTCAACAGCCTGACGAGCGACCCCCAAGCGTCAGTTGAGCCTTACGCCATGTCGTTCCAAGGCTTGAGACCACGTGTGTATTGGTGCATCGAAAATTACGCATGGATGTCCACTCTAATGTGTAGCGCGACAAAACTTCTCGCATGTTCCCTTCTTGGCCTCCAGGACGAATTCTCACGGGATCCGCGGCGAGCACTCGGCGACCCGGGCACCCGATTCCGCTCAGGGGTCGGCCGCCTGAGAAATCTATCCAAGTACCTCGCCGGCCCCGACACTTGTGCGTCGGCCGCGACAACACGACATTGTGGGAGTGGAGTTTTAAAGTTTTTAAAAAATCTCTTCACATTTTGGTTCAGCTTCGGGCGAAACACATGGATTATCTTATCTAGCGTCAGGAGAAGCGAGATTACATTAGCAACTCTCTACCCAAGTTCTAGGGATCCTTCTTAGACGGAGTGTTTGCTGACAAGGCAGTTGCAGTGCACGAATCTGCAGTTGTGCGAGAGAGAATGCGAGAGAGAATGCAATGAGGACCGAGTAGGGTTTGAGCATCGCATGGATTCTTTCCTGAAGTTATGGATTATTGGCGTGTTACATGGAACGAATGCTGATCTCAGTTGCTGGGTGATGAGATTGGGTTCGTTCATTCATTATTCCTTCGACACGATAATAGAATCCGTGTGCTAGGCCATTCCCTCAGGCTGACCGGCTTCTAGAAACCCTTCAAGTACTAATTTCAAACCCAACGTCAACAATTTTGCTCATAAGGTCTGAGTGGAGGCACAGCAGCAAAGGCGGTTGTGTGTTTTATCATCCCCGTAATTTCAATTGGATCCCTCGCTCAACCTACCTTATTGTTTCTCTCAGCCACGCTCAGAATCCTTCCACCGTCTGTCAGTCGCTTTTTACGACAACAATTCCTCATTCACCGATTTCCTTCTCTAGAGGGCCTATGTTCGCATAGTAATTCGCAGTCGTGGTTTACTAATCCACTCTGATTGCGCCATTCGACCCCATGATCAGTCTGTGACTCCGATTTCTCTTCAATTAATCATCACACTCCGATAACTACCCCGTGCAAGTGCAGACTTGCACACTGGATTTCAAAGCCGTGCGGAAAGCTTCGCTGTCTCGTTGCTCGAAACTGCGGGGCAGTCTTCATGCGCTTGACAAATGGAGCACGTCAAGACTCAATTCCGAAACGGACCAGTGTCTGGCTTTTGAATCACGCTGCCTGATAACATTTTTGATATGTCTGATTTTTTTAATGGCTCTAAATATCACGTTTTCCGCCCCCAAGGAGTCTTAATTGTTCCGATACCGAACCTCCGCCGACTTAGCACTAACATATGTATCAGATTCTCAATACGGTATATGCTGAACTGAGCAAAGCCACAACATTTCTCTCACGTTCACGCCGCAGACGGCAGGACCACTGTTTCGTCGTTATTTCTCTCTTGATTCATCTTCCCGCGTTTATTTTGGCAACCTCTCGTAGCAGTGCATATACCGTTTCATTCCCCACCTCATCTCGCCTCGCTTCGCCTCAGGGTGATCCCCGATCCGCAATAAAACACGCCAAACACAAACATTTCAGATAGTAAGCTGCATAAGGAAGAGCTCCCACGCCGCAGCCCTACATATATAATTGCCCTATTTATCCTATTTTCCTGATCCTCCAGGGCCAGCCACGATGCACGGAATCTCCACCAACGCGCATCCATGCGAAATTCACCGATGAGATGAGCGGCCGAAGAAACACATACCACAGCGTCGATTCCACGTCGCACGGCGAAGCAATCGCGCTCAGGCCCCCTGCACTGACTTCTGCGTCTCTTAATGGAGTCCTACCGGCCATTGGGCGTAAAGGTTTGGGAAGTTCCAACATAGACGCCCGTACGACCGTTTACAACGGGGAATTAATACATAAAGTACAGATACAAGCGAGAAAGCCACTGTATTCGTGGCGAGGTGAATGAACCCAGCGGCTGAGGTAGTGGTATAGATATCTGAGCCGCAATATAGTTGTACAAGTATAGAAAGGGGCAGGATGGGATCTTGTTGGGGGCGTGGAGAGCATCTGCACTTCATCTATTCTCAGGAGGAGAAATAGTCTGTAGGAAGGTGCATGCATGAGCTGGGAAGCACGTGAAGGGGGGAAGGATGGGGTGGGTGGGTTTGTTTAGACTTCATCAGAGTGCTGCGGAGCGCGAACATGTTTTCGAAGCTTATGTTTCTGTGTCTGAGTTTGCGGCTTCTTTGTTACAGTGGTGTGTATCGCAATTTCCCTGCTCCAGCAATATCTTGAATATTGTGCATCTCATTCATATCTCCCATCGCTCTAATCTTCTCTTATGTTTCTTGACCTCCTCAAAGCCCAGATGAATCGAATCTCGGTGCTTCAACTCTCGTATTCGAATTGACTATCCTTGAAATCATCGTTTGTTCGGATCTCTCCATCCCGCAAGTATTGTCCCTTTTCTTGAAACGAATCGCCACCCCTACTCTTCTCCGAATCCTCTGGATTTGTCCTCGTTGCTTGTGCTAGAAAGTTGGAAACTCCGTCACTGTTCCTCCCTAAAGTCAAGGTTAACTTTCCTGTTTAAGCTTCAGTTGCTTATTGGAAACTTCGTGCCAAATGAAATTTAGGAGATCTTTAGGTAAGAACTAATAAGTTGATAGCCTTCCAACCGCCAGGTCTGGAGACGGTTCGTGAACGACTTCATAGTGCTCTAAACGATATACCATCATGGCAATTGTCCATCCCAGGCAGAGCCTAATCCTTTGATTTCTTTGCTCCATATCTAGAACCTAATTCAATTTCGTATCTACATGACCACAAACAACCCCTCAAAGTGACAGCTCGGCAAACAGTCTTCTCCACAGCTACAGCTACAGCGACGACGCTATCCCACCATCTTCAGTTCTAAAATTGTCCAAAAGTACACACAAAGCTCGGTACTCAGCCCGCCCAGTCTTTCTTTCGAGTTCTTTTTCCATTTTCGTTCGAGTATCAGGCCAGGTTCACGATACTAAGTGAGGTCAGCGAGGCTGGCTACATCAGCAGCCACAACGCCGAATCGATAGCCGCATGACTTCGCGAAGAGGGTAGTGTACATCAGCACGGCAGGCCAGACATTGCCAGCGCATACGCGCATACAAAACAATAGACGGCGTCGGAAATTCGAATAACCTCGTAACAAACATGTTGGTATACGTGCGATCCTGTGGATGTTGTATTGTCAACACGCGTTTGGAAATTAGAACGGATCGATCTTTCGGATACAGTAATGCCCGCGCGGGCTTCATCAAACACCGCAATTGTAATCCAACGGACTTTTAACTTCGAAGGCCTCTAGTTAGTTCCGTATTTCGCTACCGTACTTGACAGGCTGGTTTCCAGTACAGTGCATACTGTATAGCCGATTCATTCCAGGACCTCCAAATCAACCAAATCTCACTATTACCCCTTTCCCCAAGCTCCATCTCGCAACTCCATCCTTGCCATTTACCAACCTAAGTCATAGATCAAACCCTCCTTCCATTTACGCCCCGCCAAGAACTAAATCACTACCTAACTCTAGCCCCTCACCTACTCATCCATTCACACCTTACATACACCTAGCTTCGAATTAGACGGCCCACGCCTGAGCATATCTCAGCCCAGTGCTATCCAAACTGAGCATTACCCGTCTCACGATAGGTCTTAACCCTGCCATGTCATGTCCATCGTCCATCAGCGTCTGTCAGCTTACAGGAACCCACTTTAACCCGCTTCGGCTACCGTCCCAGCCAACCCAGCCAGCCCAAGTCTCAGGGCCCACGCCAGAACCCAGAAGTCCGCTGATTTGGAACCGAAGCTGGGAAGAGTGGTTCAAAGTGGAGATAAGGTTGATGGAATGGGGCAGGCCTGACGCGAGCAAGCAGGGTGCACAGGTAAAGTATTTGGAAACTTGGGAGACGGGGGAAGGGCGGCTGTAAAATCGGGATATTGGGATTTACGATTTGTGATTCAGGGGGCCGGTCGATGGCTGCGGGATAGTTGATGGTTGTTTGCTTGCCGCGTGCACGCGTAATAGTCACGGAATTCACGCTGCGAACAGGGTAGGAAAGATATCAGATACTACGGATCCGTATGTGTGGGTTCATGTCGCGATGCGCGCCCCTGGGAAAACGCGAGAAAGGGAGGTGAGGGAGAAGAGAGGTGGTACTTTGTCGACCTAGGCACGTACCTGTTCGCATGAGTCCTTTCTTTAAAACGGATATATCTATAGTACATAATCATCAGACGTTTCTCCTCGGGGCGGACTAACATAGGCACACTATGAAACTGGTTCGTCATTTGCAATTGGAAAATCGTAGTTTGTCAGGATTGGTAGAATACTGGATCTACCAACCCCGACTCCTTCAGAGAACGTGGATAGGAACTGACTGCGCGACCCTGTGTCTAGGCTAGACCACGATCGTGAAATGCTCACCAGACCTTCTTAAGCATATGCTATCTTGGATTGCAGGAAGCTGCATATCGCAACCATACAACAAACTCTGAGAACTGGAAGCGCTTCGTTCATCCATTCCTCCATACTAAGTCATATTGAATGCTTGATTCACAGCTGGTGGTTCCAAAGCCGTCCAAGCGCAACACAGCGCAGAACTACAAGGAAACGACTTAATCGTGCGTGAAGAATCAGGGGGACTAGAGGGGCTTTGTAGAAGTTGCAATGGTGGTCCGGAGATTCATGAAGGTGCACTCAGCGTATTGACAAGTGTTTTTTTTCTAGTAGGAGCCCGTGGAGAGTATTTTGCTGGTGGTAGGTGATCTCTGACGGAAAATATGCGTTGGTGAGCTGTCTCTTGTACTGAGTTCTCGGAGTCGGATGGATCGGTGTAGTCACGAGGGCTACGGAGGTGTGAAGTAGCGCGGAGCTTCCGAAGGGCTTGAGAAAGTTAAAGCATGGCACCATTGAGAGTTTAGTTCTTGTGTTCGGAATCCTATTTGGGGTGTACAGTAAAGAAGATATCTCTAGCTCTCACATTCGTAGTATCTTTAGACATCTACTCGGCTAAAAACCGTAATGCCAATTTAATGGTAGATCACATTAGAAGGGCAATACTCGCCCTTGCTTCGCGACAGCACAAACATAGTTAGCGATTGTTGAGTATAGCGACAGAGCTCGTAGGCACGCTCGCGCCGGGTACCTGAAGAGTGCCAGTAGTGACAATTGTAGACGGAATGTTGAAAATAGTAACACTCAGCGGGATGCGATAAGTCTAATGAAACAGTAGGGGGAGAGATGGGGCATATTGGTAGGAATGCAGTCAAACGCATTCAGGCTTGTGACACTTCATTGACAAGCTCACCCGGTGATGGAGAATGAGGGACCTACGCCTCACCATTTTCACGTTTCCACATGCTTCCCCGGGAAGGTTAGGTGTACGTCGTGCAGACTGTATTGCGGGTGCCAAAGTATAGTAGTACATTGAGTGGTTGGGAAGTGGCTATGGGCCTCAGCTCACCATCGTTTCCTAGAGTAGAGATGTTCCATCACCGTATCAGACTCCAGGTGAGCACGTGTGCGATGAGCTTGATATATATCGAGTCCATATAAACGCCAGGGATTTATATTCTAGTTTTATCCGCGGTCCTCCTGGTATGTCACTGCTGCAGACAAACATCAATCTTCACTGGCCTTGGGAGTGACATCCCGTGACCTTCATCCATCGGACGTAGAATGTCGCCTGTGGGGAATCGATTTTGTATAACGAGAAGGCGTAAGTTCCACAATAGAAGAAGGGAACTACTTTCTCGGCCGCTTCTGCCAGGTAAGCTCCTTGAACTGATCTTTGACCTCGTCTTTGAAGAGATCGAGAGCAGAGGGACCGGTTCCTACACGCCCAATTAGCCCGTATATCAATTGGACAATACAGTGCTGCATATCAAACATACGCCCTAATCCGTTCTCAGGTTCGATGGGTGGCAATTTGTTGATCTTCCGGTAGATCTTTTGCACGGCGCGATTGAATGTCGGGCTACGGATAAGCTGCAGGTGGAGAACATCAGCGATCTCCACCGTCGAGGGGCATTTTGGTAGAAAATGAACATACTTTTGCAGCAGCCCATGTCTACATAAGATGAACAGGTCAGCCCGATCTCCATAGTGAACGCAAGTCTTGGCGGTGGGGACATACCTCGAAGAGCAGGAGCCACGGAGCCCGCATGGTCACGAGAACATTGATTGCTGTTCTGAGCTGTGCTATCGCGAGTCGCGGCCACGTAATGGCAGAAACGCGTAGTGATTATTGCGAGGCAACGAGGCGACGGGGCGATGGTGCAGAGGAAGAGTGCCGGTGGGTGACAGCGGCAGTAGCAGCCGGAGAAGGTCGCATCACCACCACGGCTCGCTGCACACCGACATCATCAACTGGGCATTTCGCTGCGGCTCTGCAACAGCAACCCCCGTCACCCTTCCCAGTCCTTGTATCTAACTTCGCCTATTCTTGAAGCTTCCTCCATAATCTTTTTCAGTTCTGGCCCTTCAACCCCGCCAAGCGCGCCTTTTCCAGAACCTTGGAGGCCCGACGCCTCGACCCGCCTGCGGTCCGCCATCGCGCAATTTCAAGTCCCCCACCGCTAAATTTCCTGCAGCCCCTCCATCGTCAAACGCAAATCCTACGAGCCTGGTTCCCGGAGAGACAAGCAGAACCGTTGTCATGATAGGACCCTGAAGCCCACAAAACACCAAAAACATATCCTTGCACGCCTCGTCCCCAATAGCGCCTGTCCAGCTTGCCCAGGACCAAACCTCTCCACCTCCCACTCTCGCCGTTTCACCACCAGCAACAACTCACACGCAAAGTCCGCTGCTTGCGTGCCCGCCGGTTTGGTTGCGAGCCACAAACTTTATATAGTTGTTGGCCGCATCCAGAGCTATCTTGTGGGCGCCAACCTGAACTCCCAGGCGCTTCCTCGAATCACTGCACGCCACACGAGGCTCGTATCTGCACCCTCGTCCACGGCCTTCATCATTCCTCCCCCAAACGCTCTCGCAGATACTTCACCCCCAGAACTGGCAACTTCAACCGATACCAGCTGGATCTCGTTCAAACTGCATAAACTCCGCGCCCTCAGGCGCAAGGCCAAAGTGAAGGGCGGCGTTATGACTGACACAGAGAACATGTCGTCTGCGCCGCTGGCCGTCCCCGCCTCGCCGTCCTCGTCAAAGCGCTCGAGAAGCAGAGACAGCTCGCGATCCGCAGCCACGTCTGTCAACACGCCCGCCGCAAGCACCCCCTTCCTGACTCCGTCCGCCAGTGCTCCAAGCCTGATCATCCCACAACCCAAGTCCCAGGCGCCGTCCATAGTAGAGCCCTCTCCGCTCGACGCAACCCCATATCCCGCATTTCTGCGATTGACTCGATCAGGCAGGTGAACTCGGCCCTGTATTGCGTTCGGGGGAGTTTTTTTTTTGGCTGACTGAAAGTGTAGAACGGCAGAGCAAGTTCGTCGATCTCGAGTGGGAACAGCGAAGAAGGCTATTATCCGGTAACCAACAGATCGAACCGGACCAAACGTCGCAATGGGCACGATGCGGTGGAGAAGTGGTCACAAATCGCAACCGATATGCAAACGTCGATCCATACTGCAATAACCGGGTCAAGCTGAAGGTTCCTGAGGGCCATAACGACTACATCAATGCTTCCCCGATTGTCCTGGAGGCCACCCAGTCAAAGACGGTGACGAAGTTTATAGCTACACAGGTATCGTTGCACACTACCCTAGATCTAGGGCATCTCTTAATATGTACTTGCAATAGGGTCCCAAAGGCGATAGCTTCTCCCACATCTGGCGCATGATATGGCACGAGACCAAGTCTCCTGCTGTCGTTGTAATGCTCACACAAACCCATGAATCTGGCCGCGAGAAATGCCATCCCTATTACCCGCAATCTCCCTCCTCTCCTACACTTGCTCTTAACCAGAGTGATGAGTTCGAAGACGGCTTCGCCCACATCGTAACCCTTAAAGACCTCACCGTGCATGAAGAAGCGAGCGCGCAGATTCGAGAGCTCGAAATGTCGGATGAAGACGGGAGTGAGACGCGAACGATATGGCATTTCCTATTCGGCGGATGGCCAGACTTCCTTGTACCAGAAGGTTATAATCGCACGGCTTTACTCAACCTCATTAAGCTATCGAGGGAGAAGAACGCCAATAATGCGGAGAATCCCCGCATTGTACATTGTAGCGCGGGTGTGGGTCGAAGTGGAACATTCATCGCGCTGGACTGGTTGCTACAAGAGTTGGAAGAGGGTACGTTGGACAATCTTGAGGACGATGAGGATCCAATCGTTGCAATTGTGGACATGTTGCGTCAACAGCGCATGATGATGGTACAGGGAGAGGCCCAGTTCTCCTTCTTGTACGATGTCATGCGCGAGCGTTGGCGAGACCGGTGGGCGAAGCTGCATCCCGAGGAGGCGGAGAAGCTAGGACTTGGTGCGATCCACGAGCCCAAGCCCAAGAAACCGCGTCCGAGTAAGGAGAGTGAGGTCAGCGAGACAGACGAAGACGAAGACATGCGAGCACAGCTTGAGGCAGAACTTGTGGACAATCAGGCTGACTTCGACAAGGGGAAGACCTGACTCGAATATCTCCTTCCGCCGCCAGTTCCCCCCTACTACGCCGTCATGCACAAGCGTCCTGCCGGCGACAACTTTCGCTCCTCCGGGCTCCATCTCCGAGGTTCCTCCAAGCTCTCTCCCTTCGTCTGGTTACAGTCGAGTTCCCTATGCTTTTCTTGCATGTACATTTCTTCTTCTCCTTGCCTTTGGATTTCGACGGCATCTCGGACTCTTTTCTTTTACTTGTATATCCGCGTTTGGCGTGTTACTTTCATTGCATTTCAGCTGCATGCATGGATGGGATTAGCAATGATTTGGCTGGCTGGCGATGATATCCATGTTGTGGGTTTGGCTGGCTAGGGGTTTGGGAATCCTCGATAGACTTTATACCATCACTGGTGCTACTTCCTGCATTATCATGTTCTTTGCTGAGTGTAGATGTTTTAGGTGTGTGTGCTGGGAGGAGCTTATGCAGTTGAAGGTTTAGTATCTGTAAGGCTCGCAAGACAAGATGGACAATGTATGTCGATGCGTGGGAGCATGGAGAGGACATGTCTGAAGCGTTGAAAAGGCAAAAATACCGACGATTGAGTGATTTGACTTCAACCTGCACAGCTATTTCAGGGAACTCATGAGAGACCTCCGTGGTGACGATATGATTGGCTCGGGGGTCCGTCGCGGGTTGATGGTCCGTGCCTAACATGCAGTTGATAGGCGTCACCATCGGTTCTATCCGTAAGGTTCCTTCATTCCCGCCATGGCAGTGTAAAGTAGAACCCGCGCCTATCCCCTCTTGACCAGCACCGCTCATGATACATAACTGCTACCGCTTCGATGGACGGGACTGGGAACGCTGAGCCCGCAGGCTTGGGAGCCACCCAGGAAACTACTCCGTCTAGCACCCCACTAAAGCGAGATAATATCGAGCAGCAAGACTTTGTAAACCCGACAATTAACATAATACAGAGTCTATCGCGAAGAACGAGCGTGAGTGGACTAAGCGCCATCTCAAGAGAGGGAACACCGCCGCCACTACCGCCGAGACCGAAGACTCTTACCTTCTTAGGTTCCAGGCCAAGTACCTCGCATTCTATGGCGCCGCCCACGAGGCCGCGCATGGTGTCGACAGCGACAACGCAAATCTCGTATACGGACACGCAGGTTTATAATGATGAGTCCATTGAAGAGTCGGCTTCGTCGAGCACTTCGCGAACCAAGAACTACTTTGGGTTGAACATAAGTCGGAATGCGAGTGATATGGACGACAGCGTGAGCGTGAAAAGCTTTGCTCCTACATTAGGGGGAGTTGGCGATGCAGAAAGCATGTTGGGCGAGGTCCTTGGGGATCACGAGAAGTCGCTCCTCAAGTCCTTGGGACATCGTTTTTCTGACAAGGAGTCTGAGAGCCTGTTCCTACCAAATCCCGAGTTGGAGGACGCTTTCGAGCACGAGTTCGACGAGGTCGAGGATATGAAGGCGGATGGGTCAAACGAAGGTCAGGAACTTATCCTGTATGTAGATTGGAAGCTGCTGCTGATGTTGTGTTTAATAGAAGCGGTTATGCTCCAATGGCGCGCCAAGCTAAAACATTTCTTAATTCTCTCGAGTGCCGGAAAGCCCATCTACAGTCGACATGGCGACGACCAATTGATTACGAACTATATCGGGGTTGTGCAGACCATCATTTCTTTCTATCAAGGCGCCAATGATGTCCTACGAAGCTTTACTGCAGGAGATGTCAGATTTGTGGTCATGACAAAGGGCCCCTTGAACCTCGTCGCCATCACTCGTCTCCCAGAGAGCAACGCCCAGCTTCGCGCACAGCTAGATGCTTTGTATATGCAAATCCTCTCGACCCTCACACTCCCTAGCATGGAACGGATGTTCGCAAACCGGGCATCCTACGACCTTCGCCGGCCTCTTCAAGGTACAGAAACGCTTCTCTCTGCTCTCGCAGACGGCTTTACTCGAGGGTCGCCTTCCACGCTTCTCTCCGCAATCGAATGCCTTAAATTACGCAAGTCGTACCGTCATACTATAAACACCACGTTCCTGAAAACTCGCTCTGAGAACTTACTCTACGGCCTCATAGTCGCGTCCGGGAAACTCGTCTCCGTCGTTCGGCCTAAGAAACACAGTCTTCATCCTGGAGATCTCCACTTGATCTTCAACATGCTGTTCGAAGCCGGTTCTGTCAAAGCTGGTGGTGGGGAGAACTGGATCCCGCTCTGTCTACCAGGATTCAACAACACCGGCTACCTATATATGTATGTCAGTTTCCTAGATCTAGAGAACCCGACCGAACAAATCCAAGAGAGACCAAGAAGTCGCGAGGCCGAGGGCGACGAAGTCGCGATTTTATTAATCAGTGCAAGCAAAGAGGGGTTCTTCGAGTTGCGGGGAATGAGAGGTGACCTCGTCGAGGTAAGTTTCCCCCTGTCCTTATTTCTTGTTTTGTTTTTGTTTTTACGCTCGTTCTCGTTCTCGTTCTCGTTATCGTTCTCGATTTCACGAGCAAGATGGATGGAAAGTGGTCTGCGGGTTATCTCCGACTCTCCGCCCCGAAGCGGATGCAGCCTCACGATATGTCCGTGCAAGCAGACGCGGCCTGCGAAAGAAGCCGTGTCACCGATCCCCCGATTCCATCCCATGCCAAGCCATCCTCTTATTTCCCTCATGACCAGCCACGCGCAACCAGCACGCAAACAGGTTAGTGTTGCACACACTGACACAATAGACAGCAATTGCAAAAGAACGGGTCGATTGATCGAATACGAACAGCGGTTAAGCAGGGTCGGCCGAGCTGCACTGATATCGTGCCTGGGAGCCCGTTGCGCCATTTCTTGTATAAGTCACGAGGGAACGTGCAGTTCACAATGCCTGGGTTTGATGCTTATTTCAAGTCTCCTATAGAGCGTCGGCGGTATGTGGATTTCCTTTTTCCCCGAACCGACACATATGAAGCCATGTCATGTCATATCATATCGTGAGACCAAATGGGATGGTCTAGCCCCGGCCTCGCTTGCATGAGCTCCAGGATTATGGATAGGTATAAGTATGGGTATCGGCGATTTCGATCATCCCATCTCATCCTCCCTCAATGGCAATGGGGATTCGCACGGTTTCCGATGCCGAATCCAATGGCTAACGTCTATGTGACAGGCTGATGGATTTGTATCACCAGTTACATGCACACCTGCATACGAAACCCACACATTTGAAAATCTTACATGAAACTTGTACCATGAACATTAGCCTCGCATGGTCGACACCCTTGTTTGAATTGTATGCCGTAGCGCCGAATTCGACGTCTAGAGCCGCGTTGGCGCAGGCGGCGAATAAAATTATTCAGTGGGTGAGAAAGGAGGAGGAGAGGGTATTTATTATTGGAGGTGCGGTGTTTTGAGGAAGCGGGGTGGAAAGGAGTGGTATAGAGTATGATATAGATAAGAGAGGATAGGAAGAGGTAGCGAGCGTAGAGGTGTGCATATGATTGTCAGCAACAAGATACCCAAGAGAAAGAGTTATCATCGCATTCATCAGACATACCTATCTTGGAAGCTCAAGATTCGAGCAATATTTCACTACTCCTTGGGTCGTCTTGTACTTCTGGCAAGATGCTTAAAGACTCTGGAGTATTGGTAAGCTACATTATAAGAGCCTTTAGTGTATTGCGGATTTGTATAAAGCGCCCATTGCTCTTGCTTTTTATATTCCCTAGAGGAATACATCGACCCGCAGGCTTTATACATGGTACACTTTCAAGCTTCCATTCTACCAGCTTGAGATGTTATTAGCCACCTCTCTGCCCGGCTTTGAGGCTTTGTAAGCCCCCACACTCTGCATCAGGTCTTTGTGAGGCCGTACCGCTAATCCTGATACTGACTTAAGCCTCTATCATGGCATCCTATGGTACCCTGTTTCCTTTCTGTGAAGCACTAGCAAGCTGCAGGCACTCTGATAATATTGGTAATAAGTGACCCGCAAGTCCTTTAACTATTTTTGACGTTGCAACTTTACTCTTGACTTAAGACACATGCCTAGGAAAGATGTAAGGTAGAGAGCACCTTGTGTTATTTGCAGTGCCTTTACTAATATTGCTTAGGTCTTATTCCCTTTAAGCATTGTGTTACCAAGCGTCATTTTAGCTTACTTCTAATGTCTAAACCCACTGAAAAGGACCTAAGTAGAGTCTTAGGAGTGCGTATATACTGGGAATAGCTTGTCCGCATAATATGCCTGTTTATTTTTCCTCTCACCTCTTAAAATTCTCTATTATCCTATTTCTTAGATGCATCTTATAGTGAATCTCCAGTACGTCTTCTCCTGTTCTAACAGCACAAATATACCGCTTTAACTTCTCGTTCTCAAAAGTATAAATACAAATCCAGCCTAGCTAGCATTTTATTTACATTTTTATACTAAGCAGACCCTTTAGATTATATCCTATTCCAAGCATATCCTACCCCCCTATTTCCTATGGGATTCTTCTAGAAAATCTCCTTTCCTTACTCTCCTGTTAAAATACCCTGCACTGTCTTAGACTCCCTTTCACGGGAGTCTACACACAAAGCACAGCGAGCCAGCATTACAAGCATACCTTTGCTATTAGGCACATCTTCAATTTTTCTGTTTGTTTCAAATATGCTCTAATATCCTATTTTCTTAGACCTTTTTCTAGAAAGCTTCGGGTACCTATTTCCTTTCTCTAATACTATAGTTATGCTTTATTTGCTTCCTCTTCGCAGCAATCTGCAAAGAATTCTAGGTTAGCCAGCATCACACACACGTCGACTCAGTCAAGCATATCTGTCAAAATTCTTCATTGTCATCTCTCGCTCTTATTATCTACTTAAAACTCTCCCTTTATCCCTCCTCCCACCTTATCCCTAACCCGCTCCCTCATAACGGCTCATCCCCAATAAACCCCCTAAGCCCCTCGTCAACAAAGACATCGTACTCACACTTCCTAGCCCAACCCTCGCTTTCCCCCTCCCTCCCTTCATCCCGACTCCTCCTCGCCTCCATACTCTCCCGCACATGATACAAAAATAGCTCTGCACTTGAGCTGGTGCTAGAGCTAGAGCAGGTGGATTCTTGACGGACTTGGCCATCCGACTGACCTTCCCGTAACAACCGGTCGCGTTCTTCAAGGGAGCGGGTGCGGTGGGCGAGTTTTTGCGACTTGTAGTCGGCGTCGGTGACAATCTCTGTGTTTGCGCCGAAGTACATTGATCCAAGTGATGGACGCGGCGATGCATGCTCACCAGAATCGATAATCTCAATAGTTCCAGGACTCGGAAGGCCGGGCGAGAGAATATTAACACCTATCATAGGCGTCCTAAGCTCCGGCTCTGAGACACTCGAGAAAGTCACCAAGGTCCCTGGATGGGCTTTGAAGACAGCATGAGTGAGAGAGATGTCTGAGGACGCGGAACCTAGATCACGGTCGCGGATACTGTGGTCTGGCAGGGGGCCGTGGAAGGGGAAGCCTGGGTCGATGGTCTTGTCATTCACTTTCTTTCCGTGCGGGCATGGGTCAGGGTCATGGAGATGGAGGCCCAGCCTAAATGTCTTTGTCTTACTTTCACCATCGCTGTCAACAGTAGCAGTAGTAGACTTCGGGCTATCAGTCGTGGTAGGCGAAACAGGTGGACTCAAGGCTTCATCGTCATCGTCATCACCATCCCCAAGTCCAGAACCAGATCCTATGGTCGAAATGGCACCAGTCGAAGTGTTCATATCCTCCGGCGGGATGTGATCTTCTTGGGACGGATGCCGGTGCCCAGAGAGAGAAAAGGAGAGGCGGAAGGGGTATTTACCGAAAAGATTGGATACTTTGCGTCGCTTTGCAAGTGGAATCGGGTGTGAAGGGGGTAGGGAGAGCGAGGGTGGGGACTCCAGGTCCATGGCTATGGTCATTGCTTCGGGAATCGGTTTGGTGTAGAAAGAGAGCTGCGACGGAATACGTGCTAAAGAGATCGAGCTGGAAACTGGAGGTTGCGGTTGTGGCCGCTGTCGAGGATGAGAGATCACTTCCTCCATTCCGTGGCCAGACGAACTTATATCCAGGACAGTGGCGTATTCAGAGCTATTCTGAGAATATAAAGAGCGGTGGTATTGTGGGTGTAGTCGAGAATAAGATATCAGACGCCCTCCTTTCCGTGGCCAGACGGCTTTATACTCAAACCACAGGCGTATTCAGGATTAATATGATAATAATAAGGGCGTTGATATTGTGGACTCCCGGCTAGGGTTACAATCAACGATATTTCGCTTCCAGATGGCGATAGTGAAAGGGAGTTGGAGGAAGCTGGAGTGAATGTGGCGGTGAGCGTGATGGGCTGTGTTGGTGTTTGTGGGAGCGTTGTGTAGGTTGGAGTTAGAGTTGGGATTGGGGTTGTCACAAGATCGTGGCCGAACGAGCTGGTTGAGATGGATTATCTGCTAGGTGGTGGGTTTGTGGTCGGACAGTGTGGATTAGTTCGACCTTTGGGCGCGAAGATTGCGGTTAATGGGAATGAAAACAAGGGTAATGATTTCACGAATACTGGGGGCAGGCTCGCCCAGGAAAAGACACAATACTGGACCACAAGAAAAGCTTCAAGATTGTTAAGAGCAGTATCTCATTCCGAAGACGAGGGCGAAACCCCCTGCTATATCTCCTCCCCTTCACCACCCAGTCTGCGCCACCTTCGCCCACCCCCGAACCTCAACCCTAAAGCTAAATTCAATAAACTAGCCCAACCAACCAAACCACACCTCTCAGCCCATCACCTACGCAATCCATCCCCCAACCCACTCTCGCACCCACCACGTGCCCTCCGGACCTCGTTCCTGACCCAGCAGCCTGTCGATCTAGATCCACCGAACCAAGCATACATCTCCCAAGCCCTCCCAACCCCCCTTCAATGGCCTTGTCCACATTCCCTCTAATGCCTATCCTTTCCAATCCCGCAATCATGAGATTCCCCCGCACCAACCCTAACGCCCTTGATTACGCCGCCAGAATATCTCCGCGAACCAGGATGCGGCTGATGACGCCGCTCCCGCACGTAACGGACCGCTAGCACGGCGGGAATCTTGGTCCATGCTAATGGAAATGTGATCATTAGTTCGGAGATCCCGAGTTGGGGGTTAGACGGCGAGGTGACTGCTTGGATAGGCGATGAGGTAGCCATGGGACAATTGGCGAGATGGCTGTCACTGGACAGCCAGTCGGAGGGCCGTGATGGGTTGTCTATGCTATTGGAAGGGTGGTTCGTCCGGCATTGAGAACGTCATGTTTTACATCATAGCTAAGATATTTAGATAATGGACTTATTTAGAAGAGTACAATACCAGTGTTTTGCCTTGGAGATCGAGACAGTTTGAAATGGGGCTTCAGATAGGTGCATGTGCATGTGATGCATCTGGAGCTCATGGAATGAAGCCGCAGATATTGAAGAACTGACATATTCGGCCCTCCCCACATACTGAACTTGCCTGCTTTGCTCCCTTCATGAGTCCAGCCACACATCCGGCAATATCTCTCCAAACTAAACCAAACCAATCTAGTCTCCCTCCCGCAGCAGTCGTATGTGTTCGACTGCTCCTTTCACACAAGTGACAGATGCTGCGTTGCCCCCATTCCACCAGCAGTGTGCAGAAACTCGCGTTTCTCTACCCTATCCGTAAACTTGGGGGAGGAACAGAAGCGATTGCCTTGATCATGCAGCTGAAAGGTCGGCTAGTCGATGACCTGGATTTGAGTGCAGTCTCGCGACCCAGTGGCCAGCGAAGATTAGGGGTTTGGAATCTGAGGTCTACAGTCATACCTACGGACGATAATCTCACCTGGGCAAGCTCTCGTCTTCCTAGGTGTGAAAGTAAGAACAGTGATCGGCTTGAAGTGTGAAGAAAGGCCGAGAGGCATCCAAGGACTAAGGGCTTATCCCAACAGGTAACGAGGAGGTAAATGGAGATGGTGTGAGCTGAGGAGGGGGAATGTCGTCTAAACTAGCGTCATCTTTCCAGAGGTTGTTGTGGTTGCCAGTGTCGCCCCTGGGTGTTTCGCACCTTCAACACCTCGTGTAGGTCTATCACAATAAATAGGTATCTAAGGAAGTTGCCACTTGTAGTAGTAGCCCATACTGCGCGTAGGCAAGCATACGCAGCGTTCACGTCTTTTATAATCTGGATCCCAAGTTAACTTGAAGACTCAATCGTATAGTTATATACTCATAAATGCTGGGTGCCGAAGATTATTGTGGGGCCAAAGTCGCTAAGAATCGTGCAGGAAACCACCATGCCACCCGGAGTCCAGCTAGCTGCACAATGTTTACCTCCCACATTACATCACCACATCACAACAAAAGTGAAGTCACTATCGAGAAACATAATTCTAAATATGCTCTCTGATCATCTGTCAAACTATCGTACATATACTTGAATAGCCGTAGCCTCAAGGGACAAATCCATATAGGATTAAGCAAAACACCATATAAGATAGCATACAAGTCCCCCAGACCATCCAGCACCTAGCCGTTACCCAGCCTAGTACAAAGGAATCCCGAGTGAATCTATCAACCGAATGACAGAAAAGACCGAGCCAGTATTGTCGAGAGTGAAACAGGTTTTGTGAAGAAGCCGGATCTGGATACAAGGGAAGACGGAAAATGCCAGCTGCGTGGAAGCTGCCGCGGTATGGGCAGGAAGAATTCGCACAGCTTACTCGCAACCCAGTGAAGAAATCCAGAACAAGAGGCTGAGTGATGTGGAAAGTCCGTATCGAATCGAGTATAACCGGGGGTGAGGAAAGCTATGAACCAGGTAAGGGAAATCATGATGGGGTATAGCAAACAAGGGCAGTATAGTGCCGTCCGATGTGAAAAGGGAATAACTTTTTCGGAAAGCACGACGGAATCCTTCGGTGAACTTCAGGCTATGTGCTCTTTGATAGACCTCAGACCATGTGCTCTTCGATAAGACTCGGACCGTGTGTTGAACCGGGGATGAAACTCGGACCTAGTGACGAAAACTGAGCTGAAAGATCCAGAAACTGCAGGTGGGGAAACGTCGAATCGTGATTAGGGCATTAGGGGAAGAAACACATTGTGATGTCGTCCAATAGGGAAATGGACGCGATATCCATGCTTATTTGAGCACTGCTGTTCGCCATCCAAACCCGCACCGTCTCGACAGAAAACCGATAGCGAAAAATCCAGGAACAGGGAAGGAAGCTCGTTGTGTGGAATTAGTGCAAGAAAGTTCGAAGTCGGAATAGGGAGCTAGCGAGACTCTGCATGCTGCTGAGCATCTCCCCCTTGTCATTTATCTTTGAGAAGTCAGAAACCGGTACGATCAGTGATAGTCGCGGGCGGAATACCCCGAAATTTGTTGCAGAGCTCGAAAAAGAAGTAGCGAAGTCGGTTTCGCTTCATTTGCATGTTTGTCGCATGTTGCTCCTGAAGACCCATACTGATCGCTTCTAGTTCTTCGGCGGGATACGGTGTGACCACAGCTGGCATTGATTGATTAGCTAGTAGCCGGTAACCGCGCGATCGTCTAGGTAAGCGTAGCGACGACCGTCGAGGTCTCGACGGTCAGTGACTGAAGTACCTTCGACCTCTGGATACTGAGTCTGTGGTTGGCGCTTGCGTCGAGAGACTGTACGGAAGACCTCGACGCAGTATTCCGTAGACTTATGCCAAAGCTTCCGCACTTTCTCGGCGAAAGAACGGCGTTGGAATTGTCGCGGAGTCATACCACTCGCACCACGATATGTCTGGCGACGAGTAGTGAAAGCCTCAGCCTCAGTGGCTGGGTCTTGCAGAGAGGAGGATGTATAGCTCGCAAGGTTGTCGTCAGGGCGAGAAGACTGGCCCAGACGCGACTTCAAGGCTGCAAACTTGCGTTTGCGAGAAGTAGGTGGCGGCTCTTCCTCGGAATCGTCAGAGAAGTGCGATTGGGCGTCGGGATCAATGTGAAGGCGATGAGGGGGTGTTGGTGGTTGTGTCGGGTAGCGCTCGCCGGCTTCATGTTGTTGATCTACATGTCGCACGTGACGGGGACCCACAGGGTGGCCACTGGCGTCGAAGCCCGACACTAGAGCATTAACTGGCCGCTTGCTCGACGAGAAGAAACTCATTCGGCGACTCTGTCGGCGCGCATGCATGTAAGGATCGTCTGAACCGGGCACTGTCATCTTGTCTGATGCCGGGGATGTCGGCTGCTGGTCAAAGGGTACAGTAGTGTTATCAGAGGAGTGTGAGGGGCGAGTGCGCAGAGGAGAGCAGCCTGGGCGCGGCGAGTGCTTGATAATGGTCGGCGCGGGCAGAGAGATATCGATATAAGGTATCGCTGCCGCCCACGGGTAATTCTTGTCGCTATTCCACGGGCGTGTCTCTGTAGCAGTTGGTGTACTCCCTAGGGATCGCAGTGACCTCCTCGTCGAGATTCGAGACTCGAGGGAAGGTCGGAGATCCTGGTGGCCAAGAGATAGGGAGCGAGTGCGCAGAACGACGGCGGATGGGGCTTCAAGTTCTGCTAAAGGGGTTCTCTCACGTGCCCCCGCGTCGAGTGTGCTGTTGGTTTTCGCGGTGACAGATTCACCAGCACCCTCTTCGGCCTCCTCATTAACATGAGCAACAACCTTACTATTTTCTGTCTCCTTCCCGGTCAGTTCTTCATACAGGCCATCAGCAACCACAACTAAGTTCGGAGACCCTGGCATGGGCCGCAATCGAGCAGAAGATCGCTTAGGAGCAGGCCCGCCGACTTCATTGAGCTCTTCCAGCGCATGCTCCATGATCTCCTCCTCCGCAACAAACTCCTCCTTGTCGCCGAACTTGAGGAATTCCTTGAGCGACGGTAGGAACTCAGATAGCCGTTGTGTGAGGCCACCGACAGACGGAATCGTCAGCCGGTCAATCTCCGCCATAAGCTGTTCGGGGGAGTATGGCCGCTTCAGAGGCATCATATCGAGAATAGAGCTAGTTTGGTTTCCCCCCCCGGCCTTCTCAAGCTCATCTAGGCTAGCAAAGAAGCTCCTATATTTCTCGCGAATCTCTCCAGCCGACGACGGTCGCAATGGGCTCGGACGCGCTAATTCGGGAAGATTCTCCGGACGGCCGTCCAACGACCTTGAAGAACGCATGTCAAGAGCTTCGTTCAGCTTAGCAATCAGGTCCATGCGACTGAAGTTCATTGAAGGGAGACCACGCGATTGAGCCAAGCCACTGTTTCGCGGGGACTTCTCAGGCGGTTTCTTCCCAAACGTAACGACTTCATCACCAGATACCCTCACACTAGGTTGGTGGCCGAGGGGGAACCTAAAGTTGGAGTGCTTTAGATTGCTGGCGCTAGTATTGATACTCGAATCCTCGTGAGACTCCTCCTTGAGGTCAGGAAGATAATTCAGCGGATACCGGTACGCGGATAACCTTAGATCTGTGGTCGTTTCCTCTTGGCTATTGCCCTGATTGGATCGAAACTCGGGGGTATTCGCATTGGCATGGCTTAAAGACTTGCGGCCGTGCCAGACTAAATGAGTGGTGCTCTGGCTGTTGCGATGACCCTGTACCGGGGAGTTCGACAATATACCTGGCGACGACTTTGCACGAGACTTGGAAGAATTGACCTCATCAGGCGAGCATATGGATGATGGCTCGGGAAGGACTGGAGACGGTGTGCTCAATGCGTGCTGGTGCACAACGTGGACACTGGGCATGTCCAAGCTCTTTGCGGGGGTAACCCTTGACACAAGATCCTCCTTTTCTGGGTTTGAAGCAGGAGTCTGACGCTTTGACTCCGTTTCTTGGATAGTGATTTTCTTCTCTGGGGTCGCCGCAGCCTCAGCGGGTATGATTGTAGGAGCAGCCTTGGTGGTGACATCATGATGTTCCTGCTGGGATGACGCCGGCTTTTCCGTGTTGTTGAGAGTATCTGCTGGACCAACACCCTCATCTTTGGCTACTTTCCTTCCAAAGCCAGCATGGGCCCTAGAGAACTTGCGAGGACGAGATAGACGCACCAAGAAGTCTGCAACAGCTTGAGTACGTTGGGCTTCCTTCGATGAGCTTGACTCTCGGGGAGGAACGGAAGGAGGCTGCTGCACGGGGCTATCGGCTGAAGAAGATATCGATGCAACCATAGAGCCCTGTCTCGAGCCATGCCTCGAGCTAAGCTTCGAATTTGCACGTAGTCTAGAGTGAGCTTTGGAAAAGCTTGATTCACGGGGGGGCACTGAAGGCTGCTTGCGCACTACGGTGGGAGGCGACGACAGTGGTATCTCAGACACAGGCCTATTCGCCTTCGGGTCCGATTTCGCTAGGCCCATTGAAGGCAAACTTGACGCGGACATGGACACAGCGCGTTCAGGGGTGACCATATCCTTGCATGTCTTGAAAGATCTCGCGTCTGCTTCCTTATATGGTTCCTCGGGCAAATCAGTGCAGGACTTGAAGGACTGTTCGTCAGAAGACTTGGGAGTGTGATTGCTCTTCTTCTCAGCAGGTTCGTCTCCTATGGATCCCATCTCCACGAGCTCGGCTTCCTGTTTGGACTCAGTGTGCTGGTATCCATCCAACAGGTCTGACATCCCATCCTCTGTCCCGGTAACCATTGGAATCGAATACTGGACTGCGAAGTCAAGGGTCGAAGAATCGACGACACTCATCGTCGACCTATGGGATGCATCTTGAGACAAGACACTAATACGCTTTCCATTATTTCCTTCTTTTTTAGCGGAAGCTATTGACGCGTCTTCCAGGACCAGGCCACCCTCACCCTGGCTATCCACTTTAGCGGCCGGTTCACTAGATTCATTTTTTTGGCTTTGCAATGCCGCCGCTGACGAATCTGCAACTTCAGTAGTTGAGGATGGCTCCAAGGCTGCCAGTACCATATCTCGTGTGATTCGGCGAGCAACGGGAGATGCGGGCAGCTCCGCAATACCTATGGCCTCTGCTGCAGGAAGCTCAACAACCTCTTCGACGACTGGGGCGTCAACCTTCTTTTGTGGAGTTTCGGCGGTCCCTCGCTCTTCAAGAATGGTCTTTATCCGATAGACGAAGCCCGTGGGAACTGTTTCTGCCTCCGGTTCAGAGTATGGCTCAGGCTCAAACTGCTCACTGCCGTCGTAGTACAGGGGGCCAGTTGTCGCTTCCGCTTTCCTGTGTCCTGACATCTTACCTACCAATGCTTGGGTGCCGGTTGGACTGACTAAGACCTCCATCGATGTGCCGTCTTTCGGTGTTGGTGGAGAAGGTGCGTCGGAGGATGGAGCGTCTGAATCGGTTGGCTGGTTCGTGGAGCGACTTGAGATAGATGCCTTCGCAGGAGTATGAGCCATACGTGCCTGCTCGACAAGAGCGTGATGATGAAGAGGTGGAACAGGGGGGATGTCAGGGTGTGGACCGCTGAAATATGCCGGGGATCTATTGCGATATGGATGACCATGCATCGGAACCCTGTCTTCGCGATGGACTGATGAGCCTGACGGGTTGCGGAGCCTTGAATGCATCGAATGTCCTGACTGACCATGGGAGCGTCTCGGTCGGGTGCCGGAAACATCACTGAATGCTGGCGAGGCTGGCCGATACACAGGACGCCGGAGTCGGGCTGGGTAGTGGTACGGGGAGCGCGGACGCTGGACTTGCTCATGAGCCCTAAGGCTCGCGAGCGATCGATTGGAGGACAATCTGAACGCTGGCTGGCTGGTGTGGGTCATTGACTGGGACCTCCCGTTTCCGTCTCGCGAGTTTCGTGATCGAGGGATGAGCGGCGAAGAGCCAGGAAGGTTCATGAGGGTTGGAGACAAAGTATCAGGGACAAACTGCGGGACATTGTCTCGCGTTAATGACCGCCGCGTAGTAGGAGGTGCAGAGGGCCATGCTTGGTGGTGGCTCGACGGCCGCTTTGACGAATTCGAGTGTGAGGAGCCTGCTGACATCCTTGATGATGCACCACTTCGGCGGGGAGGAGCGCGAGGGATGCCCGGGAGCTGAGTAGAGTCGTAACTGCTGAAGCCTCCGATGTCTCCAAGCTCGGTTGAGGTTCGCAGCATACTCATGACGCCCGTAGAGGAGAGCAGATCAGAGCGGCCGCCAGCTCCAGGACCAGGACCAGGACCCTTGGGCAAGCCCCTCGAGCATGTTGACATGTTCGACGTTCGGCTAGTGCGTCCGCTGGCATTCGGATCCAGATCTCCGAGAGGCATTCTGCCGCCTCAGGCAGGAGTGGCAGTCGTGGTTTAGCGGTTGGGGTACGGAGGAAGAGTGGTGTGGAAAGGATGAGAGTGTTGTGGTGATAGTCAAAGGACAAGCGCCAACAAACCAAAGGAGAGGAAATGCCAGACCAAAAGATACTGTCGACTTTCCAAAACGAGCGACAGGACAGCGATGCAAGCTCGACTTCCTCTGTTTTGAGAATACTGAGGATAAGGGCGAGATGCGAAGGAGAGAGAAGAGGGGGACAAGCCTGACGCGAGACGTCGGTGTGAAAAGGTGCCAACGGCCTCGCACCTCCCTCTACACCGACACACAGGAAAGCGCTTTACGACCAGCTAAAGGAATGAGCAAGAGCACGCGGTACAGAGAGACTCTCATCGAAGCCACGAGACAAAGGAAGCCAGCGGCATCTCAGGCCCAAGAGATTGTCTACCTAGATGCAGTATCCAGATCTCTAAGCCTAGGAAATCACCGACAAGAGACCTACCAGCCTTTGCACCTTCCTCTCAAACCACTCAACCCCAAGAAACTCCAGAGAACCTACAAGCAATCGACCTTTGCATTCGACACTCCCATTGTCACCACAGGTAGCCTACAGCCCACAGCTTTGCACCTCAAAACCAGGATTGTCATTATCAGCTCATCGTCACCACATTATTCAAAGAAAAGATCGGATATTGTACAAAAATTGGGTAAAGTACCCCAGGCTTGTAGATGCAAATGCATCCAAGCAAACAGCAACGCCGGGCAAAGGGGTATATAATGGGACGAATGGCTAAATGCCCGCTGAAAACAGAAACCGGATTACTCTGCAATTGTATCTACGGAGCTCTGCTTCTTTTTACTGAACAGTCTCTTGAGCGATGAGAGGGACGACTTCTTTAGGAGACGCCGCGACGAGGAATTATGGTTGTCAAGAGATGACTGGGAGCGCTGTACAGGATAATATGCCGGTTGGTCGGGCATCTTCGGCGTTGAAAATGCAGGAGACATGGCACCGTGGCGTCCGGATATAGAGTGCTTAGGGGTACCAGGGGAACTGCTGGGGAATAGTCCAAACTGGGCGCGCGGATACGAAGATTGAGACGAAGCTGAGCGAGGTTGTACTACCATGGGAGACGCAAATGACCCACCAGACACCGACGAGTACGCAGAATCTTTTCCCGTCAACGGCGGACTGCCATCTCCTTTTACTCCTCTCACTTCGATTCGCTTTGGAACTATCGTGTCGCTCGTATCACTATCTGAATGCAAAGGATATTGCGGCCGTTTCCCTTTGTTAGCTCTCGACAGGTCCGGATCATCACGTGTATCTGTCTCTACATCTGCGTCATGGCCAGATGAAGAGCTGTCTTGATAGAATTCAGTGTCCTTCACGTCACCCTCTCGCTGTTTCTCGGATTCAGGTGGACGAGGGCGCTTTTCAGGAGCGACAGTTGATGACGATTCGGTGTCGCGCCGCTTTAAAGACTCGTCTGAGTCTGAATTTGCAACAATCCTAACTTGACTTGTTGCACTGGGTACCGCTCGATTGCTGGGACGTCTTTTAATCGCGCCATCATCACCAGAACCCGCCTCACTATTTGCCAACGGAGATGTCATGAAGGGTGGTCTCTCATTTGGCACCATAGGCAGCGGCTTATTCTCTGAAAAGCTGCGGAAGGACCGTGCCGTGTCTCGCGAGTTTGAGTTTCGCGATGAAGATCGGCTTGCAATCTTAGCGCATCGTGTGTCAGTAAAAAAAGTCATGGTGAAACAATGAGGGGAGAGTGGCTGCAGATCAACAGCGGAAAAGGGGTTCTTACCAGAGAACGTCGACTAGCAGCTCCACAACGTTTCTCGATTTCATTGCAGTAGCTGCTGACCTGCACAAGCACGACCCCAAGTTTTTCTGATTTGGCAACGAGGCTTTGGAGAAATTGAGCCCAGCCAGCAGTGTTGCCGCACATGGCTGAGTAAATCCGTCCAACATCATCGTTGTCTTCTGCCCACGCGTCCCCAAGGTTGCTAAGATATATGTGCAAATCCTGGTTCGCGTCCCGAAACGTACTCATGTCGATGAGGTAGTCATTGAGCAGCTCTGACATGCGATTGATGGTCCGTTCGATCGTGACATTGCCGTCCAGAAGCTGTGCTCGATACATGCGGTCGTCGAGCAGGCGGTCGAACTCGTTGACATGCTCCATGGGCACCTTCAAACATTTCCGACGAAATAACATGTCCCTCAGGCTGCCCTCAACATCCTCGTTGGCCCGCTGTAGAAAGCTGTCGAGCTCGTTGACGTGCTTTAACAAGATATCGGCAACGTCTGCGACGGACTTCTCTAGGTGTTGGTGGAGGAGATGTACGCCGAAGACGATTTGCGCAATAGTCTTGAGCAGCGGGTGGTATTTTCCTTTCGGATGGTTTCTCCAATGGCAATTGTATGTGAAATTCCACTCCAGGTCAACCGCCTCAACGTCTCTGCAGAGCAGTTGTTGGCGCTGCTCAATGGTCTTGTTGGGGTTCTGGAAAGGTGCGTAGCCAGTCTCCCCCGTTGCGTCAAGCATGGACTCTTCGAAGGGTGCCTGCATGGAAGGCAGGGGGTGAATAGGGAACGTCATGATGTACTTGTCGCGCTCAGCGTTCCATTCGAAGGGGTTCGAGTTATGCGTCTGTTCGTGGCTTCGGCGTGCTTCCCGTGAGTGCCTGTGTCGAAAGGGTACCATAACGATTCAACACCAGCCCCAGCCTCAAACCAGCTATTAACTCTGCGAGCGCTGGCTACCGGACGCCGAAGGACAGGCTTCGCCTGCTTTCGGTGTATCGTGCAACGGACACGGGCTCGAGACTAGGCTATGGATCGGAGGGAAGGTAAGGGCTGTGCATAAGCTGGCACAATGGTCGAGTAGGAAGCCAAAAGAACGACAGCGGAAGGGACGTCCAGCCGATTAGGGCGAACTCAGTAGCAAAAGGACTGGACGAGACCACCAACGGCCAGCATGCTGCTGCGAGGGGATGGCAGCGGAGGTGCGTGAGGTGGAGAGAGTCGGGCCGTCGACTTTCGACTTCGCCCGTTAGAAGACTGCGAGGAAGGGCAAGCGTGAGGGCTCAGGGCTTGGTCTGCTGCAGGCTTTGGCAGCAGGAGTCAGCCCGCGACCAGGCGCGATCTTCCAGCTGCAGCTCAGCGAACTGGGGTGCTGGGGAATTTTCTGAGGCCAGGAGGACTGCGGCCTGTGGTTGGACAAGCGCTCCCGACCGCTGCACGGCACACGGGGAGACGCTCATCACACGGTTTAGCCTCCGAGACGGAGCAGGGCCGCCTGCCACATTGCGGGAGCGAAACGAAAGCGCTCCACCACAAAAAACATCGCGACGACAGCTTGGGTGCCATTAAGTAGCTTCACGCTTCCGCGCTGCGCTTCTCTCACTCGCCCCTGCCTGCGCTCCCTCACCCACCGACTGCTAGGGAAACTGTGAACCACCACCCACGCCAATTGCGACCCACATGCACTGCACAACTGAATCGCGCACCAACTCTGCAGTATCGACCTCGGGAGAATGCAGTCCCCGCCAGCCCCGACCAACAACGAAACGCCCATGTCAACGCCGTTCCAGTCCGCCGAAGACCAGTCGCTGTCACCCACTGCAGGCTTGGACAGCGACATTGACCCTCTTGTTATAAAGACTGCAAAGAAGCTTGCCGACGTGATTAACGACTTAAAGCGCGAGCTTGACGGGCGCGACGGTACCTGTGCTGATGTGCGCGGCACCTTTAAGCTCTCCCTGGACTCTGATTTCTCGCACACATATGAGCTCTCAATTGCGCAGGACGAAGACGGCGTCGAGTATCCCATCACAATCCATGCAAAGCACCAGAAGGTGAAGACTGGAGCAAGTGGCCAAGTCGGTGTCCACCGCAACTTCATCACTCCCTTAATTGCAGCTGCCTCATCATCTTCCGGGTACGTGCCCGCAAGGCGCGTGTCGGATGCAGAACTCGAGAAAGATATTGTGTCGAGGCGTAAGAGGAAGCTAGATGAGGACGAGGACACGTCGCGAAAGCGGCCCCGCACCGGCGACGAAGAAGACGTCATGCCTCTAATTACGAAAGATGACTTGGAAGATATCCTATCAAGATTACGGGACGACATCCAGGAAGACACCTCCGAGTGCGTCAACCACGTGCAAAAACTCCTCCGACGGTTCAAGGAGGAATGGCACGAAAAGAGCAAATGGGATTACGAACAGGTGTCAATGCGCCAAACCAGGAGTCTCTTTCGAGATTCAATCGCCAATGGGGCAACACCATCTGGCGCATTTCCATCACCAAGCATTGACAAGGACGATTCCAATACCTCTCTACTTGATATGGTTCGCCAAGAAACGAGGCTCCTGTCGAGCCAGATTCGATGGGTTGAGGAGTGTCGGAGGGTCGCTGCAGAAGTCTATGACAAGCGAGAAGAAACATGGCGAACGACTTCTGCAGGATTCCACGACCGGAACCGCGTCGACCGCGAGAGCTTCCAAAACAGTGTGCTTCAGGAGTCGGTAATGCACGGTCGCATACTCACTCAAATATTAAATGAAGTCAAAGCGTTGGGTCATGTTACGATGAGCTTGAAATGGGAGACACCGGACCACATGTCGACTCAACCGACGTATCCTCCAGCGCCAACTGTCCCAGCGTTCTCGACCCAGCCAGCTCCAACGCCGCGAAGTGAGGGCCCTGTCACAGGACCAAGCAAGCGATGACAGCGATCATGAACACCTCGGCCTCTGAATCCCGTAGTAGCGATTATGTTAATCATATAACGCTACTTCATTATCCTCTACCTTTCTTCCATTATCCCTAAAAGTGTCTTACTCAGCTCTATTCATCATAAACGGCTGTTACGACAACTCCTTATGTCTATCCCCAATTCCAGCGCTCAGTCCTGAAGGCATTCTTTCCCGCATCTACCATCCACGCCACCGGACCCAGATATCCACGATTTCATTTACGTTCCGATTTGAATCTACGACTAAATACCACCCGAAGCCAGCACTAGCGACGCAAGCATGATTTGGCCAAATCAGCAACTTATCGCCAATTTTCAGGGGCATCATCTGATCCTTTGGGCCTTGCCACACAAGAATTCCATGCTCTTGGCTGATTCTTCCAACCATCCACCCAGTCTTATTTCCCTGTGCATCATATATCCTCCCATTACCGCTATTCCCCAGATCGCCAGTAACAACACCCCACCCAGGATAGCTCTTGCATGGTTCTCTCCCGAGCGCGAGCGATCCAGCCGATACTAAAGCTTCCGGTTGTTCTCTTTCATCATATACACTTGTCACCTCAACCAACATCTTCAACCCAATATTATTCATACACAATGACTCAAATCCAGGCTGGGACTGTCCTACCGATGGGCGCGCCCGCGTAGCGATTTGCTGCAAGTCGAGCAGTGGGTAGACACCGGCATGGAATTCGACATGGTGCTTCTGCTTCAGCTTCTCGATCACGGTCTTTAACTCTTCCGCCGCTGGAATCACGCTTGACACAAGCAGGTTCTGTACGGCAGTCGTAGTAGGCGTTGCCCCAACACTCAACGTCAATTTGGAAACGGAATTTGTCGGCACAGCTTTCGTTGCTTCCTCTAGCCCATTCAGTTCTTCCAACAACCCATTTGCAGCGTCCTCCTCCGAGGAACCGGCATAACTATGTCCAAAGTGCGAATAAAAACCCCGGAAGTCTTCCCCATAGCTGTCGACCACCAGTTTGACAAGGTCTTTAAATTTGGGGGACGTGGTTTGGATACCGGCCCGGTGGTAACCGGTGTCAACTTTAATGAAAACACCAATGTCAACGGGGTCTTTGCCTTGGTTCATGGCCTTGACTACTTGGGAGTTGAATTCGAGGAAAGCGTCAATGTTCTCGATGAGCACATTCAATGTGCCGGGTTTGAGCGTCAGAGCAAGCCGGAGGAGGCGTGGCAGAGCGGAGATCGGGATTGGAACCCCGTAGAGGATCTATGAATCTTACATTATGACGAGTTGGGGATTGTTGTTGGGGGCTGACTTGCGCTGCATCTTCTACCATTTGCTTGGCATTCCAAAAGGAAGGGGAGGAGGTTCTCTGCCTCTATTAGAGTAGATACCACAAATTCAGCCGGACAATGAATGTCGCTGCCAACTTGAAGTTTAGAAAGCTCGAGTGTCTAGTTGATCGATGCTTAGCAGGCCAACCTCAGTCCTTGAAATACTTCAAGGGGGTTCCTTGCCTTGTGGCTTTTGATGTGAGCCCGAAATCCAACGCCAAGGGATTTGGTGGCGTTAAGCATGGCATTGCAGTTCCGTCTTACAATAGCACGGTCAATAACCGCAGCGGGTGTGAGAATGTCATTAAGGTTCTTGCCGACGTATTGGAGTTGGAGGGACGACTGGCTCGGAAGGGGGTAATTTGATAAGGGGTGGATGTCCATTTCGGCCGTAAATAAATGAGCAGTTCAGACAACGAGAAGAGAGAGCTGGACCCTGGAGGGAGAAAATTTGCTAGTTCGGTAATGCAATGATAGTTGACAGAGTCCTCGATGACGGGCCGCAAAATCGCAAGGCTAGTGTTGACGATGGAGGAACGTTTCAGGGCCGTGGGTGTTTAACGAGTGAGTCAGGCAGAGCATTCAGATTCTCAACCAAAGCTTGGTAGAACTAATTAATACCGTTTTTGTCATCAATAGGCTATCAAAAGCCTCCGATCTCGGTGTTGGAAAAGCGTGAAGTCAAACCCCACAGCCACGCTTTCCCTCCCGTTCCGCAACGCCACATCATGCACCTCCACACCTACTGTTTCTTCTCGGTACGCATGGTCCTCTTCCGATCCGTTCACTCGCCAAGCCTGTTTCAGTCTTATCGGCCCAGATGCAAGAAATGCCACTTTGCTTTTTGCCATTTGATCACCCCTCCCCTATGCTCACCCTCATCTCTCAACTCTTTCCCGATCCTGAACCTTCTCGCATCAATCATGCATCTATTCCTGGGCACGCACAAAAACCAACACTTGCAACTCCGAGGGATCTATTAGTTTTCGAGCGGGAGCCAAGCAACATCCGTCCGAAATTAGTGGGGCATTTTGCGCCGATTCCCGAGACCTTGGAAAGCTTGTCTTCTTGCAGTGGACCTCCCAGAACCACAAGTCCAACTTCTTCAATTACTATTACCTCACGCCTTGCTTTCCCCTATTAGCATTACCTAAGTTCCTCCTCCTTTCGTTATTATATAAGCCCCCTAAATCTCCAACCTTGACATGAACGGTTCCGGGAGTAGCAACGACAACGGCAATCGCGAAGGGTCCCTATCACCCAAACGCGCGCCTCCGGGCCAACATATTCGCATCCCGGAGCAACTTCAACGCCCGCATTTGAATCAGAGTCATAGGAGCCTCAGCGATGCGTTGAGGTTAGTCAGGAGTCGCGAAGAGCAAGAGACATTGTTGGGGGATGATGAAGTGGCGGATCCAGATGGGTGTTTGAGGGAGGATGGGTTGATGAATGGGCCGAGGGAGATCTTTTGTAGGGATCCGCATCAGGATTTGCCGGTTTATTATACGATTCATCGGTGAGTTTTCTCGTATTAGGGGGATCTTTAAAATCTTCCGAAAAGCTAAAGCTAGAGCATTGGCAAGAGGTTGGTACAGAAGAGTCAGGGGTTACGGATGGGGTTTTTTTTTTTACTCAACCGCTCAGGCGAGCGGAAGGTCGTGGATCCACAGATGCAGTACAGCTAACACATGCAGTATTCGCCGAATCATTTTAGCCAGTATCGACGATCCGTATACAATGGATCAGCTGAAGGAGCCTCGCATGAATGTCCTGATCGTCAAGCCCCTCGTCGATCGACTGTATGATGAAGAAGATGCGTCCGTCGGTACGAATTATGCTATTGCGAAAAATAGAAATATCCATCTTCTGACTGCGCCCAGTATATTGCCTCTTGGTCAATCGAACTCAATTCTTACGAGAGCAAGCGTTCCAGCATCACCATCAAACAGTGAACCTAACGCGAGCACATCTATGTGAGCTAGTTGCAACTAAGATGTTGCGTAAGTACGACGCAGATCGTCCCGGGCGTGATGGGCTTCTTTGGCTCGCTCATATCCTAGTTTCTCCATTCCAGCCATTTCAAAATGCTCCTCAGGAAGTCCTACGAGGCAACCGACATGTCTCCTGGCTGGGCCAAGAGCAGGGCGGTTATGAAGGCAAATTGACCGCACTAGAAGTCGCGATTGTTTCAGAAAGCAAAATCTTTCTCAGCAGCTCCGCCTGCCAGAAAGTTGTAGATGCTGTCTACCGAGGCAGGATTGTCTACACTCCAACATCCTTCATTGACATCATTCCGGATCATTACAAACACAAACCTATCTCGTTATACGATCCCAGAAAGTCGCGTATAATGAACCAGTATCGTTTAATCGTACCTCGAACGCGGAACTTCATCGAAGTCGTCCAATTCGTAATACTCTTGGGCCTATACTGTCTTTGTATGATGAATCGAGACCAAGCTAAATTTACTACTGAGGAAGCGTGGTTCATGATATACGCTGCAGGGTGGGTTCTAGATGAGTTTGCATCCATGCTTGAGCATGGGTGGCATGTGCACACCCAGAATCTGTGGTCATTCCTCGATATCACATTCGTCATTATTTATGTCCTCTATTCCATGATCCGTATCCACGGATGGATCATAGGAAGTGTCGAGGAGGGGAGGCAAGCGCTCGATATCCTTGCTATTGCGGCACCAATCTTGTTACCTCGACTGGCATTCAATGTCATGCCTGAGAACATGCTCTTTATTTCCCTACGTGCAATGATGGCGGACTTTACTACACTAAGTCTCATTGCAGTCTGGTGCTTTGGTGGCTTCCTTCTAGCACTGAAGTGGCTAAGCATAGGCAACGATAAGGTCGACTTTGAGGACTCCCCGAATCCGATCACGATCTCAAAATGGATGCTTTGGATCTGGTTTGGCCTCGATGGCACTGGCATTCAAGAGGCTCCCAAATTCCACGAAATCCTCGGCCCTACTTTAATGGTTGTGTACGCGTTCTTAGGAAACACCCTCTTCCTCACAGTCCTTGTCTCCATCCTCTCAAACACATTCTCGAAGATTGCCGCCGATGCTACAGCCGAAATCCAATTCCGCAGAGCTGTCTTGACCTTTGAGGGTGTCAAATCAGACGCTATCTTCGCATATAGACCGCCCTTCAACATCCTTGCCCTCCTATTCCTCCTACCCTTAAAATTCGTCCTCACGCCCCGCTGGTTCCACAAGATCAATATCACTATGGTGCGAGTCCTCAACGCACCGATCCTTATCCTCATTGCCCTGCACGAACGCCGTTCTCTTTGGAAGCCAAGCCGAAAACAAAACCCCCTCGGACCTTCCAAACACTCGAAATGGGGATTCTGGAACTGGAGCAATTTCTCCGTGCATGCCGATATTCAAGCTGTCTTCGAAGAAGAGCCGCCTCAGGAAATCATTGATAAGATCGAGGAAGAGGATGAGCTCGAAGACGCTATTCTTGAAAACAGCTTTGCGGGTGCGAGATCTAGGAGCATTAGTCCGAATATGGTGCCCAGGAGAAGGAGGTTGAGCAGTGTCTGGCAGGGCTGATCCCTAGTTCTGCCCCTCATGGCTAACCTTCTGCAGTTCCTGGTACCGTCGGGTACGACGCGGATGAGAGATTCGACGATTGCTAATAGACGTGGAGGAATTTCGAGGAGTTTGGGCTTTAGAAGTTTAATTTGACTTGGACGCCTCTTTTGCGGATACTGTGCAAGCGGTTTGCATTCTCAGGTTTTGAATGCACGCGTATATCGGCCTTTTTTAGATATAGTTTGCCATTGCTTCACGAACGGCCAGCAAGTATTAGGCCATCAAACGCATATACGGGTAGATTTATGTCAAACGGCGGGCTAAACATCCGTTGTTGGCTCTTCTCTAATATGCGTCGGTACAGTGGACGGAACACCACGGGTCTAGAGTTAGATTGATTGCCATCTGCATCCCCTTACTTCCTTCTTTCATCCTAAGTTAGAGGAACCAAATCCTTAACCCTTCACTTTAGATATCCTTAGCCAGTTCTAATGTGCTGAAAACCACGCTTGGCAGTCTGGCGGTTGGGTTTCCTTGCGTTAGGTTTTGTTAGATCCTCCCTACAAGGCGGTAATATATGGACGCTTTGTCATCTGAGAATTCATCTGGAATGAATCGTGGTGTTTGTTAACTTGCAATGAAACCCTCTTTGATGGGTTCTCAATCGTATTCAGTCACAGGTCAGCCCTCGTTTGTGGGCTGACTTTGAAACTTGGGTTCGAAAATTCCATGTAAAGTATCCAGCGAAAGTGTGCACTTCGCATTGGAATCATCCCATCCATCCCAAGGTAAAGTTATCTAAAGCCTGGAACACCCGAGCTTGCCTAGTGCCACCATACCTCGCTTGAAAGTAATCCAAAACTCTGTGGCTACCCAACTCTTTGGCGGTCGACCAGGGCTTCCAACGGGGCGTACTATCTTACAAAGTGAGCCGTACCAGTCACGTGTTCAGTACGAACGTACCAAGTTTGTGAGCCGCACCGTACGCAGGGCTTCCAACGAGGCGTAGTACTGTACGATTGGGCGATTTTGAGGCCTGTACGGGTAATATTTTGTGTACGTTCGTACGACAGGGAGGAGGAGAGGTAGGTGTACGTATCGTAACTGTTACAGCTCACGTGATCTGTACAAGTAGTACAATTTAATTAAAGTACGCTGTACTCTAGTTAAAACAGCTAAGACTATAGGTCTCTAGAGACGTAAGATTAAGGTCTAATTAACTATAAAATAACTAGTTCTCCCTAGTAACAAGAGCAGATAGGTCTAGATAAGGCCTGTAAGGCTGCAAGAGGCGTGGATAGATAACTCTGCAATAGAAAATGGTCTGTAATAGGCATTTTTAAGACAACAGACAGATAGATAGATTAAAACCCTTAGAAAGAGATTTAAGCGTCCGCAGGCCTCCTGCTCGCCAAAGCCCTCCTACCCCTCTAGAACCCCTATACAAACTTCCTAAAAGGGTAATACAATCCGTACTACGTACTGTACCTAGGGCATCATTAAACGTACGGTACGGCTCACGAACTCGGTACGTTCGTACTGAACACGTGACCGTTACGGTTCACTTTGTACGGACCGTAGTACGGCCCGTTGGAAGCCCTGACCGTACGTTTAATGATGCCCCAGGTACGGTACGTAGTACGGATCATATTGCCCTTTTGTGGTGTTTGTATAGCGATTCTAGAGGAGTAGGATGGCTCCGGCGAGTAGAGCTAGAGGATTATCTTGCCCTGCTGCGATTAGTCTTCAGCTATAAACAACGTACTACCGCAGGATGAGGCAAGAGACGCAGTCTAGAGAGCTCTTAACTTATGCAGCTTAGGTAAGAGACTGCGCAAAACAGACAACAGAGGTACCTGACCAATTAGATGAGGCCTGTAAGTATCCGAGCTGTTTCGGCTAGAGTACGGCGTACTTCAATGGAATTGTACTCCTCACACAGATCACGTGAGCCGTAACAGTTACGATACGTACACCTACCTCCCATTCTCCCTGCCATAAGAACGTACACAAAGTCTCACTCGTACAGGCATCACGACCGCCCAATCGTACAGTACTACAGCTTGTTGGAAGCGCTGCGGTTGACCCTAGGCCTACATCCCGTCGATGAATCACTGCTCCACGTCACCAAGTCGGCTCTATTCGCTACTTTTACCTACATTCACAATGAGTGCTCACTCTGTAGAGCTAATGGAAGATGGCTCGAGTTGCGAAAGCCACTTCCCCGAAGTACTATGATCACTAGAACATATTACATCACAATTCAGACACCAAGGCATTAGCAAGCGTGATTAAGTCCCAATTTTCCAGAAGAGACGCCGTTTCCCGCCATTTCCCCGTTATTATATACTAGGTACTTTTCACCCGTAACGCCGGAGAACACTCCATCACGTCGGCTTAGGCTTTTACTTGCTACTAGAGGCTTAGCGAAAAGTATGTTGGACATCTGCTTTAGCGTTTTAAATGCGTTACTAACAGTGGTAATGTTCCGGTCCAACGGCATCAACATTTGCATTGATGAAGGTGAAAATTAGGGCGTGTTCCTTGCTGGCAGGATGTCATGGCATCCCGATCCAGTTTCTTTAAGAGAGTGCTCAACAAGAATGGAAGGGGGAGGATAAGGAATTGAAGCTGCTAGAAGATGACCCTGGAGTACTTATCCTCTATATTCAGTTCATATGTACGGGACTCCCGCTGCTGGTAGAGTATTCCTGGAACCTGTCGATATTGAGAGCGATAACGAGGCCAACAGTGATACTAATCACGGTAATCCAGACCTCAAGAAGATCTAGCTCGAGGACGAAACATATCGCGCTGCCATGGCTAAGTCCCAAACGTTATACAGGCTCGTCGTCCTTTACAGTAAGTTCCAAGATCAAGGGGCAGAGGATGATATTCACCCGGTTAATTTCTAAAACTGCCACATCTACCTAATACTTTCCATGCATTCGCAGCATCTATGATGAAGCCCCCAAATCAAGCAAAATGAGGGCGTTGGTTGGGACTAATACGTGGATCATTCTTGATCTGACTGGATCAGCTAAGGAATCTGCGTCCATGATGCAAAGGACTCCTTTTCCGATATGCTAATTGGATGGCCGGAAGCGTTTTAGTTTCTGGGTATGCGGACAAGCTGCGTACTGCCGCTGCTAATTCCCGTAAGAAGTGCAGAAGCGTCAACCAGTCCACGAGTTCGGGGGGAGGCAAGAGGTGAGTCTCATTTTATATTCAATGAGAGTTTAGGCGATGGGGCAGCATTGTCAAATGCCGGTGTAGCAATTATGACGGAGGCATATTGGAGATGTATTGATCTTCCGGAGCTCTTACTATAATTCAGTAAAAGAGTTAAATGATCTTTCTTAGTGTACTGTAGAAAGGGCCAATATATTTGAAGTCAAGCGGGAAATGGTACCATAGAAACTGCCTGGTATTCTACGGACTGATCCCTCCAGTGAAACTAGTTGCGGCTTACGTTTCTTACGTAGAGACAGGGACTGATACACTCAGGCATATTAAGGCCTCCTTCACCTTGGATCTAGTGCCATATTTACACCTCCCTTGTAGCCGTTTCTTTCTCGTACAGGGCTCTAGGTGGTGATCCAAGATATGTTGTTCCAATTCTGACTGCTGGGAGAAACTCTATAGTCCTACCCGGCCGCAACCAAAGGATGGACATGGAATCGCCCCTTGGACAATCTGAGCTCTACTACTGCCTGCTATAGTCACATGCTGCCCGCTAAGAAGCTTGCTGCCTAGCTTACTCCTTTGTCTATATAAACCCTTTAGCAATTAAATTAATTCTTCATGGCCTTGGTGGTTCAAAAAGCTTCACAGCGGTACAGGTATCTATTTTTCCAAAGGTGGATATCGTACCAGCTTGGCAGGGCCTAACAGAGCAGCAGACAAGATGCCAGCCACATCGCTAGCTACAATCTAAGTCACAAGCTCGCTCTATAATTCGGCCAAAGAGATATTCAGAGTTGCAAAGAACCACGTCACCTTACTCCCGCCGAATTTCATCGCAATTTCCTTCCTGTATTTGTCCTTTGCCAGGCAGCGAAAACTATGGGCTAACTACTACAGTTGAGTGCGCAAAAGCCAATGACAGGTGGTAAAATCAAGTCAATCTTGCACAGCGCGGCGTCTGGTAACGATATTCCAATAGGTATTGTAGTTTTAGCCTTACAAGGAGCATGAGTTATGAAAGAAGTGATGCATTGGGGACTGAGGGTCCGAGGAGCTATATGATTTATATAGTATGATGAGACGCCAAGCCCAAGGTTGATCGGGCAGCCCACCGTAGAGCCTTCCGGCTTACAGTGTGAGTTCTAGCTACATAGACTAAGATTTAAAACTTTCAGGACCTAATCGAGATCACGATAATGGGGCCAGTAGTACTTACCGTCCCAGACCTACTCTCCCTATCACACAGGACGCAGTTCAATACAGGGATGACCGAGGTTGCATACAAGCTTCAAACATACTAGAGCCCTATACTACGGTTGCCAGTCATCTGTGCATTTGATATGCACGCCATAAGGGGCAGTGTGACTACGCGGGGCACTGAAACTTAGCTGCCCCCCGCGAGCTACAGTTGGTTGTGGGACAAAAAGGATCAAAGAGTTCGTCGCAATCATAAACATGAGCAGGAGCCACTGGATGGTTGTCTAGATCATACCATCCAGGTTGATCTAGATGTACAACAGCTTTCTGGAATACAAACCTGAGGCAACGAAAATAACGATTCAGACCTTAATACATCAAGTAGTCTTGGCTACGAAAGACAAGCATTGGGCAACAGGGTCCCAGGGCTGGCAAGTCATAAAAGTCAGCTCTCAGATGCAAACAAATTCCTTTGATTTGTGGGGTCTACGCGGTTATGGAGGCAGCAGAAACCAGCATTGAAAGAGACATCTCAACGCTAGGGACTAGAGAAGTGGACCCTACGCGACTTATATGGGCGACGATTTTGCGAGATAATCTCAGTTGAAGGGGACGGAGAATGGAATGAACCTATCACGTCTCTCTAACAACAGTTGCAACAAGTTGAGGCCAAAAAAATACAACGCAAAGTAACCCTGCTCCCAACATTCCGCTTAAAGAAGCATAAACTTGATAAAGATAGGCGAGAGAGAGCCGATCAACAGCATGGAGATAGCCAGAAGCCCTACGAACTCTGGTTTGAACTCATTTCAGGACGTATTTAATTTCTGTGATCGACTGCTTGGGTCGTGTCCGTATTCGACCGTATTCGACCGTATTCGGCGTTCAGTTACAGCCCTCTGCGTGAGCTGTACTACTCACTATTGTATTCGGGCTAACACAGGTTCTTCGTAACCCCCATAATTGCTATTCTCCAGCGTCTTGGGTAGAGATGTCTAGAAGATACTAAAATTGAGGATAGGAGAGGAATAGCTCCAATCTAGGAGATAATGAACTCTTAGACAGCTTCAAGGGCCCTAACTCGAGTGAAAACAATGGATACAACGGCGAGCATAACTGGCCCTTGGGATGGAAGAAAATTACGAAGGGGGCAAGGTAAGGCGGGGAAAGTGGTTGGCAGTTTCGATGTGGATTCGTGCACCTCCCGGTGGTTTAAAGGAATGGAGAGGCAATAGCCCTTGAGACGTTTTTTTAAGGCATTTGTACAGCCAGAGAAGACAACGGTAGGTCTTTGTCTGTGTGCGAATGCTGATTGCTGGAAGAAAATGAGAGGTTTGCTGCTGATAATATGATCCATCGACCTTGGCCCCGTGAAAGCCCCGGCCACGCTAATTAACCTTTCAACCGAGTCGGATGACCGCTGCATCCTCCTAAGCAACAGTAGTTAAGCCAGCACAGGCCCGTTATCATAATCTTTTTTCAACCCACTCACCCGCAATCTTGGTTTTCCAACAAGAGGTAAAACTACCTCAAGCACTTTTCTTTTACACACCTTTCTTTATTCGATATCTGGGCTGAGGTCCTCCCAGTCTTCCCCGCTTTGTGGCGTTATGGATGAAGCGGATTTAGTCGTCGTTGGCGCCGGTATGTGTTCCATTTTGCAGATTTCCTTTGCACATCTAGCATCTATCTTAATGATAGGACTAAAGTAGTACTGGAATCCTATGCGACGAGGACTTCTCTTCTTCGTTCTACATTTCGTTGAAATTGGTGAAGCGGACACATAAAATAACTGAGTTACATTTCCTCCTATCTCTTCGCTCTTCTCATTAACTACGCAGGGCTCTACGGGATCACGGCTGCTGCGACCTATCATCGTCTTCATCCAACAGCCCGTATCTTCCTTCTGGAATCGGCGCCATCGATCGGCGGACCATGGGCTCCTCATCGGATATTTCCAGGCCTCAAGACGAACAATCTTTGGGGCACCTATGCAAATCCTGATTTTCCCATGGATGAAGAAGAATTTGGAGTCAAGAAAGGGGAGCATGTACCGGCGGAGAAAGTAACGGAGTATCTCAACGCGCTGATTAGGGAGTATGATATTTCGGCTTGTGTGAGGCTGAACACGAAAGTTGAAGTGGTGGAGCAACTCGAAACGGGGTGGAAATTGCACTGCATATCCAACTCTACCGACGCCACGAACTCTTCCTTCATCAACACAGCCAAACTCATACTCTCCACTGGCTTAACGAACCGCCCGTCTATCCCTCATTGGCCCACTTCCGAAAATTTTACGCCTCCAGTGATCCATTCTGCTAACTTCCCTGTGCATTATTCCAACGTTGTCAAGCCAAACGCACATACTCTCGTTATCGGTAGTGCAAAATCGGCATGGGACACTGCTTATGCTTGCGCTGCATCCCCCTCTTCAACCGCGACGATGCTCATACGGCCATCGGGGAAAGGTCCAGTGTGGATGTCACCGCCTTACGTTACGCCCCTTAGCCTGTGGCTTGAGAAGCTCGTATTTACGCGATTTTTTGGGTTCATGTCTCCGTGCCCTTTCGCGGAGGCTTCTGGATTCGAAGGACTGATTCGGAGATTTTTGCACAGAACATGGATTGGAAGGAAGATCGTTGGGGCGTTCTGGGGTATCCTGGGCGATGATGTGGTGGAGCTAAACAAGCTCAATGAACACCCTGAAACGAAGAAGCTGAGGCCTTGGCGGGACGCTTTTGAGGTCGGGAACGCGCTGAGCATCTTGAACTACCCGACAGACTTCTTTGACCTCGTCAAAGAGGGCAGGATTAAGGTTGCCATCGACGAGGTCGAGAGATTAGGCAAGGGCAAAGAAGTGGTACTAAAGAGTGGGGACAAGATGGAAGTTGATGCGGTGGTTTGCGCAACTGGATGGGAGATCGGTGGGTCCTTGAAATTTCTCCCAACGGGCATTGAGAAAGAGTTGGGTCTACCTACGAGGATCCCTCCAGATGCTGGTGATGCGGCTCTCGTAAAGAAAGTTGAGAATGACCTCCTGACCAATTTCCCGTACCTCAAGGAGCGGGACTCAAGCAAGCTCCACCACCCAGATCCCACATTCAAGAATACGCCAACGATAGACCCCAGTCAACAACCTTACCGCCTCCACCGCTTCCTGGTACCTCAGTCTGACTTCCAACGCCGTTCCATCGGTTTCGCAGGTGCTCTTATGTCTCTTGGCAACGCATCATGCGCCTATCTGCAATCGCTCTGGCTTACTGCATACTTTGACGGCACCTTGCCTCTCCCAATTACACCTCCAGAACAACTCAAATACGAGACCTACCGCGATACACAATACTGCGTTGTCCGGAACGCTATGGGATATGGCAACAAGTTCCCTGATTTGGTGTTCGATTCTCTCCCATATTTTGATCGGTTGATGCACGACTTGGGATTTGCGGGTAAGAGGAAGGGGAATTTATTGGGGATGACGAATTGGGCTGCTGAGTGTTTTAAGAGTTATGGGCCGGAGGACTATAAGGGTCTGCTTGTTGAATGGGAGAGGAAGGTGGAGAGTGAGAATGAAGGAAAGAAGGACGTATAGTAGGCTATTCTGAGATCCAACGCAATCAATTGATGGAGATGTGGAAATTAAATGGGGGTGTACTAGAAGTCTCACCGCTCAATCAATATTCCACTGCGGATTGAGGAGATATGTGGAACACATGGTGATGAACATGTATCTTGGGAAGTAGGCTCCAAATGATGTTCACGTTTCGACCTCATAGAACTTCTTGCTCTAGTCAGCTGAAGGAGGATCGCCATTACCCGAATATCCAAATTCTGGCAAAGAACACCCGATTACGTGATCTCAAGTTGCTCGATTTTGACCTTCTTGTGCGTAATCCTTCCGGGTGGGTGGCGTTAGCAGAGTAGCGTGCACATTGGCCATGCATCCACAGCAGTGGTTCGGGAGCCTCGTTGCACTTTATTCTATTTTGGATTGTAAAGACGCTGTCCGCGGATTCAATGCCATCCTATGCAATCCGAACCATGTTCCATCCTAATATCAGACACCTATGCCCCAAATCTTTGGTCACCTCATGCTTCCTCGATGTATGTATACCTTTTTCTAGTTACAGCTCTCAATCAGGTTAAGGCATAAATCGAAAGTGACAGGAGATGCAGATACAGTTGTACGACATCCGAATCATCCACTGGCCATTCGATGGCGGTGTTTCGGCACTCTTCCACGTTCTGTCTAGGGAAGCTCGGAAGAAGGGGAATCAGTATGCGAGGGCGATTGTGTTGACTAGGTACGGTTCGCGGTTGTAGTCTTAGCCTACGTGCATGATGATGATCCTATTGAAGCTTGGAACATAGCATTAGCGTTTGAGTACAGATTAAAGATGCTCAGGGGAGTGGAACTTACTTCATTTGATTGTACTCCGATACGAGGATCTCCTTGCTGGGAGCCAAAGTGGTGGTTCTATACTTCTGTAATGTGCGGGCAAAGCTTGCAAAGCTTGCCTAGATTTGGATTGTGCTGTTATTAGCCAAAGGTGGCGCATGGTGTGGAGAAGGCTGATTGAAGTCCAGTAGTTCACCGCCACTTGGTGAGTTGGGAACAATGAATGATGCGGGTAATGTGACTCATCTATCCACTCCTTTTCTGAGGCCAAAAATATGTACCCTCTCGGGCCCTCATTCTTGCTTTCTTCCTGCCTTCACCTTGCTTCCGTCCATCATCTCTAATTTACCAGACCCCTCCAACATCCATAGGAAGAAATAAACACATCGGAGAACTAAAAGGAGGAGGGAAGGGCAGCTCCTGTTCACCACTAAGCCATAAGGATAGAAGACTTGCTTCGCCTTCAATTATATTGTGAGTATTGAAGACCTGATCTTCCTTCACGGCGCTGATCTGGGATATTGTAATAGGGCCTTCTCAAAGCTGACCTATGTTGTTGCGGACTTTATAAGGCTAGCCAGCTGCAGACGAGTACGACCCAGGGCGGGCTCAAGCCGGCTGCCTTCGACACCAACAGCTCTCGCCGTTGGTATGCCGAACCTGATCCACAACAGCGCTGAGGTAAGCTCCAAACACGATGACATAGCACCCAAACACGCTCAGACCACGTTGTTCTTCACCCAAATCTCCGTATTGCACGCCCGTATATGATGATTTCTCTCCAAAGTTCCCATAATCTCAAAGCAGCTTGGGGTAGCGAGGACTTTCAAGAGGTCGGACTGCCTTATATGCAGAATTCCAGACCTCAATGACCTAGCCGAGAGCCCCCCGGTTCGATCCCACGAAAGTGAGAGAAGGTTAGAGCCAGAGAAAGCTTGTGAGAAGTTTTCTGGATACCTTCAAGGTGGTATTTCTTTGCAGTTTGGTTTACATTTTGTGTAGTCTTTTTGGCTCATTTTGAGGTAGGGAAAAAGACATAGACAGCGCTTCGTCCTTAAGTCCGAGGAGGTTGCGAGAAAAAGAGTGGAGACAGAGGAAGGATTGGAGAAGGATCTGAGAAAGATTAAATGGCACTCTACCTTATCGACACGATAATACGCTCTTAGTTCTTACACCTAGTAGATACTAGGAGTATTGCACATGCCTTTTTGATTCCTGATCCTTCCTTCCTTGCCAAATACCCTAGATACGCTCGGTGCTCAGCACCTTGAGGGGGGGAAATCCGCCATGACGCATAACGACCTAATGTATTCCGTCGTCACTATTCCCTTAGCGACAGAGTTTCCTCTAACGTCGACTCGATGTCCTCCGATTCTACTCGAAGTTCTCGAAGGAGGCGTCTTGATTGTGAAATGTCTCCAGCCGGAGGCTCGGTGCAATTTCTCAAGAAATCTTTAGATTCGTAGAACTCGGACATCTCGCCGTTCGGCCTTCCGGAGGTCACCACGATTGTCACACCTTTCTTCTGGAATAGCTCACTAAAGGGCTGTACTGCAGAATATCTCGGAAGACGAAGCAGGTGTAGTTTTTCGAAATGGAGAAGATTTCGGAGAATATAGTGAGACAACGAGTTGTAGGACTGAATGGCGTCACTCTCAACACAGTCCTCTTCATAGATCTGACATATCAGACCGAGATCTGTGACATGCGACCGCGCCAAAGGGCTAAGCCGAGCGAGCCATTTCTGGGTCGCATAAGCCTGGTACCTCCCTCGGGGGCAGGGCCCACTCAGGAGCCGGAAGTTGCGTCCGCGATATAGGACGGGAATAGACTCGCGATAGATTTGTTTATTGACATGAATCAAGTGTGCTGAAGGTCGTCTTTCAAGCTCTCGTTGGGAAGCCGGACGTAGTATGTTGAAGAGGCCCCATAGTTCATGCAGGATCCACAAGGGGTCCTGCTTGGAGGCAAATTGAACCTCCGGTTCTTGACACACGTAACGTGTGTATATGTGATCTTTCTTCTGTTTAGGGCAGCCGCACATGTCGAGCTGATACGGAGTGAACGTGAGAGAGTCGGGGTTTTGAAGATACGGCCAGGAGAGCTGGTAGTTGATTGTTGTGACATCTTGAGGATGTGGAGAAAGTAGGTGTGAGTAAACCCTTTGACGCAGTTCGAGTGGGAGGAGAAGGAATAACGAGAGACGATCTAAGTCCATTGATGGTCTCCAGGCTAAGATGTAGATGAATTCTAATGATGAGATAGGGATGCTTGTGGTCTTTATACAAACCTCGCTGAAGAGTCAAGTGAATCGACTGGAGTTTGAAAATGCAAGATGGAAACACAGGGGTGAGACTTATGCTAATAATAAGAAACCATACAGCATACCGCGTACGCAAGGCGACAAATGGCCATGATTGAAAGCTTACGAAATGCCAGATGGGGATGCTGTGACAGCCTGTTTGCTAAATATATGATTCAGCTTGAAGATGACGACGTGAAGAGTGCGTAGCTGACGAGGAAGTGTGAAGTGGCGCGAGCTGACTAAGGGGCCTCGGGACTTTCCCGGATCGAATCACTATCTTCGAGACTTTTTGGGGGCTCAGGACACCAGGGTATCTTCAACTCAACGTGTCGAAAGCCATGTCGAATACGCGGGTGTTGCGGGTAAGACGAATTGACATGCTCTAATGACGGCTTATTAACACTAATTGTAGGTTTCTTCAACCCGCGATGTTTGCATATTCTGCACTACCCGACAATTCACGGTCGATGGGATTAATTATATCCCTCTAACTACATTTCCAGCTCGATCCCAGCGGAGACATCTCAATTCGTCGAGCAAAGCCCCTCAGTATGCTGCCGAAGGCCAAGTCTTCCGCGAGGAGCCTCAGCGCATGACGCAGGCCGAAAGAATGCGACAGCAGATGATGGCGAACCCTAGATACACCGCTTCCCGTCAGCAGACAACTTATGTCTCACCAGCGGAGAGAGCGAGAGCTGCACTACAAGCTGCGCACCCGGCAAGAGTGCAGGCGCAATCGCAGCGACAGGGTCTGCAAGATCAATTTCCAAGAGCTCCTGTCAACATGGTGAGGAGAGTCATACCTGGGGGTGACCCTCTGCGAAATACTCGTTACCGAGTCAATATGGATTCGAGAGGACCTCCAGTTTCCAGCACACCCGAATTTGGTTCTGTAGGGCACCTGAGGCGAAGAAACAACCCTCAGGCTAAAACGGCCTGGAATGCTGCGCCGAGTCGAGAATTACCACAGCCCATGAGTACCCAACCCACGAAGCGGAAGTGGGCCCAGGGAGACCTAGAGCAAATGCTAGGAGCGAACTCAAACCTGCCAAGAAGAGAGCTCCCAAGGTCTCACATCCCTCTGACGAGAAAAATGAGTACGCCGATGAAATGCTTCCATTGCGGGCAGCAGGGTCACCGGACCCAAGATTGTCTTCTGAAACCTGTTGTCAGGCAGCCGGAACCCGCCCAGCAGCGAGAAGGCGCTCTGGCAGACGCAGCAGAGGCCTGGATCCGCAAGCAACGTACCAGGTCAGATGAGCCGTTAAGTGCTGAGCAAGCGCGGTACGAGGAGGAAGGGAGGCGGCGTGACACGAGCATGTCTGATAGGAGGAGGAGTCGCTTCGTTATGGAGGATGAAATTGACTTGGAATCTAGAGGGGCCCGCAACCAATATGAAGAGCCCGAACCGCGCCGACGAGGGAAAGTTGAACGCAGAGGTCGCGGCCGCGTGATGCAAGCGGAAGATGAGGATTTAGAAGAAGAGTACACGAATAAGGCTGAGCGAAAACGACAGCGGAAAGAAGCGAAGAAGAGAGCTCAATTAGAAAAGGCGGAGCCAACTCCTGTCTATCTACCAGAGTATATCAGCGTCGCAAATCTTGCTTCCGTGCTTAAGATGCGCGTTGAAGATTTCGTCAAGAAACTTGAAGACCTGGGCTTCGAGGATGTGCAGAACGATCATATTCTCAACGCGGAACACGCCGGTCTGATTGCCCAGGAGTACAACTTTGAACCTATCATTCAGGCCAAGGGCGAGGATGGCGATATATATGCTGCGCCTGCGCGTAGCCCCGAAGACTATGCCAAACTACCTCCTCGGCCACCTGTTGTGACGATTATGGGTCATGTCGACCACGGAAAAACCACAATTCTGGACTACATCCGCAAATCGAGCGTTGCTGCAACCGAGTTTGGTGGTATTACCCAGCATATTGGAGCCTTCAGCGTTCCTTTAGTCTCAGGAAAGAAAATCACGTTCCTCGACACTCCCGGTCACGCCGCATTTGAAACCATGCGCGCGCGTGGAGCTAACGTTACAGACATTGTCGTTCTCGTCGTTGCTGCTGACGATTCTGTAATGCCCCAGACCATCGAAGCCATCAAGCATGCACAAGCCGCCAAAGTCCCTATCATCGTTGCCATAAACAAGATCGATAAAGAGCAAGCGCACCCTGATCGCGTGAAGCAAGATCTCGGCCGTCATGGAGTTGAAGTTGAGGAGTATGGTGGCGATGTTCAGACTGTCTTAGTCAGCGGAAAGACTGGTCAAGGTATTCCCGATTTGGAAGAAGCCATTTCTCTGCAATCCGAAGTCTTGGACCATCGTGCGGATCCGGAGGCAAACGTTGAGGGATGGGTTCTGGAAGGTACAACGAAGAAGTCTGGAAAAGTCGCTACGGTACTCGTTCGCAATGGTACTCTTCGACAGGGAGACATCCTCGTTGCTGGAACTACCTGGACTCGTGTGAGGGCCCTCCGCAATGAAGCAGGTGCCGCTGTTAAAGAAATTGGGCCTGGTATGCCCGTCGAGGTCGATGGTTGGCGAGAACAGCCCATCGCGGGCGACGAAGCCCTGCAAGCTTCCTCTGAGCAACAGGCTGCCCAGATCGCAGATCTCAGAACAGAGAAACTCGAACGCTTACAAATGGCCAAGGACATGGAGGCTATCAACGAGACTCGACGTCTCGAAGCCGAGCGCCGCGAAGCCGATGAAGCCGCCGCAAAAGCCGCCAAAGCTGGAGAGACTATTCCCGAAGAAGTTCTCAAGAAAGAGAGTGGCCCTGAAATTGTCAGCTTCATCGTCAAAGCCGACGTCTCTGGTTCCGCGGAAGCAGTCGTCGACTCTATTACCGCAATCGGCAACAACGAAGTCGGCGCCCGCATTCTCCGCTCTGGCGTTGGCTCACCCTCCGAATTCGACGTCCAGCACGCAGCAGATGCGGGCGGTCACATCGTCAACTTCAATACCATCATTCAACCCAACATTGCTGCCATGGCTGAAGGAAAGGGCGTCAAGATCCTCGACTCAAACATCATCTACCGCGTCGTCGAAAACGTCAAGGCCCTCATGTCGGAAAAACTCTCCCCTAAGATCACGCAACGCGTAACCGGCGAAGCAGAAATTGCTGCAGCCTTCGAAATTGGTCTTGGAGGGAGAAAGAAGCTAAGGGTTGCGGGGAGTAAGGTTAGGAATGGAGCTGTTGTGAAAGGAACAAAGGTGCGGGTGTTGAGGAAGGAGGAGGTGGTTTTTGATGGTATGTTTAACGCACTGACTTTGTTCTGTATCCTTGTATGAGAGAGGTGAATTGCTGACATTAAGCAGGTATATTATCGTCCCTGAAGAGCCAGAAGAAAGACGTCCATGAGATGCGCAAGGATACCGAATGTGGTATTGCGTTTGAAGGGTGGGAAGCTTTTGAAGTTGGAGATAAGTTGCAGTGTTATGAGGAAAAGAGTGAGAAGAGGACTTTGTAAGTTAGATATTTAGGTCTGTAGAATTTCCTGTCGGATTCAGATGTTATCGCTGGCATATAAGGCCGTCCGTGTAAGAGTAAGAAGTATACATCAGCTGGGTGGGAAAGTAGGATTTTCAAAACTCCACTTCTTTAGCTACACTGCTTGTAGACAATCATTTTAGGGAAGGGACGTGGATGGCACCTCTGTAGAGTACATATAACTATGCCGCTGTTGGGCATGCGCATCAACAATGCTAGAAGCCATCAGACCACCACAACTTCAACTCCTCATCATGTGCGCTCGAAAACTAAGGCTGTGATAAGTGTAAAATTGTACTAGATACATCCACGGGGCGACATATTATACAACCACTAGATAATTAGGTAATATGAACCCCTTTCGCTAGAAATGCCGCAATCCAAAAACACAATAATGCCCAACCTTCTCGGTAGGTGCGCCGTATGCCTATGAAACGCCATGAGGGCCTTTCAACGCCAATTATCTACTGCATAAAACGCCTTAGACCTACATCCCGCGTCCTTCATATCGTACAATACGCCCTGCTTCGGCAGGGTCGTCAGACATCCTTCCTTAACTTGGCTCCTGCCCATAAAACAGGCGCGAGATGCTTCGGTAGATTTAGGCCGAAGAGGCTGACGAACCATAGGATCGTGCATATCCCTATTGGTAGGAGAAGCAGCTCAGTGTGGTGTAAGAAGGGGAGGGCGTTGTAGCCGAGGAAGGTGATGATGAAGTAGTAGTTTAGTGCGACGAGGTAGAGCGAGTTTCCGACCAGCAGTGATAACCTGGATAGAAAGTCAGACTCGCTCGTCTCGACTAGCAACTCGCAAAAGGCCTGGAGCAAACAGGAAGTGGGGATGTACGCACCAGTATTTGCTCGCAATGACAGGCATAAGTAAAAACTGCACAACGTATAAAAACACCCAAATAGGCACAAAAGCCCGGATTGCCACATCCCAGCAGTATCCAAACTCGAGCTCGTTCCCGCCCTCGCCTTCTTCGACGTTGAAAAGTCCTTGTCGGCGTCGTCCGGGAAGCCCTTTCACGCCAGGTCCGAGAAGCCGGCCGACTAGGAAGTAGAATAGGGTTGCGATTAGGAGGGAGAGGAGAAGGAAATGGCCGAACATGAAGATAAGCATTATGCGCAGGGTTCGGGCGGCACCGTCGGCGTATGCAAGACCCCAGCCGAGGGCTGTGAGGAGAAGGAAGCCGGAGAGGAGGTAGGTAAAGGAAGGGTCGGGTCGGTGCCATGTGTTCTTAGTTTCTGGGGGTTCGTTAGACTGAATTCAAATGCAGTGTTGTGAGGAAAAAGCAGTCGGAGACCTGCGCAGGCAATCCCATGGAGCAAGTAGGAGCATAATAGACAATGGTTGCAGCCGTGCACGCGGAGGACATCTTACGTTTCTGCAAAAAATGTAAGTATCGCGTTCGCTGTTTTCAGTGGGGTCCGAGAGACATACATGGTAATATATTGACCTAAAAACTTTCTTTGGCGCTATTATCAGGCTCAACATTTCCCATATGGCCATCTCAAAGTCCATCTGCGGAAACTTGAATAAGCGTTTAAAGAAGCGTGGCATTCGGAGGCTCTCGGACCGACTCGACGGTGCTGTACCACCAAAGTTCGAGGGCCCTCCTGTAGGCCGGGGCAGCGAAATGTGTGGATTCATTGTGCTTCGGCTGTGGGTTTGGGAGTCGAGATAGAGGTCCAGGTCCAGGTCCAGGTGGTGGGCTCGGGGGTTGTTCTGAAGCCCCGATGCGCCGTGGAAATGCCTATTGCGCACTATGGAGGAAGGGGAGGGTTCTCAACAGATAGGATGTGAGAGGAGTATCAAACGGGAATTGCACTTGTACTGCCAAGGCACGTGGTGGTGAATCTGTTCAAAGGAGTGGCTTATTCATGACATCGCCGTTTGGGGCTGCTGTCAAAAGCTCCGTGCACAAGCCACCATGCCAAGCCTTTCGGAGAAACCAGTCGGCCTTTACTTCTGGTCGCGAGCTCAATACCGCAAGGGCTGTCCTCTACAACACAACACAAAGAAGCCTCCCCCCCTCCATTTGTGTCTCTACACTAACCGTGCAGACAAAGACATCGCTCCTTCCTGCTGGGAGCACTGCCTCTTACAGCCCACCTCCTACACGCTCAATAGGACATCTCCCCAATTGTCTTGCCAGTCGCGCCTGACTTTTCGTCACCTCGCAGCTTCCGGTCTGCCTCGCGCCTGCCGCAACCATGGCGGACATGGATCCCGAGCTCGCTTTCCTCAACTCACAGGCCGAGTATGATCCCGCCGGCGACTACTCCACCAGCGGCATCGGCCACCCCGAGCCTGTCGCCGACGATGGAGAGGAGGACGAGTACGACCCATCCGCCCTCCCCCCTTCTTATCCTGACGGCAATGACCGCTCTCCCTCCGATCAGTCAGCCTCTATGCCAGAGTCTCCTGGCAATACTCCGTCCCCAGCGACCGAGAACGCGCTCAAGCCGCAACCTGCCGACGCTGCTTCTGCTGTGCCGACGCCGCCCAAGCAGCCTCGCACCATGGGTGGATTCGTCGACGAGAGTGAAGACGACGAGGATGATGTGCCAGTTTCGAGACCGATGGCGGCTGGATCTGCGTTGTTGAATGCCTCGGGGGGTTCGTCTGCTACACCACAGCGTTCGCTTACTCAAACTCCAAACAATACACTGCCCCCCTCTACCAATGTACCGTTACATAGTGCACAAGACCAGGGTCACTCTGGTGTTTCCTCCTCCACTTTTGTTACTGTCAATGACGCTGCTCCCACTGTTGCTTCGTCTCTTCCTGGTGCTGGTACGCCTGCGCCAGACGCTACTAAATCAGCAGTCCCAGATCGGCTGAACACTGTCTCAGCACGTCCTTCTACCACTCCAGTCACTCCAGTTGCTACTTCTCTTCCGAAGCCACGTCTCTCACAGGATCGAGTTGGCATTCTTGAAGATAGAATCGCTGAAGACCCTCGTGGTGACATGGAGGCATGGCTAGATCTAATTGCAGAACACCGAAAAAGACACAAGATCGATGACGCCCGAGCCGTATACGATAGATTCTTTAAAGTGTTCCCCTCAGCGGTAGGTTGACTCAACACCCTGCTGTGAGATTTACTAATGCCTTCCAGGCGGAGCAATGGGTTCAATACGTCCAGATGGAGACAGACCTCGACGAGTTTAGTAGAATCGAACGCTTGTTTGAGCGATCTATCATGGCGACTCCACATGTTGATCTATGGTCAACCTACATCAGCTACATTCGACGTCGCAATAATTTGACCACTGATCAGTCAGGCAATGCTCGTCAAATCATTACACAGGTCTACGAATTTGTCTTGGACAACGTAGGCATCGATGTCAACTCTGGTAGGATATGGCATGAGTACATTGAATTCATTAAGTCTGGCCCCGGAATTGTTGGCGGTAGCAATTGGCAAGATATGCAGAAGATGGATACACTGCGGAAAGTCTATCAACGAGCCATTGCTGTTCCTACGAGTGCTTTGCTCGAAATCTGGAGGGAGTATGACAGGTTTGAACTCAGTTTCAATAAAGCAGCAGTAGGAATCCCTCTTTGTCCAAGTCTTGTAACGGTCACTAACACTTGTTTCACGCTAGGGCCGGAAGAACCTCCAAGAAAAGTCACCCTTCTACATGACCGCGCGAAGCGCGAACAATGTCCTCGACAACATTACTAGAGGGATTGACCGAACAACCTTACCCAAACTCCCACCTCGGCCAGGTTTCGACGGTTATGATGATTACATGACGCAGGTCAACATGTGGAAGCATTGGATCCAATGGGAAAAGGACGATCCGCTTATTCTTAAAGAAGATGATCGTGCTCTCATGAACAAACGTATCGTGTATCTCTACAAACATGCCCTCATGGCCCTCCGCTTCTGGCCTGAGTTGTGGTATGATGCTGCTGAGTGGTGTTTCCAGAATAATATGGACAAGGAGGGAAATGAATTCCTTGCGCAAGGCGTCGAGGCCAACCCAGAGAGCTGTTTGCTCGCCTTTAGAAAAGCCCATCAAGTTGAGTTGTCCGGTGAATTCGAAGATGGCGAGGCAGGAATCATTCGCAAAGGAGAAGCCGTTCGTGAGCCATTCAACAAAGTTTTGGACGCACTGTATGATCTTACCAATCAAACAAAAAGGCGAGAAGAGCATTCCCTTGTTCGGGCGAAAGAAACTTTCGAGGCCCAGAGGGCAGCTGATGAAGCCTCCCGAGCTAACTCTGACGGAGGGTCTGACGAGGACGGAGGGCAGGATGACGATGATGAGGAGGCCGCGAAGCAAGCGAAAGAGAAAGAAGCGAGGTTCCAGGCACAGCTCCAAGCTATCTCGACGGGGTATAACGCCGAGATCCACGACCTGAAGAAGACCATTTCTTACGCTTGGATCGCTTTGATGAGGACTATGCGACGCATTCAGGGTAAAGGATCCCCTGCGGGCACGCCTCCAGGCTTCCGAGGGATATTTGCTGAAGCTCGAAAGAAGGGCAGACTTCTCAGCGATGCCTATGTAGCGAGCGCGCTGATCGAGCATCATTGTTACCAGGACCCGGCCGCAGCTAAAATTTTTGAGCGCGGCATGAAACTCTTTCCTGACGACGAGAACTTTGCATTGGAGTACATCAAGCATCTCGTCAATCAGAATGATGCAACCAGTAAGCACTTTGCTCTTACCCTGCCATTATTTTACTTGCTAATCTTTCCAGATGCACGAGCGGTATTTGAGACAGTAGTAAACCGATTGACACAGAAGCCAGGTTCGATTGGACGAGCCAAACCGCTCTTCAAGTATTTTCACGAATACGAGTCTCAATTTGGCGAACTTGCTCAGATTATCAAACTGGAGAAGCGCATGACCGACCTATTTCCCGAAGACCCGCGGCTCCTCCTCTTCTCTCAGCGATTCTCTACCACGACGTTTGACCCAACGATCGCTCGGCCTGTCATCTCGCCCAAGACACAGATGAAGCCAGTCATGATGCTTCAGCCAACAATAGAAGAGCCTTTGGTACCGCTACCACCCCCTCAAGAGAAGCGACCGTCACCAGTTCTGAACTCCCCGCGAGTTCCCCCTGCTTCTCTTTTCCCTATCACCAATTCGCCCAAACGCCCATTTGATGAATCAGATAGCGACTTCACACAGCCTCGAAAGATGATCCGCGGAGAATCACCGCTCAAGGGAGCTGCAGGCCGACGACTAGATGCTGCTAGGCGCAACATGGCTCGTACGTCGGAGGGCATGTCAACCCTTCCCGTTGCTCCTCCACCACCAGATTTGCCAAGGGACGTCAAGCACCTCCTCCACCTCATCCCTGGTGCGCATACCTATAAAGAGACTCGATTCATTCCTGAAATGTTGGTTCGTCTTTTGCAGACTGTTGACCTGTCCAAAGCGAACCTGGCTGCTAGACCGCCGACTCTGGCTCCCAGCCCAGCTCCAGCAACGCCCTCCTTCCCCCCTCCTCCAATGGGCGCCTGGGGCCCACCTCCAGCTGGAATGAGTGGTATGTTTTCTCTAGTTTGAGCAATACTAAGAAACGAACCCGCTGACAAGACCGGTAGGTTTCTACGGACGGTGATTTCCTTCTACGGGCAACCAGAGGTCTGCTTCTCTCAACACCATAATTTTCTTCTTTCATCTCGCCTAGCTGGTAATAAACCCAGTTTGCGCAGGACAATACAATGACTATCGTGGAATGAGTTTGTTTTACTCAAGTACATGACAAACTACATGTTTCAATGAGGTTCCTTCGCATGATTCGGCGTTCATGGTTGCCTACAAGAAGCCCGTAAGTAGACTCAGACAGGTCTCAGGTTTCAGGTTCAGATTGGCGTCAGCACAAAACAATCTTGATATTGAATGGTGGGTTTTACTTTCCTTCCTCTGTGTGTCTAAAATTCCATGGCCTTGTGTGTCAGATTCAGGTTGGCGTAGGCACAAAGCGATTTTTGGATTCGGTGGTAGGCACTGCTTTCTGGCCTGGGTGTATCTACAACTCCATAGCCATGTGTACTCTACTCCAACAGAAATTCAGTCAGCAGCTGTCTGGAGATGTTCCTTTCAATCATGCATTTCTCCCGTCCCTCTACGATGATTGGTCAAGTGTAGAACTAAGACAAAGGTTGGTGTAGGACAAAGGTTGGTAATGCTTGGCGCCCCCTCAATTCAACGTCGTGCCTTCCTCCTGTAGAACAACAACTGTACGATTTACAAAGAACCACTTTGGAATTGCCATCGAACTTGAAGTTCTCATCAGGTGTAATGAAGTTTCTTTGTGTCTAATACCGCTTCTGATCCTCGGTAGTCATTCCATATATCCAAACTCATCCTGTGTTGTGTGCTTGATGGCTGGCGCGCTCGTCCTATATTTCAGCAACTACTCTTACTTCTCCCTCTGTCTCACCCTCTCCCAAGATCTCTACCTATCCTCAGAGCTCCCCAACTGCTCCCTACGTAACCTAAGTCTCCCCTACCGCTTCTTCATTGAAAGCTACTGCCTTGCCTCTACCGTCTTTCACTTGTTTTGGGAGCTCTCGGCTCATTCCTATATAAGCCCTCCGATTCTCAGCTCGGTACCCTCCTTCCTTCCTTCTACTCCAACCCTCCTACTAACTTTCAAATAAGCACCACTACTACCGCTCCACCATCGTCACTTCAACTCTTCCGCCTACTCCACCTACGCCACTATTCCACAGTGCGTTGGCGATCGGCATCGGCACCACCATCACCATCGCCAGCCCCCTCTGGTACTCACCATCAACATCAGCACTTAAACGAACCCACCATCGCAGTAAGTCTTTTACTCCAGCCACCGCATGTTTCGCGGGCCACGTTGCTAAGGCGACGCGCTCTTTCTGACTCAACGCCACCGGGGGTAAACATATATTTGCCCATAAACACTCTCGTTTACTCTTGCATCCGTCACATCCTTTCTACATCACCCTCTTCTTGCTCACCTGGAATTCCGGTATCATTGTTCTCCCCACTCTCACTTTCTCAAAGGAATCATGACTGACATTATCTTTGCTGTCTGAGAGAGTCAATCGCGGCAGCCCACCCCCCACACCACACACTAGCTCAATACATCGCTCTCACCGTCCATTCCGCTCACGCTAGCTAGACCAAAGGTCTCACAAGATAAGGTATGCATGAACACCACCACACCATCCCTTTATCCCTCCCCTTCACATTCTCGAAATTAAACTTCGTCAACTGTTTGCTGCAAACGCCCTAGCTTTCTGCTCACTGTTTCCTCACTCATTCCAGTGTTGCACGATATCGTAATTTACTCTTTCAGCTCATCGCTGACATGAATATCAGAATCAACACTCGCAATGGTGGGTCCTGCAAAGAAGCGTGCCCAGGCTGAGAATAAGGGCTCTGGATCTTCGGAGGGACGGAAGTCTTCGCAGGAGTCTTCTGGTCGAGATGTTGCTACGCAGCGGTCTACTCCCAAGAGCATCCCGCGCTTGGATGGCAATCGGGACCCTATAGTCCTCGATAGAAACGCGCCCATCACATACACTAAACCCGGAGACCTGAAAAATATCTCGGAGTTCTTAGGAATGCGGGGTTGGTATACCGCTCGTGGCGTAAGTTCAATCCCTTTCATAAGCATTCGATTGCACTACCCCATTCCGTTCCTTTTCTTCTTTGGTCATGCGAGTTATCGTCAGGCAAACGGCATGCACCATCCCCAACCCCTTCTATGATTCATATCATGCTAGAGGTAGCATGATTGGAATCATAACCGTGGCTAGTTTACACTGCCGCCCGCTCCATTTTATGGTCCTCTCTCTGCTCTCCCGGGGGTATTTAAGACCGCCCTTTCCTAACCCCAGAATGCGACTTACCTCCCTCTATTCCAAATCCAACCCGCCAGCACCATCCACGCAACCAGCGTTTCAACTACCATTCTCTTTCTACATCTTTTACTCCTCTCTTTGTTCTCTCTCCTCGTCAAGATGGCCTGCAACAAGCGGATTGTTGAGGACTATAAAAACTTTCGGCATTTTGATCTTGATGCTAATGTGGACAAGATCGAAATTCCCGATAGTCTCCCATATCGGCCAAGCAAGTTCAACACCCTAGGCACAGAGCTCGCTGTCACCCTGAATACATACAATGTCATTCAAGCACCATCCACTACGGTGCATCAGTACGATGTAAGTTTCTTTAATCCCCACCTTTCTTCAACTTCTCTGACTTTGTTTTAGATTGCCTGGGGCCAAAACACTGATGCAACCAAACGTGTGTTGATCAAGAAGATATGGAACAGCAAGGCTGTCAAAGCTGCCCTCGGCGAGCCTCTGCACTTGTGGATCTATGACGGAAACAAGCTTGCTTGGTCCGTCTACCAGTCTACGGTCTTGTTCTCGTATGTTTATGTTCACCGCTAACAGGAACTAGGTCCGGCAGAAAGCTCGACCGCGATGAGATGCGCATTACCGTCAACCTTGATGAAGAGGAGGCTCAAGACCTTGCCGCGGCAGGCAAGCCCAAGCGTGGCCGAGCCTGTGACAAGGACAAGAATACCCACACCCTCTTCGTCAAATGGACCCGCAAGGTCGATTTTGCTCATTTGACAGCCTTCTTGAGCGGCCATGCTCCTTGGAGCCCTGACTGCATCGACACCGTCAATTTCCTCGATCATGTCATGCGCGAGGAGCCATCTCGGAAGTATACTCAGATCAAGAAATCTTTCTTCCAGCGTGGTGAGAAGCGTTATGATCTTGGTGGTGGAATTGAAGCTTTCAAAGGTGTCTTCTCTTCACTCCGCCCAGTTCTAAATGATAAGTTCGAGAAGTCCCTCTCAGTCAATGTCGACGTCGCCAACGGAACCTTCTGGCGTGCCCAAGAGTTGGCCCGCGCCATCCAGCAAGTCTTCAATCAAAATCTTCCTCAATTCCAGACAAACTTCTTGCATGCCAAGCGAGACTGGAGGCATTCACAGCTCCGAAAGGACCTAAGCCGTTTCAAGAGACTTGGTGTCACTGCGACACACAACAAGGAGAACCTCACCCAATGGACAATTGAGGAGATCTGTCAGCAAGATTGCCATGAGGCCTCGTTTACCGACCCTGATGATAAGCGCGATATCGAGGACAAACTGAAGCGCAAGATCACCGTCTACAAGTACTACAAGCAGAAGTACGGCATTGAATGTATCCCGCGCGTGCCTGTGGTCAAGATGACGAAGAAGATCCGGAAAGGCCCGGTTTACATTCCAATGGAACACCTCAAGATCAATCCAAATCAGCGCTACAATTCGAAGCTGAGCGATAAGCAAACGTCAGAGATGATCAAGTTCGCCGTTACGCTCCCTACTGAGCGCTGGGCGGCCGTTGAACATGGAGTTAGGTTGCTTGACTGGGGCCAGGACAGGTATCTAAAGCACTACGGCATCAAGATTAGCACGACGCCTGCAAAGGTCAAAGCCCGTCAGCTTCCCTACCCAACTATCACCTTTGCCGGCTCAGGCGCTGGTAGCACTATTTCGCCTAAGGATTGCCAGAACGGCCGTTGGCGTCTCGACGGGAAAACGTTTATCGCTCCCAATCAGCGCGAGATCACTTCTTGGGGTATTTGTGTTATTCAGGGTAGAGGTGCTCTAGCTAAACCCGCCGTTGAGCATTTTGCTCGCTCATTCATTAGGACCTATGAGAGCCATGGAGGAAAATTCAGCACGAAGTTCAACAAGCTACCCCACATCGTCGACGGCAATCTCGCCCGTGGTGGTGATATGATTGCAGACGCCTGGAATGCGATTGGCAACAAGTTCCAGGCTCGACCAATGTTCATGATGTTCATTGTCAACGACCGCAATGTTGAAGTCTATCGCCGCATCAAGAAATCGTGTGACTGCCGGTACGGAGTTCCCTCGCAGGTCGTTCAGTCGAGGCATGCAGCGCAGTCATCTGCCCAGTATCTATCCAATGTTTGTATGAAGGTTAACGCGAAGCTTGGTGGAGCTACCTGCTTTGCCAAGTCGACAATCATCCCCAAGCTGAATCCCAAGGCAGCCAGCATTCCGACAATGATCATCGGTGCTGATGTTTCTCACCCAGCCCCCGGTGCTGGTTCCGATACTGCGGCTTCGTTCGCTGCCATCGCCGTGTCTAATGATACAACATTCACTCGCTATTGGGCTGAGTGCAATACTAACGGCAATCGCGTCGAGATGGTCACGACACAGAACATCGATGAACACCTTGGCAACATGGCGAAGAACTGGATGACTCGAGTTGGTCGGGGTCAAGCGCCTCAACGCGTTCTCTACATTCGTGATGGTGTCTCTGAGGGTCAATATGCTGCCGTCTTGGAAGAAGAAGTCCGCGACATGAAGGAATGCTTCCGCAAGATTGGTTGCAAGACCATTCCGAAGTTTACCGTCGTCATTGCTGGAAAGCGTCACCACATTCGGTTCTTCCCCGACAAAGGTAGATCTGACAGGAACAACAATCCATACCCTGGCGTCCTTGTTGAGACCGGCTGCACTCACCCTTTCGAATTCGACTTCTACCTCTGCGCCCACTCTGCTATAAAAGGCACAGCTCGACCAATTCACTACCAGGTCATTCTGAACGAGGCCGAGTGGGGAGGCATGGAGCTTCAGCAGTTCATCTTCGAGCATAGTTTCCAGTATATTCGGTCCACGACTCCAGTTTCCCTTCATCCGGCTGTCTACTATGCTCACCTGGCTGCCGATCGTTCTCGCGCTCACGAAAATGTCACCCCAGTGTCCTCTGGGAAGAAGGAGGCTAAGGCTGAGCAGAAGCCCGAGAGCTCGTCTGGTTCATCCAAGAACAAGGTGGAGATTCAGCCTCTCCTCGCTCTGTCCAACGCTCAGGGCCTCCGCGAGCTCATGTGGTACGTCTAGATGACCACATCATCTAATCCTCAACCGAAGGCAACTTTTCTCTGGTGATGATGCGATAGGGTCTACCGATGGTAAGGTGCATGAGATGATGGTTTTGATGGAACGGCATAAGTGGTGGATTACTCTCGTTGACCTTTCCCAAAAATTGACTTTTATTTATTTGCTTTCAGAACTTCCCTTCCTCTCCCTACTCTCTTACCTAGCGAATGATTTTTCAGGTCTCAATGGAGTCGTGGCTGGTGACAGCAAAGAAATTTCAGGGCAGGATGTGAATGGAGTTGTTCATGGTTTGGGTCCAAGGGATCGCCACTCGGGCTTTCCGGTACTTAGGTCTTCACTTAGGTAGCCCATTAATGCGAGGTTATCAAACTTGCTAATTTATGTGCTTTAGAATTTACGATATGGTGACTTACGATACTAACACCAACTGCAAAGGGGACACGATGCAGAAAGCGAAACTTCGCTGCACGCGCAAAATTGAATATTCACCAGTCTTTCCAGCCGCTCTCTCCCACCAAACACCACCTCCCAAATAATAAGGGCTGAGCCGAAGAACAGCCTTCAAAAGCACAAGCCAACTCCCAAACAAGAGTTCCGACTGGGAATGTGATGTGTCGTCTAACATAAAATTTTCCCATCTCAACACGAGGACTGCAGACCTGACGAAGAGAAAGAGGTAAGCAGGCGAGTTCTTCTCCCCTCCATTTTCCCCTCCAACAACCTCATGTATTAGGAGAAAGCAGAGTGAATATGAAGGGTTACAGTTTTATATGTGAAGAAGGAGAAGGAAGGCGGGTGGGGAATTTGATTTTAGGATTTTCGGAAGGTGACTAAGCTAGTGTAATAGTTTGGGCTTGGTGCGGATTGTGGAGCCTTACCATTTTAGGCATAGTCTGATTTAGTCGAGACGATTTGATGCGGTGCAATTTGGTGGTGGGGGAATGAAGCGGGGCTGGTCTTGTGGGTGCGGTGTTGTTCACTCTGCTGCTGCTGCGAGTGTGACTCCTTTGGTCCTGAGTTTTACTGTTGTGCGTTGGCTTTGGGGACTTGGTATTTCTTGTGGTGAATCTTGGTTCGTTCACGTTTTAAAGTTTGGCACGCTAGGTATATAAGAACTTCGCGGGCTGTCTGGGAGACGACGTTTTACACCACACACCACACGACAGCCCACTGCTACACCGACTCTCCGACCCTTCGCCCAACAACAATTTACCAGAGAACTCTTTTTCTTGCACAAACAACTACGAAAAAGGCTTTCCCGTGCAGAAATCATGTCGTCAGCACGAGGCCGCGGCGGCAAGTTCAGCAAACCTAAACGTGGTGGTACGTCACCCGTTCCATTCGCCATTCTCCGCTTCGGTGATTGATCACATTGAGCTAACCTTTCGAGCATGCAGGTGGGAAACACTTCTCTCGAGACCTCCAACCGCTCAATGCCGATGGCGAAGTTATGGGCATGTGGGGTGTACGTTCTTCACTCTCCCTCTCCCTAAGTCCCAGCCTTGAACCCGGCTAACACTCTCTCTAGGACGAGCGCCCCAAGAAAATAGATGAGGATGGCTCGGAAGAAGACGACGAAGACGAGTCCTCTGAGGAGGAGGGCTCAGACGACGACGCCCCAAAACAAGAACTCACGCGCGAAGAACGCCGTGCTGTAGCGAAAGCCCGTAAAGCCGCCGCCATTGCGAAGCAGAACCAAAAGACCGCTGAGCCAGGGGACTTACCTCCTTCCTCCTCTGAAGACGAGGACGATGACATGCCCGCGAACCCGAACCACACTGCGAAGGCACGCTCGCAGGCTGCTGCCCCGACTCCCGTTGCTACTGCCGAAGGCAAGGGCAAGGAGAAGGTCAAGGATATCAACCAGTTGAGCAGGCGGGAGCGGGAGGCGCTTCAGGCGCAGCAAGCGAAGGAGAGGTATGAGAAATTGCATGCGGAGGGCAAGACGGAGCAAGCGCGTGCGGATTTGGAGAGGTTGGCGCTTGTGCGTGAGAGGAGGGAGGCCGAGGCCGCGAGGAAGAAGGCCGAGGCTGAGGAGAGGGCCGAGCAGGAGAAGGCGAAGGCGGAGCAACTTGAGCGGGAGCGCAAGATGCGTGAAGCTGCTATGGGAGGTGGGAAGAGGGGTGGTAAGGGCGGGAAGAAGAAGGCGTAAAGTTGAGTTGATACTCGGGTTCATGGGAGTTGCATGTTGCATATAGGATGCTTGCTCATTGCATAGCTTGCGGGCGGGACATCGGGTATCGTGGGCGGACGATATTGCCATGATTTTCACGACTGAGGGACGTAGTGCAGGACATATGAGCGAGGTGTCCAGAGCCGAGCTTCTAGTAGATCAGATTATACAGGTCCCTACAGATACGATTTCCTTGTCGAACCTCCTGCTCCTCATGGCCCCGTATTTTCAAAATGCATACGCCCTCCTGGTGACTTGTCCTGCGCGCCGAGTATCTCTATGACTACACTCGACACGAGTATATTACGTCGAGCCAATTGACTTCTCCAACAGCATATCCAGAACATTCGAAAAGCATTCATATATTCGTATCAACATTCGTGACTCCTCTGCCTTAGCCCTTTTCCACAACAGCCACGCACAGGCACAGCCGCACTTTCAGCGCAGCATCGCTCAGACCGCCCGAGGACCTCGCCCCACCAACCACAGCTCAAGCTTCCTCGAAGTAGCTTCGAAACACCATCACTTTCGCAGCATACATAAACTGCCTTTCCTATCCCGCTATGTCTCCCTTTCAAATCCAAGCCGAATTCGAGTTCCAGTTCCCCCCTTTACTACTCCTACCACTTTCTACCACCTCACGATTGCTAGCGGACCTTTTGCGTCATCGCAATGGCTGAACCTATTCCCGCCGAGGAAGTGTCGAACTACGAAACCTTCCGCGAATGTCTTTCCGAGCCGGTGTTGAGGGCCTTGTCGGCGCCGGCTGAGCAGCCGAAGAAGAAGAGAGCGCATCGGAAGAAGGGTGGGAAGAGCAATGGCGAGGGGAACGAGGCTGAGGCAGACGCAAAGGTGGGGAATGAAGATGGAGACTTAGAGAAGGATACTGACAGCAACGACGCTGAAGACTTGGGTGAATTCATCGATGTGCGATCCATTGCCGCCATCTCCTCTATCGTCTACCTTGCTAACAAACCTCCACAGTACCTCACCTCCCAAATCTTCTCCTCCCTTCCCACCCCCTTCCGCACCCTAACCCACTCCAAATACAAAGACAGCCCCACTCTCCAAGCCCTCTACACTGTCCCCCTCTCTATCTCCACCACCACATCTCTCCTCTCCTCTCTCGTCCCCCCCGCCCTCGACAGCCTCTCATCTTACGGCCTCCTCCCGTCTCCCTCTGACGCCCTCGACCACCGTAACTTCTTCGTCCCGATATACGAATCCTACATATCCGCCGTCACGGCTCCGCCACCCATCTGGTCGACCACGAGAACGACGGCGTGCGAGCTGTGTCATCGCGAGTGGATTCCGTTGACGTATCATCATCTGATTCCGCGGTCGACTCATGCGAGGGTGTTGAAGAGGGGGTGGCATACTGAAGATCGGTTGGGGAGTGTGGCCTGGCTGTGTAGGGCTTGCCATTCTTTTGTGCATAGGGTTGCAGGGAATGAGGAGCTGGCGAAGCAGTGGTATACGGTGGAGTTGTTGGAGGGGAGGGAAGATGTTAAGACGTGGGTGAAGTGGGTGGGGAGGGTGAGGTGGAAGAAGAGGTAGAGGGTGGGAGATGGGGAGTAAGGGATGGGGGATAGGGGATGAGATGTTCCGGTAGCTGTGATGTTGGGAACTGACTGATATATGGGGAATAATGAGGGTTGCGATGCTGAAGCTAATGAGACATTCTGTTGTTGTCTGTTTTCTGAAATCTTGCGCGAAACTAATGCTGTTATCATAATCATTCTCCATGTCATCGCTCGGTCCTTCCACCGCCCCTTCCCCCACTGCTTAGTATCCTACCACCACTCAACCGTACTCTCCCCGTCCTCCCAATCATCATCGTACTCCTCTTCCATCACCTCATACATCCACCTCGAGTAAGCCTCCGGTTCCCTCCTAATCTCCTCCCTCAACGCCTCCTCATCCTCCTTATCATCCTCCATCTCATCAAACTCATCCTGCTCCCTCAGCGTCTGCACTTTATTTTTCGCCCACCATCGTCTAATGTGCTGTCTATCTTTCACATACTGATGAAACAAAAACAACACCGAGACGTCAAAATACCCTTTCAGTATGAGATTGAATTTCTCATACCACCCTAGCCTCGGCCAGTATCTGTACATGAGCCTTTTGTATTCCTGGTTTTGGAATATTGGGCTGGGCGGCAGGGGGGGCGGGGTCCATGTTGCGGGGGATGCGCCGTTGCGCTTGGCGTGCTTGGAGAAGGCAATGGAGGTGGAGGTGGAGGTGGAAATGCCTTCTCCTGACACAAAGGCAATGATTGAGGCGATGGCGAGACTACCGATGAAGAGGAGGGTGTAGATGTTTGTACGAAAGGCGATTCTTGGGGGTGGAAGACCCCGTGTATTGGCTGGGGTGGATGAGGGCATAATTATCGTGAAGGCTGTGACGAGAAAGCCGGTGATGAGGATCCTGGAGAGACTTGCTTGACGAGCGCTTCGTTGCGAGGGAAAGAGCGAGATGTTGACTGGCTTGGATGAGGCCATGGTACAGGGTGGGATTGGGGTGAAGCACTAGAGCTTTGTAACCAGAAAAGTCGGTGACAATGAGAATGCGGAGCGTGTTGGCGGGTCGATGAGAGAGCAGTATTCTTGTTATCTTCGCAAGGTTCGAACTTGATAGATGAAGTGGAAGTGGAGAAGATGGCAGAGTGCGGAGCTGCGAGCGTATGATAGACTTGCTGTAGGGATCTTCGACTCTGTATTTTGAGGAATCCGTGTTTCCAACAAAACCAAGTACTGTCTATATCCAAATACTGACAGAGGATGAGTTGAGGAAAGGCGTGTAGAACCAAGAGATTACTCAGATCAGCCACATAGGTAGGCATGGAATGCGGACAAACTTGTACGCCTCTGGGAAGGAGCGAATGGCTGGCCGCTGTGTTGCAACGCAAAGCATTTTTCTGGCATCCTGTAAGAAGCCACGACGGACATCAGACAGAGCATTGCGACGCTGAGAAAATGCAACTCCTGTGGGATGCTTTGTGAAGAATTCATCACTATAATCTTGGCTCGATGCGAGGAACTCTCGCCATCTATTCTTTACTAACATATGCCTCCACTGCACTCACTACCTCATCCAACCCCCGAACTTTCATTGTCGGCCTCCCCATCTCCCCATCAACTAACTCATCCACCCAACCCAGCCCACTCCGATCCACCCAACACGTCCTCATCCCCACTGCGTTCGCCCCCGTCACGTCAAACGGATTCCCCGAAATCAACCACACATCTGTCTCCTTGCCCTCCTTCCCAACCTTCCTACACAAGTAACGATACACCTCCGGACACGGCTTAAACCTCTGCACGGGCTCAACAACGACGACGTCTTCAAAGACATGAGCGTGGGGAGAGAGATCTGGAGATTGCGTGAGGGAAGCGGAGATCATTGCCTTTGTGCCGTTGGAGAAGACAACGGCGTGAAAGTGGGGGTTGGATTTGAGATGTGAGAACAGAGGTGGGACGTCTGGGAAGAGGGAGAGCGTGTTATAAGCGTTCATTAGACTGGTGATTTCTTGGGATGATAACGTGACTCTGGATTCGGCGAGGGCGTGTTGGAGGGATTTTTGCGTTACACTGGAGAACGGTTCATATTTATCTGGGGGAACTTAAGGATTTGGTGGCGTGGAGAGGAGGAGAGAAGATACTCATGCTGTTCAAGCGCCATGTATACTCCAATTGATACTTCCGCCATTCTTGCGCTATATTTGCTGCTTTTTCTGGTCCGAAATGCGATGCTAGTCGTGTGGCGATGCTTTCTGTGGAGAGTAGTGTGCCGTATGCGTCAAAAGCGAGAATGATCTGTCCTTTTGAAAGCATCTCAAAGAGGAGGATATTAGAATAGTGATGAGCAAGTGCGTGGTGAGAAGGACTACTTGGACTTCAGATTGATGGAAAGATTCCAGATCAAATGGCAGGGAAACATTGGAAGCGGGGGGTCGCTGGCTTGCTTATTCCGATGCCCCGCATTGCCGACATCTCTTCCACCTGAACTTGGATGTTCGGCAGCCATTCCTCGTGGAGATGTGCGAGAAGTACTCTTCTGAAACCCTAGGCTCTGGCGTCGACTTCTTGTACAACCATGGCTCGTAAATCAGGGGACTTGCACGATGACATAATACCCCTGAGAAAACACATGACATCAGCATCAGCCGTACAACCTATCTTGAGCTAACGAGAAGCAGGATGTTTGAGAGTGAGCCCAATCCCAAGCGACGGGACCCCATCAACCATAGATGCGAATTGGAGCTCACGACAATTCGGTCAAATCCCTGAATCGTAAACAGCCGGTGGCGTGTCTGGTGGCGGCTGTTCGGCTCGTGCAACTCTACGATACGTGCGGAAGAAAGTGAGACCTAGGATTGGGCCGAAGGTGTTGCTATCTGGTCGAGAAGAATGCTGTGATGTCGAGTTGAATGGAGACCTGGATTGAAGAATGTATATGTGGTTGAAATATTGCAGAATATTCGCACCGACCAATGGTTTGCGACGCATGCATTGAAGAGGATCTTGGAGGCCTTGGTGGGCGGCTGGAGATGCTATCAAAGAACTCAAATCATGCCCCCAGCATTGTCGATGATGAAACGCAGATGCGGAGAGATGTTAGTGCGAGCGATAAGGATGACCTATCTTTGAAGCGGAAGGCACTTCCTGTATTTCCTAAAAAGGCAAGTAAGCTGGGTCACGAGATGGCCTTATTCGGGTCAGTTAAGATGCTTCGACCTCTTATTGTTCCTTCTGTTCGGGTCTTATTACAGCCATTGAAATATCTTAGGATTCGTATTTGACCGTTCAAGTTCTGGTAACCGGTGAGGGTTCTCATTTAAGACTCAAATTTGTTCTTGCGAAAAGACAAGTGTGTGGGAGTTCTAGAACATACAAAAAGTGGAAAGGCGGTGATATGCTCTTGCTGCGGAGACTTTTTGGTGGTGTCGCAACTAAACATGCAGAGCATCCAGGGAACACCCTGGACGATTGCCAGAGAACAAAGGTTTAAGTTTCGGGTATCGTAAGGCACAGGAGGGTGCCATCGGTCGGACCGCACGAAGAAGTATATGATCTTCGAGATATAGCTGTCAGACTCTGGGTCTGGATTTGAGGGGAAGTTTATGCACCCAATCGTAATCGGCGTGGAAGAAGACAAAGGTGTCGAACTGGGGTTACACATAGTGCTGGAAAAGTTTTGAGTACGTGTTTCGCGGCCGAGGGATTCATGCGGGACCCCGCATGATGTGGCAAGTTTGATGTCTGGAAAAATGCATTTCTAGAATAACCGAGAGCTAGTCAGATGCTTCTAAAGAGAAGCATGTGTTGAATGCAAAAGTTTACGCAAATGTTGGGCGGGTTCTGGTGCATATGGGGAGACGCTCGAATGCTTTGCTTCTTCATGCGCATGCCACCGCAAGGCTTAGAAGATGCGGGCGAAATTAAAGGCAGACGCTGTGAGACCTGGTTTCGTGAGTGGAGACAGAAGGAATGGTCGAGTCAGAAAACAGACATCTCGTTTTCCGATGCGAGAAAAGTAGGATCTAAAATAGAGATAGAAGTTGGGCGCTGTAGTGGCCCCAGGAACCATTGTTAGATACGCCGTGTGATAAGACCTTTAGCGCCCGGAAGATACAGACGGAGATGACATGTTCAGGGCCGTTTTTGGGATGAACTGCCGCGTGACATGCAGACGGTCAGTCTGGAGAGGGTGTCACGATGGCCGTTAAGCTGTGAACTGGTTCTCTTCGCGTGGCCCACAAACAAGCAAAAGCAAATAGCAAAGGGAGCATGGGGAGCCGAAAAGTAAATGGAAGGAAAAAGAAATGCGAACGTTCCGCGTGCAAACAGGTGCACGACGGCCAGGTATGTCTCACAGATGGCGCAGGCTGTCGGTCAAGGACATGGAGTGCTGCAAGCTGTGTTCCTTCCAAGCCAAGGTTCCAACGCTCCAAGTGCTCCACCCATGATTCCACTCGGCGAGCCACGGAACAGCTCCCAGTTTCCGGAGCCCCGAATGTGAGAGATGAAGGCGTTGACCAATGAATGGGCGATGCAAGGCGAGACCTGATGGAGCCAGTTGATTTTTGGATGTTCCTGCCGGTGCCCGATCAAGGCCCCGCGAGTTCTCGACGTGTTCCTGAGGGCTGTCTGGATATATACAATGCCGGGCAGCGTCCGGATTCGGGGTGCTCGCGTCCTGGATGGGCAATTCGATAGCGTGGAGAGGGAGCGGGCCTGGTGCTGGCCTGGCGCTGGCCTGGTCGAACAGCGATCCCTGATTCTTTTTTCTCCCGCAAGGAACACACAAGGGATGGCTGCCCGCGACCGAGGCGAATTCAGGGGTTAGCCCGTGATTGGCCAGAGGCCGCTCGTCTCTGCGTTTCAGGGTGAGGGTTGCACGATGGCTGCGAGCGGTGCTATGCCTGCAGCAGCGTGTTGGAGATGACGAGAGCAAAGGACGACAAGCAGCGCGGCGCTCACAAACAGTCTGGCAAAGTCAAAGAATCGTGACGGCGATCGCCTTGCCCGTCCCTCTTCCCCCACTCAGCAGGGTAGGCCCCCGGTCACAAGCCAATAGAGGGTCGCGAAGGCCTAAGAAAAAAGCTCCTAATAGTCGTCTCGCTGCCCTCTATACAGCCCTTGGCTCTACTATAACTCAACGCGTGCTCCCACCGCGTCCACCCCCAGCCCACGCGCAGCCTCTCCGTGATTGTGTGAATTACTGCAAGCACGCTGCATCGGTCCGCCACTGTATCTGGACGCGCGCAGCAAATGCGTGAACGTCTTGGCCCCTGCCACACCGCCGTTAGAGACCCCTGAACGACGCCAGACTGCCGAGTCCCCAACTCTCCCCACAGCGACGAGCACGATCCGCAAATCTCAGCCTGCTTTTCTCGACTGTGTCATGCCGGAGGGCCGTTTGCCTTGACACAGCGCAGAGGAGGACCAGCAGCGCTGGCTTCTCGACTCACAGCACACAGCACACAGCACACAGCATCAGGGACACCGACTGCTCGAGCAACCGTCACCCAACGCCGCAGCCCGCAATTGACGCTGCACCTTTCCGGCTCCGCCTGCGTCCTCAATTACACGACGATAATCCTTCCCAGTCGCTTGGAAGCCGCCAACAGGCCTGCAGTCTTTGTTCTCCGTACGCGCTCTGTTCGGAGGATGCTCCCTCGCGGCAGAGCTGCATCTACTCCCTCAATCCTTAGCCCAGATCGTTGAAGGTAGCGTCGAGAACATAATGGTGGACTACAACACCACCTCTAGAGGCGACCTGCGGGACAGCTCACGCCCGGCGACACCCACCGGCCCGACGAGAACAAACAAGGCCAACGGGAAGATGCGCGCGCTAAACACTCGCCCGACGCAGCAAGAGACATTCTTCGACGACTCCACCCCCGTTGACAATTCCAAGGGCGGCGACAAAGAACACGATCCCTCTAGGGATTCACACGATCTGTCCTTTGGCGACGGGACTAGGGACTCGGTCGTGGACAACATGTTGCTGTCGCTCGACCAGCTTCCCACGGGGGCCTCTTCATTTACCGACCCCGCTACCCTGTATTCCAATTTTGACGACGACGATTTCTTCTTAACAGATAATCCTTATCCTCCACCGCGGCCTTCTCGTTTGCGGGGTCATACCTACACCTCCTCCCACTCCTCTGACTACGACCTGCACCCTGACGACACTTCCTCCCGATACTCCAGCCACCATTCGCGGGGGCGAAGAAGTAATAGCAGCAACAACATTCAACATGCGCTGAGCCGTAAAGAGAGTTTGCGTGGAGGCTATCCTGTTCCCCGGGAGAAACAGGCAAACGGACTGTTTGGAGAGTTTCAGACAGCAAGCCACTCAAGAGGAGGTGGGAAAAAGGGGAGCAAGGGCAGCGGCTCCTCTAGCATGGATTTTGGATATTCGCAGGCTTTGGGTACTCAACGGATAGGTTTTGGAAATCGTTCAGCCAGTTTTGACCATGGAAATATGGCAGATAGATCAAGGATATCGCCAGTTAAGACAGAGTCCATTTTGGATAGAAGCCGTCCTGCATATCAAACTTACAACGAATATGACGCCGCTCCACAACCTACGATTCCGGCTGGCCCCAGGAGAGCCCAGCAAGCACCACCCGAATCACCTCCCGCATACCCGCCCCAACCATCATATGCTCCCCCACAGGCTCCGGCGCCACGGCGCAAGAGCAGTGTACGGTCGAGCAGAACACTGCGCAAAAACAAAAGCCAACCTGAGCCGAACATGAGACTCCAGGCACAGGAATTTGTCAATGCGAGCAAGCTCCGCGACCTTCCTCCAATACCGTCGTTGCAAGGCCCACCTGCCCCATCACCAACCGTGGCTACACGGAAACACCTGCAACCTAATTCCCCAACGCCCGTCACCACGCCGAAGGAGAAGCCGGGCTTCTTTAGGAGAGTGTTTGGCGGGTCGTCAAGAAACAGCCAGCCACAGCTGTCCAGTACTTCAATTAACTCTAATCCCTCACACCACGAGGCATCTCCCGCCTCGCACCGTACAATCGATTCCTATCCAACAGACTCACAAACACGCCCTCGAACAACCCCCAGCAGCACTAACCACATTGCCTCCCAATTGAAGTCATTACCTAGAGTGCCTCAAACAGCCAGCTCGGCACCAAGGGAGCCACCGCAACCTGTGCAGCCCTCGCTTGCAAAAAAACACTCGTCTTTCTTCCGGCGGCGGAAGAAGTCCGTGTCTGAGAGTACAAAACCTCCCGTCATGGCTATTGAGTTCAAGCCACCAAAACCAGATCTTCTTCCTGCACAACCTAGCCCTGGAGTTAGTAGTCTGCGTAAGGTGATGAATCCGTACCTGGGCGACCTTGCAGGCCCTGCAGAGACATACTATGACTCTCGGGAGCACCAATCCACAGGCGAAGGCCTGACAAACGGCGAGCATCCGAATGGGTTCTCGCCAGGTTACAAGCCCCATAAGGATGCAACGGTCCGCACGATAAAGCCGGGCTCCCGTGGCACTGACAATACTCCTCCGTCTTCAAGGGATGCGCAAGTTAAAAAGATGCAATCACTTAGCACTGACAGCCCTAAACTCAAGCTGAAGATGAAGCACGGTCGGACAAGCATGGCCAATCCACAAGACGACTCGTTCCTTGCTGATAGCAGCAGCTGCAACGACGATGGCAGTACGTGCGCTACGCCGTCGGGACCAGATGAATCGCGAACCGGGAAGGCGAGCAGTGGTGAAAACAAGAAGCGGGCCGACCTGCTTAGTCCTCAGACAGCCGATTCTAGTTCAAGCAAGACCAAAGCGACGGCTGGAGCAGCATCGGCCTCCCAGTCTGCGTCTGATTTGGAAGACGACGGCTGGGTCGTCACGTCGCCGACCAAGAAGGAACAGACGTCGCTGCGGAAATCAAAGAACAAGTCGAAGCGGGTTTGGCTGGAGCCCACGTCCTCGGAAGAGAAGCTGGATGATGCCGAAGCTGACAAGATGTCGCTGCCTTTGGAAGGCGCGCGCACGTCACAGCAGTCATTCCAGAAGGCGTCGCCGACGTCCGCCCAAGCCACCACGCCCTCGTCGGCGAGTGATGTATTCCATTCTGCCACGAGTCTCCCCGTGGTGCAGGTCGAGAGCCGCGAGTCTGAGGTCATGCCCGCAATCATTGAACGCCGCCCTTCACAAGATGCAGCACCCACAGATGCTGATCGGGGGCGTGCTCTCCAAATCTTCAGTGGCGATGAGGACTCGATCAGCAAAGCCCAGGCGGCTGCCATTCTCGGTGACTTCACCCCATCGAGCTTACGGCTGCGCAGGGCCTTCTTTGAGCTTTTCAACTGGTCTGGCTTCAACATACTCATGGCTATGCGCGACTTGTGCGGCAAGCTTGTGCTGAAAGCCGAAACGCAGCAAGTCGACCGTATTCTCATGAGTCTCTCTGAACGGTGGTGTCAATGCAACCCTAATCACGGCTTCAAAGCCACAGGTAAGTCCATCACCCTTGGAATTAGCGCAGTTTGCTGACCGGAATGTAGACGTTGTGCACACTATCTGCTACTCTGTGCTTCTTCTCAACACCGACCTGCACCTTGCGGACATTGAGACGAGAATGACTCGTAGCCAGTTTGTCAAAAACACCCTGCCTACCCTTGTTCGCGTATGCAAGGAAGCCGTCAAGGAAGCAGCCGATGAAACGTTACGACCACAGTCTACTCAGATGAGGAGAGGCTCAATCCCATGGACCGACAAGTCAGAGCCAAACTCTCCAGCAGCCGATGCCACAGTGTTCCCCGCAGATGTGTCGGAGGAGCCTCTTGAGGGCAGGCGGGCGCGAAGTCGCCTTTCAGTCAAGCCACCTATTCGCAATGGTTCAGAGAGCCTGCTGACTCCAGATTCTGCCACTGCTGAATGTAATGCACTCGTTAATAACCCGTACAACGGCCCCATGAAAGGCTGGGAGTACCAGGTTGAGACAGTGCTCAAGGAGTTCTACAACCAGATCCGGCAACAGCGACTGCCCCTCCATGGTGCTTCTACCCTGCAAACTCACGAGCAACCGTCATCCAACAGCCTTTCCGTCAGCGGCATGCTACGACGAACACCCAGCGTTCTGAGCAAAGCGCCTTCTGATTCTATTAGCTATCGTGGACGCTCGCAAGGAGACTTTCGAAGTGTTGGAGCCCGTTGGACCTCTAAAACGCGGTCAAGACCGAGACTCTATCCAGCCTCTACGGTGGCGTCAAGCCGAACCAGCCTGGATGACCAATCTGTTTGGAGCCCTGCAGGCTCGAGCACTTGGAGCAGATACTCTTTTGGCAAGACCCAAACCTCGATGTCTATGGAATCTCTCGGCTCGCATTTCGCTCATGGTGACTACCAACAGGCAATTGGATTCGCGAATGCCCTTAGCCAAGCCATTATTCGCGAGGAGGGTATGCCTATTGCTAGCAATGAAGAATTCACCCGTGTCGCACCTCTGCTAGAGGATGAAACTCTCGAACTTGCAGGGGCACCGTGGGCAAAGGAGGGCATTCTTAAGCATAAACACCACTTGGAAGCGCTTGACAAGAAAGCCAAGGACCGAACATGGAATGAGTGCTTTGCAGTCATCGAGAAGGGCTACATGCGCCTTTTCTCCTTCAGCATGAATTCTAAGTCGCTGCGGAACAAGAACAAACCTCGCCCCTCTGCCGGCAGTGTCGTTGGTGGGGGTAACTGGATGGACAATGCCGAAGCACTTGACAGCTTCCTCCTACGTCAGTCTATCGCTAGCGCCCTGCCACCGCCGGGATACTCGAAATCGCGGCCACATGTATGGGCGCTATCTCTCCCAACTGGTGCTGTGCATCTTTTCCAAGTCGGCACGCCCGATATTGTACGAGAGTTTGTTTCCACTGCCAATTATTGGTCCGCAAGATTGTCTAAGGAACCTCTTATGGGTGGTGTTAGCAATGTTGAGTACGGTTGGGGTGAGAACGTTGTTAATCCCGCTCTCATCCGCCAAGACAACTCATCATCTACCCATGGCCATGTGCCGCGACCCAGTATGGCGAGCTCTATCCGCAGCTCCGTCGACCATGCCACAGGAACCGTGAAGCCCCGGCTTCCGGGAGACAAGGTTGGCTTGTCTGATTGGAGTCCACCAACACAGAGCATGATGGCTAGCAATCTGATGGAGGTTGATCAACTCAAGGCCTTGACCAACTATGTCAAGAACGTTGAAGAGGAGCTTTCGCGTCATAATGAACTGAGGGCGCCCATGCTCATTGCCGTAAGTCTCGCTAACCCGCGGAAATCTCAATCACTAACATCTCGCAGTTCTCTCCTCGACATCCTAATGCAGCCCGAGCAATGTCCAATTGGGAGCGAAAATCTTCGTACCTCCTCCGCGAGATCGTCAAGTTCCGCACCTACATTGACTCTCTCAATGCGGCGCAAGCCCACAAAGATAAGATCTACGCCGAGCGTGAAGCAGAAGCTTCAAAGAACACCGATGGCACTGGTGATTCCACCCAGCCAGAACCTCTCGGTTTAGAACTTGACGGTGGGCTCGAAGCTCCCAAGAGCTCTGATCCCATCACAATAACTGCTTAATCTAATTCTTGCATACACTGACATTTCGTTCTTGTATAGCGCTTACACCGCTGCGGCGTACGATACGTCGATTACACCTTCTTCACTCTTCTCGTCAAAAACTCCGACCGCATTCAGTGGCATGATTATTCGAGCTATAATTTATCTAATTTTCCGATACACCATATACGATTTTATTTTCCTCTTGAGCTCTCCTCACGACCTCGAAATTCGCTTCCCCACCATCCATCTCCTTTGTCCGGCGGAGGGTATCAGTTCTAATTCCAGCAGCATCAGTCCAAAGAAGCCACACGATGAAACGTCATGTACGATTGTCTCTTTCTCTCTCCAGGAGCACGGTGGTTTGGACGGCGTGCGTGCGTGCGTGCGATTCCTTCTTCATCTAAGGACGACTATCGCTTCGATTGGAAGCAGGTCGTACCGGATCTAGTTTTTCTTATTTTCTTTATGATGAGAAGGAAAGGTGCATATGGCGGCAAAGCAGTGTGTATCCATCCATTCTTAGATAGCCATTTTTTGTACGGGTGGTTGTGGTAGCTGGATAACGAGGGCGAGGGTGTCGGGGGTTAGCTGACTGGCGGGACAGCACAGCTAGGAAATAAATGATATACCCAACATGTCCCTTCCTCGCGTTCTGTGAGGAGGGAAAGCTTTCAATTTGCTGTGTTTGTTGGACTTGTGTGACTCAGTGAGGTAGCACATTGAAAGGCATGCGTATAAACGTTTTCCAGATGTAACTTCTTCTTGACATGCATTCAGCGTTGGGCAAGTCAGATATACGAATTGCAACGCGATGCGGCACGGCACGGACATTTAACTAAGATCTTTAATCTCAACTCTCGCTCTCCCACGTGGAGGCGTTCATTCCGGCCGCTTGGCATGGGCACGGCGCGGACACAAAATTTCATCCATCTCACAGTCCAAGATGCAAGATCTAATGCAGGTACAAGTTGTTTAAAAATCTGTTAGCAGAGTGGAGTGGAGTTAAATGCTTACATAGGGAGGGGGGGTACTGGAACAAGGGACTTAAATTATATGAGTGGACTGATTGCTGACTGCGACGGGGGTTTTGGCGCTGACGCAGAATTTTTATGGTGGTAGGATTGTTCGTTGGTAAATGGAGAGGTCTGGTTATGGATTATGGGCCTGTTTGATAGCCTCGTATGTCTTGGATCTGAGATGAGGGTGTGGGGATAGGGGTTTGGATTGAGAACTCGGAGGGAGAAAAGGAAGGTTGGGATTAAGGTTAGGCGAAGATGTTCCTGAAATGGATAATGGCAGGGTTGCGGCGAGGATCAAAGCTTTGTGTGCATGCGGCTCTCCGGATGGCAGACGCAGGTGCAGTGAGGGACGTACGAGAATAGAATGAGGTTGTTTGAGATGGAATAGACAGGTAGGTAGTTCGATGGAAATGAATTGGGTGTTGGATAGATAGAAGACAAGGCAGCATGCAGTGGTACAGTAACTCTGCACTCCTTCATTTTACCCAGCAGCAGCAGCTCCTCCCTCGTGCCGCGCATTCTGATTCGCCAGTTTGCTTGTATCCTTGCACTGCTCTCGATGACAGCTTGAATGCAACATGCTGAACAAATTCGTCCAGCGATCTTGTTAAGCAGCGTCCCACAGTCTCACTGGCATCCCACGTCCATTCCAATGAGAAAGCATGCATTCGGTCTTCACCGTTCGCGTGCAGCTCGCGACGCAAGCCACAGAATTCCATTGCATTGGGCTGGAACCCCCAGATCCGTCTAACCTGGGCGAATCGTCTGCGTTGATAGGAAGAAGGGAGGGGGCGGACGGAAAGAGGGAAGGCGGGAGACATGGGGTGCGGATTGGGAAAGCTGGATATGCAGTGGGTTTGGTTTGGGAGGTGGGATTGGAGTGAGTGAATGCGAGTTTGGACGTGAGCTGCTGAAAAGGAATGTGCTGTGCTTCGCTAGGGAGGTTTACCGCAAGTTTGCGCTGATTGCGATGGGCAGTGCATGTTTTGGAATTGCAGGAGTTCTGGATATGATTGCTTGGTGGTTTAATCCGTACTTGGGAAGAAATGGAGTGCACTTGTGCTCTGACCGTCTGGCACTCGGCATGGCCGCTCAGTGTTGACGCCTCGACTCGAAAAAGACCGCCACGACGAGGCTTGATGGTTCGAGCGCTCGACGCCAGCAGTATGGCACTTATGCACGACAACCGGGCGATGTGATGGCGGAGGGCAGGGTTTCGACATGTGATTTGCTCAAACAGAAAGCTTGGGAGCGGCAGAGGAGATTTGTCGTGAATCCACGTAGGTGAGGTTGAGATGATGAGTGATTGGCAGAGTTGCTGCTGTCACTGCGATGCTGGGCTTGTGGCTGCGGGAGCTCCGCGAAGGGGTGGCAGTCATGATAGCAGTGTTGTTGTCAGAGTCGGCGCCCATGGCTACGGCATCGTGTGGTCTGTTCTCAATGTCGTGGCTCTGGAGAGCGGGTTGAAGCCCTATGCCCACGCATATCCCAGTCCGTGTCACTCCTCCACCATCCTTCTTTCTGACCCCCGTATGCTTTAGCTAGCTCGGGCGTGCATTCCCGCTCGCCGACTACTTCGTACTGTTAAAACTACCCCTCGCCCCCTAATTCCCCATCATCTTTGCTAGCCGGCTTGCCCATTGCCTTTCGCGTGCATTTTTGTTACAGACCAAACCAGACCAAAGCGAGAGCCAGCACCAGCGCTTGGGCTGTCATCTTTCAGCCCTACACAACCCGAACGACCCCGCCGCGCTCGTTCGCCAGCAGAAAATCTTCCCCTTCACAACCTCCACCGTCCGCCAGCCGCACTCTGACAGCCGACCACGACTCCTTGTCCAGCTCAATCCCGATCACCGATACCCTAAAGCATACATATCTGCCCGCGGCCTCCCCGATCCTCGGCTCCGTCTCCGCGTGCGCGACGACAGAACAAACATGTCTTACTACCCAGGCCAGAACTTCCACGGCGCCCAAGGCAATTACGGCGCGTCGTATCCACAGAACTTCAACCAACCCCCTCCTCAAGGCTATCCTCAACAGGGCTATGGTGCTCAGTGAGTTGCTTGCTTGCAAGACGCGAGGGTCCTCTGAGCTCGTTGCTGACCGGCCTCAGACCACCGCAGCAGTATGGCGGATACCAACCTCCTCCCTCTTCACAGCCGCCATACAGTGGAGGCTACGGCCAACCGACGCCTTCACAGCAGTACGGGTATCAACAGGTGGGTAGCACCATTCCAGAGCCGGCAGCTGAGCCATTCTTTGAGCCGGACCTAACGCGTCGAGACAGAGCCCGCCACCTCAGCAATATGGGGGATATCCGCCGCCAAACCAAGGCCCCCCGCCACAGGGCGCTCCTCCACAGCAATACCCCCGACCCGGTGAGTAACTTGGCCTTTGTCGCAGCTGGAGATAGGCTTGAGCTTGCAGCTGACAGCTCCCCCCAGGCATGATGCCCACAGCCACCAGCAACCAATGGACACATGGCAACCACAACGCGCCGCCTCCACCCCCGTCTACACCCCAAAATTTCGGCCATGGCGCGCCCCAAGGCTACTCCTTCCAGTACTCGGCCTGCAACGGCCGGAGAAAAGCTCTGCTGATCGGAATTAACTACTTTGGCCAGAGGGGCCAGCTGAGAGGGTGTATTAATGACGTGAAGAATATGAGCACGTATCTCAATGGCCATTTCGGGTACAAGAGGGAAGACATGGTGATTCTGACCGACGATCAGCAGAATCCAATGAGTCAGCCGACAAAGGCGAATATCTTAAGGGCAATGCATTGGTTAGTTAAAGATGCTCAGCCTAATGATTCGCTGTTTTTCCACTATTCAGGTATGTCAGCCCGGCATTTCGTGAGCACCGGAGGTGTCTTTATTGACGGATTGGGATGCAGGACACGGCGGCCAGACCAAAGACCTAGACGGCGACGAAGACGACGGTTACGATGAAGTCATCTACCCCGTCGACTTCCGCACCGCCGGCCACATCGTCGACGACGAAATGCACCGCATCATGGTCGGCCCTCTCCAACCAGGCGTCCGACTAACTGCTATCTTCGACTCATGCCATTCCGGTTCAGCCCTCGATCTCCCATACATCTACTCTACACAAGGCATGCTCAAAGAGCCCAACTTGGCCAAGGAAGCTGGCCAGGGTCTTCTGGGTATTGTGTCGAGCTATGCACGCAAAGATATCGGCGGCATGATCAGCAGTGCCAGTGGGTTGTTCAAGAAGGTTACATCTGGAAACGATGTGTACCAGAAGAACTTGAGGACGAAGACGAGCCCCGCAGATGTGATTATGTGGAGTGGTAGCAAGGATACACAGACTTCGTAAGTCATGCCACCCACTGACTAGAGTCTTTAAGAATACTGTGCTAACAAGAACCTAACAGCGCGGACGCATCCATTTCCGGCGAAGCCACAGGCGCCATGTCGTGGGCCTTTGTCACCAGCTTGAAGAAGAACCCTAACCAGAGCTACGTCCAGCTTCTGAACTCCATTCGAGATGAGCTCGAGGGAAAGTATAGCCAGAAGCCACAATTGAGTTGCAGTCATCCGTTGAGTAAGTCACTCCCCACTGGCCCTTGCCATCTTCTACGAACATCAACATGAATGGCAAATTAACGAGACTATAGACGTCGACCTCCTCTATGTCATGTAGATAGATACACACCAAGCTACTGATTGATACCATCCGTTTAACGCTGTCCTAAGAGCAAAGAAAGGGAAGGGAAATTATCTGGTTTTGGATGAAAGGGTTGGATGATGGAAGGCAAGGATTAATCGGGAATAAAGGGCATACTAAAAGAAAGATCATTGCGTTTACGGCTGATGAACGGCTGAAATTATGCGAGTGTGTGTGTTTGCGTGTATGTGCATGTGTATGCAATGCATTTCAATTGTACATACTTGGGTCGGGTCGCTAATGAGGGGTGGAATTCACTCTTGGATAAGTACTTATTATGAATGAGGGATGGTTTTGCGTGCTTGAGATTTGGATAGGAGAGGAAAATTCATTAGACACTTTCAATTGATCTGATTGTTGGTGAATCACAATAGTTAGGGGACTGATTATGTCATGAGGGTCAGTGATGCAGAAAATGAGGTAGGTAGCAGGATGGGACAGTGGCGGTAAGCCGAACCAGACGCTTTTGGTTCCGGAATTCACATCCTTTGATGAATTAATGTAGTAATACACTGCCCTTCTTTTCTCCACCATCCATCATCCATCATCTTTGATTCATCAAATATGCAGAAATCATGTGCAAGTGCATGTAGAACGCCCGCATCAGGTCGCCAATCTCCCTTCCATGAACGATTAAACCTTCGAATTCATCTCACCATCTATGCATGAAGAAGATAGTGAGTTTAGACCTTCGACTTGACTTCACTCTTAATCTCCTGGGCTTTGCCCTTCGCCTCCCCTGTTAGCTCGGAGGCTTTGCCTTTCGCCTCACCCGTCAGCTCCGAGGCCTTGCCTTTGGCTTCGCCCGAGGTGTTTGGGATGCTTTCTTTGATGGTTTGGGCGGCTTGCTCTGAGAGGGTTGTCAGTACCAATCCGCCAAGTCTATCGTGGATGAATCGGGGAAGGAAGTAGTGAAGTCATAAGCTCCAGTTCTCTCTCTGCTATAACAGAGGAGAGCACCAACGGTCGGCCTATTCGAAATACACTTCACATAGACAGGGACAAGTGGGAGAGGAGTAGTGGGATAACGTACCGCCCTTCTCAATTCCCTTGACAGCCGCATCCGAAATCGTCCTATCAACCTTCTTCGCGGCATCCTTCGCTGTCTCCACAGGACTCTTCCTCACAATTTGACTGGTGCTGAACAAGCGGAGGCTCGAACCCGCTCCGACACGGGCCTGCCTGGCAATGACGGATCGATACATGCTCGTCTATGGTTACCTCTGCTGACTTCGTAGTCTGGATTGTCGAGCAGGATATTAAGATCTCTCCTTAGCGGCTCCGGAAGAGCGTCGTGGCGGAAGAGAAAGCAGGAAAGCTCAAAAACGTTTCCCTGACAGTGGTGGCAGACGCTGATGCGGTGGGTGTATACCTGCTTGTTGGCTCGATGGTAAGGGTTGCTAATGTGCGATTGCTACTTTTGGGTGCGTCGAGGGAGGTTTGATGGCGTGCTTAAGGACGAAGAGGTAGATGTAGTAGATTGTGCAGGGAGTGAGCTAGAATTAGGAGTTGAAATGAGGGGGATTGACAGGGTTGGTGGACACTGAGGACGGGGAAATCAGTCAATCAATGTCTTGTATATAGAGAGAGCGCGCTTCTGGGTGATGAAGTGAGTCACTGCGAAATGAATTGGAATAAATTGAGGTGGTTCAAGGATAACGTAGAAGTGGGAAGATTAGATTTATAAGGAGACGGGAGAAAAGTGTGTTTGAAAGGCTCACAGGACAAAACACCATAATGACGTCGAGCAAGCATCACAAAAAATGCATAGACTGGATTTGGGAACGATGTGGCCAAAGCTCTATCCCACTTGGCGATCTGGTTGTGCTGTCACGCGACTTCCCCGCATAATGTTGAGATGATTGAGCACGTGAATGTACTCCTTCATCTCAGACTATCATTAACATTGGAATTATTGTAAAAGTCGTGTAAACAAGACATGACACAGCTTCCCCTCAACCCAACCCCCCACCTCCACCTACTCTAACAAAGTGGGGGAGTTGAAGGTCAAGAATACAGAGCCTTCTGCCACCACCGGCACCTCTCATTAAAATTCGAATCCACAACTTCCTCCACACCCGTAACATTTAACTCTAATACCTTCGCATCTGGCCCATACATCTCAAAACTCCTTACGCCCTCCGCCTGCGGCTTTCCGTTGATCGCAAAACTCGTAATGAAGTCCTGCAGCGCAAGCGCTACCGTGCGATTCATGACATCGAATGGATTGATGGCGGATACTGCGCCACCTGTGTAGTACGTGTATGCGACATCCAGGCCGTGGAAGGCTGGTGGGACGGCGAAGAGGTAGGAGTAGGATTGGTTGAGGAAGGCGGGTTGGAGGTAGTAGGTGTTGCAGGTGAAGACGGCTTCCGAGGTGAGGAAGGAGGCGCGCGTGTAGGGTGTTGTATATGGGTATGTCCCGTTGTAAACGGCGGGATATAACGTATTAGTGATATAGTCAACGGATGAGTCCGGGATATATGGGAATGAGTTATGGAGTTGGGCGACGATGTCCGCGGTGGACTTGATGTATGGAGGCGTGAAGTATGTTCCTTCGTTGGTGTTATGACCGACCATTACGCGGAGGCTCTTGTCGAACTGGCCTTGTGCCAGGAGTTGCCCAGGTTGTTGTGGCACAAAGGAACCGTCAACGGTCGGCCCGTATGTGTAGGCTCCGTAAGGTGAGTAGTACGTTACCTGAAGGAAGTTCGCCCGGATCATGTCTTCTTCAGACAAAGCTCGGAGCTCGGCGAGGGACGAGGTGTTAGTAATGTTCAAGAGCTGTCTGTAGTGGTCTTCTTGCTGGAGATTCGAAGAGACGGGTAACCATCCAGGAGACTGCGGGACAGCCTGCTGGAAAGGAACTTTCCCCTTGAGGCCGCCGTAAGCGGTGATTTGGTGCATGATGGATCCACCTCCAGCGCTCTCTCCAAACACAGTCACTCTCTCAGGATCACCACCAAACAGGTGAATATACTTCTGCACCCACTCCAACGCAAATCTCTGATCCAACAACCCCAAATTCGCAACCCCACCCTCCGCCTGATACGATGGCCCAGAACTCCATCCCATAGCCCCAAGCCGGTAATTCATGGCCACATAAATAACCTCTCCATCTGTAACATTCCCACTTGCCGCAAGCAGGCCTGCTGGATTGTTATTCTTGTCACCAACCACATACCCACCACCATAAATCCAAACCAGCACAGGAGCACCACATCCCTTCCCCGCGGAACTGAAAACCTGCTCTGGCACAAATACATCCAGGAACAGGCAATCTTCTGAGGCCCTTGCATCCTGTGGTGGGACTTGGGTGCTTGTGTTAGCACCAGGGGGGATGTAGGGTGTCGTGTCGTTGTTTGGTAATCCTAGCAGGATGTTTACTAGAAATTGCGTGGCCATGGACGACCACACTGGACCGGCTTGTGGACATATTCTAGATGATATTAGTGGGCTGAGTTGTGAGAGACTTTGGTGCAGACTGAACTTGCCTCCCAGTGTTTCCTGTTTGCACCGAAGTCCGATTTTCTACTGGAGCTTCTGGAGCAGCGAAACGTAGGTTTCCGACTGGTGGAGACGCGTAGCGGATGTTGGAGAAATTATAAAAGCCACCTGATTCCTGGCATTAAGTTAGCATGATCTTCTGGGTGGTTTTGACTTGAGAGGAATTGGATAAGGCTGAGAAAGAAGTTGAAAAGAGTAACAAACATTAAAGCTTGACGCTTGATGAAGCTCATATCCTAGATCGACCACTGGTAGCGACGAGGAATTCTGCGCGGAGGTAACTCCCAACAGTGCTGCCACAGCTCCCGCAAGCTTGAACACGTTGCTCCTAGGCATGTTTGGGAGACAATTCCGCGTCAACCTGGGTCGGAAGCAAAGAGAAGAGGGACTTGACAGCAACGAAGCTTTTTCAAGCCCGTCTTAAAGCCCTAAGAATCAGGTAGCCCTCTCAACCACTCAGCCAGCCTTGAAAACAATCAAAAGTATCAGATCAAAAATCTCAAGCACGAAGCCACCAACAACCAAATACCAGGCTCTCCACCCTACGAACCCACGCCATTAATAAACCCAATCGTTCAAATGCCCTTCCCCTCTCTCGCATCAACCAAGGCCCGACCATTACGTTCTCCGCAATTTCTCCGTTCCGCAAAAGCCGCGCATCGCATCACTCACCAAAACTGGCCTTGCCATTGCCATTTCCCCTCTCGCCCTGCCAGCGCGCCAGCAGTTCTTTGGTGTTGGCGTTGTGTCAAAGCCTGTTGTCTCTGTGCCCGCCAGCGTGGCAAGGCGCATTCGCGTCATGGATAGTGGTCGTTTGCGGGATGCCGAGGTGCACATCCGTCTAGTACAACCGTGATTCGTCCGTCGAGAAATGGACCGTGTGTAGGGGCGCGGATCTAGGAACATCCCCTTTATCAAGTTTTTTGACGGAGAGAGGCTGAGAATGGGAAAGGAGCCTGCGGTGGAAGGTGACAGGGTTTCCCCAGATTGACCGAGGTGTCAGAAGCCTGGTGTTTGCAAGATGGACGAGTTGAACCCCGGAGATTTCTGAAGATTTCTGATTCATCAAACATTTTCACGCCTGCAGACCGCAAACATGCTCGCTCGAACCAGGAACCGCGCTGCTGGATAAGGAAGGGTACAAGACAGGGTCCCGAGTGTTGCACAACATCCTCGAAACAATTCCCAGGCGACCACCACAACCTCGGCCAAAGTGCTCTAAACGATCTAGAACTAAAAATAAAAAGTTCCGCATGAAATTGCGATCAAGGAATAGCAATAGCTATCCCGGTAATATTAATCATATTCGTCATTATCGTAGGTATAGTACTATCTTTCTAAGTCATCAAATTATACGCAGCTCCTGCCGTAACGCTGTAGGGCTGGAGTATATAACGTGGTTGAAAAAGTGAGGGTAAAGACAGAAAGACAGAGAAAGACAGAGAAAGACAGAAATATAGAAAGACAGAAAGACAGAGAAAGATAGTGAGCGGAGATATGAAAGAATGAAAGTTAGAGATATTTGAATGAGTTAGACGGAGTGAAACACCACAGACAGATCCTCCCACCTGCGATTGCCATTGCCATGCAGCCAGCCGTATCCCACCTTACCGGCACCGAGCCCCTGTACCCAAAACCCCAGGTGATGCATATGACCTTCTACACTAGGTACCGCATCGCGCCATTGAGAAAGGAAATGCATAAGTCGTGATGTCGTTATGTTGTGAAATAGTGAAGTGAGTAAGAAATATAAGCTCATGAAGAATAATTGAAAGCCGTTCAGTCCTCTCAGATAGCCTCACCAATCCCAAACCCATACCCACTCCCACTTCCACCACTACCACCACCACCACCACCCTCATTTGTCCCATCAATATCAAATGGACTCGCTAGCGGAGTAGGATACGAGATACTATCCTTCCTCGCCTTCCCCTTCCCTTTCATCAGCGAACTCGGCAATTGAATAGCAGACATTAGGCTACTACCACTCGTGTTCCTAGAATGTCCACCAATCCGCGATCCACTGTTGTGTTGATTCTTGCCTACTTTTAAGTCGTTCACGCTAGGGTTTTTAGAATGTGTCGTTGAGCTGGGCTTGGAAGAACTCCCTTTAGCAACAGGAAGAGCACTACCGAAGAAACCCGTCCTCGACTTATCTGTAGGTGACACAGGCGAAGTTAGCGGGGTCGAGCTCGCCATTGTGCCACCTACACCTGTTCTACTAGTTGGAGATTGTACTTGGGGTACAGTGGGGGGTGTGCTCTTTCCGGTAATCGAGCAGGTCGTTGGAGGTAGCGTGGTAGCGGGAGTGATGAGAGCGGGATTATGAGGCGAGCCCATTGCAATTACGAAGGGAATGCTACTCGCAGACGCATTGCTGCCTTTTCGTTGAGGCGATGGAGGTTGTACTGTAGTGCTTGAACCTGATGAGCATCCTCTAGGTCGGAGTGACAAGGGCGGTGGGATTGCTGAAGTAGAACCAGATGAGCCCATACGCGGTAGTTTGCTGCTACCTGGACCTGGGATCCCCGATCTAGATCGATTTGACGGCACTCGTTTGAGGGAAGGCTGTGCTTGAGATTGGACTCGATCCGGAGAATTCCTCATTGCTTCCGCCATCACATCCATTCTCGGTGGTGTTGGCAGGCGCTCAGCAGAGCGTTCCCTGCCTTTCGGAGACTCGTATAGTCCGTATCGTGGGCGCGGCGGTCGGTCTGGTGTCGGTATGGACTTTTTCTTATTTGCCTTCGGTACAGAAGCCGATCGTCCACGGGTTTCCGCCCCTTGTTTGCTATCTGCGCCAGATGCACGGTCTTGATTTGACGCTGGAGACCAATCAGGCGTCCTCGGTCCGGCATAAAGCTGAATGATTGAGTCACTCATACTTCGTTGGGTGTCGTGTCTCTTTGGCGCAGCAGGCGTACTGAGTGGGAAGCTTGTTGCTAGTTCGCCGAACTTTTCTTGCTCAGGGGATGGCGGCTACGATAAGTTATCAGAATTTGTTTCGTGAGATGATGTAGCTCGATCCTACCGTTGGCTTTCTTCGCTCCGGCGATAGCCTCGTAACGGACCGAGGGGAAATACCAGGATCAATGTTGTCGGCTTCATTGGCCGGATTGACACCCGCTTTACGGGGAGGGGTGTGAGGAGTCACAGGATTTGTGAGTTCTAATTCACGGGGGAGACGCTTGTGGGGTCCTAACATGGGCTTTGGGAGGTTTGCAGGGGATGGATCTGGCGTCATTAGGGTGGAGGGTGGTGTTGACGGCCGGCCTATTGAGTATGTCGCGGAAACGGGACCTGTAGAGATTGGAGACGGGGACGCAGAGATCCCCAGTCCAGGGGTTCGAGCGGCAAAACGCGCTCGTATGGGGGTGTCACTAGAATGACAAAGCGATGGACTTGGAGAGTCGAGGTCACCGGCTCTGCTTCCATGGTTACCAATTCTAGCCGCATAATGCTTGAGTTTCTTGATGTCAGACTTGTAGCCTTTGATATCAAGCTTGTAGTAGATAATCTCGCGAACAAAGAAATCATTCTCCTTCTTGAGATCAACCAACTGCTCTTCAAGGCTGCTTGATTGGTTGCCTGACGTGCCATCGCATTTCCCTTTCTTTAAGCGGTGTTGGAGGCGCTCGATCCATCGATCAATGTCCTCTTTAGAGGCGAGGGACGTGAGATCAGGGAGCGAGCCATCATGAACACCGGCCAAAAGTGTCATTGTCGCATGCTTCCGAATCTCGGCATGTAGGAGCAGTTTGTGGTGCTCTAACTGTCTCTCAGCCATACGGAGTGACTTCTCCCTCTCTCCAATGAGCGCTTCACGATCAATAATCGCCGTCCTAAGCTGCTCGATATGAGCGTCGTTGTCTCTCGTCTTCTTGAGCAATTGGCTTTGGATATCTGACTGTAGGTTAAGCTCATGGTGATCATGCTCAAGCTGCTTGTGCTCACGTCGTGCTCGCTCGTTTTCTTGTTCGAGTTGGGTGATGCGAGAATCTTTCTGCTTGATCTGCTCTTGAAGTCGCTCAATGTGAGAAATGAAGGCAGACAGCGTTGTAGGATCTTGCGATTCGTTGTGACTCGTGGGAGAACCAGCCGCTCCAGACGAGAAAACCGTACTCATGCTGTGGGCACTCTGTCGACTGTTCGATTGCGTGGTCTGAACTTGCAGTTTTGCTGGCGTGGGATCGAAGGGGTCCCGTTTCGACTGAACGTTGAATAACTGTTCCTGGAGGTCAAGCTTGTCACAATTAGCCATCTCCAATCGGTTTTCCAAATGGTCAATCGTATTCTGCAAAGCTAAAGAATTCTTTTCAAGCTGTTCGACTTTTCTTGCCTTTTCTTGCCATTCAGAACACTGCTTCTCAATCTCCTCTAGCGTCTGGGTTAGATTCCTCTCGCTCTTCTTGGACTGATTAAGCTTGGTCATCAAGGACTCGATTTGCTTTTGGAGAGCGGCATTGTTCTGTTTGTACTGGTTGAGCTCGCGAATGGTATCGCGATTGCCAGTCTCAGGCCGCCTAGCGGAGCTAAGCTTTCGCTTGAGATTCTCCATCTCGGGGTTGTCCTTTGGATTGTGGGGCCGGCCTTGGAGCTCTAAAGCGCTTTGGAAGGATTGGAATGAGCGCGTCGAGGTTGCAGAACTGCTGCCTGTTGCGGTCTGCGGGCTCTGCTCTCGGTTCGGCGACTGCGGCTCGGCGGTGTCAAGCAATAGTAACAAATGATTGCTCGAAGCTAAGGGAATAGTTTCAGCATGCTGTTAGGGGTTGGGATGCAATGTAGCCGATCGTGACCGCCAAATCGAGAGACACTAATTCGGCGACCGCGGGCAGGAGTGAGGGTGAAAATTACGGTGGGAGCAAAGAGTGTCGGTGATGCTTACCGTGATGGAGGCGATTGCCCTGCTCCAGGTACGCAACCTCAGCCCGATGCGAATCAACCAGGGTTTTGATATGGGCCTCTTGCGATGTCCGTAGCCTGGTGAATTGGGCCTGTAGTGTCGATATGGTTTGGTCCTGCGCAGTGATAGTTGCCTTCAGCTCTTCGACCTGCTTACTGTGGGTACTCATGGGTGTTGGAGTGCTAAGCTGTTAAATTTCAGCATACATTCACTGACTGTTGTCAGGCAAAAAGGGTATTGACATGTCCCAGACTACTACGCCTACAACCCTCTTGCCGCGGTGCCAACTTTTCTTCGAATATCCCTCGACTATAATTGCTTTCCACTCCACTGATATCGTGGGACGCATACAAACGATCTGAAACCATTTGTGTCTGCAGAACCGCGGCACCACCAACCACATCCATCTCATCTTCAAAGAAACCAGCGCATGAACGAAACTCTCGAGTTTGCACTTACCTCATCTCGGTGATTGGACGCTTCTCCTCTGGTTTTAGTCCACGGCTTTCCTTCAATAATAAGTGGCGCTGGCTGTAACTGTACGTCCTCTCCTACACGAGCTCTCGTCGAATCGTTGCTACTCGTCTGCCCTCCATTGCTTGAGACTGAACATGTAGTAAGTTTACTGTCGGTGGACGAGGGCGACGTCAGCAGGTTGGGTTTCGACTTGGAGCGCCTTTGTATGTTGGTCTCACTCAAGCTTTTCTTATGGCGTGGGACCCCAGCATGAGCTTTGGATGGCGTCTTGGGACCGGCAGCACTGGAGCTTAGGGAATTCCCGCTGCGGACCGACCTCATTGTGCTGCGGGTTGCGGCACCCGCAACGGGGGGAGACGGGAAACCCTGATTTTCAAGAAGAATGGACCCAGGAAGTTCCACAGGTAATTCTGGTGTAGATGGCAGAGATATGGAACGTGGTCTGCTGGGAAGAGGCTTATGTATCTCAGCCGATCTGGGGCATGCAGTTGCACTGAGGGCTGGCGAGCGCAGCATGTCATTAACAACAGCCAACAAATTAGATGCCGAGTTGAACAGGGCGGCATTCTGGAGGGCAGACGATGGACTCAGACAAGTGTGGTGATTGCCGTAGTCCGGGATGATGGTGAGGTTGGGAGGGCGGTGGCGGCCAGGCCTGGGAGTGTTCTAGAGAGAGGGTCAGCGAATGGAGGCCCTCCACAACGCAGATGCAGCCTGCAAAACCCCTGCACGTGCATTCGACAACGTTCGTCCAAAGTCTTGGTGCTGCACAACCACGTCGACGCACTTCGCCCAATTAATCTATCGACAGCGCATCATCTATCATCATGGTGGTGGTCCTATCGTACCTTTGCATCGACCGCTAGATATGCTTCTTTGCCCGTATCACCCACGCCCGTATCGATAGCCAACAAGCCGCCAGTGCGATGGTACGGCTCTGAAGCAGACTGACGACCCTTGGACCAGGAAAAGAACTTAGTTTTCGAGGCCATGGTGGCGCATTGTGCAGCGACTCCGACTCTTGAGTGTTATGGAGGGGGATGAAGCATGAGAGCGAGAAAGGGACACTCTACGAAACGAATGACGAGAGGTGAGAGAGAGTGATTGAGGGGAGGAATGAAATGCAGGGCTGGCCATGAAGAAAAGGCTCCCGAGATCCTGAAGCTGTGACGGCGGCGATTGCTGCGAGCTGTCTACGGCGTCTATCCTGTACATATGTTCACCATTTCGGCCAGCGATGCGCGAAGGGGGCTGGGGCCACCCGACATCCATGGCTGACGGGGGCTGTAGCCGCTGCTTCACAGTGCAAAGACGAGTGGGTGAGACGTAAAGATAGATTGTTTGAAACTACACATACACATGCCCCTGAAACGAGAGGATGGTTCCCTTGGGGGAGGTGGCGAATGGAGAGGGCGGAAAAGGCGCCGATGAGGCGAGGCAGTGGGATCGACGCGCTGCCTTGGCGATGGTGCTCAAGCGCAGACTCGCCTGCAGAGTATCCACCAGCGACCGCACAAGTTGTGACCACAGCCATTGTTTTGCTACGGAAAAGTGTGAACGACGTGTATCCTTGCCTCAATCGCCTCTTCCGGGTAATGCGATAGCTCTAGCACCAATTTACACCGCTGTTCAGCTACTAGGAGCGATTTGCAGCTATAGCGGCGACGACTGGGCTGCACAGCTTCTGACCTCACCCCAGCTTCGATTACGGTGTGATTACTTATGACGGCTGAAACGCCATCACCGCCCCCAGATCGAGGCGTACAGCGTCAGCCAGTTCCGGAAAAAGGTGCGAAGGACTCAGCAGCAAAGAAATATGAGGACTACGGCAGCAGAGCCTCGTCTCCCCGGCAGCACAGGCGGTCGCGGCGCATGTCAGAAGATGGGGACAGCCGCCGCGCTCGACACAGGAGCAGGAGCAGGAGTCGTAGTGGAGACAGATGTAGAAAGAACGGGTCACGCAGGGACCAAGGAGACCCGGCGAGGATAGAAGGGGCTTCCAGGAGCAGGTCAAGAGAGAGGAAATCGAGAGTGACGAGGGCTGGGTCTAAGGGGCGAACTTCGAAGGACACCTCGAGAGAGCGGAAGCGAGACTCAAGACGAGAACCAAGTCCAACGCATCGCAAAAGAGATGCCTCGCGGGAACCCTACCGAAAGCCACGAGACCGCTCCGCAGACAGGCGCAGAGATCGCTCCCGCAACAGACCGAGGCATCACTCAAAAGACAGGCGTCGAGACCGCTCAAGGGACAATGCCAGGTCGCGCTCAAGAGACAGACAACGCGACCGCTCCAAATATCAACACCGAGATCGTTCACAATCCCGCGACCGAGCCAAAGACAAACGCAGATCGCGTTCCTTAGACAGACAGTCCCGCCGCTCTGCCTCCCCGCTCCCCTTCCGCCCCCGAAAACGCCGCTCCCGTTCTCCCTCTCCACCCCGCCGACACCGCCGAGACTCCCGCTCTCCCACTCCTAACAAATCCAAACGCCGAAAACACGCTCCCTCACGCTCTCCATCCCCCCCACCCCGCTCCCGGAAACCACTCCCCTCACAAGAAGTATCCTTCCGCGGGCTGGACAACTCCGACAAACCCCCGACCAAATACGGCGGCATACCCCCCGACAAAGAAAAACCCAACTTCGCTCCAACCGGTCTCCTAGCCAAAGAAGCCAACACAGTCACCGGCACAAAAATCGCACTGAAATACCACGAGCCGCCCGAAGCCCGCAAACCGCCCTCTACCTCACAATGGCGGCTCTTCGTGTTCAAAGGCCCCGACGTCCTCTCCACTATCGAGCTCCACACGCAATCATGCTGGCTTCTCGGGCGCGCCCAGGAAGTTGCAGATATCGTGCTCGGTCACCCGAGTTCGAGCAGCCAGCACGCTGCCATACAGTTTCGGTATATTAGTAAGATGAAGGAGGATGAGTATGGGGTTAGTAAGAAGACGGGAAAAGTGAAGCCGTATCTTATTGATTTGGAGAGTAGTAATGGGACCGAGGTTAATGGAGAGAGGATTGAGGCGAGGAGGTATTATGAGCTCAGGGATAAGGATATTGTGAAGTTCGGCGCGAGTGAGAGGGAGTACGTTATTATGCTTCCGCCGCCGGAGAAGTAGTGAAGTCTGGCTCGGCCTGCGAAAGGCAGTGGGGTGTGGCGGATGTTAGTTTAGGACGGCGGCCGGAAAGGCGGATTCTGGTGTGGATGGAGCATGAGATTAGGAAACGTATGACTTGCATTAGGACCCCAGGACTACCAAATGCCCATCCTGACATTTTAGAGACTTAGATGGCCACTTTACATAACCATTAAACCCCGTCCATGCAGGGGAGCAAAACATGGCACATGACGTGCAGTCATGACAACGACAAGCCCCGCAAAAGTATCAATTAATACTAGCTAGTATAACGAAGACAAAAATGAGAGGATATCATGCGCACCGCGCAATCACTGATGCTAAATTCATTCCCTCGTGTATACCGTTTCCTACCGTGGTATCATTCCATTAAAGCAAGCTCACATGGTACGGTTCCATTCCATGAAATGATGAAAATCAGTCGTTCCTGGTCGAAGCCCACGCCCACACACGATAAAACGCCGTGGTGATTTGCTTTTGCTAGATTTTGAATTGCATTGAGAAGGGCAATTGTGATGCGAAAGAGGGAAAGGGAGTGATGGGGCTAGGCGCCAATATACCAGAGTTCCACGCCCAAGACTTCGAATTTAGTGCCGTCGTCGCTGAGAGGCTCGTTGCCGAATGTTGGACACGAACTTGAGACACCGTTTTCGAGGTTGTCGTCCAGCCAGAGACCGTAGTGACCGTCGCTAGAAAGTGTCAGCAAAACTTTGACCACATGGGTTGGTTCTCAGGAAAAGGGGACATGCCCTCCACCAACGCTTAAATAACTCTGTTCACAGAATATCATGTAATCATTCACACCGCTATATGGGAATGCCTTAAACCGTATTCGCTCGGGTGTGCCTGTTCCGCTCTGACTTCCTTGGCCAGATGCTGGCGGGCTTAATGCATTTGACGACCGTGTATGGGCTACTGTTGTCATCCGTTGGGCGTTTGTAGTATCCGCGCTTGGGGGCGGAGGGAGCGAGGAGAGATCGGGGATGGACGGAAGGACATGTGCGCGCCAGAGGAAGCATTCGCCTGTGCCAAAGAAATGGGAGGAAGGGCGAGGAGCGTCAGATAGGTAGGCGCCGAAGACCTGGATGTCAACGATTAGCATATTCCCAACACATTTGAATCCCTGGAGTAGCAAAAGGAGAAGAGAGAATTACCCCTCCAGATCCGTCCTGCACTATCAGCACAAAGCCCCCCCTCTTCCCCCGATAATAATCACACTTCTCATACAACGTCGCCAAGCTGACACCATTCTGCTCCAAACTATATGCCAAATTCCACTCATCCACCAACTGCAGCCGCGGCGGCACCAGCAACCGAATCTCCTCTGCTAACGCTTTCGTCAACAGCTTCGCATTCTGTGTGGTACCCGGCTTATAACCCTTCAGCGTGAGTGGTGTGAGCGGTGGCGGTTGAAACGGACTGGCGTTCCGTCGTGGAGGCGTAAAGACGCTGTTCATACTATCAATGCTTTGTACGCTCTGACTCAGGCTCGTGGTGCCAGAATTGGAGGTTTTATTGCTGGCGCTGTTGGAGGGCGAATTAGGATCCTGCGAGAGGCGGCGTAGCAGCCCGGAGACAGCATATGTAACGGGGTAGGTGAAGTAGGAGGATGAAGAGCGTGAGCGGGTGGGGGTTGGGGTGGAGATGGAGATGGAAGACTGTGAATCCGAAGGTGTTGGCATGGGTGGTATTTGTGATGTTCCTCGATCTGCGGGTGTTGTGTGTTGTGTTGTGGGCTATTTGCTAAGGCTGAAGTAGGAAATTTGCCAGATGTGACGTTGTTCTGGAGCCTTAAAAGTGGTGAAAGTGGGCTGTCATCTTTCGACCAAAGAAATGCAAGCCGAGAAACCTAATTCGCTGTGATATTCTCCAAGCTGGTAACAAGGGCTCCGGCAAGTCGCTGTTCCGAATTTGCGAGAGGGAAAATGTTCGAGGAATTTGATATTTTGTTTTTGCAGGCCAGGCACGCTGTGAAATGAATGATTGCTGGCTTGGAACACTTCTCCGCCACGGCGTCTTAGCGCTTCCCCATAAAGCTTGTTTTGGCGCTAGCTATATCCAGTAATATACATCATGGGCTCTAGATCGGCGAACTTCGACAGATATATACATTTAATCAGCCATGGATGAAACATTGAGAAGAAGTCAGATCTCTGATCCTTTCTCTTGTTCCCCACCTAACCTTCACCTCGGGTTTGTTGAGGGTATGGATGTGGATTGGGGGCATCTTACGAGCAAGATGCTGTGACAGACTGAGAAGGCACAGGGAGTACCAATTCGAGGTAGAATACCCTTCTCATGATGACACTGTTTTCTATAGACAGGGTATTGGCAGGGAAATTGGAACCCCTATGATGCTAATTGACAAGCTTCAATCGGCTTCTCTCCCTCCAGAACGTCCGGACAGTCATCTTGGTCATCTTCTGTTTCACCGTCTGCTTCTGCGTCTGCCTGTCTACTTCCTTCTCCGCTTGCTTCCCCTCCACCCGTACCCTTTAATGCTCCTCCTTTACGCTTGGGAATGACTTCCATGAACGCCTTGCCCCAATCCCCAAATTCCAGCCACTTCAGCATGATTTCCAGAACGTGATTGGTAGTTAACACTTGACGGCTATTCATGCGTAGGTACTCCCCGATCGGTAGTCTGGCTGTCTTCACTCCCCTATCCAGTGCCCGCTTATAGCAAATTCCCTTGTGCCGATTCTTGTCGACAATTCCCCCAATGATATATGTACTGTTTGCTGTAAGACGCTCTAAAGTAACATTGCTTTCACTCGTTAGATATATGACCTCGCCTTCAGAATCCTCCTCCTCGGTAAGAGCACCAGCGATACTACCTCTATCATCTTTCATCCACTCTTTAGCCTTCTCTGACACCGCCACGAAGTCTTCTGCGAAGAAGCGGACCCCTGTCCAGGAAGTATATTGTTTGGCGAGAATTCCATCAAATCTCTCCTTCATTTTCCCGCCAAATGAAGAAATAGCCAAGTGCGTTCGAAACTGAGCTTGCCTGTTGTCTGAGTAGCACCTGGTAATCTGGAGGCCTAGAGACTTGAGTTCGTAGTCAAACATAAGATCCTCAAATTCGCAATCTAGGACAACGGTAATGGGGACTTGGTTGCCAAATTGCGGCATTTTACGACCGCTCCTCAAGCGAGTCTTCGGCATCTCAGCGCTTGGGTTCTGTTGTTGTTCCTCTCGTCTCCGCTCTTTCCTGGCTTTGATTTTTTCTTTCCGTTTAATTTTTCTATCTTCGCGCCCAGCTTCCCATTGCTCCTGCCGCCTTCGCTTTTTTAGTTGGTTCTTCGATATTTTAGGTTCGCTTTGGTCGTCGGCACGGGCAATACCAGCGCCGTTGGCATCTGGGTCATCCACAGCTGGGGCTAAATTTTCGAGTACCTCGTCCTTCTTTGAGGGAGCCGGATATTCCATATTTCCAGATGAACTTTCATAGCTATTGCCAATGGTGCTGTGATCGTGGACTGACATGTTCCCCGCTTCGCTAACCTCAAAACCGTTTAGAGCTATTTTCGAATTCCCCACGAGGCCGAGCTGCTTTTGGGAAGGCTCAGACTTGCCATCATTTGTATGAACTGGATCCTCGGGGGATTGAGATGTAGTTTGGTCAGTGGAATCACGCCCGTAAGTTGGTGCAGCATGGGTTTCCTCAGAGATGCCACTGGTTGCCGTAATATCCGTGCCTTGAGCATCCGAGACGTCCTGACCATGGCCCATCTTACGGATTTTCACTGGTCGCTCTTCAAAATCCATGGCGAGAGAGGGGTGTCAAGTTGAAGGAAGAAGCTGTGATTGAGAATGTGGACAAAAGTTGTGCGCTTAGTCATGGATGAAACACGTGATGAAACACAGACCACTCACGTTCGACCGTACAACTTCAATCCTCACATCACCGCCTTCAAACCCGAATTAAGGCCATCAACCAGCTATTCACCATGCCGCAGGATATGCCCCCTGCGGGCGGCTACGGCCCCGTGCAATACAAACGAAACCTCCCCACCCGCGGATTCCGGCCCGCCTTTTATCTCGTCGGATCTGCGTTGATCATGACATGGGGATTTTGGAGGATTGGGCAAGGCATCAGGGAACACAAGTAGGCAATTGGCCGAGTCTGGGTCTGAGAACTATTGCTGATAGGGTTTTGTCTTCAGTGAGCTTGCTCGAGAGAAGATGTGGGCGCGGATACACCTCATTCCTGCCCTACAAGCCGAGGAAGACCGGGACCAAGTACGACGATATCTGGCAGACAAGGCGCGAGAGAAGGAGCTTCTGGGCACAGAAACAAGGGTCTACAACAGCGATAGGTATAGTTATTCACATTCATGATCCTAGCTTTGCCCCGCTAATGCGAGCTCCAGGTTTGTCCGACCCACATTTGCGGTTACACCAGAGAAGGTCACGAAATAAGCAAATGTTGAGATGGAAGCGATTCCGAAAGAAAATGTATATATTTAGAACCCTGGTATTACCATGGGGAGCGTGCCCGCTGGAGCTGTACTAGATATTGAAATGGACGACTTTGAGAAATCAGCCTAGTAATTTGCCCCGGCAATCAGTTTGAAATCAATAGTGTTTAAGACGGCCAGGCAGTCATATTGCTCAATCCTACTGCCATGCTGAATCACTGCAACTGGTCGTAACATGCCCAATAAATATCCATCACTCTCAATTGGTAGGGTGTCAACATGATTGTTTAGTTACTCAGCTGTGGGGCCCCCGTTCTCCATGATCGCATCATTCGCGATATTATTTACTTCCCCTGTATAGCTATAACCACCACCACCACCACTCCTCCGTTTACCCTCGCCAACTCTTCCCGCCAACACCTCAACCTAGCGGACACAGTCAATGCTCACATAGCCAAGAGCTCCTAAGAGTGTTCCGCTCCCGTGCAAACGTAGAAGAGTCTCATGTATGATTTTCTGACCCGTTTAGATTCACAAACCGCCAGCGACAAAGCCCTCACCACAGGGAACGCCTTCTCCTGAAGGCTAGACGGACTCGGCTTTCGATCCTTTAGAGGATAGGTTCGTTCTCATCATATGGAGAAGTCCAAGGGGTCCAAGAACAACTCCCCAGGCATACCTGACTCGTCCGATGTCGATTTCCTCTCGTCTGTTTTGAGATCTGTCAGCATCCGAGATGGGTGGCCGTCCTACACTCCTACCGCCACTGACGAGTCTGAAGATAATTGGTATTCTGCTCCGAGCGAGGATTGGGAAACCGTCCCAGACAGGGATCCAAAGAAGATGATTCAGCTCCGGCTCTGTAATCCTTCGCAAGTGGAGCGGCGACACTGGCACCGGCACGTCCAGCATCTGGCTTCTTGGCAATGCCGCTGATGGCATTGATGGGATCGGATAGCAGAGAGAATCCACTACGTGGTCATTGTAGAGATGGGACCAGCGAAATCTTCAATGTCATTCCTTTAGGGAAAGTACTCGAAGACTCCAAAGTTTTAAACTGCAGTCAACAGCAAACTTATGTTAACAAGCCATACCTGGCTCGAACACATGGTGAAAGACGAGCTGAGATTCTATCTGGCTCAAGCAACTAACCCTGCTGATACAGATGCCATGGCCTTTGATGTGGAATGGGTGGATCTTGCTCGTTGTGTCGCCACCGAGAAGCTGCAGGATGAATTAATGTATCAGCGAAGAAGGGCCCCCATCCGTGAAAAGCCCTCCCTGGCTAATCATAGGAATGGTCAGATCTTTGATAGCGAGGTCGGATTCTTCATTTATCCCAATGCGAAAGAATGGTCGCTCTATCAGGTTCAAGTATCTAGTGGGCTCTACCAATGAACCCCCGGAGTTCATTGTCGAAGTCAGCGCTGAAATGCAAGCTCGGAACATCCAGTCATCAAGACTCTCCTTTATCCGAATACCCGTCAAACTAGAATGTGGCCTAGCAGCGGCGAAGCCTAGTCAGGTCCCCGAACTGAGTACCGTATCAATGACGAAAGATTCCTCTATCAATGATACCCAAGCGAGTCTATGCGATACCGTTCATTCACTCCAGCTTCCACTTAGCATGCGCTCCCTCAATCCGCTCTATCGCATCTATTCAAACGACCATCTACGCTAGCAATGAAGCGCGCCCCAGCCATCCCAACATCGAGATGCTACTTTAGCGTAGTAATCTGGGGGTATTGAGTCAGATACATAGTCTTCGGAACCGTACCCCCGGTCCCTTCTGATGATAACTTCCAGTTTCCCGAATAGTGCTCTCTGGGTACAATCTCTTCACGTTGGATCTGGTATCACCGATTATATGACTGCATTTTTCAGCATTTCCGAACAGCCGCGACGGAAAGGAATATTCCATTCGACAGCCCCGGAATTCGCTGCCTATTGAATATCTCCTAGGTACGCCGACCTTGCTGCATCAAGGCAGCAAGTATTTTGTGTGCGCTTAGGGTAGAACGGGAATTTATCTTTAAGCGCAGTCCAAACAAAAACCAGCCAGCATTTCACGGTTTCGCCTGATGTAAAGTCGCTAGCATTCTCTCGAGTTTTTCGTCCTAATGTCCCCACGCGCTCTATTATGTTGCTCGTCAAAATTGTCTCGTTCAAATTGGGCTCAAGGCAATTGATGTCCTCACACCAGCCTTGCCTCACAGCGGGAGCTAGACTAGGTCCCAGAATGAAGATACAAGCTGGCCTTAAGATGTGGCGTTGGAGTCACGTGATTACGCGTGGGCCCCTCATATCTTTGTTAGCGCGCACGCGCGGGGTATGGAGATTTATCGATTCGTAGCAACGCCCAATCCCTCCTTCCTTCACCCCGGAATATCAAGGTATGTTGCCTTTCTGTTCTAAACCGGCAAAGGCTAACGGTTAAAACGCAGCATACTCCACTTGTAATTACCGCCTAAAAGGATGGTAAATAAGAAGCATTTTCTCAAGTAGGTTCGGATCCATGCGCTCGACAAGTTCTGCAAAATGTCCTAACGTGCACTGCTAGGCTCGGAAAAGGCACAATTGCCGTCCTCGTCGGCCAAGGTGATGATCAGCGGAGCTTCGATGTCCACGAGTCCCTCATTACTTCTCGAAGCCGCTTCTTTTGTAATGCGATGAATGGGAAATGGAAGGAAGCCGAGGAACGCACTGTCGCATTACTTGAGGACGATCCCATAGTCTTCGAGCTATACCTTCAATGCTTGTATGCTGGCCACGCCAACCTTGATGAGGATATCGAGATTGGGGATCAATATGTCCTCTGGGGAAGACTCTTTGTACTAGCCGAAAAGCTGCGTGATTTGGAGAGTAAGAACATCATTGTTGATGCCCTCAAGATGCAGGCGCCACAAGCACTTAAACACATAGACTACCTCATTGAGTTAGTCCAGACCATCTATTCAGGGACGCCAGGTCCCTGCCCTGTCCGTAACCTTCTTGTTGACATCTTTTACTACGGCACCTTATACAACAATTATCCGACGCTCCTATTCACAAAGGAAGAATTCGTAGACAAGATGCAACATGCCCCACACTTGTTTCTTGTGGACTTCACGGCTCGGCAGATGCTCGATAAGCATAATAGCTACCGCAACTGGACACAGTCTGATTACTCCGAGAAAACAGCTGACACTAGGACGGAGAAAAAAGGATAGCGAGGGCTGTAGTCGAGCATTCAGTATGGTGGTTAACATTAGTGAATTGTGTCAAAGTGTCAAACTGAAACCCGGGACTTGGAGTGCGTTAGGAGTTACCTGTACGATTTGTTGGAGATAAGTTCCATGGGATTAGAAAGTTCATTGGGCATCTCTTGTATCGCCATTCCAATAAAAAACCATATCACGAGCTTTCGCATAAGACCTTCCAAGGTTGGAAGCAGTAAGCGCGCTCTTAAATAGGCGCCGCATCTGGCCACAGAACGCTACCCAGCACGAAAACGCCTTTACTTGACAATGCCTCATTCTTACTGTCAAGATAATGGAGGTTGAGTGTTTCTCATGTAAGCTCTCTTAATAGTCCATTCTCTTTTAGCCAGAGCTGGCAATGAATCACAGAATCGATGAAGGAGTGATAACAGTGCTAGTGGGTGCTGAGGAGAAAGCTTTCGACATCCATGAAGACCTGCTTGCGCAACGCTCTGAACTTCCCCGCAAAGACTGTTTGGGGGATAGGAAAGAAATAGAGGATCAGACGCCGAGGCTTCCAGAAGACGGGACCTGATGTTTTCGTGCGGTACTACTAATGCAACTTATGGTGAATATTTTAGTGTCCTCACAAACCTCATGCTAATAATGCTTCCCAGCTTGCCACCCCACCCAACCTAATGATAAGAATGATCTGAACTACTTTATCATGTGGGGTAAACTATAAACCTTGGTAGAGAATCCCATTGATCCCGAAGCAAAGGATGTCATCATCTGCGCCATCTTCACGAGGAGATACGTCTAGAACCTCCCAAAGGAAGCTGCAGAGAAATGATGCGAATGATATACAGATCTTCTTCATGCCCCTGTGCCATTTGTCGAGCCCTTGTGGAGACAATCATCTTTTTAAGATCGGACACTCCGACACGAACCAAGAGGACTTCGCAGCAATTTTCAAGGACATGGTGCAGGAGGCCCGAGCAAACGTGATCCTACGATTTATGACACGGAATCCTACCATACTCGATTACTACGGTATTGCGCTTGCGAACTCCATTGAGGATATCGACGGGCTAGCGGCTAAGAGCATTTCCATGTAATATCTCAAAAAATGGCTTCGTACCAGTCACTTGCAGACATTCTCATATCTGGCACATTTTGAGTGCTAGCGTCATAACAACTTCGTTAAGAAGACTTGCATAATCAAGGTAAAACGGAAAACGACGGGATGCCAACAATACCCCTATTACAGAAAAATCTACGATCACTGTGATACGGCTCTACTCTCGGAAATGTGCCGTATACGATTTTCCAGGCTGTTGATCAAGTCTTGCCGCCATAGTTTAAGAAGTTTGATGATACTGCGACGTTGTTTAGCCATTCTCTTAGGTTCAGCTCTCAAATTCCTTACTCATCCACTGACGCCTCCTCTTCTTTACGTGAACCCCAAAAAAGTCTCCAGCTGATGGGGGTCCAACTATTGAGATGTCTCTCACGGCTCCCTTCTTGTAATCAGCTGCTGGGCCAAATACGCTTCGATATTCTTGAAAGCATCCTTGTCAACACAACAAAATTCAGCGGGACCCCTATGACTGATTCCTTGGACTACGCTTGGTGTGGTTTCCAGTCCAGCCACTTCCTGAACCTTTTTAGCCGTGTCTAGCAAGCCACCCAAACGGAACATGGTCATAGTCTCGCCATTTTCGCCAGCAGTGTGGATCGTGGCGCTCTGCGATTTGAGGACCTCGCCAAGATGTAGGCTGTGTTCGTATGCCTCGCGGTCGTACCCTATTGCCTCACGTTCCTCCTTGATAAGATCCCAGTGTTCATCAGAGATGCGGTCTCGGGTAAGGTCTCCCCGCTGTTGGGAAATCAATTGCACGGCCTCGAAGTGAGAGTAATTGAAGAGGTTCATCCAGCGGGAGATCGTCTTGGAGGAGGGGTATTTATCGGCTTCTTGGGCGTCCTCAGCCGACATGGCTTGTGCCATTCGCTCGACTTCGTCCCATCCCGCATCACCATAGCTTGTTGAAGAGTCGTCCTCTGCTTGTGGAGGGGGTTGCTCGGAGAGTGACATGTTTGCAATGAGAAGCGATAAAGAAAGAATGTGGATGTAAGGAAGATTTTTGTGAAGCTCAGGATTGCTCAAAGCGAGAACAATATAATGTTGGCTCGTAGAAGGCTTTGGTGTAAGGCGAGAGCGAGTCTCAAGATGAAGAATGAAATAAGAATGTTGATGAACTGGTTGACGAAGACTGAGTCTCTGGGTTGTGAAAGGGCAAGTTCAACTGTATCTGGAATGGTTGAGATGGAAGATGGAACCGGGGAGTCCTATGTAAAGGCAAGGCCGTCTTGTCAAATCTAAAAAGCGGCAATTGAATCGAAGGCTCCATTTTCATGACTCATCGGCCTGGGCAGTCCACGGGGAGAGTATTACCACGTAGACTAGAGGATGAGTCTAAGATCCTAAACGTGTCACAAGACTTGAGAGAGAGATGGTAATGTCTTCTTCGCCAGCAGACTAACTACATCTTAAAAGCAACACGATTGAGGTGCTTCGTTGCCCCTATCCTTCTCCGACCGACCGAAGCTAGTCCTGAAATAGATTAGCTAGTGCCGGCTTCTTCGACGTCGCATCTTTCCTACCAGAGAGACTCCTTACCATTTTGCATCTTCGCCTCTCCGCGGACGTCTGCGAGACGTCACCGACTTGGGTCATCTCCTTTGTCACTTCTTCGTGGGTGAATTCACGGATCAGAACGGCAATCTCATGACGCATTGAGCCGAATACGCATCATCACCGCTCAATTTGGCGCCAATCAACTTCCAAATATTCTATCACTAAATCATTTAAGATCGGATTTCTGAATTTCTGATATACAGTTTTAAACGTGGCTAAACACCCGACGGCATGGCCAGACCTACAAAAAGACTTCACATATCCGAGGGCGGCACGGTTGAGTAAGTTTGATATTCGAATTGTCCTATCCGGAGAGCACCAGTCGATCATATCCTGCCTTCCTTTCATTCTAAAATCTATTTAGTAATTTTTTCTATGCTAACCCAACTTAGCATTCCTGGCAAAACTTTACCAGTTTTTGTTGGAGAAGCCCAAGAAGTATTCTACGTTCACGAGAATCTCTTGAGAAATGGCAGCTCCGAATATTTTAAAAAACTGTTGCAATACGGAGGAGAAACATGGCATTCGAAACCTATCGACCTTTCGCACGAAGATGTCCCTACGTTTCGGCTGTTTAACAAATGGCTGTATGATGGCTCACTTCTTCCAAAGGATGACGCTGCATCGATATCAGATCGCGACTTTCGTCTATTGGTGAATGCGTGTGCCTTTGGGGAAAGGTTACGGGACATTCCGTTCACAAAGGCGATCACTGATGCGATCATCGATTGTCACAACAAAATCAAGGCAGTCCCAGGACCTGTTCTAATTACGTCCTTTTACGAAGCCACAGATGACTCATGTCCCGTTCGGCAACTGTTCGCTGATATGTGGGCATTTCTCGCAAAAGATGAATGGATTGAGCAAAAATTGAGCCAGTGCCCTCGGGGTTTCGTTGAAGATCTAGTACGGGCATATCACAAACATAGATACTGCTTCTCGACCGATAACCCGCTGCCTTGGAGCGAATCTCGTGAACAATACTACCGCTTGCTCGATGCGACACCGACAGAAAATCCCTGTGAAAAGTTTGATCAAGAATAACACCAAAATTTTGGATTGGTGTGGTAGGAACTATCCTTAGCTGCTCGTGCAGGAGGGTATTTACCGAGGCTTATTTTGGCTTTCTGCCCTTGGTTCCCTCTCTCCCGCCTTTCAGCCCGTTTCAATATGCATAATTTCTGCAAGAAATGCGTGCTTATTCCATTACTCGCTATATTGGGCTGTGGTTGAACCTTCAAAAAATATGACAGAACTAGCATTCGCAGGACCAGACATTCCTAAATCCTAATTCTTCGACAGGAACCCATTATCTCGGGACGTAGGCGATTTCGTGGACTTTGAAGCTGATTTGATAAAGATGTTTACTGTTCCACTGTCCGGCGCTTAAACACAAAACCCCACCTCAAGTTTTGCGCAATCGCGGAGCACAGACTCAAAACGCAAAATGCTGACTCCATTACCTGTTTCTAGCACCGATCGAATGCGGAAGGTTGTATTACGCATATTGCGACGTCCAATAATATTTTGTTCCTCCGGCTCGGGCCGTCCCCGTCCAACCCTTTCGGATTTTATTTTAGCAATCCTTCAAGCTACCACATCTCTTAGCGCACGCCCAGCTCTACAATTTGATGGACTCATGTTTGAACGCCGACAATGTTGTCATATCCACGTTAAGCCAATATTCCCCCTTGTGTGGCGACTCAGTGGACGCCTCCTAGAATTTCCTAAAAATGGATGCCGGATTCTGTATAAGACAAACTCTTCACCTTAAGTTCTCTTTCGTAGTAAGGCATCGCGTTTTTGCAAGCTGCTGTAAGCTAGTACTTGAGTTTCCGCGACTAGCGATTCCTCTTTCTTGGGACATCCAACCCCACATCACCGACTTCACTTAGCGAAATGGATCCCTCTTCCTACGAGGTTCATCGTGGGCTCTGGACAAATTGGTCTCACGGCAGAGTTTCTGGCCTCACAATCACTACTACCCGTCAAAATGGAGGCTTGCTTATCGCATTTCTCGCCATTTTCGTTGGTGCGGCCGGGAAGAGCTTTTGGAGAATTAGCTGTCTCCTTCTCCATCGCGTCTTTTCATCGCAAAGAGCACAGGATGGCCTTTACCATCAGCGCCAAGCAATCCTCCGCAATTCGGATACCGCACAGGACGGTTTCTGGCGAACACTAATGGCCATCATTGCCTGGAGAAAGCACAATGCTAGATCGCTGCAGCGATTACTGCCTATGTTGGTCTTCGCCGTTGCCACTGGGATTTGTTTCGCCGTTGCTGGGATATTCTCCTCTCGAGTCACAACAGAGACGGCGAACGAAGTCCTTCTGACAGGGACCAACTGCGCCTTAATGGGTTTCTCTGGCTTATCGAACATCACGGCCTTCGGTACAGTGTGGGAGCCCTACAACAGCCAACGTGTCACAGCGTAAGATAGAGTCTCCTTATGTAACGTAAAATAAGATGGCTGACTTTTCAGGTCTCTTGCTCGGGCTCAGCAGTGTTACAACACCGGCACCTTTTCAGAGGACTGTGGTCTGTATATCAAGCCGCAGCTTTCTGTGAACATTACTCGGAATGCAAGCTGCCCTTTTGCTTCGGAAATCTGTCGTACCCAGACCGAGAACATCATCGTGGATACTGGATACATGGATAGTCATGAAGACTTTGGCATCAATGCTCCTCTAGCGGAGCGCTTCAAATTCAGATCCGTTTACCATTGTGCACCCATCGTCACAGAGGGATTCTCAGAACTGTACAATAGCACAAATATTCCGGGGATGACATTCCGACGGTACAACTATGGCGGCTTTGCTGGTAGCAATTATACCTTCGAGGTTCCAACAAATCTCTCCACCCTTCAATATGACAACTACACTTTTTGGCAAAGTTCACGGCCAGATTATGGTGTCGGGTAAGATCAACTACGCTTCTTGGAGGTCAAATCGCTAATCAATTGCACAGCCTGCAGGTAAAGTACAGCGTGACAAATGAGGGAAATGCTTTGTCTGGACAACTCGACTCTATCCCGCAAATTCAAAGGGATAATGCTGACGTCTCCTTGTTCTTCCTCACCGCTCCGGGTATCCTCTTTTCCTCGCAATCGAATGATCCCTGGTACTCCGCTCACCGGCCCGGCCCCAACTTGACCAACCCGGGGTCACATGACCAAGCTCCAAGTTATATGATGGATGAGGATGCCACTGTCCTCGGATGTGCGCGACAGTTCACCATATGTAACCCGAACATGCCAGAAGCCAAACGTTGTCTACCATTAAGGGGATGGCTCGACAACAGCTATCGGTTGGAGGAGATCACCCAGAATGAAGCCCAGAAGAACCGGCTCCATTATTTACGCGAGGTCATGATAGGAAATAACGATGAAATTATTTCTATTGTTGGATCAACTGGCAATGCAGGTTTGCTGGCTAGGGATAATCTTGGATGGGGAGTCCAAGGCCCTCTGCCTGACAACCAGTGGCAATTAGAGATACAGCATTGGGTAACAGCAACTATGGCATCTCTTCAAAGAATTTTCGTCGACGCCGCGAGGGGGCCTCCTAACGAAGATATGCGAAAATGGTTCTCAGTGCGTCCAAACACCACTGAAGAGTTGAAAATGTGTCGGAATCAGGTATATTATTCCTAACTATTCATTTCTGACTAGTTATTAACAAATGCTAGAAAGTCGTCAGCTCTCGCTACAGCTCTTTCAGTGTGGTAGGAATTGTGGCCATTCTGGTCATCGGTGGGGGTTTCGTCTTCCTGGACTGGTTCTCTGAAGCCTTCATCGATAGCATTCACAAGAGATTTGGAAGGACAGGTCACAGCGACTATGCCAGCATCGAGTGGAATGCCTCAGCCACTCTTCAGATCCAACGCCTTGCACATGAAGAAATGGGATTCGGGAAATGGTCGCGCACCGATACTGACACTCCGGTCACACGTCCGGGAGAGAAGCTTGGTGTTTTGGATGTGGCAGATCCAAAGCACCCGTTCTTGAAACCGCCGCCACGAGGGAGGAATGGTACACTAGGGAGGAAGGATACAGATATGACTATGGTTTCCACTGAGGAACATGGTGGCGAAAGGAAAGGTCCTATTACGGTTTGTGTTAAGGATCGGAGGAATTCTATGGAAATTTGAACTTCTAGGATAGTCAATAGTTTTTCCATTTCTTTCTATATATCTTCAGTACCGTTCATTCACTCTATTCATTGTCATGTCCCTCTCGCTCCGTTGCACGCAACGCTCCAGCTTCCACTTCACTACAACCTCTTATTTAGCTAATTTAATTTCATGGTAAATAGATGAAGAAGCTATTGAACCACGTGCTGACCTTTCCTAAAAAGTTTAGCAGAAGGACCTCCTGTGCCAGCGGCACTTCTCTTCCATTCCCCTCAACTCTGTCAGAATGGCGCCGTTTCAGATGAAGCCGTGACTATCAGACTCGAAGATCTCGGAAACAGATGGCCTAGAGTGAGTACTAGACCACCCAATATCCATAATTCATAATAAAGCGTGCTAACAGTGTCAGCGTGAGCAGAGCAACTATCAAAGTTCTTGTCGGTTGAGCTAGCCCAGAGGCAGAGGCATCATATAACATTCACAAGGCGCTCCTTTAGAACACCTCCCAATTCTTCCGCAACTCCGTCAAACCTGAACGGTCTGGACCTGATGTCAAGCCAATCGAGCTCCGACTCTACCATACAAAAGACTTCCACTTATGCAGCACCTAGCTCTGCAGTGGTAGCATAGCCCCGGAATTAGATGCGGTGGATGAGGGATTCCTCAAGAGATATGCACGGCTTGCAAACACGTGCGTGCCCAGAGAGAAAATCACGGATTTCAAATTCTAGAATGCGGTGTTGGATGCCAACATGAGGTCACGGCCATGAATATAACTAAAGGCAATGGGCTCCTTCTCAGATAAGTTCTACATTCGCATGTAGGAATAAGATATTTGTAACCTTTCTACCTTATTTTTGATATAGTTTCTTGCGTAAATGATAAAAACTTTTGTACGTGTCCATCACGCGAGACGATGAATGGAGGGGCAAATCTTCTTACTGGGTGAGGTTCATTTGGCGGGTTACTGATTGTGTGGAGGCAAAGTCCATTAAATATAAATGTATAAAGATTTTTTTAATATGTAAATAATTGTTTTCATGTTTGATTATTTGAAAAATATACTTTATTCTGTTTGTGCGGACTCGTTCCCGCTTTTGTTCCCGGCTAAAGATACATGATGCTGAATTCCAGAGTATGTTAACCGGGCACGCGATTTCCGTGAGGATTTCATCAATGATCTTATTTGTGCCCTAATGGCGCAGCGCATTTCCCCGAGTTCTTCGAGACTTTTATTAAGCGTTCCGACGACCTACTATCTGAAGGTCGAAGAAGATGAATGAAATGAAGGGGATGATGGCATACATGATGGTCTGCGATTGGAACAATGGCTTTATGTGAGCACTTGCCTCTTTGTTTTCTTCTATGCCTTTTCTTTCGCAATCCTTCCCTCGGTCCTTGATCCCCGGGTTGCAGGTGACATCCAAGCTGCAGATTCTGGGGCTGCGTATAGTGTCTCTGGAATATAAGGGGAATCTGGTATATGAGGTTAGCTCGAATGAATAGAGAAATGGCTCTCAGAGAGACTGATCACACTAAGGCAATAATATAAGCATAGTCAATGAGAATGTACACAAGGAAATATGCGACTAATATTTGACCGTCTCTGGGCCAGAAAAATGTACAAGTTGGCTTCTCCGAACGGGTAAACATGCAACTACTGATCATCAATGACGTGCAAATACTTCTTCTCCTCCCTTCTTTCACGCTCGCTCATCGGCGGCAGATCGTAGTGTGCTGAGCTACGATATCCTTTCTGTTTGACATGGTCAGTAGACATTTTGAGGTTAGAATGAATTTAAGGGGTGACGTACTAGGTACTCGTAAGTCATGGTACTCAGCTCAATGGGCTCGATATCAAGGTCTTTGAAGGTCTTTGCAGTAGGGTCGATCGTTTGGTCAATGAACTCTCTCTCAACCTCATCTTCCGATGCAATTGGCCACCAGAGGTATTTGTTTAAGTACCTGGCGGCCGGCTTCATGATTCGAGGCGGGATGTTGACGTGCCGCCTGTGCTTCATGATTTCCTTATCGACCAGCTCTGAGATCTCAGCCATCGAGTAGTCAGTCGGTCCGTACAGTTCATAAGTCTCAGCGGCCGTGGTATCATCGTGAAGCATCTTTTCTAAAGCCATACCGACATCAATTGCGTGGACAGGCCAGAATCGCTGTTCCATATAGTTTGAGGTAATAACGTTAGTGACACCAGCTAAGGTGTTGAGGAGACGATCTTCGAAGCCGAACATTGGTGCAGGTCGGACGATGGTTGTTTCGGGGTAGATCTCTCTTGCTACTAGCTCTCCGCGAGCCTAGGACTTGGTTAGTATATTAATAGAAAACTAAATCTCAGCATACCTTAGTGCGGTAGAATTCCGAAGGTGAGTTGATATTAGCGCTATGTGAGGAGACTTGGACAAATCGATCAATATCGTATTTTGCTACCGCTTCGACGATTCGCCTTGTTCCTTCAACGTGTACATCCTCGAGGGAGAAGTTTCTGAACAATATCAGGGGGGTTCCTTTACTAGTCTTGAGTTCCGACTTACTTCGTGGGATAGTCTCGCCCTATCAGGTTGTAGACAATATCGGAATGTCTAACGCTCTCCTCGATTGACGCAAGATTCCGAAGGTCCATTTCCTGGTAATGTCAGTATGTAGTATTTGCAGCTTATAGATGCCAACTCTTACAAGAAACACCACTCTCCCTAGATCTCCGGAGACTTTGAGGTGACGCTTGGCCATTTCCTCGCGGAATGGAACTACAACCGTGCATCCCGACTGAGCTTTTAGTGTCTGTTAGCACTTTGCTTTACTATCTAAAGAAATCCAATGTACCTAGCCGATTGACAATATATCTCCCCAGGAAACCAGTAGCTCCGAAGACGGTTGCGGTATAACCTGTGATAGGCGGGTGAGCGGGCGGTTACATTCGAGAGCGCGGGTGATAGATATACCTCCGAGAGATGACCTTCAATTGAGTTAGATTCATAGATAACTCTAAAAGCCTTCAATGCACTCACCTTCCGCCGGAAACAGTTAGGATGGGCTTGCCGGTCCTCGTGATGCGAACATCCGAGTTGAGGTTTCGCTGACAGATCTTTGGAAGGGTTGATATGCGCGTGGAGGCGAGCAATTGGGCCGTCAATGCTGCTCCAGGGCGAGCACAATGACGGGGCAAGGCCATGGTTGTGGCGTTCAATGGCTGGAGAACTGGTGGTATATACCTGACATGAAGCTCCGTGATGGGCAGATGTCGGCTCGGCGCTACATTTTGCCGAGAATCACGCCAAGCCAGAAGCTCTGAACATCCGCCACAACAGTGAGAGCCTCCAACTTTCCCGCTTCTCCTCCGTACGCCTCAACACGCCCGTTTCCTCTCCAATACGACCTTTCCCGCCATTCTCCGGGGTTGTAACTACCACTCGTGACTATGGCTATGGACACCGATACGATTCCGAACCTCCTCGGTGACCAACGAGACCAGGCACCGGACGAGCTGCAGCACTTCTTCATTTCTTTCGAGGACTACTGGGAGCGGAGACTATGGCACGAGCTAACGGACTCTTTGATTGATTACTTCGACGAGCCGGAAAGTGCCAGGCAGCGGATACCACTGTTCGAAACATTCATCAAGAGCTTCGCCAACAAGATCAATCAACTTAAGCTTGTGGAGCTGGGTCTGACCACTGCTGCCCAGTATAAAGGTATGGCTTTAGCTTCGAGAGTTGTAGGATATGTGTTGATTTGCTCTAGATGAGAAGGAACGCCTCACATTCTTGTCCACCCTCGCGACCAGCGTCAACAAGCCAGCCTCACAGGACGCCTACGTCTATGCCACAGTTGCCGTAGCCAGCATGCAGCTGCGGTTAGGAGACTATGATGGAGCGCGGAAGAAGCTAGATGAGTGCGAGCAGATACTAGACGGCTTCGACTCGGTGGAGACCGTCGTTCACGCATCCTTCTACCGGGTCAATGCCGAATATTACAAGGTGAGCGCTTCAACCCAAAAGGAAGCCGTTTTCTAATCAAGCCCAGGCCAAGCACGAATTCGCCTCCTACTACAAAAACGCCCTGCTCTTCCTCGCCTGCATAGACCTCGAAGACCTCGACCTCCGAGAGCGTCAAGCCCGCGCCTACGACCTCAGCATCGCCGCGCTAGTCTCTGACTCCATCTACAACTTCGGCGAGCTCCTGCTCCACCCCATCCTCGACTCCCTTGTCAACACCGCACACGCCTGGCTCCGCGACCTCCTCTTCGCCTTCAACCGTGGCGACCTGATCGCATACGATGTCCTCGCTGGCAACATCTCCAAAGTGCCTCTCCTCAAAGAACACCAAACTTTCCTCTATCAGAAGATTTCCCTCTCTGCACTGACGGAAACCGTCTTCCGCCGCCCACCACACGACCGCGCGATGACGTTCGCCACTATTTCAGAGGAGACCAAGGTCCAACCAAACGAGATTGAGCATTTGATCATGAAAGCATTGAGTTTGGGGTTGTTGAGGGGCACGATTGATCAAGTGTCGGAGATTGCGAGGATCAATTGGGTGCAGCCTAAAGTGTTGGATATGAAGCAGATTGAGAGTATGAGGGCGAGACTGAGGGATTGGGATTCTAGTGTCAACCAGCTAGGGAACTGGATTGAGGGTGTAGGTAAGGATGTCTGGGCTGCATAGACCATGCAGGGGGAGTCTCAGTCCATGGGATTCGAGGGCTTGGTCAGAGAGATGTAATCATAGCTTTGGCATGACATGTTACTCATCTGAGCTAACCAGCCAAACACGAACGAATCAACACAATAGAACAAACATATCATCCAATACCTTCGTACCTTGACATGCAAAATGAGCTTTTGCGAGATTCTATCTGGTATCATACACATCCTCAACTCCAAAGGCGCCCAACATGTATCTCCACCCAAAAATCCTGTTTGTCTCACCCTCCAACTCTTCCTTCCCTTCCTCTCTCTAATCTATCTAAGCAAACAGCCCCCCGGCCACAACCACACTCCCCGCAAACCATGCCGGCCACCAAACAAGCCAAACTACGACCTGCGTCCATAGACCCCAAACATGCCATCCCTCAGCCGCCTGCACCAACACCTCCACAATAGTTGCTCCCCAGTAGAGCGTCGCGGCTCGAATCACGACTAGCGGGTTTAAGAGAACGAGTAAGATTACCATCGTGGCGCTTAGCGATTTACGGTTTTTGGAGACGAACGAAGGGGGGATTTGAGGGGATTGAGTGGTTGGTGGGGTCTGTGGCGCAAGGGACCGCACGAACGTTAATGGGCTAGCGAAAATACCGACGAGGAAGGAGAGAGAGAAATTTAGGGTTGCGAGGGCGGAGAGGTACATTCCAAGCAGCAGAAGCGAGAAGCACTGTATCAACGTTGTTTCCTGTTCCGTCGGACAGAGGAATTTCGAAAGCAACAGGGCAGTGAGAACCGGGAGGGATGTTGTTACTGCAGTTATAGTGTTGAATGCGAGACCAAGGTAGGGCTCTGAGGTGTTGTTGAAGATGTAGAGAGGCAGCAGACCCAGGAAATGGGATGCGAGGATGAAGGCAAGGGGGAGGAAGAGTTTACGTTCGGTTATTGCGAGGGACGTTGTTGGGATGAGAGCGATTGCGCCGGATTTTTCTGCGGCGGTCATGGAGTCCGGTTTTGAGGTCTTGGAGTCTGGGGATGCCTTTGGTGTTGCGGAGGCGGGATTTGGAGTAGAGACACCGCGGCCACTTTGTACCCATAGCGCGATGGATGTGATGGTAAAGTTCACGGCGATTAACATTGCGCTGGGGAGATAGGTGCCAATGCTCACAAACCGGTTCGCTTGCATCAAGAGGTAGAAGAAGAAACTTTGATGTAGATGCTCGAGGAGGTTGTTCAAGCTCCTGAACAGTGATTCCACGGTTCGGCCGAGCGACATCTCATCATGCCAGCCATTGCCGACGGTTTGCAGGGTAATGGCATCCACGTGATACGGGATGAAGCTGCTGTGCGGCCCGGAAGCATGACCGAGTCCTTGGCTAATCATGCCTCGAAGCATAGTTTGCAAGCGCTCTTGGTAGGAGTCGTCGTGCTTCCACATTCGTTGGAGCGTGCATCCGATGCCCATTTGTCCGCTGGCGATGGAAACAGCAGTGTTGAAGAGATCAAGATTTGGGAGCTGGCCGTTCACGCCGTCGTAGACGACGTGGAGTTTGTCGTAGCGGTGGCCCCAGGGTCCAGCGGGGTAGTCTATGGCGACGGCACCTTGAAGGGCGCCGCTTTTGATGGACAGGGGTTCAATGGAGGCTGGAGAGTAGGAGTCGTGGTAGGCATCAACCCAGGCCTGTGGTCCTGAGGTGCTGTCCCCGGAAACCAGGAATATGATGTCTTTGGACCACAACGACCATCTCTTGAAGTAGCGCGCGAGCGTTAAAACGAGGGCTACGCCGCTGTGGTTGACCTCATCAGCCATATTCCTCCATGCTCCAATCAAGACAATGGCTTCTGTGGCATCGGCGCGTGGGCCGTGGAGAATAGCGTAGACATTCTGGTTCGAGATATTGCGGCCCGAGGCGTGGTATTCGTACTTCTGCGTGGCGACTTTCAGATTGCTTGAACGGAAGATGTCGCCTAAGCGCTGGGTCCTCCTATTTCCATAGTCAGTGTTTGCCTTAAGCTTCAATCAATTTGTTGATTCCATACTCTTGAACGGACGTATCTACTAATGCTGCAACCTCATGCCTGTACGCCCTGAAGATGTTGTGCTCGCTGCCGGTGAAGTACGTATGCACCTGTCCAGGCAATAATGCATTCTCCGACACATAAGTATTCCGCGAGTACTCATTCAACGGCAGGACCAGCAACCAGACTACTCCAACGAGAATGCATAGCGCGGAGAGGTAGGGGGGCAACTTGAGGATGCGAGGATCTCTCCGGAGCGCCAGTAACGTAGCTACCACAAATCAGCTACTCTCAATAACTATACGTCGAAAATACTTACAAATCAGTGCCATATCCTCAACACCCTCTCAGCATTCTTCGTGGGGTTGCAGCTTCGAAGCTTCTACGTTGGTCGGTGGTGCTTCTCACTAGCGTCAAATCCCCGACCCCAGATTTCGCGACCGCGATCCGCGCCTCGAAGACACCTTTCCATCCAGGCATCCTGAAGGCTGTGTCGCCGCCATGCCGTCGTTCCCCCAGCTTAATCCCCTGCGACTCCGCTCATACATACTCAGACTGCCGCTATGTACGCGGGTTCTCCTTTTTGTCATGGTGGCGCTTTGGGGGGCGACGATTCCTTTTACCTGGTTGAGGCAGTGGGCGGCATTGGTGCCGGATCAAGTGAATTTGGCGTCTAGTATGTGCATTCCTTTCTTCAATATACGTTGTTCGCATTCCACTCAGAAATTATATCACTTGAGAATTCTTGCGCTGATAATATATGTTTCCGCAGTGTATCGTCTGAACACTTTTCCCTTAATGCACCTGGGTTTCCTGCACATGATATTCAACATATTAGCTCTCACGCCTCTTCTCGAGAGATTTGAATCGGAATTTGGGACACTGGTCACGTTGGCGTTGTTTACTGGGCGTAAGCACAGATTGAAGCTCCGTGAGAAGACATGGAATTGACGAAATGATAGCGTTCGGGACATTGCCAGGGGGTATATACATACTGTTGGAAAAGGGTATACTTAGAAGTAACACCACCGTCATGGGCGCGAGGTACACTATTCCCATCGTTCTGGAGATTATGGTTGGATGCTGACAAGGACAGTATCTGGGTCTTTCTTCTCCTTGCCTCGGAGGCGCTGAAAACGCATAAAGCGAATCCAAACTTTAGGTATGGAGCCCATCGTGCTTTTAAACCTGCACGGCTCATAAACAGTCCCAGCATCGGCCCCTACAGAATCCCAACTTGGACGACCCCCCTCATCCTTGTCTTCATCATAAGCTTCATCGTCCCTAATGTTAGCTTTATTGGGCATTTATGCGGCGCGGGAATCGGATATCTATGTACGCTCTTGCACTCGGGTTCCCATTTCCTGTTTCTAATCCTAATCTCATGATAGGGGCTCTCGGCTACATCAAATTCCTTGTACCCCCAGAAAAGATCCTCCGCTGGGTCGAAACCAAACTCAACCTCCTCGGTCGCCTCCCACACTACGTATCCGTCGACCAAAAGACCTACGGCCGATACGGTGTCTTACCGACTACCGCAGTGGGCTTAGGTTCGATACCTCGGAGTCCGGAGACGGGACAGCGGCTTGGACCATAGCATAGTTAGCTAGTATCTCAGCTCATATGTACAGTAGGAGTTTATAGGCGTTTGTCCTAATTGAAGGGTTGGATTGGAGTGGAATCTCGCATTGTGTGGCATAACTTGGACATATTCATCGTGCGGGTTTAGGCGTTTTCCGAAGATCTTGGGGAAAAGTTCAGTCGGGGGGGACTTGTTGGGTGTTGGAATGTATTCTTATGGGTAGTGCAGCGTGTAGTCGTTGGCGTGTATTGTATGTAGAAGTGCCTTGCAGAAATTCCCAAAACCTCCTGCTATTACCCCTAGTGCATTCACCACAACCATATAAAACCATGCTTCTGATCCAAGGGTCTTGCAACCATTTTTATGCAGAAAGAAAGATAATGATTGTATACCAGGCTTGGATTCTGTCTCCTGCATGCGAACTTGACTCAAAACAAGATATTCTACATCCTCCAATCACATCGCTAGCTCCTCACAATTCATTTTTCAAAATCCCCCAGCTCCATCCAATCATCGAAATTCAAGAATCGAAACCCAGCCACTCCATCGGCTCCTTCGCCCGATGTCAAAGCACCCGCAGCCCCACTCACAAGTCTCATTTACTCAACCCCATTTTAGTCTGTCCTTATTGCCGAATTCACAGCTCTATTGACATATAGAATATATTTACTATAATTTTCAAATTAGCCATCAAGCAAATAAATCAAGTCTCCTTGGTGTAGTTGGTTATCACGTGGGTCTCACAGCTTTCATACTATGACTGTTCTCAGCAGCAGGAATCCCAAGGCCGCCAGTTATCATCCTTTTGTGACATTTTTTGCGTGCTTGAGTGAGCGGAAGCTACATCGATAGGGTTGGAAGATGTCGGCGATTTTTTTACTACAGGAAAGGATGATTGTTTCTTTCCCGTTGCATGTTTTGTGTCCCTCTGAACTAATTAGGGAATCCAGAAGTGCGGGTGGAAGGGAGGATTTCTTCTCCTTCTACGGATCCGTAGGGCCCTTGCAGTTTACCTGAGTAGTCAAATAATCTTTTTTAAACTTTAAATTTACTCTACCTTGTAATAGCTAGAGGTTCAAATAGCCTTACACTTGTCCTACATATATATGCTTATGTCGTTGACTCTCCTCTTTATATTCTGATTCTAGCAATTCCTCACAGTTCAGTCCCCCGGTCTCTTCTCTCGTGTTCTCCGAAATCCTCACCCTGGAAATACGTCCACATATCGTTACATGCAATTAAACCACTGCAATAAAGCGCGGCTAGTCATTTAGGGGAGACGTTTCATGCGACAGGATATGTGAACATGCTCCTGCTTCTATGTCGAGATATCTATGCCTCCAGCACAGGACGAACCGCAATAACGGATTCAGCATCCAAGTCGTCACCCTCTTCCTCAATATCGACAGCGGTCCAAACGGAGATTATTGATTTGACAGTCTGTGACAAATTCTCAGGCACCTTATTCCTCCCCTTGGTCTTTCTCCTGTCCTTCAATATCATACCATCCGTAATGTCAGTGTCCTGGAATTGTGTCATATCCTCTATCTCGAACGTATGTCTCGCGTCGTCTAGCCGATTTATTGCTTCGTGGATTCACTTCGAGTTTGCGTCCTGTAGACCCAGAATCGACATAATCGTTTGGCGCTTCCTTGTGTCATTGACCCATCCATTGGGGCACCCCATGAGTGCTGATATCCACACCCTTGTACCTGACTCGTCGCTGGTTCGGGTCTTTTGGCCTAGCGGATATCTCCCCCCCTCCTCATGCTGGATATCACTAGTGGTGGCCTTACTTGAATCATTACCGCGGCGGTTCCCCCGCCTCTGCTGATAATTTTGTTTTTTTTGCAGGCTTTCTTGCTCCCAGGGCATTGTTCGTGAAATTGCTCTGATATTGACTTTCTCTTGCCGTCAAATGCCCTTACTTCGTCAAGGGTAGGACTCGAGGTGAGCTTAATCGGACTGGGTGGAATAGCTCCTTTGGTTTATAGAAAGGTTGAAGAATTTACAACGCTTCGCGTATGATCGGTTGGAAGTCGAGGATGCTCTACCAGTTTCCTTCCGGGACACTGAATAGTTGACTTCACCCGTGTTGCCCTCCGTCCGCCTCGGCAGTGGCGGGGAGTGGAATGCGATTAGTCTTTTACGTGCCCTATATGCTGATAGTCATGAGCAAAATAGCGTTGACAAGGGGGCAGGCGCATTCAAAGCAGAATATCTTACATTTAGTCAAAGCCCACATGGGCTGTTCCGAAATCAGGCCAGAAATCAGTGGATCGGACTCAATATCATTGCCATAGTCCGTGGCTATCTTATCATTTATAGCTCCCGAATTTAGAACCATGAACCTCGATGGTAGCCGTACAGCGTGTACATCTTCCTCTTCCTCCTCTTCCTCCTCTAGAGGAACACTGCCCTTGAATCGATGAAACGGAGAACTCCTCTCTGCAGGTTGCGCACAATATGCGTTACAGAAACGATGACCCAATCTTTCGCTAAAATTGTCGAGTGTTGGAGGGCCGAATGAAGCCACATTATATGGCCCCCCGACGGAATGGGTCCTTCCTGAACGGATGATGTAGTTGATAGGCCTCTTTGTGTTGGCATCATGGCTTGCTGTGGCTGTGGGACCAGTGCCGCTGGAAGGAACCCTGGAGGAGCAACTGGTGACCTCTGCAGTATGTGAAGCCCAGTGGAGGAGGCTTAGTAAGTAGACTATGTAGGTGAGCACCCTGTGCAATGGGAGCAGTAGCGGGAGCAGCATTCTCAGAACTTACAGCGCGGATAGTGAAAGCCTGGCAGCGACAAAGGTTTGGGACGACTCTCTTCGCCACGAAGTGCTCTGCCATCTCGACCGACCACCCTTCATTGCTCCCTCGAAATACGGAACCTACTCTCCGTAATTGTAGTGTGAAGTTTTCCTGGGCGGACGTCTCAGATGGGTACGATAGCTGCCAGGTGACCAACTGCCACGCCTCTTCTACCTATTCCAATATGATGGCTGTAAGACATAGAAGTAGTAGTCTAGTGGTGTCAGTGAGAATTTTGCCTTTATCCTTATGTGCTAAGGTCACCCACGATACAGCCCTAACCCCAGGATCCGTAGGCGGTGGAGGTGCCGCGGCTGGGTGAGTCCCTGAAGCCCCAATTAGAAACATTTAAGAGGCTGTCCCAGAAAGCGGATCAGTTCTAGTGCTGAAGTTCAGAGAGCTTCAGGTTGCGTGGGCAAGTATTGAACAAGGGAGGAACAACCCTTCGTGTCGCCGATGCGCCACGAATGTCTAAGAGAACCTGCAGTAAAAAATCATGCGGCATCGCGGAAACTGATGTGCATAAATATGAGCGGTATGGGCATACTAACCGCTACTCGTTAACTGGAGACTTCCCCTTCCCTCTCACAATTTTCGGGCTCGACATCGTCTGCTGAGAAAGCATTGTCCATGTGAAAAGCTGTTCCTATCTTCTAACCCTCCACCCTCAGCAACCTGTTGGGCGGCCGTAATAGACAGCCCACGATAACCCTTGACAAACTCACGGCTGTCTTCCCCGGCCGCAGTTTGATTAGCACGGGCCGGCGCAACACGGATCTCCTCTCTAGCTCTGTAGGTGCGGCGGTTTGCATCGTGAATATTCGTCTTTCCTATTATGAGCGTGCCTTTGAAGATGATGTGTATTGGCGCGGTGGTGGCTGTGGGGATTGAGAACACCGTATTCGGGAGTAGTCAGCCGGGGTCTACGGAAAGGGGGACAATGAAGTTACGGAGGTAGGTATTTAGTGTTGATGTATGGGTATTTGATGCTGACTGCTCTCTGCTCGTTGTCTGTGAGTGGACGAGCGTACGTGTAGGATGGCATTCTGAGGAGGACTTTGATAAATATGATGTCATTGGAGTTCAAATTGAAAGGCATTACGATGGTTTTGGCGGTTTCGTAGAAGAATTGCACCGAGGAACGACTAGAATGGCTCTGTCCGGGGAGTGTTCTGTCTATCTTAATAGAATTATGTGGGGACTTGGACTGGGACATTGTTCGACGAAGATGAATCGGCATGGGAAGGGTCTCTGGGCTGACACAACTGTGAGAACTTGCCCTCTGTCGGCATTGAGACCTTAGAAACTTGCTTCCGTTCGATCTGTTTAGAAGCGATCATTGCTGAATCGTGGCTCATGAATGAAAAAGGAATAGGAAGTAAACGAAACACTATCAAAAGGTTCCAACAATGTTGAACAGCACATACCAGATCATCTGACTGCATCGAAAAATTCTCTATTGAGTGGGGTATCCTGAAAATCAAATCTTACTTTTATCTCGTTCCTTCTTTGACAAGCTTCTCTAGGTACTGCCGCAGCAAAGACTCAGTACTCTCGGGGTCATCTCGTTCCTGTACATCCTTCCAATGGCGGTAGAACTCCAGAACTACCTCGACAGCGATGAGGGCGATGATGGCCCATTCTAGGCGTAGACCATGTTTTTCGCTGAGCGATTCCCTGAGTACGCTAGCAATTTCTTGCGCAAATCCAATCTTCTCGTTCAAAACTTTGATGCGGACACCTACGTCTAGCGCACGGCCGACTTGGTCGTAGTACTCTCCAAGGCCAAGCTCGTGGCGGCTGTCCCAGAAGATGTCCGGGAGTGAGTCAGTGAGCTCGGAGTATAGGTTGAGCTGGGCCCGAATGCTGAGAAGCTCGCCGGTCTTTCGCAGAATGAAGGAGCGGGTGAATGGGAGGTTCTTGCGTCCGAGGGGGATATTCTCGCCTTTTGCAAGCATGGTTGGAATGGACCGGGTTGAGTACTGATACGCACTGAGCAGGCTTTCCAGTACGGCTAGTTTTGTTGACCTAGCCAACCCAGAGGAAAATGCGATTTTGGCAAGGACGGTATCGACCTCATGCCGCTGTTCCATGTCGTCTGTTCTAAGCTCGTTTTGAGTTCGAACGGTAGACTCGTCACGAGAATCAGGCTGGTCGCTTTCAGCCTTGGTGCCCAATATAATGGTATCACCAATGATTTCGCTACTCTCTTTCGATGAATCCTCCAGGTAATCTAGATCCTCCGTTTCCAAGAGTGCTAGGTGAGATCCTTCTGCTGCCGCTGGTAAGACCTTGTTGATCAAGGCCAATGCCTCTCGCTCCCGCACGTTCCACGTCACTACAGTCCCGGAGGGAAATATGAAGACATCTCCTCGTTCTGGGGCGTCCTTGACCTCGGACGGCCTTTCAGTGGTCTGAACGTGAATGACTTGAGGATAGAGCCCAGTTTGGAAGGGGTCGAGCTCGTATCCTTGAGCTTTGATCAATCGAGAAGCGGTAGCGATGTTATATTGTTCTGCGGTGCAAAACGCTGTCACAGTCTGCTCAATGCATTAGCTCTGGGCTAGACTGCAAGAGTTCAGTGCCCACCTTTGTGTCAACGTCTGGGTCAACGAACCGCTTGTTTCCCCTTCCCTTTACGAATCCTCTTGATCTTTGCGCCTCCACAGCGACTCTTCTGAGCGACGATGTTTTGGTAGCATTTTTCCGGGGCCCTTTTCGTTCTGGCATCTGGGTGTCATCTTTTGAGATTGTTTCACTATCTGGCTCCTGCTTCTGAAAGATGTCTGCCCTCTTATATGCAAATCCTGTGGCACTGAACGCTCGCAGTGGGTATCCGTGCCACCGTGATTGCCCACGGGACACTCGGGACGAGGTCCGGAAGAGAGACGCTCGCAGCGCTGGTGCAAGACTCTTAGTCACGCAATTAGCAGCATTAGATCGAAGAAGATTCATCGCCAGGTGAACAAGCCTTTGAGCATCGTGCTCACGTAGAGGCCAATTGACGATCGGGTGAGCAGAAAGATCAATGCAGATCCCGGGAGGTGCTGGACTTTCTGCAGCCTTCCGAGGGCTTGGCACAACGACATCATTGGGCTTCAGATCGCCAGAACATCTCGACTCAAGCTTCAACACTCACCCTCCCGGAGCTTCGCAGGCCCCCACCACACATACCGCAGCCCATGCATCCAGCATGGCTGCGGAGTCGGACGAACACGAGTCGAAAGCGACCACCTGCGATGAGCCTCTGCATCGGCGCGTGGTGAGCAATGGCAAGGAAAGCACCGACCAAGACTCCGAGGACGAGGGGGAGGATGAGGACGAGGCGGAGGAGGAGCCGAAGCTGAAATACACTCGTCTGACGGGGAATCTGGGTCCGGTGTATCGGAACGGAGACGCGACAAGCACATTCATGGTCGCTGGAGATAAAATGGTATGGCGCAATGCGCTCCAGGCTCCAAGAGCTCTCAAATCCAAGTTTGCATGCTGAGTTCTAGGTAGATTGTAGGTACGCATAATGGCAACATCGTAAGACACGCCCCCCACCCCCCCGAAGCTTCCCAGAGAGCTAACAAGAGCAGCACGTGCTAGCCATCCCGTCCTTCCAACCTCTCCGAAACTACAATGCCCACCCGTCCGCCTCGGTGACTGCGCTATCTGTTTCGCCGTTTCCGCCGCCCCTGCCTACTGCCCCCTCCGGTGTATCCAGCAGAGCCGCCGAGCGACCAGCTACTCCCCAGAAACAAGCGCCTTCGTCAGGCCCCAGTGCCGTCTCTCCCCAAAGACCTCGCCAGCCCCCTGTTCCAGCCACGCCTTCGAATCAAATCTATATTGCTTCTTCGTCAATAGACGGTCATGTCTGTGTGTCATCGCTAGTAGACCCCAAAGACGTAACGCTTCGCAACTTTGCCCGACCCGTCCAAGCCGTCGCGCTGTCACCCGAGTACAAATCTAACCGATCATACCTCTCTGGAGGCCTGGCCGGAGAACTAATACTTACCACAGGCGGCCAGGCAGGTGTACGGTCCACTGCGAATACGAGCCAAGCTGCAGCTGCCGCCCAGGGATGGCTGGGAGCCATTGGGCTGGGAGGAAACTCCGGGAGAGATACCATTCTGCACTCAGGAGAAGGGACCATTAGCACCATCAAGTGGTCCCTGTCTGGGCAATACGTCGCATGGGTTAATGAGCATGGCACTCGGATTATGCGAACGAATCTGCAGCTTGAGAGCGCAGATTCAGACTCAGCATGGAAAAGGATAGGCTTCATCGACAAACCTAATCGCCGGGCCTGGGAGGATATGGCCAGTGTGTGGAAACCCCGCGTTGAGTGGGTAAATGACCAATGGCTGGAGTCTGACGATGACTCCATCATTAGCTTGAATAGCACCCACACCGAAAAAGTTGACTCGACTCTGCCCCACCAAAGAGTAGATAAGCAGCGGAATGGTACCAAGAAGAAGAAAATTGAGAAGCTTGTTGTCGGATGGGGAGACGCGGCCTGGGTGGTCCACGTGAATCCTGGTAGGACTGGCGTCGGACGAGATGTCGGTGAGAGATCGGTTGGCAGCGCCGAAATCATCCATTTGTTCGTTTATTCCCCTAATTATTATAAACCTCACTTGACTGACAGATTGAACAGCCTTCGATTCGACGATTGTATTGTTTCTGGCATTTCGCTTTATACCCCATCTTTGCTTCTTGTTCTTGCTTATCGGACCTGCGACGATGATGACAATCCGATCACTGAGGCTGAGACTACCCCAAGACGTGGAATGCACCGGCGGCCCAACGGCCTCTCCCCTGAGCTAAAGTTGATTGATGCTGCAACATCCGACGAAGTCGAAGTAGATGCGCTAAGTGTCAGCAGATTTGAGAGTTTATCTGCTGCCGACTACCATTTGAGCACTCTGTATGTGCCGCATCCGAAGACCATGACGCCTGCACAACGGAGTGCACTAGAGGCATTAGGAGGAGGTATTTGGGATGCTGGTGTAAGCGCAGCCAGAATATTCAGTTCTGGAGCCAGTATGGTTAGCATACCAAGCAGTGGAGATCTGAAAACGGGACATTCAGTGTCTTCTACGAGCGCCGGAAATGCATCGACATCTTTTCCAGGCAAAAGACATTTGCAGATCCACCCAAACACTGCTACTGCTGGACTAAAAGTATTCATTCAGAGCCCTTATGACTGCGTATTGGCGGTCAAGCGCGATCTTACGGATCACTTCAATTGGGAGCTAGAGCATGAAAATTTCAAGGACGCATGGGAGCTCCTTGATGACCACCCTGAGATTGTCACGTCATCTGCTCAACCAGCACCGGAAGCATCCCCCGCAAGCACCCCATCAAAGAAACAAGGAAGTCTGCAGGATTTCTTCGCGGACGAAAGCGCATCACAGACCACGATTTCTGCTCCCCGGGCAAATCACAACTCTGCTGTCGAGAAAGAGAAGCGACGGATTGGTGATCTTTGGGTACAGCAGCTAGTAAACGCAAGAGACTGGAAACAAGCGGGGAAAATCGCCGGTCGTGTCCTAGGTACCTCGATGAGGTGGGAGCATTGGGTTTGGAAATTTGCCCAAGCAAATCGCTTTGACGAGATTGCGTCTTACATTCCTACAAAGCAGATGCATCCACCACTACCATCTCTGGTGTATGAGGTGGTCCTTGGCCACTACATTATTCACGATCGAATTCGCTTCAAGCACCTGCTTGAGGACTGGGATCCTGAGCTGTTCGATATCGACAGCGTGATTGAGGCGATCAAGAGCAAACTATCCGCAGGCGATGTCACCGAGGACTCGATCGAAGGAAGTGACCAAGGCCGAGATTGGCGAATACTCCAAGATGCACTTGCTAAGCTGTACCTTGCCAGTGGCCATCAAAGAGAAGCGCTGCGATGCTACATTCGACTGCAGAATGCGGACGCAGCCATGTCTCTCATCAGCGAGTTCCACCTTGTGGAAGCGGTTCGAGATGACATTCCAGGCTTCATACTACTTCGAGTATCAAAAGAGCAGATGGAGTCAGCTCCTTTGTCGGAACTTGAAGAAGCCTCGTCCGAAGCTGTGCACGTTCTGGTCGACGAAGCGTGTCGTGGTATCATTCCCGCAAATGATGTCGTCTCGCAATTGCAAGACAAAGACTTGTCTTTCCAACCCTTCCTTTTCTTTTACCTCCGATTGCTGTGGAAACCAGAGAACCATGAGCGCAAGGGAAACACGGCCCAAGAACGCCGAGCCACAAGGGGTCTCGCCGACGAAGGCAAAGCGATTGCAGAAGAATTCGCCGATCTTCTTGTTGAACTCTTCGCTGAATATGATCGCCCACTTCTCATGGAATATCTAAGAAAGTCGCAGAGTTACAATCTTGAGAAAGCTGCCACCATCTGCGAACGAAGGGAATATATTCCTGAGCTAGTGTAAGAACCCTCCACGAATAATCAAGTCATCCCAAGGTACTCTTTCGCTAACACAAACCCAGCCACATCCTCTCCAAAACCGGCCAGACAAAGCGCGCACTATATCTTATCATCGAAAAGCTGTCCGACGTCTCATTCGCCATTTCCTTTGCAAAAGAACAAGACGACCCAGACTTATGGAACGATCTCCTCGAATATTCAATGGACAAACCGCACTTCATCCGGGGTCTCCTCGAAGAAGTCGGCACAGCAATCGACCCCATCCAACTCGTCCGCCGTATCCCCGAAGGCCTCGAAATCGAAGGCTTACGCGACGGTATCGGGCGTATGGTCCGTGAATACGAAATCCAGTTCTCAATCTCCGAAGGCGTAGCGAAAGTCCTAAGTGGGGAGGTTAGTGTAGGTATGGACATGCTCCGTGCAGGCCAAAAACGCGGTGTCAAGTTCGAAGTCATTCCCTGTGACGACGAGGTTGAAGCCCTAACCGGAAAAACTCCGGGCACGTTTAAAGAGGACAAGAAAGTGGATATCGAACCCAAAGGCGTGGAACCTGCGACAGCAATGAGGATCCAGAGCCACAGCCAGAGCGATACCGCGACGTCCACGACCCCTGGTTTGCATATCGACGCGCCGCCCCCAGATCCAGAAGGTGATGCACCTCCCGGTCATTGTACCGGATGTCACCGCCCTTTCATTCTACCCACGACCGAGGAAGTGGAGGCTATGGATGGCCCGGTCCCGTTGAGTCGCGATACCCTAGTTGGCTTTGCGTGTGGGCATGTATTCCACCTTTCTTGTCTTCTCCCGAAGACAAGTGCGAGCGCGAGTGTGGTTGCGACGTTGCAGGCGCGACCTGCGGCTGATGCTCAAGAGGGAGGTGGGTATGAGGGGAGGAGTGTTGGTGCGAAGGTGGCGCACGCGCATCTTATTAGGAGGGCCATTGGGAAGGGGTGTGTAGTTTGTAGAGAGCGCGAGAGGGTGGTGGACCAAGACGGTTGAAGGGATGAAGGATTTATATTTGTATGATTGGATTGGATATCTGCAGCGGATGACATTTTTGCCTGTTTCTTTCCAATGGCGCGAAATAAAATTGAGAGGTTGCATGGTTAGAGTGCAGGTGGGTCAGCGGTTTTGTGGGTTTGCATTCTTGGGCGCTTTGCATACTTGGTGTGTACGTGTGACGGGCCATATAGCAATAGGGATTGGGATATAAACATAAGCATGGATTCAATTAAGAATGTTTCAGATATCTGCTGCTATGGGAGAAAGCTTGTTCATATTCTGTTTATCCCAGCTTCGTTCCTTCCTCTCTAGCTCTTATATCCTCGTCTCTGTTTGAGCTGGTCCCAGACCTTTTGCTCTTCCTTTATCTATCTCTTGAATCTTCTCTAGTATAGAGACTATAATCCTGCCTAGCTCTTTATCCTTAATCAGCCAATCCTAAATACAGTTGGCAATGTATCTGAATGTTTCCAGCCCTCCCCACTGGAGGCGCATGGCAGTCCCTCGGAAAAACATTAGCATATGTGCGACATGTCTAGGCCTCACCTAGGCCCACATCGAATAGCGTTCTTTCATACACATCGTCTCCAACTTTGATGGGGATCTCGTCCGAGTCGACATTCTATTTCATCACGTGACATCTTCACAGAGCCATTAATGAGATATTCCGTGATAGCATGTGTGTTGGGTGTTAAATAGAGTAGATATCTACAATTAAGCGTAGTCCAAGTAATTGCATCGCTAGAGAAAGCTAAGTCTTCCTAAATACTCCTCTAACGCCGTCCTACCTACATCCCAACAGCTCAATAAAGAAGACTACGGTGATAACTAACTACCTCGCCAAACTATTCTACAGTACAGCATGAATCTAGTGTTCCTCATAGGGGCAGTATTCGCCCACCAGCGAAAGGTACGGCTTGTCTCTGAGGAAATAGTGGGGAGAAGAAAATTACTTCGCGTGAATTTTGATTACAGGGCGAGTGCTTGTAGATGAGAAGCGAAATTGAGGTTTCTGCAATAGAAGACTCCTTTCAAAGGTTATCGTATCTCGGCTTATTCCACAGACAAATTTTTTTCACCCCTCAATCTCCAACTCCAATTCCATCTACGAAGGCCAGTGTTCAAATATCCCATGTTCCTGGCTAGACTTGTGTGATGAGGCCAAAGGAAGCCAATATCTACCTTCAACCAGGAAACGGAGAATTATTGATCTGAACCCTTCGCAGTCGGATCGAATGTGACTAGTAAACAAGCAGCAGTAACAATAGAAGCAGGACCAGAGGACGCGACAATATCAATAGCGAATGTGCAATTTCAGCCAGAGAGAACAGATTAATAACTACACGTTGTCATGCTATAACAAAAACAGAAACTTGGGAGAGCCTTCCTTCGTTTAGACTAGAGATAAATGTAGAGGAGTAAGTTAATAGAAGCGCTGCACTCACCCCAGCTAGCCAGCCGGAAACGCCGCCTATGCATGTATGCGTGAGCATCCACCTCTCTCGCTAGAAATCGACATGAAGAATAAGGAGAGGGAGAAGAATCCAGAATGACGCCATCCCACACCAACTCATGACAGACGAAAACATATGCGTGCACTTTAGCTGAAAGCCTTCTAGCAATTTTCTTAAAGAGTATTAACTTCCCAGATCATGATTCTACAACCTTTGCTCGGCTCGGCGTTTGCACGCCAGGTTTCTCGGTATGCGCCGCAACCTCCAACACGCTCGTTGCGCTTTCTCCACCTCCTTGGACACTCATTCCTAACGTCCGCCGTGCTAGCTCTTTCTGCCCATTGCCAATGGAGTTTTCGACAGGAGACTGTGTTGCGCTTAAGTTACCGTTGGATGGTGACACATGATTCGAGTTGATGGGTGGTAGTTGCAGCCAAGGCACGGAAGTGCAGCGTTTGACGAGACGCACGGTCGTTTCATCAACAGGAGCGAAATGATTGCCGCTGGCGGTGAGGAGGTGGAGCAGTCTGAGGACTTCCTCGCGCTTGTAGTGGGGCGGTTTGCTGATCTGACTGTTTGCGAGGATTGGATGTAAGACTCGGAGATAGGTGTGTCTTAACGCATTTGCGGCGGGAGAATCAGATGGAAGGTCGATCAAGTTCCGCAGAACGACGTCGATGAGGACATGGAGGTCGTTGGTATAAAAGTACTCTGCAGTTGTGGGATTGCCGAAGATGAGGTAGAGTACTTTCAGGATCAGAAGCTGGAGGGAAGTCTCGGACTCCCGGTTCAGGAGAAGAATCAGATTACAGCCAAATGTTTTGTAAGTCATACCGTGAGTCGAGAGGGCCTTGATTACGCGATTTGTTACGCCACCGTGACCGTTCGCGTGCCGAGTTGTGGAAGCTACCAGGTATTGTTCGTTCAGAACAAGCTGCCACATAGTGAGGACAAATTTCAGAAGGAGGGGGGAAGCCTACCAGAACGCGGATTAAGGGGTAATGGTAAGGGTCGTCAGCATCATCGGAGACGCCTTCTATGATCCCCAGAAGATAAAGAACGAAAGCATCGTCTATGGACACTGTAATTTATGAGTCAGCATCTTCCATATACCATGTCGCAAGTCTAGTAATGCATACTCAAATCCTCCCAACTTAGCCGCTGTATCCGTGAAGACTCATACATGAGCTCCAACAGCATCTGATGAAGCTGCGTGTCTTCCTGCACACTCGGAGTCTGTATTAATTCCACTAGACGCGGAAAGCAGCCCTCGGTCTGCATCATTTCAAAAGTGACATCATTTGAATTATTTCGGCCGTCATAGAGGAGGAATGCGGCGACCATGTGGAGAGTTGGATTATCGTCCTCCTGTTCCGAGTTAGCCCGCAAGATCAGAGGTCTTAGAAGCTCTGCTCACCTGTAGAAGACAGTATATTATTTGCCGCCGCACATATTCCTGGTGAGTGCTAAAAAGATGGCCTTGGATGAGGCGGTACACGCATTTTGCTACACTGTAGTCCGTCTGGAGGTATTCGGCTGGGCAACGTCAATCAGCTGTTCACGGGGTGCGATTCGTAAGTGCGTCACCTTTATAGCTCGTCGTGACATTAAGATAAGAACGTAGAGCATTATCTATAAGCTCGTGCTCCTGACAGCGCGTCGAGACAATGTCGTCAAGTTCTGTCTGGCGGTTAGCAACATGGCCACAGCAGTTGGGTCGTGTGTCCTCCCCACCATCCCAGAATTGCTGTTCATTCTCGAGGTTATACGACACCTCAAACGCCATGCTGAGGTCGTAGGATAGCCAACAAATTCATCGTCTCCCACGGCACGAATAAGAAGCGCCAGAGCGGGCGGCGCGGGGTGGACGTGGTGTTGATGTGGTGATGGAACAGCAAGTGACGCAGGACTATTGCCGAGAAATATCCGGCGCACTCCCCTTCGTTTTGGCATAGTCACTTGCTTATGCACTTCTTCAGGGGGTCTAATTAGCCACCTGAGCCACTTCGCTGCACAACCTTCAAGTGGATGCTACGTGGAACATATTCAACTACGGATCCATATTTATAGGTAGGGATGTCACTCTATGGCGCTTCCACTCCACTACCTCCATGTGGGCGCACCAGATATCAATACAAGAACGCCAAGAATGCCTCTAAACACCACACATATGCTTGTCCACGAAACGCCATTAACCCTTTAGAAAGAACCCTACTAAAAGCCAAAGCCCCCTCCAGGAAAGCCTTGTTGATGGAATTTGAACCCGCCTCCGGGGAAACCTTGTCCTCCACCTTGTCGGAAGAAGAACTGCTGCCCATTTTGTCCTCCGAAGCCGCCAAAAGGAGAGCCTTGGAAGGGGTTGCCTTGCTGTTCTGGGTTGTTAGGATCATCGCCGTTATCGAAGCGAGCTTTGAGTTCGGGATCATTCAGCACTTCGTATGCTTCGTTGACCTCAGCCATCTTCTTCTGAGCTACTTCTGGGGTGATGCCATTTGCTGAGGCCTTGTCAGGATGGAATTGTTTCGTGAGTCGACGCCAAGCTTTCTTTATCTCCCGCTCATCCGCGTCTCTGCTGATACCGAGGACCTTATAATAGTCTTTCTGTTTGGATCGCGTCAAGAGAGTATGTGCCTTCTGAAGGAGCTCTTGAATCTTGCCGTTTTGCTGGTGGTGTTCTTTTGCACTCTCCAGCGTTCGAATAGCTGCCTCAAAATCATCTGCATCCAGCTCCGCCTGAGCTTGATTGATCAAGCCGTAGAGTGACCTAGGATTCAACTTAACTGCTTCTGTGCAGTATGGAGTTGCTTTCTTCATGTTGTTCATCTATGACCGAATTAGCTAGCTGTCCGCAAGTGCAAAGAGCTAATTGCTTACCTCCATGTATGCCTCGCAGGTCATTTCAAGAAGACTTGAATATAGCCCCTCTGGAGAGTTCTTGTAGATGTAGCCTTGTTCCGCATAGGTTTTATAGTCATCTCTGACTTCCTGAAGCAGGCCGGCGTCCTCCCCGTGAGGAACAAGAAGCTTAGTGGAGCTAACGAACTGTCGCTTCTCAAACAATTGTCGCAGCTTCTTCAGGTCTTTTTCTAGGTTCTTCTCTCGTCTCCTGAGCTTCATGCAGGCTTTGGAGTCAGGGTCCGATTGCAGACACTGTGCAATGTGCCTGAGGCCCTTGTCGGTCTCGCCGAGGGAGTAGAAGGCCATGGCTGAGCTTTGAAGATGGGGTTCGACACTGTTAGAACCAATTTGAAGAAGATGCTGCAAGTCACTGATGCCCTCAACGACCTCGCCCTTTTCAAAGCGGCACCTTGCCCTAAGTTTGCGGATGTCGTATGCGGCTCCAGCAACCATGATTGCGACGCCAGCCTGGGTGACACATGACTCCCAGTCATTTTTCTCCGCCGCTTCATGCGCGAGTACGGATGCACCTTGGGCTTCCTCTAGCTGGGCAATTTCCTCAGTCTTGCCGGCCGCTTCATAGTCCTTCCTTGCCGATGCCCAATCTGCCTTCCTGCTCTTTATCTTTGCCCGTTGGACCAAGGCGCCCTCAAATCCGGGCTTCATTTCCAGCACCTTATCGAAGTCATGCTGAGCTTGAACAGTCTTCCCGAGGGAAAGGTAAGCTGCGCCACGGCGAAACAGGGTGAGGTAGTTCTTGGGGTCGCGGGAGATGGCGACGTCAAAGTAGGTGAGAGCATCCTGGGTATTTCCGGCGGCAAGTTTCGCGCTCGCATCTCTGATCAGTTGCGACACGGGGGTGTCGTGTGGGATGTCGCTGGCGGAGAGGGCATGAGCAAAAGGCGAGGTTGAAAGGAGCCCAAGGGCAAGAGAAGTGAGCCGGAGAATCATTATGACCGTGGGTAAGACGAGAATGAGCGGTAGTGGTCGAGCCCAGAAGAAAGAGAAGAAGATAATCAGACGTCGTGAGGCATGGGGGGCGGTGGTCGGGGCGGGCTTAAATGGGCGATGCTGAAAGGGTTCGTGAAAGTTGTCCTTTCAAGGGTGTCGTTCACTTTCGCTTGGATTGCAGGCGCAGGGCAGGCAAGCGGAGGCGGCTCGTGCATGGCACCGATTCACCCCAGCCGCGATGACGCCGTACCCCAGCAAGCCGCGACTCCAACATTCAAAAACGTACCTAGTCGTCTCCCTTCCCTCGTCCACACCGTCGCTCTTCTCCTTTTGTCTCCCACTTTTCTCCTTGTCGTGGATATAGTCTGGCATGGCCCCTCTCCGCTTGCGAATCGAGGGACGGACCTTTAGAGACAGCGACAACCGGGAAGTTACTCTCCATGGAATCAATGCCGCCGCCGATGCCAAGTTCCCTGCAACTCCAGATCAACCCTCGTACATTGCTAAGAACTTCTTCGACGGTGACAATGTTTCCTTTGTAAACCGCCCCTTCCCAGTCGAGGATGCGGCCTCGCATTTCGCGCGACTACGGTCATGGGGATACAACACAATAAGGTACATCTTCACCTGGGAAGCAATAGAGCATGCGGGTCCCGGCCAGTATGATGAGGAGTGGATACAGCATACCATATCCGTTTTGCGTCTGGCAAAGGGCTTTGGTTTCTATATCTTCATGGATCCTCACCAGGATGTTGTATGTAGTCGCCTTCCATTCAATACCCTGATTTGTTTCTCTGATCCATTCTCCAGTGGTCAAGGTTCTCAGGAGGTTCGGGGGCACCAATGTGGACGCTCTATGCCTGCGGGCTGGACCCTGAGTCCTTCGGCGTCACAGAAGCCGCCTTTGTCCAGAACACATACCCCGAGCCAGACAAGTTCCCAAAGATGATATGGCCTACCAACTACACCCGTCTTGCCTGCCAGGTCATGTTTACCCTCTTCTTTGGAGGCAAGGACTTTGCCCCCAAAGCTATTATCGACGGGAAGAACATCCAGGACTACCTACAGGACCATTTCATCGCCGCGTGCCACCAACTCGCGAAGCGCATCCACGAGGCTGGTGACCTTGAGTATGATCCAATTGTAGGATGGGAGAGCCTGAACGAGCCAAACAGAGGTTTAATTGGTTATCAAGACCTTACTGCCATTCCGAAAGAGCAGAAACTGCAAAGGGGCACTTCTCCTACGGCGTGGCAAGCTATCCTGACCGGATCCGGAAGAGCTTGCGAGATCGACACTTGGGGCTTCGGTGGCATGGGGCCTTATAAATCAGGCACCGCCCTAATAGACCCTGAAGGCCTGACAGTGTGGCTGCCTTCAGATTATGACGACTCGCAGTACGAGTGGAAGCGCGATCCTGAGTGGCAGCTGGGAGAATGCATTTGGGCGCAACACGGTGTCTGGGACCCCTCAACCGACACCATGCTAAAAAAGGACTATTTTGGAAAGGACCCAAAGAATGGTGCAACCATCGACTATGAATACTTTACGAACCACTATTACATGGCACACTACCGCAAATATAGTGCGATGGTAAAGTCAGTGTTCCCCGACTCGTTGATGTTTTTCCAACCGCCTGTTCTGGAAATACCGCCGTCAATCAAAGGCACGGAGGATGACGACCCTAACATGATCTTTTCGCCACATTTCTACGATGGCATAACCCTCTTATCAAAGAAATGGTATTGCGGTCATCCTATGTATTTCGGGTTTTCTTCGGCTGACATAGGATAGGAATCGCGTGTGGAACGTCGACGTTTTCGGTGTGCTCCGCGGCAAGTACCTCACGCCAGCCTTTGCTATCAAGATCGGAGAGACAGCGATAAGGAATTGCTTTGCCAATCAGCTCACCGCCATACGACAAGAGGGAACAGATTACATGGGCGTCCATCCGTGCGTATTCACCGAGATTGGAATACCCTATGACATGGACGACAAATATGCATATAAGACTGGCGATTATAGTAGCCAGATAGCCGCCCTAGATGCGAACCACTTTGCGTTAGAAGAAAGCAAGGCAAATGGGTTCACGCTCTGGACCTATGTCGCGACAGTACGTTTGTCAAGGATTCCCTTTGCGGAAGTCGCTAACCGTCTTAGAATAACCACATCTGGGGTGACCAGTGGAATGGAGAGGATCTTTCGATCTACTCGTTAGATGATCGGCCGTTACCTGCGGGAGGCTTCTCTCGTAATGAGTCCCGGACATCATTCGACACAACCTCGCCTTCCTATTCGCAGGCACAGTCGTCAGAAACACTCAACGTGTCTCCCGCAAATCTCCAGAAAACAATGTCCGCTGAAGGCATGAGCACTAAGTCTGGAGCGGGCAATGTACGGGGTCTCCGCGCAGCAGAGGCGTTCGTGAGGCCCACACCCATCGCGACCCACGGCGACGTGTCGTCGTATGGATTCGACCTTCGAAACTGCACCTTCAAGCTGGCGCTGTCGGCACCAAGCCCTACACGAGACGTTGCGCCGACAATCGTCTTTTTGCCAGAGTTCCATTTCCCATCGGGACAGACAGCCGTTGAAGTCAGTGGTGGCAAATGGACTATTAGCACCGAAGAGCAAAAGGGCGCGTTGCTTCAGATTCTGAGGTGGTGGCATGCCGAGGGAGATCAGACCATAGTCGTGCAGGGGGTGAAGCGCAAGCAAGGCACGGTGTTGGGAGTGGAGGAAGATGAAGGTTATCTCCAGCAATGCCAGAGGACGGCCTGCACGGTGATGTAATCGTGGTTCGATGGTCACGCTGTCAGCATTTTATGGCGCACATCTCTTTGGCCGTTTTGTTTTTGGCACGCACACATGTGATGGATTCACCGTCTGCCTCGCGGTGGTCCCAGGCGCTGTATCACGATATAATGAAGGGGGGACATTGTAGATAGTTTGAATTTCTTGAATACACATGTTTGCTTCTGGCAGCTGACAGCGCGTCAGTGGAACGCGCCACACCTTGACGGCCTTGCAACGCCAGCGGTAGCCTACACGGCGCGTCTCTAAACTATCTTTTCCGTGTGCATGTGGATGATGAGTCGGCGCGATCACGTTCACGGCCAGCAGCATCGTGTTTCGTTTGTTCCCACCGGCCATGTCTCCCGCGCTCCTTGCCTTCAGCGACTGGGGCGGCCCTCGCTTTTACCCTCACCCACCCAAAGCTAAGGTACGCTTCCCCAATAACTGCTGCAGCCCTCAAACACCACCCAGATCTGCTCTGACACTTCCCGATCTAGTTGCATCGTGCAGGGAGCAGCAGAGCCGCCTCGATGATGGACTCCGGCGCAATCAAGCCCCCGCCGAATGCCCACACGAATGGCGGCGGCCCTGGCACCCACTACACCCACGGCGGCACCGACAGCGACCTCTCGCAAGTCTTGCAGGCGCTGCAGGCCATCTACGACCCCTCCTCGAGCAACACCACCCGCCGTCATGCCTCGGAGTACCTGGAGCAGGCGAAGCGGCACCCAGAGGCCCCCTCGCTCGGCCACACGCTGGCCATCGACAAATCGCAACCCGCCCAGCTCCGCCACTACGGCCTGTCGATGCTGGAGCATTCGATTAAATACAGCTGGGAGGATTTCACAGTCCAGCAGGGCGAGGCTGTGCGGAACTACGTGGTGGACCTCGCCCAGAATGTTGCGGAGGAAGACCCCGTGTATCTGCGAAACAAGATCGCCCAGCTCTGGACAGAAATTGCGAAGCGGTCGTGGGCCGCTGAATGGATGAACATGGACCAGCAGTTGGTAGAGCTCTGGCGGACGTCGCTGCACCATCAGGGCGTCGTTTTGTACATTTTGGAAACCCTGTCAGAAGAAGTGTTTAACCGCGAAGACACCACGGCCGGCCTTCGTGGCAGCGAGCTGGGGCGAGCTTGTGTCGAAATCTTCACGCCCGCAAGTGTCCTCACCGACGAGCTTCCTTCACGGGACACAAATCTAGAGGTGCGGTTTGACGACGAGGGCTGGCTCAAGCGACTCTGCGTCAATCTGGACTGGTGTCTGTCCCAAGACTACCAGAATGATGAGCGCGTCCGCTTGTGCGCTGTGAAGACCATGAATACGCTCCGAGCAGCCATGACCTGGGTCATGCCAAAAGCCATTGTTGCCGTCCAGCTGATTGAACATGTGTGCAAGGCTCTGGCGGTGCCTGTCGTTCCATTACAGCAGGTAACATCCCCAGCTGCCCGCAAGTATTCAAGAGACTAACCATCCAAACCCAGGCTTCTGTTGAAGTTTTGCAGTCCATCTATTCCCGTCACCACCTCCACGACGATGAATTTGTCGAGTTGGTTTGCCCCATGTTCACCCCCGGAACCGTTACCCTTCTGCGTGAAGTCTACCGCTGGACATTGGCGGACATGAACATCAATGACTTAAATGACGAGAAATACGTCCTTTGCAAAAAGCTCTCAGAGGTACTTCACGCTCCCCGCCTATGCACGACTAATCTGACGCATACAGTTGGCCTCGAGTCTGGGAAACTACATAGAACAAAAGCCACAGCTCATTCCCGAAGGCAGCGATCTTCCTGGCATATTTGGTCTTCTCTTCGACATCTTCCGCAACCCGAGTCTTGTTGTGTCAATACCCATCCTTCACTGCTGGACTAAGCTCCTGCGCTCACGCATAGTACGTGACTCTGATGTCGTTACTCAAATGATTGGGGGTCTTTTGGCGACCTGTTGCGAGCGATTAGTCCGTTACGAAGTGTTTCCTGAGGATTCACAAGATCCCACTTTCCTATTCCTCAACGAAGATATCGATACAGTCCCTGAGAGACATGCTTTCCTTGGCAATTACCGGAGATTCTGTGCCGACATCATCGAGGTACTGGTGCGCCGGACCCCTGTGGAGGCTATGGAACATATTCTGGGGCAAGCAACCACTATGTTTCAGAACCTATACCGCGATCGACCTTCATTTCAGCCCTCCAATTTCTCCAAACATTCTCAGCCTGTGCTTCTAGTTGATGCACAGATCACTGTCATTGATGCTGGCCTGAAAGGATACCTTAAATGGTTATCCACTCAAGGAGTGGACCCACAGGAAGATGATCGGAAGCGGAATATCATGGAAGATTCTTTCGAGCAATGGTGCCGTCAACTATTGCAGGCTAGATTCGAGGATCCCGAAATATTGAAGAAAGTTATCCAACTCATGTCGACCTTTTCCAACAAGGCCCTCCCAAACCGACCCGCTTTTGCGCTCACCTTTCTTGAGTACATTCTTAACACGAACGTTCCCGAGGATCCAGCCCACCCACAGTATTCAGATGCTGCCAAGGATGTAGAACGTATCTGCAGTTTGGAGATACAGAAACTGGCTATGAATTTTCCTGATAATTTCATGGTAAGACGCCCAGATATATTCAACAGAGAAGCTAATCGTGCCAGGCGGTATATGATGAACTCGAGCGAAAAATTAACGAGATCATATCGTCTCAGAAGATGGATGACCGGCAGTGCATGGCATTTTCCTCTTTCCTTTTTATCATAGTGTAAGTCCTGCTATTCATGAAAACCCACTTTTTAAATTAACTTAACGAAAATGGCAGCCATCGCAACACTACGCTTGATGCTTCTGTCCGCGAAGAGCGTATGAAGGGAATTCTGGGCCAAGTTAAAGATGCTTGGCGCAATGATGCATTCACAAAGTCTCTCTCCACTTTTCAATCCTTCTGCGGGGTTATGGGGATGGACCGTTTACCCGAATTCCTCTCCACACATAACTTCCAGAACGTTCAAGATTGGTCTGAACAGCCACTTGATGAGGAAGGCCAAGCTATGCAAGCGGCCATTCTCGAGCACTCTCAGGTTAGTCTCAGACCACCAGGGACGAGGCAAACGGCTAACGCCGGATAGCACCTCCCCCTCCGACTCACCAAAACTCTACTCGCAGCGTCGATTGAGAAGCTACGTGATGGCTCCGCAGCATATGAGACCGCTGCCGTTTTGTGGGCGGAAGCAATCCCCACCATCCTCCCCAACATCCTTCAGCTCGTTAGGTAAGCAACATATCTTATCAGATCTACTACAGACTAATACTCTGCTAGCCATGCGCAAGCATTTAATAACATCGAGAGCAATTGGTCTCACCTTCCACCTGAACTCCAGCAAGTGGTCCGTAAGGTACTGACAGACCGATTCTGGCAGGCCGGGATTTCTACAGAGAGCCGGGATGACTTCTTCGCCCGTGTCAGTGGCTCGAAATCGACATATGAGGGTTTTGCATCTACTGTCCGAGGAACAGTGCGACAGATTCGTGAGAGCTCGTATTACATCCTCTACTCCTTGACGCGTTTCCGAGACTTCTTCTACGGAATTCCAGACTTGCCCGAACCGCTTAGCCGTGCCCTATTCGGAAACGCACATGCCTTGTCTTCTCATCACTTATCGGTGTTGTTGAGCGTCTCGACGCATCTAATTGAAGGTTGTCCTCCAGCACTTCGGAAAGACTTCCTGCCACCAATGATTCAAGGTCTGTTTAGAGAATTAGATCGGAAAATATCCTCAGAGTGGAATATCCTCAACCGGCAAATTGCACAGTCTGGGGAAAACGATAATCTGACAGATGAGATGAAGAATGAGAGTATACTTCGGCAACTCACATACTCTTCGGCCGCACTTGTCTCGGTTTTATTAGACCCTAGTCGAAATGGTAAGTTGAATTTCTATTCGCAATCACTCAAAAGAGTCGGTTTACTGCAGAACAGGTCCTTGTTTCATGGTTATCTCGCCTAGCAATTCCCCGTATAACTTAATCAAAGGAGACCTTGAAAATGACAATTTACTTTTAGACCCCCCCGGTTCAGATAGCACACCATCCCATGATAATCCGATGTGGAAGTTTATTGTCAGCACTGGGGCCGTTCTCGAACCGATTCTCCTCTTCTGCACATCTATGCTCCGCGTCCGAGATTCCCGTTCCGTTGTCGCCGTTCTCCGAGTCCTTCGAAACCTCATCCCCCGATTCCGAGATAAGTCAGCCGTTCGAGACTTCTACTGTAATGATATTTTCAAGAATGCGATCACCAGTCTACATGAGCCGTATTTTGTGGACTGTCAGAAAGATTTAGCGAGTCTAATTGCAGCTATCATCCATTTAGATGAGGATATTCCTAGGTCGATCCTGCTGAGCTTGCCGGGTATGGGAGATACATATCGCGTCGATCGGCGATTGTCGAAGTTGCGTGGTGCGAACAGGAACGATGAGAGGCTCCAGCGCTCCATTGTGCTAGATCTGCTCTCCAGCGTTCGAGGCGTTAGCATCCACGAGCAAGGCAAGATCGAGCGCGCAAAACCGAAAAGAAAGACGGCATTTCAGGAACAGTACATGAGCGTCGATCAGCCTCCGACTATTGTTCGAGGCACTTCTCCTGGTCTGGCTGGAGTGGCGGACATGTTTAGTGATGTGTGAGTGTGGAGACAGGGAAAGAAAAAGATCAGTCAGTCGGTACGGTTATCCCACTTTCAAATTTGATTCCGAAGTCAAAATGCATAGCGAGGGGTTTTGAAAGGGGCGGTGGCTTTTATTCCAATCAGGGCGCTTTCGGGTTGGCATGTTCGTTCGCTGAATTGACGGCCTCGATTGTCATGGTTTGGCGTTGGCTAGATTCGACACTATGGCGATGCATGGACTGGCGGGCTTTCCTTTGTTCTCTTTACTGTATGGATGGTGGTGGGTGGGTACCTTTGAGATGAGGAGGAGAGAATTACGAGATACATGTGCGAGTCGACGAGATATCAATCATAGCTAGGTTTGCGGCTCCTTGCCGCCACGAATGGATATCAGAGTATTTGGTATGTTGGATATTTGATCATTTGCTCAAAGTGTTGTATGTAAATCCTAGAGGTGGTCTGTAATTAATCGTACATGCAAAGTACGGTCCTGCATTTTCGGCGCTCACGTCAGCCGTAGATTGTGGTGAACCAGTTATTGACAAGCCCCGCGATTGGTGGTTGTGCTTTGTTATCGGTCGTTGCTTCCTCAACTCCACTGCTCACTACCTCTCCAGTCTGCTTCTTCTACTATACATAAATATTGATTTCTTAGCACTCATCTCTGCTTTGCTCTGCACTCACCCACATCTTTTATTCCCCCTTCCCTCGATTCGTAAAACACACGAGCAACCGCACCATGACGTCAACACACCCAAAGCCGCATCCCCAATCCCCACCGTCAATTTCGGGAAGTTTTTAAATGGTGTTGTTGATGCTCTGCCGGGGTGTTAGGATGAACAAGTGAATCCAAAAAAATATGAGCCGGTGATGGCGTGGGGATATGTGCAAATGCGTATGACGGCTTTGTATGATTCTTGAGTGGGATGAAGAGATGAAGAGAGGGGGAGGAGTGTTAGTTTGTATAGGGGAGTGGAAGGGGTAGTAGATGCTGATGCGGGGAACCGTTTCAGAAACACCACCAGTGATAGACGGACAGAGGGACAGTGGATAGTGTGGGAGCCAAGCCATTAACGTGCGTGAAGAGAACTTGGATATATCGAAATCTACCTAACCCACCCCCTGAGTAGGCCAAAGTAACAGTATCAACGTCGTTCAATCTGTTGACAAAATTGGAATTGGAATACAAGAAGTGAGTGTTCCGCCAGATATTGTAACGGAGTCGTGACTGACTGAAAGAGTACCTACGGAAATTACACGATGGTAACGAACGACAGCAAATTGTATCGCTATCATGAATCCACGCACTACTCTCAGCTCTACACGATCCATCCTAATCCTACAAAAGGCAACTTTCTATTCTCCTAGAGGTCTCCGCCAACCCCCACATTCACCAACCCCCTCTAACCCTCCTAATCTTCTCCTTCCCTCCAACCCTCCCGCCCGTAACCCTCCTCACCCACCTTCTGATCGCCCAGCCCCTCGCCAAAGCCTGAAATCTCTCCACATCCCTCACCAACCGTCCCCTCCTAGCTTCTAGAATCTGCTTCCAGCGCTTCTGTATCACAACCGCCGCATTGAGTAACCTCTCTCGCTTCTGTGCCACGTCTGCGCACTCCGCTGCGATTTTTAGGAGAACAAGGCGTTTGCGGATGCGTGCGCGGGAGAGTCGGAGACGGTAGAAGCGTTGGATGGTTGTTGCGGCGCGGTGTGAGAGGGAGAGGGGGAGCAGGCGGGAAGCTAGGAAGGTGAGGGTTAGGAGGGTAAAATCTTTTGCTGGGATTGTAGTTGTGGTTGTTGAGGAGGCGGACTGTGGGGTGAAGAGCGTGATGAAGGAAGAGGAACAGCCTGTTGCTTTGAGCTTTGCGGCGAGGGAGAGATGTGGGGTTGTTGAAAAAGAGGTGGAGGTAGAGGTGGAGGGAGACGGAAGGAGAGTCGCGGGGAGATACGTGTCTACGATCGCTTCGAGAACGCGCGGATTAGAGAACGAGGTTGTGAGATTTGCAACGCGGAGACCGTGCAGGCGGGCGATGCTGCGTGACCAGGAGAGCAGAAGTCGTGTGTGGTATTCTAGTCCTGCGCCTTCGAGGCTGGATGTCGAGGAGTCGGAGTCGGAGTCAAGGTCTCGTTGAGCGTAGTTGTCGCGCCTGCTATACCACGCATCCTTAAAACGGACAATTTCCTTAACAATCTGGGGCCAGTCTACTAGCGTACTAAGACCGCATTTCCCAACGAGCGCCCAGAGTAGACTAAGAGTCTTCTCGCGGTGTCCATCAACAATATCTTCAGCTTTCACCCCCCCAACAGCTTGGACTGGAATTCCGCGGACGCCGGTCAGGGCTGACAGCGCTATCTGCACGTTGTACAGTTTCTGCGCTCGACCCAGGGACGGGAATTTCAGGTGCTGAGATAGCACCCAAGACTCTTTATGCGCGAAGTCGAAGGTGCTAGTTAGGACGTCGCCGGTCGGCATGGTGATGGTGATGGTTTCTTCGCACTGTGCAACTAGCGTGGACGGTGGGTAGAGCAGGAGTTCGACTAGGCGGGTTAGGATGATGCCATCACGGAGGTCGATGGCGATGTTGGAGATGTGGTACGTATATTCTTGAAGCGGATACTGGATGTGCGAGACTTTGTAATTGAGATGGTTAAGAGGTCGTGTGATGTCGCCTAGAGAGGGGAGGACCATGCTCGATAGGAAGTGAAGGACTTCTATTGATGTCTTGTGGGGTGATGAAGTCTGGAAGAGGCAACCTGGAAGGATATTTGCCCTCTTCGCTTGGTCAAGGAGGAGAATAAGCATCAAACTTCGCAGAACGGTTCGTCTCCATGCCCAGCCTTGCGAGCCAAAGTCATCACCGTTGATGTGGTCACCACGCGCGATGCTAGCGATGCTTCCAACCCCATTCTTGACTCGAATAGCGTCTTCGTTGCGGATCAAGAATGCGTCTAGATATGCCTCGATTGCTCTCCTCTCAGTTCGATATTGCCGCGAACCGTCATCTGAGCTTGTGGAGCCGCTAGAAAGTCTAGAGGAGAAAGGAATCTGACGCCCGATAATGGTCTCTGCAGCTGCACGGAGGGCGGTGAGATCGTATGACCTGACCCAGAGATTCAGGAACTTCTTTCGTAGTCCCACGTCATCTTTAAGTCGGAGAGTCTGTGAGAGAAGGTCCTTTGGAATGCTGAGGGCACCGTAGAGCAACGAGGCTTGCAATCGCTTATGAAGCAATGGGATGGAGGGGTCGTGGTAGAGTAATAACATCTTCCTCCTCAAATCCTCAGACATCTGCTCTTTATCTGGCTCTTTTTCTGCTGAATTGAATAAGGTGTTCAATAGTTGAGTGATGGCAACTTCCTGGTAGGTGAGCCAGTGATCCTCATAGAGCTCTGGCTGGGCCAAATCTTCGGACAAAACTGGATACTTTTCACGGCATGCTGGCGGCTTTCCAACGACATGCAGCATGGTGATCTTGGTCGGGGCACGAGCTGATCTATGGCGACGAAGTGCGGTTGGTGGAGATCTATCAGTGTGGAATGGAGAAGATGAGGGCGGGGCTTGATTAATCTTTGAGAGGCGACTCTTTATGGTCGCTTTTACGGTTGATTTCCTTGCTGTAGTTGATGCTGTGCCCTCTGCCTTCGCCTTGATTGACTTGGCTGGCGACCCGTCATAGCTCAGTTGGGAACGCAATCGCTTCTGAGTGCGTTCTGGTTGTGCCTTTATGTGCGATATGACTTCGGATGACTTGGAAGTGTTAAAATGAACTTTAGCGGGCTTCGTGACAGGCTTCTTCGACTTATCCTCGTGGTGCAGGGAATCTGCTATGTCCGATCCGGGTGGTATATTCTCTTTCCCTCCGCCTTTTCCAAATACATCTTCAGCGAATGATACACCCTGGAGTGAGCGAGCGTTCTGTTGCAAAGGAACGCGCTTCGGTGGCATAGCTAGAGACTTCCGCGAGCACTTTTTCTCTTTTTTCAAAGCCGGAACCAGATTTTCTTCCTCCTCAGACAACGTAACAAGGTCTAATCCCATATTCGGCGACTTTACCCTCGGGTTCCTTGGCTTCTGCGTTGGCTGCCCGGCGTGGATGGTTATGACGGTGGTATCATCGGACGGGACGTATATAGTCCTTCTCCGCGGATCCTTCTTCGGACCCTGCTTCTTCAACTCCCTCTTCTCGAGTACGTCCTCCTGCAACAGTACAGTGGCATTCACGTCAGCGACTTGCCTATCTAGCAGCATCTGCGACACCCTCCTACGATTCGGCTTTAAGAGCTGAGGCTCCTGAACTGCTGGAGCCGGTATTAGCAACTTCTGCGCCGGATGTGCTAATATCGTACTCCTCTTCTTCTCTGCATCCTGGGGTAGTATAGATGCCCTACTCTTCCGCTTGATCTCGACTGCGTGTTGCTGCTGCTGTTGTTGCTCCTCCTCCTCCTGCGCCACATCCTCGAATATATCCATGGTCGGGTTGAATACCTCCTGACGGGTTTTGCGCATCGGTCGCCTCGGCTTTGCATTCCTCAGATTGACCTGCATCTCAGTCGTGTACTCCAAATTCGTAGTGGTAGTATCATCTGTCATGTAACTCGGCGCGTAGATGGAGGACTGGCGGCCATACTGGTGATATCGATTACTACTGAAGGATAGGTTCGGCGCCGGACACGGCGTGGCGTCTGTGTACCGCCGCATTTTCGGTGTTTTCTGACGATGCTTGAGTCCACTTTGCGCATGCGAAAAGCCTTTCAAAGCGGGGGCTTAAAGGTTGCGGGATGGTTCTGATTAAAGGCAAACGGTGTCGGCGGTTATGGAATGGTCCGCGCACGAGACGCGATGTTGTGGGTGTCGGTTGGGGGGGCAACCGCATCTGAACTTCATCTTCGTGTTTTGTTAGGATGCATCTTATCATTGATATGGAGAGCTGTTTGGTTAGACACAGGTGCATTATTGTTCGCGTATTAGGTTGTGATTTCATGTGAGTTCTGAAGCCGAGAAGGGACCTTCTTCGAATCTGAGTGTAAACAAAATATCAACACGAACACGCCCAAACTTCACGACGTGTTCATGACGAATGCGCCTTCACATAGTCCTTTCGAGCCTATACACCTACGTGTCTATACAAGCCTTAGGCATATTTTGAGCTTGGATCACTCTGGCCGTTGAAGATGCTGGGCTTTGAGGTGGAAAGGTGCCTAGGTAGTCACGTCTCAGTTTTGGTGGTGGAGGGAGTGGCCCGTGCGCATCCACATCTCACGAGCCTCGAAACACAAGGCCCGACTTACGACCAAAACTTTTCCTCTTCCCAAAACCCATATTCTCTCTATATCAACATAACCGAGTATTCAATTACCTTTTTCACTTTTTTGGGGCACTGCGATGACCCCTAAGTCTTAGCCATAAGGATAGTCTTCCTCGTGTCAAGCGCATGAGTGAGACCAGTCCCTCCGGCCTTCATAAGCTCCCTCCTGTACGGAAACCCTCCTTCTCAGACCAGGAACTTCCAAACAAGTCTTTATGTCATTTACAACGTCAAGCACGTCTTTGTTCCAAATAATAGTGGTAATTGCTTCCCTATCCTCATCATCACTCCTGCCTTTTCTCCCGCCCAAACTCCCTGCCTATTTCACCTAAACCAATTTCCATTGGATCAGCCTATTCCGCATCACCTTTTCAGTTTACCGCTGCACAGGCGCCGATGTGCCTCTGATCTCTCATTCCACGACTTTCTACTCCACAGACAGCCGCGAATATGGAAAGATACGATGAGTCAACCGGCCAAGTCTATACCGAGACCACCACTCCGGTTCAGTCCATGAAATTCCAATTCCTAAACAAAACCACCGGGTGGAAGGAAGGCCTCAAGAAATATCGAAACAGAGGGCCAGGACCAGCATCATTATACGAAATGGCTCTTCACTCCTGTGCTTACAATGCCGACCGTTTCCTGCCTGAAACTTTGAAATATTGCCAGTGGCACTATGGCGAGAAAATCTACAGATATCTGAAACAGACGTGAGTGTACTTACTCTTAAAACAGGCATGTAATAATGTTGCCGGTAGTGACACGGAGACTGCCATGGTGTGGAGTATCTTCAAAGCGGCATATCCAAAAGAAATCCACCAAAATAGTTACCACGTTTTGAATCCGAACCCGGCAGGCGTTCGCGAACTCTCACACGGACTAGAAATTATGGGGAAACAGCTGTTGTCTCTTTCCCTGGAAACATTGTCCTTCCTCTGCGTTAGCAGTTATCACATCAACTCAGTCCATCTAAATACTGACTTGCTTAACTTCCCGAACCTCGCTGTGCTTGTCCTAACGCAGAAAAAGGTTGGCACAAGAAGAGCAACTGGGGGTGATAGTCACATGATCCAGTGCTGGGGTCGAGCTGTCCATGAGAAACGTGCCTTCACTAGGCTTCGAGTCCTCGCTCTTAGGCGCTTTGACATCAGCCTTGAAGTCTTGATGAGCCTCAGCCTGTTTCCAGCACTCTACCTCTGCAATTTAGATTCGGAGTTCATCACACTGGATCTACGACATCCACTGAAAAAAGGAAGGCAATTTAAAACCCAGTGGAAGCAAATATGGCCTGATCGGCATATAGTACCCCCTGTCCTAGAGAGTAGCTTAGGTGCGCGACAGACTGACTTGGCGGGGAGAAATGGGGATGGGAATGACAATAGCAATCCGGAGACAACATGGCAACGCCTCGACTTTTCAGTGCCACAGAAAATGGATATCCTCTACGATATTGCCGCTGCTCGACTTGAGGAGGAACATTCTATTCGTATAGACCGTTCTCCCGTCGTCGCGCTGCAATACCGAGCCAACGCAAGTCACCACGACATTTGGCCGAATCTGAAGAGTATATCCATATGGCTTACGAGGTCTGTCGCGCCGGATCAACAACATGCGGATCCAAAGGGACAACCTCAAGATATGGAAGCCAATACAAGAGGGGAAGATGGCTCCGGGAACAAGCGAAGAAAGGTACGCGAGGGGAAGCAGAAGGACATCAGGTCGTTGTTGGAAATCTTTGCTCACCAGGTGTAAAACGTTGGCCAAGTTAGCTTCAAGGGCGGTGGGTGGCGAGAACTGAGATTTTAAAGCTTCGACGGTTGGGACCATTTCGGCTCTTGCATATCAACTTCTGTTCCGGGAATAGGGTGTCTTTCGGCTTCCGCATGTTACTTCGAGCTCGGCGTTCTAACTAAAATGGCATACCCGGCGGGAGGAGGCCATGTCAATTCATACCCATTTTCTTTTGGGGTTGAAGGAGCGGCAAGTTGGGATTTTAGGAGACGTTCGGAGGTATCTGCGGGTTGAATGGACTCAGCGAGACAACCAAGTCTATTTTTCATAACGACTGTATGGAAATGCTGTATATTAATTTCATGTACCATATTAAAGGGCTCAGAGACGGTGTTGAATCTCTGAGCTATCTCGATTCACCCTATTTTTGGGAGCTTGGTTCTTTTCGCCTAGCGAGCAGTGCTTTGGAAGTCTCCACCTCAGGCTTCCGCGGCCTCTCCACAGCCCTTAGGGAGCACCGAAATACCACATCAACAAATTCAATATCATGCCTGCTCTTTTTCCATCAATTTACATGGACTATCTCGAATATGGACCCTACAGCTTCCATTTGCTATCTCCAGATTAAAAATAGCCTGTATTCTATTGCTTTAGACTCTGATGCAGGATGATTCCGCTCAGACTCAGTAAAAGGAAGACGAACATTTTTTGTACTCACTTTTCTGCTCCAGTTCAACTATACCATAAGACGTGGAAGACGTACCTCACGTACGACTTCCAGGCGCTCCGATTCCACTATTTACGTCCTTATATTTTATCACATCATATATTTCGCCTTCTCAGCTCAATCCTATGAGTTTTCGGCACTTCAGTGCTCCACATGAGGAGCTTTCGCCAAACTACATGTGTTACTATAGTAGTTATAATATGATGCAAAGATCAGCCAGTAGTCACCACTAGTCGTCGACGAGATCTAAGGGGCTCCTTAGGTTTTTCTCAAAGGGGTACAGAAATTTAATGAAGTCTGCAGAACGGATAGTTTACAGTCTTGCCGACTAAGGGGAAGTATGCATACAGAAGTTGCATAGAAACGAGGTACGGTACAGCAAGTATAAGAAAGGGGATTTATTTGTACTCACAACTTTCCTCGACAGGGCTTTAGTTTCCCTGCCTTCTATAGGAAGTTAGACCTGTTGAGCTTGTGTACCATACAAAGTGCGTGCAGAGAACTTGCATCTCTTACCTAAACGGGAAATTCAACCGACGGAGAGATTCTTACGAGGGGATTCAGAACGTTGGTGTTGATTTGTGCCTTGTCGAGCTCACCAAGCATATTTAGCCTATCTAGCTGTTAAAGGAGGTGCATTATTCATGATGTTGTGGGAGTAGATTCCGAGTTGGGGGATATCTCTAGTTCTGCTCTCGTGAGCATCGAAGCTTGTTAAAATCACATGCAACATGGACGCTCCTACGGCGATAGTCAATCGGCGACCAAGGAAAGTTCCGAAAGGTGATAGTGAGACGGTACATACAAGCCGCAAGCTGAGAAGACTCTAGGACAGGTACCGGGAAACGAGGTTAAACATAGGATGATATGAAGCAAAACACAAAAGGTTTCCACCGCCTACAGCACGACACGCAATATCAATAGTTAATCCTTGGAAGATGTGTTACTATATTTGCGGTGACTTCACGTTTATCGTGAACCAACAACTCAAGCAAAGAGTACCATATTGCCAAAGAAGTCCCACTTATCACAATCTAAGAACCAAAAATCTACACCCCACAGTACACAGAAAAAGGGCAAACCAGCACCCTCCCATCCAAGACCGTTCATTTCCCCTGAGTGTTGGCTTTGACATAGTCAGTCAGCATTTGAGTAACTGGTGCATATCCACCCCACTGCTGCGCATCGGCCATGCGGTTGACCTCTTTCATCGTGATTTCAACTGAGTTGGAAGTAGACTTGGCATCCTGGCGACGCTCTGCCTTCTTTGGTTCGATACCAGCGGTGCCGTTCGTGGGTTTCGGGGGTTCGCCGGGAGTGGGTGCTTGGCCTTCGGGTCTTGGCTGTTCACCAGGTTGACCTTGGCCCTGTTGTTGCGGCTGTTGGCCTTGCTGGCCCTCACCCTGCTGCTGTGGCTGCGCGCCTCCTTGCTGCATAGTGAGAATGAATTCCCCATCAACCTGTCCAACGGGAATCGCAAGACGCATATTAAGCGAATCAAAGACTGCATTGGCTTGGATAGGCGTAAAGGTCGGCTGGAGAAGAAGCTGGGTTGCAGCCGGATTCGCAGCTTGCGGTTGCGTTGGCGTTCCTGCCTGGCGAGCCTCCAACGTGTCCCTTCTAAGTTGATCGCGTGCACGACGCTGGGGAGCGGCAGGGGCAGGCTGTCCTCCAACACCCTGGAGTTGGCCAGTGGCACCACCGGGGTTTTGAAGGATGCCACGTTGGGCGATGGCGACTTGGACGGATCCGCCCTGTTGGATGCCCATCTGCTGCATCATTTGTTGGACACGGACGGCATTGACTGGGAAGGAAGTTAGTTGAGGAATGGGAGTGCAGGAAGGTGGTACTTACTGGGAAGCTGAACAACGGTGACCATGCGATTAAGGTCGGGCTGAACACCTGCAAGATTTGTAGTCACAAGATAGCGAAAGTTATCTACGATAGATGTTAGATATCATCTCGACATAGAGTTAATGAAGAATGGAAGCACTCACTGATTGGCATCTGGCCCTGCAATTGAGTGAGCATGCCTTGCTCAATGCCGTTCTTGACGTCGACATTCATAGTGATGGGCTGGGTGGCGCGAACCGACATGCGGAAGCCATCAACAAACTCCGCTTCTTGCAGACCGGATCCTTGGATAACCACAGACTGTTGAGAGCCAGAACCGAAGGTTGTCAAGGCATTGTTGGTTTCGACAGTCTGGCGACCCAGAGCCATATACTCACCATCGATATTATTTTGCTTTTGCAGGCGCACCGTGTTGTCCGTACTTCATCATATTAGACGAATGAAATCAAGCAGGGGCAATAGCATTCTTACATATTGACACTCCTCATCGGCTCCATGATCATCCAAGACTGTCTATCGGGCGACAGCTGGCCAACAAAGGTGTTGTCAGGGTTGACAGCGTTCTGTTGAAGCATATTCGGATCAATGGCAAGCTCGATTTGTCCGCCAACCAAGTCATTTGCATTGTTTGTGTTGATCGAGAGGGACTGCTGCATTAGAGCAACGAAAGGCTGCCCAGTCGAGCCAGTGACTTGGTTGGCGGAGATGGGGTTCGTGTTTTGATTAACGATTAGTTGACGCTGGCTCTGAGAAAATGTCTCGATTTTCGATCGATCTGGGAACGTAAAGGAATTGATTTGCATCTGACGAGAATATTTAGTCGTAACCTAAAGGCTGGGGGTTGGTGCACTTACATCGCCATTGAGATTAAGTACTTGATTAAACTGGGCTGCCTGCTGTGCCGAAGCTGGAATATACAAATTGCAGCTCAAGAAGAGGAATAGAAGAGAGACAGTACCAGACGTCATGGTGGAAAGGAGTGATAGCCACCTGGGCTATGTGATCAAAACTATGAACAAGAATGAAAGAGTTTTAAGGTCTAAGGTCAACGATTAGAAAGAATGGCGAGCTGCTGATCAAGCGAGCTGGGGAGGACGGGCGCACTCTCAATTTACGAAGTGGTTAAGTATAAGTCTTTCTCGAAGCTTGTTTCTTTTCGTCCGCGCCGGCTTTGCCACTATCCGCGGAGAGCACCGGTGTCATCTTCAGCCTCTCTCGAATTGGAATTTCCCCCATACTATTCCCGAATCCGAACTCGCCAGGCATTCTGGCACGTAAAATCCTGAGATTTGGACGCCAGGCACGGTAGTATTGTGATCATTTTGGGCTGCCAAGCAAAGGAACCATGAAGCTTGACTGATGTGAAGTCGGAGTTGTGCACAACCGTCTTGGCGAAGTGTCTGCTCTGTGTTGGTTCTGTTTCATGAACGGGCTGCATTGTTTGGTTTGAAGCATCAGATGCAAAAAGCTTGGCGAAAATCCATCGCGAAACTAACAATCGCTAGTGCGACTCGAAGGCTACATCGCGAGTGGCTGCATCTTCGGCGATGACAAGAGTGCATCGGTCTCGATGCTAGATCCCATGATATGTCGCTGTTTCCAGAGGCATTGTGAAGCAGATATTGACCCGAAGACCCCAAGCTGTTGGGCACAATCGGACTTATCGGAGAACTGACGTTTGGAGAGATCGCGGCGACTCTCGATTCAAATGCTAGGCGTACTTCGATCTCTGGCTCTTTTGCTTGGGGTGCTGAAGTATGAGGGTGTATTCAGTTTAGAAATAAACACTGACCTCCCATGACGTAGAGAAAGATCTCGCGAAGCATCGCCTCTTCGTTCACTTCGTCGCAATCCAGCTTCAGACATTGTCCAGCACCGGGGACTGGTCAAACAAAGATGTTTGAAGTTGTGTTTCGAAGGAAGAGGTGCTGTACAGCCCAGCCTCGGATGTTCGAAAACCTGGGGTCGGGCTAGGCTAAAAGAAGTAACTACGTCCCATCTCCCCTCGTCATTCGTCTTCAAGAACAACATCTTCAACGGAAGCAAAAGGCAGTGTGTGAAGAGATCTTGCACTCTTAGAAATTTCTAACTTTAGCAATTTTGACGTGGCTGCATACGTCTTGTTTATTTTTTTTCTAGCCTCGATAATTGGAGGTCTGCATTGAAGAAGTTGGCATTCGAAGAGCCGAGAAGCATACAACAGTCTCAGGATAAAGTGGTGAGGGAATGGAGGGACCTCAATCGCTATACAGACTCGGTCTCAGGAGTCGTTGCTGATACACCGAGAGATGCGTGGCCGGCACCTCCGGCAAAGGCATTACTTGAGGCAAATAGGAACTTCAACAACACCCACGAATGTAGCACTAATCTGTGCAGGTATTTCGTCTTCCATTCCCTCTAGCTATTTCAGAACGCCAATTCATGCTTCACATCCCAAACAACCATCCAGAAGAAACCCTCACATCAACCCGCAGAGGAGAGGTAGGAAAGAAAAGGCTTTACTTCCAAATTTCAACACCATCCCTTTACATGCAAGCAGCACCGTCAATGCCAATAACCTTTCCGTTTACCCACTCCCCGTCCTGCGAGGCAAGGAAGGCAACAACGCGGGCAATATCCACGGGCTGGCCAACACGGTTCATTGGTGACCAGGTAGCAGCATACTCGTCGACTTGGTCGTTGTTGAGCTTGTCACCTCCCGGGATATACTCCCGGCACACGGCGTGGTACATGTCAGTCTTGATGCCACCAGGAGCGACGCAGTTGACAGTAACCTTCTTCTCGCCGGCATCTAGGAATCGTTATTTGTGTTCTCCATGAATTCACGATTGTGTCGAAAGTATGGTTTAGGGGGTTGGGGTATCTCGGGAAATAGTAACGTACCAATAGCCATGCATCGGGTGAATGTCTCAATGGCGCCCTTAGAACCAGAGTAGACGGCGTGCTTTGGTACACCCTTCGCCTGACCGGTAATGGAGCCCATAAGGATGATCCTGCCGCCAATTTCCATCCTCTTGTACGCCTCCTTGGCTACGAAGAATTGCCCTCGAGTGTTGATGCTCATGACGCGGTCATACTCCTCTTCATCCACATCCTTGAAGTGACCGAAAGAGACGACACCAGAGTTGGAGCAGCAGATGTCGAGTTTGCCAAATGTCTTGACAACTTCGTCCATGAGTTTCGCGGTTTGCTTGGTGTCGGCAACGTTAGCCTTAATGGCAACTGCGTCGGCACCAGTCTTCATTGCTTTGATCTGCTTGACAACATCATCGGCGGCTTCGGAGCTGTTGGCGTAATTGACAACAACCTTGGCACCTCGCCTCGCAAGCTCGAGAGCCATCTCCTTGCCGATACCACGACCTATCCTTGTGTTACCATGTGCCGTTCCTGATCGACCCAGCGATTCTCTGGATCATGCGGTAACTTACCGGAACCGGTAACGACAGCAACCTTGCCCTCCAAGCTCCAAGTTGGGATGGATCCAGTGGCCATTGTGAGTGCTTTGTGGTGTTTTGAGATCGGTAGGTTGGCAATAGTGTGGTGATGGCGGAAGTGTTGAAGATCTGTCTGCGGGTGTGATGATGTTGAGGGCTGATGGTTAGAATGAGAGTCCACATAGCACGACGGACGAGATAAATACTCTTCAAACTTCGGTACTGAAACGGAGAAATGGAGAACAATCAATGGCATGTGGACCTTGTGTCTCTTCCTCTACTCCCGAATTCCCATACAATTCTCCCTACAATTCTCCAACTTACTTTCTCCGTCGCGGCAACTGGTCGGAACATCAAAGCTCTCCCGTGAGTCCTCAGATTGTGCCTGCGCCGCTTGCCGTTCCGGTCGACTAGTGCCCGTAGGAGAGCCAGAGCCTCCTCTGGCACAGCAATATTTTCGCTACCCCCGTGCTTTTCTGGGGAAGACTTCGGGGATGGCGGGGCCGAAGGAGGCTGGGTGCGACAGAGATCACTGTTGAGTGAGGAAATCTTGTCAGCATGAAACGGACCATGTTCCGCTCATTGGTTGAGATGCATATTATTCTGGTGCTGCGCAAAAAGCATTTCTTTGATTACTTCAAATTGCTGAGGTTATTTTGGGCCGGGGCCTCGAGGTGAGAATGGTGTTGAGGGCGGAGCACGGAGCAAGATCGGAGATCGGACACCTGGGATCTTGCCGAGAGGGGAGACTGAGTCAGGCTGAGAGTGGGCTCGAAAGGCCAGAGAATGGCTCAGTTTGTGCTACCGAAAGTGATGACCCACGGTTTACTTGAAGAGAGATAGCGATGCATGAGTGCTACAATCCGGTCATGTGATGTTATCTGGAAAGGGGCAAGCGTTTCCTCCTCCTAGTTGGACCCACATTCCAACCTCGCCCTTCTTTGCAATTCACCTGGAGACCACAAGAAGCTTCCGCACCTTGTGGCTCCCCATTTTTAGCCCTTCGACTAGGCGACTAAAGTCCGAGGAACAGCAGCCGTCTCGCAATCCGGCAAAAGGAGATGTCGCACTTGATAGAAGCCGTCTCCCGTCTGCTTCGGCTCCGCACTTTTTCCATTTCGGAGGTGGCCTGTGCACGGCGGACCTCACTTCATCGAAGCCCGCAGCATCATGGTAATGATAGATAGCAAGAAGGGAGTATTCGACTAGCACGCATTTCCATGTCGACCATTTCTGAAGTGGGAAGAACTGAAGGGGGGAACGAAAGAGAAATACGAAGAGGTTTTGATGCCTTTTGGTGTTTTGGGGGAAGATCTTCACCTATTTCAACGCGAACGCCTCATCTTGAAATGCTGCAACTCTCAAAGCCGGGTCAGGCTTAGAAGCGGTGGGTGACGATCGCCTCATATATCTTTGAGTGTAATTGGGTTCTACTCTCACGCATTGAGGTCTTAAGGAGGCCGTTACTAGACGGTTGTTCGTCAACGCGTTTGCGTCACCGCGGACGAATTCATTGGACTCTGCTACGAGTATCCCGCATTGATATGCTGTAGCAACGCGGAGTAGTGGCGGGCCGTCTCACCGTCAGAATTCCTGCCAAGTTGCATGAAATGCACAAAATCGAGTGTTGAGTGGGGAATGACTGATTGTGGGGCGTGGTTGTGGTGACAGCTCATGAGCGGGAGAAAACTGTGCATGTGCATGCATATGTCTAACAGAAAGCGATAGAATGACATGTACCCCAAAGTATTGGATGCAGAAAGCGCAGAGAGTGCGAGGAAGAACCTAACTTAGAACACAGCCTGGGTGCTATCCGAATGGTGAAAAAAAATTTGCTAAATACCAATGACTACTATTTGAGTGAGATGACATACAGACCAGCAAACACCAGCTGCCGCTAAATCCAAAATGTAAGACGGGCCGCGTGCTCGGCGATCGTAGCCTTCATAACTTGTCAGTGATGAGTGAATACCGGATAACCAGTGGTGAGAGGACTTCAAAACGCAGTCAGCTTGCAAATCTCCCTGGTATAGCTTTTCTTTTACCACCGCAGAGGAATAGATATGGCTATACCTTGTCGTAGGTTTGCCGTATACGTCCTAGCTACCTCTAATGATATCGACACCGCCCCTCCCCTCATTCTCCGTACCCTCTTCAACCACCCGCACCAAGGGACCCAGGCTGTGCAAAGCCACGGAGAAACGGCTCATGACTGCCCGTGAATAGTTTACCGAGATCAACAGAAGTCTCAGAAGTCCGAAGAAGATCGTTTTGGGTACGAGTAAAGATAGCATGCTTCATGCAAGAGGACCCTTTCCCATCACAGTTTCACGGCAGCTCGGGTTCACTTTTTCCCAGCCCAAACTCCATTTCGATAGAGATCGATGCGAATTCGACGAAGGTAAACCGACCGTTGATTGGAATGGACGTGTAGAAGGCGAAGGAAAAAGAAACACGAGAAGAGTTTGTGTGGAGGAAGTGGTCGACGTCGAAAGATAGTGGTGCGGTTGCACGAACCACCTGTATCAGAACTTAGAAAGGAAAGTTAAGCTTAAGCCTCACGGACAAAGCCTATCCCCACCGCAATTCTGCATCCTGCAGGAGTTCAAGGTGAATCAGCCAGTTATACCCCGCGTGTCCGCAACGCAACATCGTTCAACCTGGCGAGGTCGCAGCAATGGCGGCAAAAATACACGCCGAACCCCCGTGAGGGATGAATCGTGACCACCTTTTCACGCAGTTCCCAGTTTGATGTTCTGGAGATGTTCTTGCATTTCCCGACCGCACGGCCCATGTTAACGCTGCGGTCTTCAGTGCGGGCAGCCGCCTTCCGTACGGACGAGTGCCCAAGATTTGAATCTTTCTTGTAGATCTTCTTTGTTCGGTCCAATACCGGATATCTAGAGAGTCACTGGGGCGTTTTCGTGCGACAACGTCAGTCCTGGAACGGGTTAAGGCTAACTAATCCGGAAAAAGTCGAACGGTGAATGACTTCTGCGTCTGAATCACGGCCTAGGATGATTGAGTGGAGAAATTGCGCCTGAATCCCATGCCTTATCCTGGCCGCGTCAGCTATCAAGTAGGAACTTGCAGCAAGAAATCCTGGTATCTACATCCTGGGCTCAAATTTTGCGTGACAGATTGCACCAATGGCAAAATCTATCCTTGAATGTGAGCGTATTTCCCTCGTGGATCCTGAAAATGGCTTAAGGGGGTGCTAATAGTGGTAAAGGATGACTAGGTAACCCTCGGAGAATCGAAGAAAAGAAATAATTCTAAGGTGTGACACAACCAATGGCACCCAATGCCGTAGGGAGCTACGATTACCTTTCACCTGGGTTATGGGGTTACGTTCTTCCTCCACCAGATGCTGCTGCTTGCCTAAGTAAGAAAGTGGGCCGACCTTGGGGAATATGAAAATCATGGTCAGCCAAAGGTTCGTGCAGCGTGTTACAGGAACTGAGAAAACCGTAACGGGAATGGACAGTAGAGATGTTGGCTTCTGAGTACGAATATAAAGGTAAACCGAGGTGTGTTACCCCCCAAAATCCTAGTCAAATTACTCGAAACATCTAATCCCTTCCAATTTCTGTTTGCCAGGAATTCCCGTAACGCCAAAAGCAGAAAACCCTCGCAAAGTCATATAACGCATGCCCTTCCAGTCTGTCGATTCGGACAATCGGCCATTACCCTTTTGCCCACAAGCACTCGAGTACATAAGGCTCGCCCGTCCCACATTCGAACATGACACCCCACCATGCCTTAGTGTGGTGCCCTCTCACCACCTGAGGGCCCCCAAACCACCAACCATCGACGAAAATCCCCGCCATCGTCCCCATGACCGCCGAAAAGACCAATCATCTATCCGGAATCCATGCACACTCAAAGTCGACATGAAACGCAAGCGCAAAAACGAAAAAAGCAAGAACGGGCACGCAGACTTGCAAGATGAAGGACACACCAAGATACATGATCACCGGCCGTTACAAAGGAATTCGTTGCCTGTTTTGCCCAACCTTCTCTGTCCAGAGACCGTTCCCTTTGCCCGTCGATAAAAAAAAAAGGCTTATGAGATGGAATAGACTCAGTAAAGTTGGGTTCACCTCGTCTGACTCTCATTGGCAGGAAGGATAAAAAGAGACGCCTTTCCCCACACGTAACCATGCCGGCGGCTGATTATCAAATGGAATATCACCTTGCTATTTGATGGTCTGATAAGGTAGGTGGTATATCAACCCAACCTTCCATCGAGTCCATCTGATATTAGGAAGTACTGCAACGTACTATACATTACTGACTACCTCCTAAGCTGTTCCTGAGGCTTAGGAATCAGAATTACGGCCGAACTTAGTCGACAAATAACGCACGCCGAAATCAACGCCGAGTCTATGAGCCCTCCACCCATTGCAGAGGCCGTAAGTAATGAAGGAATCCAGGTGTCCAAGGCGACACACTCCCTCGATGTGGATTCAGATGGGTATAAATGAAAAGAGATGAAATACGACCCAAGTTGGATGGATGGATGATGGCCGCCCCAATGGTTCATCGTTCCCAATGGAGCGCGATGGACGGGATGGGATTATCCTTGTATCGCAGGGAGATCATCATCCCCTCGCCAACCGCTCAAGCTTGCCTCGGATACCGTCCGAAAACCTTGTCGCAACACCCTCGTCGATCACATCGATACAATGTGTAAGGACGTGGAAGCCGTGGTTAAGATGGACCACCGAGCCGTCCCGTTTGGTCAATACCGGGATACCCTCTCTTCTGGCAGAGTACCTTACAATGGCCGGATGCTCAGCTGGCAGGCTGTCTACTGCGACGTCAAACCGCGAAGGCTGGAACTGCTGTGGACTCGGAGTTGTCGCCTCGTTGAAAGTCGAATCCATCCAAAGAACCATGGCGGCGCGGTAAATTGAGCCAGGCCACCATGGCGGACGGACTCCCCTTGGCATGCCCTTGACAATCCGGAGGACCTGGCCGGCATGGTATACTGCCTCGTGGACATCTGAGATGCATCTCTTGTGGAACCAATTCATCTGTTGGAACGAACCGTCGACGCCCTCCCGTCGAGCAAAGCGCTCAATCTCGGAGAAGTTCGTCACAGCGTTCAAACTGATGAGGTGCCACATAACAAGATTGGACTGCATCATTGGGCACATGGGATTGGCAGTGGACTTGGTGTATCGCTCGAACAAAAGGTACCAGCGCGACAACAACGCCTGCACTTCTTCAAGACGCACACGAGTCGATGCTTCCGTGACAACTCTAGCTCTCTGTCTCGATGGTGTGCTATCGGAAAAACAGCTTAGGAGTTGGCTGTACTGACATACCATGGTTTGTAGGGGGTGGAGCAACAGACGCAAGTGCATTGGGGTAAGTGGCATATTCTGAGTAATAATCTCATCATCAAGGAAATGACGGAAGAGATCTCTCAGACTCATTGGCCTTACACCAGATCCCACTGAAAAATGTGATTGGGAGAATTCATGGATCTGGTTGTAGTGCTCAGACCACCCAGTAGCCGTCTTTGCTTCCCAGAGGCGATCTGCGTCTGGCATAGGCGCTCCAAATTCAGTCACCGAGAACAGGGGAGCCGTGTCATGGAACAGAGACAGGTCTTGATCGACCATTACCCACGAGTAAATGAGGCTGGAGATCATGAGTAAGCACTATTCACGTGATTTCGATGGCACATGATGGGGCAGGGATTTGCACCACTTACCGGCTTCGGCTTTCTTGCTGAATCCACTCTCTCCACAAAGTCTCAGTCGTAGCGTTCCCATTCATGTGCGGATTCAACACATGCCGAGGTTCGAGGATCCCTGAATGCCGTAGCATTGCGAAATACATACCGCGCTGTCCCATGGAGATGTCCATCTGCCACTTGTCGCCGCTCCACGCTGCTTGCACTGTGAAAAGTAGCGCAGCGCGTAAAACAATGGGATCACCAGCCAGGATGATGTTCTTCTCGATACAGTCGAAAAGCGAGATACGGCATGCTTCGGTCAAACCTCCGGTCAACCATCGGGCCTCGATTGATGGGATTACCATGGCACCCTGAGCAATCTGCATGAGAATCAACAAGCTGGACGCCTTATCGTTGCAATTACGCATTAGCTCATTGGCATCTAGCACACCGCAAGGCGATGTGGGATAATACCGTTCGAAAGAGTTAGCATAAGAGCGAAGGAAGTATTCCAAGACATGAGCTGGCGGGAGCAGGATGAAGTTGGATGCAGTGGAGCCTGGGGATTCCCCGCTGTTGCTAGGACTGCTACTCATACCCTCTCGATGGATGTCCAAAGCCTTGTGCAGAAAGCTCTGCGTAATTGCTAGGAGCTTGTCACGGGTAGCTTCGTGCAGGCCTGCAACGGTGACGTGCTCTCCTAACTGGAAGTCGGCCTCGTCCCAGGAAGGTCTCCAAACGCTCCAGCCTTCATGGTTCTTCAGGCTTCGTTCCAGATGCTCCAGATTCAGTTTGGCCGTCATAGGACAGGAAGTTGCTGGAATAGTGGGAGTGCAGCGAAAGACATTCCAGCCATCCTGAGCAGCGATAATGGCGCCAAGATCGGGAACTCCGGCGTCAGCGATTGAAGATTGCCTGTGCGGATAGAACATTGCTGCAGAACTGCCCATTTCAAGGTCCGAAAATGAGTTATCCATTCTGGGAGTCTGAATGGGTGTCTGGACGGGACCAAAACCCTGTGGAGGAGACATTTCGGGGATCATTCCGAGAAGAGTGTCTCCTGGAGCACCCATGTTAATTTCCATGCTCATCGACATCAAACTCATGGACGGGTCAATCCTCATTGCATCAAAATCCGTACCCATGGACCCGGCACCCCACGGATCGAACTGGAACGGGGGGCTTGAGCCGTTGTCTGAACTACCTGCTCGAACAGTCCCCAAAAAGTCGTCGTAGCCGGACATTGGCGTTTGGGAAACGAAGCCGTTGACTGGGGTTGGTAGGGGTGACAACATGGAGGGCGGTAGCGATGCGGGTAGTCCATTTGTGGGAGAGTGTTCAAAAAAGGGAGGGGTGCTCGAGACTGGAAGATTGATAGGCTTCTCCTCCGGCGTGGGATTCTGAAGCTGCTGCACAGACTGTGAGATAGATGGGTTACGGGAATGTGGAGTAGAGTGCGGAGCAGACGGTGGTCGCACTTGAGCTTGGGTTTGAGTTTGAGTTTGATTTTGAGATTGAGGTTGAGGTTGAGGTTGCCCATTTGGAAGTTGCTGGGGTTGCTGGGGTTGGCCTGGAGAGGCCTGCGGGTTTGGGGCTTGACTTTGGGTATCTCTTGCTGGAGAGTTGCCGCTCGAAGCGTTCTGGGATTCGCCGCCATTACCGTTCTCGCTCGAGTTACCGCTTCCAGCTCCTTCCCCATTCACAATCCTGTTTACATTTTTCGACGCTCGGCGAGTAGGTCGTAACGTGCATCGGAGGTTTCGGCCTGCGCAGCGACTGCAGGGGAACTTTTTGTCGCATTTTGTCTTGGTCTTGGCACAGTTGCTGCAGGCTATGGGCGTTCTACCAGCTGACTTTGGTATTATGCCGGTAACGGGTAAGCCCTCCTGATTATTCTGGTCTCGTCCGTGTACGGTGTAATGTCTTTGGAGAAGGTCACTAAAGTCCCTGTCAGCCCATCTTTCCTCTAACGTCGGATACATCGATTGCCACCGCTGTGTTCGCAAGTCGAGGGGTGCCCAGGTAGAGCGTGGATTTAAACGTCGATGCTGGCTAGGGGAGGGTGAACTTGTTGGGACAACATACCGTCTCGCAAAACTCATATGGCAGGTAAAGCACTTAAATGGCTTCACATTCGTGTCTGGTGCAGGGGAATGTCAGCCACGGAACGATAAAATACCTCAGGAGTTATAATTCAGAAGGGATGGACGTGTGCGATGGTGGGTGGTTAAAAAGTAAAATCGCCGACATTAACGTCAAAACTTACGGGTGAGAATGTGTCGTTCCAGATGTTCGTCCCTGGTGAACGACTGTCCACAGTACGTGCAAAACACCATCTTGGAAAGCCGGGATATACAACGAGGGTAGTCGGCAGGTGTTGAGGATAGATATGTGGTCAACTGACGAAGGGAACCGGAGAGATACAGTGGCGGAGACGTCGGTTAGGTGTGGGCCGGCAGAGAGGTAATTTAGAGGGAAAATATGGTGGATAACGTGGTAGAGATGATGATTAGCGTGCAATTAGTACCAAAGACATGAGGTGGAGTATATTAAAAGCTTGGGCCCCGGTGGATGGTTGAGGTGTGCTGGTGGCAGTGGCCGAATTGATATTTCTGGATGGGGTGAACCGCGGGGTGCGTACGGACCAACAAGTCAGAGGCGCGGCACGGAAGCGTAATGTATAAAGTGTTTCGTTTTGGCACGCTGCTGGCACTGGTGTCTTGCCCTGGTTGGGTGCGGATTGGCAGCGAGTGGAGGGATTACTTAGTAGCTAATTGTAGCAGTTGTAAACGTAAGGTCAGGCAGTCGAGTCGAGTTTCAGAAAGTTACGAGTGGGGAGGGAGTCAGAAACGACATGTATGTCAGGTTGGGGCTTAGTCCGGCGGCCGAGCTGAGGCGACCGATTTAGGAATTGGGACAAGAACAACAACGAATGTATTACATGTAGAGCTGGGAGGCTTGGTGGCAGAAATGAGAGCGACGAAGGGTATAGGGCTGCCCAGAGAGGCGCCGGGGGGGCTAGCAGCAATGTGTACTTTGTGCTAGAGCTGCCTTGCCCAACAGCGGTTGTCGATGCATAATCAAGAATCAGACAGAGTGCAGGAGCAGCGGAGCGGCGATGATGCTCATCAATTGAGGGCTCTAGCTCCGCGAGAATGATGAGCGAGCTAGTGCCTCGCATCGCTGGATGGTGCTTCCGTTGCATGCGGCGCCAGGCGCTTGGGTGTGCGGTGGAGACAGGCATGGAGGCATGTGCTGGACATCGTGACATGGCTCACAATGGCTTGCGAGGGCTTGACCCGGCGCGGACAAGAGCGTCGATAAGGAGGCCGAGCATCGACAAGGGTGCGGAATGCTCCTCGACGATCACCCAGCGGACTGGGGGTCAGGGTGAGCGAGCAGCACCCCCATGAAGGGAAGGGGCGTGTGCGTCGTGCGTCGGCGGTGGCACCCCTGGCGGCGGCGGCGGGACAACTAGAGCTAGGTCGTGGGAGAGGTGGGTGAGAACGTACCGGGCTCGCCGTATTCTGGCACTGTACGGTAAAATATTCTGCGTATGGATGTATGGTTGAATGCGCAAGGCTACTTTGGGCATGGCGCGCACGGCCAAGTCGAAAGCGGAAACAGGAGCACTCCAAGGGCTGCGCTGATGAGCAATTGATGTGCGTGCTGGGCTGGCACCCTATCACGACCCGCGGACCACCAGTCCACCAGCGCGAGGGCCTCTCGGGCGACCGTCATCCAACACGTACCCTTCAAACTATCTGCAGTCTTCATCGATATTTACTCACGACGGGGGGCAATAAGTCGACGACAACAGCAGCAGCGAACAGCGCGAGACTTGGCTCCTGGTACTGCGCCCCCGACCACAAATACCACGCTGCCCAGCTAGCCCCCCCCCGTGGCATCAGATGCGACGGAACGAGCCAGATCTCAGATGCTCCACCATCAGGCAGGCATCCCCAAAGATGACCTCCAAGCTGCCTCCGACGTCTGTATGTCAGCTTCCCCGTGCTGAGTGATAGAGCATGGAGAACAACACCATAGTAGCCCTCTCTAATCCCCTTATCTGCTTCTCTGCAGGATTCCCAGGCCTCCCGGTTGCCAGCCGCTTGGAGCTCCGACCGACTATTCACCCCGGGCATAGACAAGAGATTGAAAAAAAAAACCCCCTCTTCTTACTGTGTCGTGTGTTGAGCATAGCCCTCAGCGCAGCCTTAGCTCCGGCACCAGCCCCAGGTAGTTGATCGTGTTTAAACTTTTATCATCAATTGAAGACGACGCCCTTCAACAGTATGTACACGCCGCGGGTGTAAACGAGACGTTTCGAGCTGTTCTAAAACGCAGGTCTCTAACTAGAGGCCGACTCAGACCTCGCGTTCGTGTTTCCCAGCCGCGGACCAGCGTGGCTGCGAGAATCCACTCCCTTGGTGGCCTTCAAAAGACAACGCTCTTGTAAAAAAAATTGTCTTTTAGCATCGCAGTCTGCTGCTCCGCACTTGCACAGAAACGCTCTTATCCTCTCGGGTCCTTAGGCCCAGTGGGGGCGTCATTGGTTTGTCTCTCGTCAAAAGGCTTCTTCGTGGCTCAATGTCTAGTAGCGTCGTGCCTTACCTTGCCTTGTTTAATGAACCTGTCAATTGATTGCCCGCCACCCATCGAAGACTCGGTTTCAGAGAGAAACTGCATTCTTGCTTCTGCTATCAGCTAGCTCACGTGGCATGCGTCAATGGCGCCTCATAGCTATAATTATCTCGAGCTGGGGTTATGGGCAGGGTTCACGTTGCTTTTCGCCAGAAAGGATACGATCCGCGCCCGCCCCAAGCTTTTCTTCTTGTCAGCTAGTGGCTTCGGAAGATTTGTACCATCAGCCTTGTCACCATCAATCCACACACCAGGCCGTTTTCTCTCCTTGCACTAGTGATGAAGCGAGAATCCGGAACCAGCCATTATCGTCAATGCTGCCGGCATTCTTCGAATCCCCTCTTCCGCGCCACAGACTGCGCAGAGAACAATCATCGAATTATCTTCACAAGGCTCTTTCAACTATCTGAGATCCCGAGTCCATCTCATCTTGCTGACGACTGACGTGGTTGACTGCTTGTAGCACTATTCGGATCCGAGATTACGATTTGAGATCCTCGAGTCGATCGGCTAGTAGGTGTTTTGTCGGCCAGTCGACGACCGCTCGTCACCCCCGAGTGCTCACTTTTCCACGCTTTGTTGTCTCAACCACGGCATTCACAGCCTGCGAAATCGAGGCGCCTTAATCGGCCGGGGCTTACCCCAGAGGGCTGGAGTGTACTTATCAACGCTAGGCAAGTCGCCAGAGGCTCAATACTTGAACTAAGATGTCAGCATGTAATAATGATGAATCGAGTAGAACCGGTAACAGCGCGTGGTGAACAATTCAGAATCATGATGTACTTCTACCCTGTCATCAACATCATCACTTATTTCGACGCCATCATTAAGTGATTCAATAATTTTGGAGCTGTCAAACGCTCATCCTGCACTCTGAGGCTGCCTGAGGTGGTCGTGGTAGGAATAGGGATCAACCGCCGATCTCATGCTGTCAGCAAGACCCAGGGGAGAAATCTCAAAAGTGTGCCGGTTAGGATGATGCCGAGCGCGCCTCACCACCAACGGCTAACGAGCACATGCCGCAGCTGGCGAAATTTGTTTACTCTGTTAGGGAAAACGCGGGATGCATGCAGCAAGCACATCCGAATCTGGTGCTGAAGATGGTCAACGATGTTCACCGTGCATCTGTCGTCAAGTTCCACGGACAGATCGCTAGGCGCTTCAGGCATCCCAGACGCTGATCTCTCGACAGGTATGCCCAAAACGGCATTCGAGCGAGGGTGCTGGTTCGTTCCAAGATCCACCCAGTATGGTCTGAATCAGGGCTCAATTCGGCGAAGCATTTCCAGGACTGCGAACCGCCACCCTTGTGGCAATCAGAAGATCGCAAGTGGACGGGCGAAACTTTCAGGGTGCGCGTTGAGTACACAGTTCAAAAATTTCTGTTGGTAAAACGCTGAAGATGCCAATACTGCAGTTCGAACAAACTTTGTGGGTACCTTCCGCTTGGGCCATGATAGCCATGTCGCGACACCCCAGCCAAAACGAACGAACGTGCGCGACAAAACTATAGTTTCATATTCCTGAGTCGACGTGCAAGAAACGCTACCGATTCTTCACGAAGAGGAAAAAAAATAAGCTATCATTTCAAATTCAAGATAGATTTTGCACATCGTCACTTCACTGAGACTCTCAGGAACAGCACCGTTGCTTCATCTACGCGGCCCGCGACACGAGTTTAGGATATTAATCCCAATTAGGGACACGAGCGCTATCTGATAGTGTTCGCAGGTCCAAGGGGGAGAGTGCTCGACCAGCGCGCTGCAGGTTCGTGTTCCAGAGCTAGTCCCGCTCACGAGAAGCGTCGAAAATAGCAACAGTTCCAGGAAACTCCTCCTACCGTTCTGCACCCTCCGTCCTCCCGTTTCTTTTCAACTTCGAAGGCGTTTCATCTTGACCAATACGAGGCTCGGTCTTCCGGTGTATCGAGGTTGCGCTCGACCGAGTAGGCTGGATGCCTGGAGCTCAAAGCATGCTTGACCTCTGCCGGTTGGCATCGCTAGCCGAATGCCTTTCCTGTACCTTCCCAGAAGAATGAGGGGCAGAAACAATTAATTCGTGATCGAATGATGTCGTTCATGTGCAGCACTTGTCATCTGTCGGTTGGGCCGGCATGACCAACCAAATGAGCGTGGAGGGGATAGTAGCCAGCCATGGCGGCTTTGCCTACATCGGAGGAACTTGGAGCCGGATTCTGTCTAGCCATGAGGTCGAATGAGTGTGAAAACGCCCGAGATGAGCTTGACGGCCACAATGTAGCAGAAATAAAGACATCAGCATTCGTGTTTAACATTTTGAGGGATAAGGATTGACCTGTAACATCTATGAGCGCTTCGGCTTCTCGCATGGACCGTACGAACCAAGGCGACCTGCATAAAAGGTGTTGGATGCACCGCCGCGTGGCTTGAGCCACCTCACGCAGCTGGAAGTGTATCCGCAGCAAATCAACGTGAGCTTGAGCGGATCAGTGGATGGGGCGTCAAGCGGGGTGGAGGGGCAAATGACGGAAATACTGCGTACAGTCCACAGCTCCCCTCCGGTGTGGAATTTGGATCGGGCTCTTGGGAGAGCTCAATTGGGCACAGATACACGAGATAGATGGGTACTTGTCGTAGAAGTATCTTTGAGTACCCTTCGAGCAGTCAATGGCAGGTTAGTTTTGGAAAGTTCCGAGATCGTCTTCTCCCACAACATGGATTCTCTTCGTGATCCTTCATGATAATCGAGGAAGGCTGAGGGAGTGGGAATGTTCCGCCGCGCATCATTGGCTGGGGCCTCGTATGGCGGAGCCGTTGGATGATGAGTGGAAAGGCGTTTTCCCACCCTCGAGCGCGGAAATGATCTCCCCAGGCAGCGGAGGGGGTCTAATTGGTGATACCTAGCACGCAGGGCGCTTGTCGGCGGCTGAGGCAGATGCTGCTTGAGCATCGCTCGTCGATACTGCACTACAATGCCTTTACGCGTCGGTTCCCCGCCCGGCATTGTTCCTGATGACTCGCCCTGTGTGTTGTCAAACCCTCTCACCGTTTGGGAGTGCATGGCGATAAGCTCGGCGAGTATAGCGACACTGGGAGTTTTCCAATGCAAGATGGCAACGTCTCCGGTCGATGCTCATTGCAGGAAGGATCTGTCCTGAAGATCCTGCACGGCTACTGTAGGAAAATATTGGTGGCTGAAGATTGGAAAGTGTCCAAGGCTGAGGTGAGGTGAGGTGAGAGGCTTTGTTCAGAAAGAACCTGTACGATGCCTGAGCGGGGTAGAGCGCGGTGGTGCCTCTTAGGAGCTCAATAACCCTCTTACTACGTCGAGCCCCAGTGCTGACAAGTAGTGACAGGCAGGCCGCGCTCCCGATCCGAACAACACTGCACTGGTATGGCACTTGGAAGTGTTAGCAGGAATTAGCCTGCGGGTGAAAGGCGACGACAGCACAACCTGAGTCCAGGACCGTTGATTATCGCCGCGCTCACGGCAAAGCAGGCAAAGCACCTATGTCCCAATGTGGAAGGACGGCCACTTTGGATATGATCGCTCTATATGGGCCCTAGCCGTGGTGTTGAGCGCAAGATGCCTTGAGCTTTGTACCACCGCCCGGGTTTAACCATCGGCGTTCCGGCAATGATGACCTGCAGAGATACTTCCCTGGGAATGCCGCGAGGGCTCTACGGCTTTAATCCTGGCCTCGGACGAGAGAGTCTCGATTAATTGACGTTGTCGAACGCAGCCTCGGGTCGTTCTTCTGTGCATGCCTCCCTGGAGCTTTTGCAGACCCGCAGAGATGGCTCTGTTAATGGCACACTCAGCCAGGATTTTTCCTTTCCCTACCTCAGTCCTAGCGCAATATCGGCGAGAATTCTCGCAAGTCGTCAGCGCGTGTCCCAGTCCGGAAGATTCTTCGTCCGTTCTCGAACAGACATAGAACTGCGCGGAGGCAGTCACCTCCCGACCCGCTATCAGCTTACTTGATACAGCTTTTCGCAATACACAGCCTTATCCGGTCAGCAACTTGAAACTCCTTGATGAACTCGGAGCCTGGGAGGGAAGTCCCGTTGCTGGCGCCCGCTAACGTTGACAGGCGGAGACTTACACGAATTGTGGCTGCCCCAAGACCATTTCCAGACGGCGCGGGGGTACTCGCGCCAAGCAACTCCAACTCACACAACACATCAGCTCTACTCTGTACCTTAACCTCTGAATCATCAAACCCGCGGAATGCTAAGAAAGTTTTCACGTAAGACAGTGCGCGTCAGCTGTATGTCCACAAAAGCACTGAGATAGGCATTTTTGTTCTATTGCTCGTCTTGCTCTATCAGGTGGATGCTGCCCGCGAACGCCCTCTCGGATAGCATTCAGCTTCATTACCTGATGTGAGGGATTAAGCTCTCAATTGGCTGGGAAAGCGGTCCACCGACATCTAAACTTAGTAAAGCCTCATGCGTAATGTCAAACTCATAAAAAGTATACAAAGTTACCAATGTTCCTCTTTTCGCGAGGGTCCTGGTCCCAAAATACTTTCACTCGTTGCGACTGGAAACAAAAGCTGACGCCAGGAACAGGCATCCAACGACGGTAATCTGGGATACAAAAGCACGTCCCACCTCTGCACAGCCATATGGCATTGTCACACACACGGCTACCTTCGAAATGGCGTTCGGCAACAAGTTTGTCCAACACGGTGGAACCGAATCCCCCGATTACTCGGGCGCGCGTCTCTGGCTTTGCCTAACGGCTTCCAGTAATCGGTTCGATGGCGGTGCAATATCTTATAAAGCGTTGTAATATACATCATTCGTATTGCGTCGCAAAGCTTATTGGGACCGCGTGAAGTATATTGTTCTTCCATGTTGATCTGGTCAAGACGCTGGGTTCATGGGCCAAGAGTAATTCTGATGAGTCGAATATGCAGTGCAATGTAGCGACTGCAACAACGTGTTGGGCGGTGAACGTGGTCGGTGCCAACAGTTTGTACCAACTTCTCATCCCTGCTTGATACTTGCATCCAATCGTTGTCGCTTGCAGTGAACTCGGCACTTCGTTAGAACCGAGTAGATGCACCAAGAGTAATCGATGATGAGCAAAGCATGAGCGAGTTGCTGACCTGAGAGTTTTGGGTATGGCGGAAAGTGGAATCATCTGAGGCCGCGTAAGGTGCTGGTCTCTGCTCCTTGAAGGATGGCGGAAGCTGGCACGGACGGTCCATTGAGAGTTCAGAATAACAGAACAACGGTTCTCTACCTTCGAAGACCCTGCAGATTGATGGGCTTCAATCACATTCCCCTTTCGGTAGTCAGAATATACTTAGGAAAGCTATCCTCACCTCCTCACCAAGCCCATCCGCTGTCAAATCGACTTGGCACTCGTGCAGTTACTGTAATGATGCCGTGCGACGAGCTAGATAATGCACCACGAGTTTTGGCGCAGCTGCATGCAACGCTCATCACTGAACGTGGTTATGACTCTATCCGACTCCCCGTAGAGGGTGCGATGTTGGGCAGGGTGTTCACATGTCTCAGACCCTCGGGACGCAGTACTCGGTCCACGGAACTCAGGCCCTCGAGGAATGTTGTACAGAGGGGGTTAAGAAGTCATATGCGGGGGGTTATGCGATGCTGGGGATATTGGATGCAAGGTAGCTCGTTTGATGCCTTTCGTTGACTTCACAGCTGCTTATTTCGGAAGTTCAATGTGCTACAGAAACTTGATAGCGAACCTCTCTTTCTGCGCTTAGCATATTTGGAATCAATGATGAATAGACTTGCCGCTCATAGACTCTCCTGCAGCTCCAAAGACCATATATCCGAGCCCTGCCGCGGTAGAGGTCGCCCGTTTGCAGTGAGAGCTCACTCCACGAGTCGTGGTACATATCGCATCCCGAACTTGCAGACAACTTTAACCATCAAGTCTAGGTAGAGCGACATACTCTGGAGAGAATACTTTGTGGTGGGCTGGAATCGGCGATTCACGGGTTTGGTCCACTCCTTGAGATCGCGTCTGAAAGTTGATTCTGAGCAATGATCGTGATAGCTTGAGGCATTTTGGCCTTAAAACGGATTTATCTGTCCTGGAGAAACTGGTTCCTTTGAAGTGTGTCCCAGATGTGAACCTCATCACTGTGGTAAAGGGCAGCCGGGAGCGATGCAGGATGAAATGCGCTTGCCCTGCTGCAGCGCCTAGAGATGGGAGCCAGTGTACATACGCGGTGGATGCTTAATGCCCATGGATATGGGACACCGTAACATTGGTCGTGGAGGAAATGCGGGTAGGAAGCTATCTATCCGATCACTCGGTTCCTTTTTCAGGAGACTTATCGAAATAATTGATTCAGTAGATTCGTAAACCGGGCACTTTTGAGAGGCATTTTCACCCTATTGAAGGTAATTATGATTAGCAAGCTCGAGTATTTCTCCAGAGGAACAACGCACGAGGGAGGAGCGGTGTTCATGATATATGTCAGCATTGCCTCCGAAGCTTTCGCAGATAAACCACTAAAGGGGTATCTGATGGCGAGTCTGCTTGCTATCACTAAATCTTCGTTCGTCGCGGAGAGTCCTGAAATTAGCGGTGCCATTTCTTCCGGGTGTTTGGGCAGATGTAAAGAGGGTCTAGAAAACAACTGGTTAGTAAGTGCATCTTTACACAGCAGAGATCTAAGGTCATGGAGAAGTGGTCCTCGCCAAACCCAATAACTAGCTCAATTTCTCCGAATTAAACTATAGACAAGGGTGTCGCTTGTGGTCTCACTACATCAATTACTAGCCGTTGGTCCCTCGGTCAGGGCTTGGGACCACTATCGCGAGGATCAAAACGAACGGCAAGCGATAGCGGTATGTAAACCTTGTAAATTTAATCCGAAAATCGAGAATATTGAGGCGGGGGGAAATTATAGACTATATTATATCAAGTAGTCATACTTGTTGAAATAAACTGCAATCTATGGTAAGGCGTGTCGGTGTCGTCCTCCGTAACAATGGCGACGGCACAGCACGAAAGAGGGCGCGAATATATCAGAAAATACTCACCCATGTAGTTGCTCTGCCAGATGTAAGCAAGATGAAGGGCAGTCGGTGGGCTAGTAAAGATTTTAGTTATCGGAGTCTTGCGAACGTGGGCTTTACACTAAGTCTCACTGAGTTTTACCGGCTGGAAGATGGCTGGCAAAGACACCAAGTTTAGAAACCTTCCGTCTAAAACCCCGCCCAAAAGATTATCATCGCAGGATGCATCGATCTAAAGTCGGTACGGCGGGGACGAGGCTAACAACCTGAAGGAACAACAAACACTGGACCCCACGAGAGCCACTTGGAACATAGTATCAAGGCAAAGTATTTGACGGTGGTTTCTAACTGGGGAGAATTTCGTGATTACTGAACTAGTCCTTTATACACGTGTTGTTCTTTGGGTTCTGAATCGTCTACATTCCAGGGTGAGGTGGAAAAGGAAAAGGACCCCAATTATTCACTCGATGAGATGAATATCGGTGTTCGGGGTTCAGACGTTAGATTCAGAGATACTGGTAGCTATACACATTTGATATCTTCCGTAACGCGTGTATCTAGGGGTCACTCTTGACAGCAGAGGCCCCCCTCCTGTAAACCAATCTTTGATATTCGAGCTATTCATATGACAAGGGGACAATACCCCGCGCATACGGAAAGCTCTCAAGCGTTTAACAGGGTAGATAATAAGAGAGGATTCTCCGTGAAGCCTCATGTGTGCCGACTGCAAATTACATGTATTTTCAAACGCATCCGATTGAGTTTGAAGAAGCTTCAAGCGCCCGTAAATAATGAATTCTGCCCGCGGGAAGATCTAATGCTATCGTGATATAATGCCTGTTGGCCCCAAAGAGAATCATCATCACGACCAGTTTAAGCTAGGGACTTCGACTCCTCATCCCCAGCTAAAAATGTCCTGTAAACTGAGCTTTCCGAGGCATTAGAGATAGAAACTAGAATTTTAGTTCAGCGAATTGAGATATGGGTTGAATGCACGAGCAACAAAGACAGTGCAGCGCGGCCCACCTTGCGTTGAGCACACTGATGTAAAGCTTCTTTCCATCACTCCATTTAGGACTAGGGGATTGAGTGATTTTCTAAGGACATTGGACCGCCTAAGCAGCGGATGACCGAGAGCGACAACTAGCCAGGCCGCGGCATTAGTGATTCCAGCGGATATCACTGTATGCTCCGTAAGACTCAAATCGGATGTTTGAGATAGCGGCACATTATACTTAAGGTTAATCATCATCATGGAAGAATTCAGAAACAGCATTCTTCTATGAGCATGCAAGTCTTAGAACGATCATTTTAGCGTTCCCTCGAATCTATGCGCCGTTTAACTTTTGTAGTTGCAGATACTTTGGGAAAGGCATGCGAATGACTCATATGTACATGCAAGGTTTATGTGAGTGCTTGAAACTGCGCTTGTGATGACAGGGCGGAATGGAGTGGATAAGGAAATTTTCTGGTTTTAAGCATTCTGGAAAATTGGCTGCGATGACGGATTGAAAGGCGTTGACACAACATGTGAACGAAAACCGAGTGTACGAAAGAAATCAACATCCGCAGAGGGGGAAACAACTCGGTCCCAGGAATCGTTGTTGATCCAATCGCACTGCTTTCGACTTACCAGATAGATTGGTGGACTCTGAGAAGCAAATGCAACCATGGGATAGCGTAGATTATCGGCTCCGCCTCCGGCTGGAATGGGACGGACACACTGTCATGGCGTCTGCATTTGACTCTTGATCAGGGAAACTATGACCTAGTAGTAGCCAACTAGATGAAGTTCTCGCTAGTAGCCATATGGCAGCATTAATCGATTATCGATGCATAGATCCGAGGGTCTGGCTCCTCGAACCACGCCACCGAAGAAGATTTCCGATTCAGCAGAAGTAAGAAGTTGTTGTTCACGCAATGGAGGGGCCGGAAGTTTGGACGCCACCCGCTTAAACACGGTTGGAATTTTCAAGTCAATGATTCCATGAACCTTAATGCGGCAGCCATGACTTCGTGGATTTTGACATTGGATGGGGGCTAGAGTCAGACCCTGTCGCCACGACCCCCCGCGTGGTGCAGCGTGGCTAGCCCCACAGGGAATCATTTGATGGTATTGATGAGCAACTGTCAGCTGAAGCTATTCCAAGAAGATGGAGGTTAACCAACGATATACTATGCAACAAGGAGAGCCTCAGTGAACCTTTATTACGCCAATTTGGGGGTAAGCTTGTACTATGCGAGCGGGTAAGGTATTAGTCCCTTATTTCGATGTCGAATTCGCTGGTAAATGGATCTATTTCGGGGTCGAGGATGAGTTGGAGGGCCGTTAGAGGTGCCGATTATGTTCCACAAGGTCTGACCCTTACAGAGTGCCAGTGCTGATGTACACATGGGGCCTAATGTTATCGCGGGAGTGAGCCACATTTCCATTTGGAGACGTGCCTATCTTTTGATTCGCTGGTATGTTGAAGCGGTTATCGGAGAGAAGCAACGAGGAGATGACATCTCGTATCAGGATGGCAAAGAAGCTCAAGGAAATACGGGCTCAAAGAGACCCATAATTCGCACCAAGACTAGAGATGTGACACAAGTATCGGGTAAGTCATCCTCACCATCGACTCCAACCAGAACAGAAGATCCATGATTCTTTTGCGGTAGCCACTACAAGGCCGCCAATACAGTGGGTAGATCCAGGGCGGGGACTGATCAGCACCCTGACACGTGTATTTAATCTGATTGGGAATGACTTTGATATACATGGAGCTGGCTGTGTTCATGAAACAAAACGTGGAGAGGAGGGATTATTGATAGCAGTCAGATGGCTATGTCAGCTACCTCGGTGTACAGGACAATCACATAGTTTCGTTTCTTGAGCCTTATCCAGCATGTTAAGCGCGCCTATCGATAGATCGGTCTGATGTTGGAAGGCCTTCACTAGTGGTGGTAAGCATGGGGTGAAGTTCTTTTCAGATGTTAACGTTCAGGCTTGGCTCGGTGAATGTGGGGTTCCGATTCCGAATGCCAAGCCACACTGCCCCATCAGATGAGGCCCAACTTTCTCACACCTCATTGCTATTTTCGCCTGTTAAGACACCGCAACACCATCGCGACAACACTGCCCGAGTCTATCGCGGCGACCTCCTGCCAAGAGATGAATGTTCAGCTTCTAGATGGGCTCCACTTAGGCCCTGGTGGAAGGGCGGAGCACCAGCCACCGGAACAACGTCAATACTACCTGAGGCGTTCTCCGCTCCGCTGAGCTCAACGGTCCTGTACTTGGACATGACGTCCTGCATCACTCGCTTGACTGCTGCACAGCCGTCCTTATCCCGCTTGTGGATGCCTGTTACCTAGCCTTAGAGGCTTACTGTGGAACCCTCTTCCTATCTCGAATGAGATCCGCACAACTCTGGCCTCGCCACCGAATATGCACCGCTCTTTCAAGAGTCTTAATGCAGGGAGGCGAACGTGCTTTCAATTTAAGATAGATGAGCGCGCGCTCCGGGTCCCCGTTGGTCAGGGTTCCGTCCCAGCTTCCTGGTGGATAGGAGACCCAGCTCTCACGCGACTTTTTATACGCCTCCCACGGAACATTGCTGCTCCCGGTGAGGTTGATGTACCCGTGTGGGGAAGCGCGAATTGGACGAGGACTAATCATGATCGACCAAGAACTGACAGGCTAAGGATCGCCATCTCGTTCCCAGCCTCTCTTGGCTGTGAAAAACGTCTCCCGTCAACCACAGTCAGGAAGGCTTTCGTCGTTGCCGCTGCGTCCGCCTGCTGGAGTTTACTAGCTCCTCGCACTCGTTAAACGTTGTTGGCTCAGGTCTAAGCCAGCATCCACGTTCTGCGGCCTTTACCGCTCTCGTATTCTGACCATCCGAAAGAGGCCGGAAGATGGCATCGTTCCTGAGTTCGGTCAATGGGATGCAAACTAAACTCCAATAAGCTTGCTCTACGGCCTTAAAACATCCTGGCAGACTAACGCTCTGGGAGATCGGGCGTCGTACCTCTCCCATGCTACAGCCGAGTTACTTGTGAAAACCATGGCGATCTGAGCGGGTCTCCAAGCTTCCACCTACGCCGTGGCACACTCACTGCTGCTTTACCGATGCAGAGGTAAGCCTCTGAAAACGAGCGTGTGTTTGGACCCCCGCCTTTGAGGTATCCTGCGCCTCGACAAAATGTTCTCACGGCCAGAGCGCATGCTCAACAACCATCATTCGGCACATACGCCGGCTTTCAAATGAAACAACTAGTATTCGATAAAATTCTGTGGGTCGAAAACATGTAACATGATGCTCGACCTCAGTATTGGGAACAGCTTGTCACTCTAGCGTGTGCTATGCTTTGCAGCGGTACGGCTCAAGGCCGGACGTTTTCCAGATAGTACTCTCTTTGGCTACGGCTCTACCACTTCTCCATCATCAATTCATGCCTGTTTTGCATAAATCTAAACCAATTTGCGTTTGGCACCTGCATTTAGCTGACATAATTGACAGCACGACACGGACTCTAAGCCCACCCCGGCTTATGGGGACCCGAACCAGTATCAACCCGAATTTCGAGACAGCGCCCTGACTACCACGATTTTCCCTCGTCTCATCTCTGCTATCATCCTTGACGCATTGGCTTGATACCTCAGCGGCTGAACTAACTGTCTGGCCTGCGCCATCTAACAATAGCCAAAGCAGCTTACTCGGAGGTTCTCCCGGCTTCTGCACGCCATCAATCCTCGGGATGATGGACGCACCAACCAGGAAAAGGAACAACCGCAGCTCCACTCCCTTCCTCACGTCAATATGCTACTGCTGTACATCGTTTGGCAGTGAATGAGCCCCGTATCTGTGCTCTCACAGATCCGGTACGGACCAAGCTTGTCATCGCGCGATCTCAGCCTAGGCTCTTGATTCCTCATAGCCACCAAGGCAGGCACTCGACCCCCTACAAATATAGAAGGCTCGCCTATCCCCCAAGACTCATTTCAGTTTCAACTCCAATCCAGTCTCTCGGCTCCTTCCCACATATCAATAGACAACCCCTCTACATCTCACCGACATCTTAATAGAGGACCTCATCCCCTTTCAAGGAGCAGACTGCCAAAGACAAAGACTCTCGTTGACCACCTCTTCGTCGCTTCTCTTCAACCTGCGGGTTACGAGCCATCCCCCCAGTCAAGTCATCCTACGGCTCTATCGATCTTCTCGGTCGTTACTATTTAGTCTTCATACCTTTTCACCTTATTATCTTAATATACCCCTTCCCTTTTGTCCGCCACAATGAACGTTCTCATCTTTGGGGATCAGACTGCCGACCAGTACCCTCTCCTGCGGAAGGCTAGCATCCGCAAGAACAACGCGCTCCTTTCCACATTCTTGGAACAAGTCAGCGTTGCTCTTCGAGAGGAAGTGCAGAAGCTGCCACGGACGCAGCGTGAGCTGATCCCAGACTTTCTTAGGGTCACGGATCTCGTGGAGGCATATTATGCGAGGGGCTTGAAGATCCCGCAGCTGGAGAGTTGCATGGTCACGATATCACAGTTGTCACATTACATTGGGTAAGTTCGGGTAATCCTTTGATCGTCGGCTCGGCTAACTTTATTAGTTACTATGGTGAGAACCCGACGGAGTTCCCCAACCCGGCGAATACGAGACTGCTCGGCCTATGCACGGGTTTGCTTGCCGCGTCTGTGGTTGCATCCTCAAGAACGCTTGGTGACTTGCTGCCACTGGCAATTGAAGCAATTCGGGTAGCGTTTAGAGCTGGTACCTGTGTCGGAACCGCCAAGGATTCTCTCGAGCAGCGCGCAAACGAAAAAGAGAGCTGGTCGACCATCGTCACCGGTATCTCTGAGAACGTTGCAAAGAGTGCTATCAGTGAATTCCACGATAATCGAAGAATATCGGTTTCTGCCCAGGCCTACGTCAGTGCTGTTAGCGTGATGGCCATTACCATCAGCGGTCCCCCGTCAACCACGAAGCGACTCTTCGACGAAAGCGAGGTTTTCAACAAGAATACCAGAGTTCCCATTCCCGTCTATGCGCCATATCACGCTCCCCATCTCTACGGTCAGATTGAAATTGACAGGATATTGAGCAGTGAAACTAGCGAGTTACTCAAGGCGTACCGACCTCTCTCTTTGGTCCACTCAGCATCGACAGGTAAATGTCACACAGCCACGACCACATTCGAGCTTTTCCAGCTTGCTCTGAGCGAAATCCTTCTGGAGCCAGTGCGATGGGACAATCTCCTCGAAGAGGTCGTTTCCCAGGTGACGGCTGTCAGCAGTGCCGAGTGCTCCATTTCCGCTATCGGTGTCACCAATGTCGCAAACAGCCTTGCGTCTGCCCTGAAAGCCGGTGGCCAGTCTTCCGTTTCTGTCCGCGATCACACCTTGTGGGGTACGAAAGCTGAGGAATCACAAGGACGAACTCAAAACGACAAGATCGCTATTGTCGGTATGGCTGGGCGTTTCCCTAGTGCTGCTAGCCACGAAGAGCTCTGGGAGCTCCTCGAGAAGGGCCTCGATGTCCACAGAGAGATTCCCTCCGACCGATTCGATGCCCAGGCTCATTGCGATCCCTCTGGCAAGGGAAAGAATAAGAGCCACACGCCTTATGGATGTTTCATCGATCAGCCCGGCCTATTCGATCCTCGCTTCTTCAACATGTCTCCTCGCGAAGCCGCCCAGACCGATCCCATGGGCCGCTTGGCGCTTGTCACTGCCTACGAAGCCTTGGAAATGTCTGGCTACGTCCCGAATCGCACGCCCTCGACCAAGCTCCACCGAATCGGTACCTTCTACGGCCAGACATCCGACGACTGGCGTGAGATTAATGCCGCCGAAAACGTTGACACTTATTTCATCACTGGTGGTGTCCGCGCCTTTGCTCCGGGAAGAATTAACTATTACTTTAAATTCTCCGGTCCGTCGTACAGCATTGACACAGCATGCTCGTCTTCGCTCGCTGCCATTCAATTGGCCTGTACTTCTTTGTGGGCCGGGGACTGCGATACTGCTTGCGCTGGTGGTCTTAACGTACTGACCAACCCGGATATTTTCTCTGGGCTTTCGAAGGGTCAGTTCCTGTCGAAGACTGGAAGCTGTAAGACCTACGACAACGACGCCGATGGCTACTGTCGTGGCGATGGTTGCGGCACTGTTATTCTCAAGCGATATGAGGATGCCATTGCAGATAAGGACATCATTCTTGGCTGCATCCTTGGCGCAGCGACCAACCACAGTGCGGAAGCCGTTTCAATCACCCATCCCCATGCTGGAGCGCAGGAATTCCTTTACAAGAAAGTCCTCGCTAATGCCGGTGTTGACGCCCACGAGATCAGCTATGTCGAGATGCACGGTACTGGTACCCAAGCTGGTGATGGTATTGAGATGACCTCAGTCACAAACACCTTTGCTCCTCGCCACAGGCAACGCCGCCCCGAGGAAACGCTTCATCTAGGAGCTATTAAGGCTAATATTGGCCATGGAGAGGCTGCCTCTGGTATCAACTCTCTTATCAAGACTATGATGATGATGCAGAAGAATGCCATCCCCGCCAACGTCGGTATCAAGGGTGTGATGAACAAGACCTTCCCCAAGGACTTGAAGCAGCGAAATGTTCACATCGAGACGACGCAGGTTCCTTGGCCACGAAAGGGTGCTGAGAAGCGCAAGATCTTCTTGAACAACTTCTCTGCTGCAGGTGGCAACACTGCCATCGTTATGGAGGACGGTCCTCTCCGGGAGGTTCCCGCTGCCGTCGACCCGAGAACTATGCAAACTGTCACTGTTACCGCTCGGTCCATCGCTTCGCTAAAGAGGAACATCACAAACCTCATCCAGTACCTGGACAACCACCCGGAGACTACTCTCTCGAGCCTGGCGTACACCACCACCGCGCGCCGCATTCAGCACAATTACCGGGTCGCAATCTGTGTGTCTGATATCTCCAAAGTGAAGGATGGGCTTCAAGCGCAGCTTAGAGACAGCTACAGCCCCATTGCGATGGTCCCAACCAAGACCGCTTTTACTTTCACTGGACAAGGCTCTCAGTACACAGGCCTTGGCAAAAAGTTGTATGAGGAGATGGAAACGTTCAAGGCCGACATTGAGCAGCTCGACAACCTCGCCCGCCTCCACAAGCTCCCGTCCATCATTCCGCTTTTGGATGGCACTGATGTTGCAACTCTCTCCCCTGTGGTCGTCCAGCTTGGTATGGCTTGCGTCCAAGTTGCCCTTGCACGTATGTGGGCCTCTTGGGGTGTTAAACCCACTGCTGTCATTGGTCACAGCTTGGGCGAGTATGCCGCTCTCCACGTTGCGGGTGTTCTCTCTGCCAGTGACATGGTCATGCTCGTGGGACGCCGTGCTCAGATCCTCGAGCAGGAATGCACTGCCAACACCCACGGCATGCTCGCTGTCAAGGCCAGCGCTGAGGCTATCCGACATGCACTTGGTGACAAGATGACCGAGATAGCCTGCATGAACGGACCTCAAGAGACCGTCCTTTGCGGCACCGTTGGCGTTGTTGAGTCTACTAGCGAATTGCTTTCTTTCAAGGGATTCAAGGCAACCAAGTTGAACGTTCCGTTCGCTTTCCACTCCGCTCAGGTTGAGCCAATCCTCGAGAAATTCAAGGCTGCCGCCGCCTCTGCTGTATTCAACAAGCCTGAGGTTCCCGTTTTGTCCCCTCTGACTGGTGAAGTCATCCGTGAGGGAGGGATCATCGGGCCTGATTACCTTGCTCGTCATGCTCGCGAGACCGTGAATTTTTGGAGCGCTCTTGCTACAGGCAAGGACGACAAGGTTTTCGATGAGAAGACTGCTTGGGTTGAGGTTGGCGCCCACCCCGTCTGTAGCGGAATGGTTAAGTCGTCGCTTGGTGGTACCCCTTGCACTGCTGGATCTCTCCGCCGCAACGAAGATCCCTGGAAGACTCTGGCTACTAGCATTGCTACCCTTTACTTGACCGGTGTTGCCTTTGACTTCAACGAGTACCACAGGCAGTTCAATGACGCTCAGGAGATGCTAACTCTCCCGACATACTCATTCGATGACAAGAAGTATTGGCTCGACTACCACAACAACTGGACTCTCACCAAGGGTGAAGCCCGAGTTGCTGCGGAGCCGAAGGCTATCGAGGCCCCTATTGATGTCCCCTCTAAGCTTTCTACTACTTCTTGCCAGAGGATCGTTCGAGAGGAGCTCCACGCCAATTCTGGCACTGTTGTCGTGCAGTCAGACTTGTCTGATCCCAAACTTAGGGCGACGATTAGTGGCCACCAGGTCAATGGCACTCCGCTATGCCCATCTTCGCTATACGCGGACCAGGCCATGACCATCGCTGACTATCTCTACAAACAGCTTCGGCCCAACCTTCCCACACCGGGTCTGAATGTCTGCGCCATGGAGGTGCCCAAGACTCTAATCCCACAGTTTCCTCCTCCCGCTGGGGGCCAGCATATTCAGATTGAAGCCAATGCCGACCTTGAGATCAACCAAGTCGAACTGAAGTTCCGGACTGTCACCGCTGATGGGAAAAAGATTCTTGCAGAGCATGCATTTGGCACTGTCAAGTATGAGGATATTGACACCTGGAGAGAGGAATGGGCCCGCACTCAATTCATGGTCCAGACACAGATCGACATTCTGAAGCAGAAGCTCGAGACTGGAGGCGCTCACAAGGTTCTCCGCGGTATGGCCTACAAGCTCTTCAAGGCTCTCGTCACCTACGCCGACAACTACAAGGGTATGGAGGAGGTTATTTTGGACGGCAAGCAGACCGAAGCCACCGCCTCCGTTCGATTCCAGACGACTCCTGCGGATGGCGACTTCTTTGCCTCCCCTTATTGGATCGATTCCTTGTGTCATCTTTCCGGGTTCATCGTCAATGCTTCGGATCATCTTGACTCTGATAACTCGGTGTACATTTCCCACGGATGGGGCTCAATCAAGATCTCTAGACAACTTTCTGCTGAAAAGAAGTATCGCTCCTACGTGAGGATGCAGCCTGCTCCAGGCAACATCTCCGTCGGCGATGTGTACATTCTTGAGGGTGAGGAAGTCATTGGCTTGGTCACTGGGCTGAAGTTCCAGAACATCCCGCGTCGAGCTCTCAACATCATGATGCCTCCGGCCGGCAAGGCTCCTGCCAGAGGTGCCGCTTCCGCACCTGCACTCAAGACTACCCCTGTCAGGGTTGCACCAGCTAAGCAGAAGCCTGCTGCTAAGCCTGTCAAGCCTGTCAAAGCATCCCCTCGAGCACCAAAGCAGTCTGGCAACACCATCACCTCCCGCGTCATGAAGATCATCGCCGAGGAAACGGATGTTGACATGTCCGAGCTTGTAGACGAAGCTGCGTTTGAGAACCTCGGTGTTGACTCTCTCATGTCTCTCACCATCTCTGCTAAGTTCCGCGAAGACCTTGACTTGGAGATTAGCTCCACTCTCTTCACCGATTACCCTACCGTCGGTGAGATGAAGAAGTTCTTCTCTCAGTATGATGGTGGAGCTCCCCTTGTCGAGGATGACAACGAGTCCGACACTACAGAGGAGGCCGATCTCTCCACTCCATACGAGGCAGGTTCCGCTAGCACCCCTCCCAGCTCTGCTCCCAGCGTGTCTGGCAAGGATTCTTCTATCGACACAAAAGTCTCTGGATCCTCCGCCGCCAATGGTGAGGCAAGCCTTGCTAAGAAGATTGTTGCCGAGGAAATGGGTGTCGACGTCTCTGAGATCACCGACAAGCTTGACCTCTCCGAGATGGGAATGGATTCCCTAATGAGCTTGACCATTCTGGGGGCCCTTCGTGAGCAGACTGGTATTGATCTCCCCTCGACATTCCTCGTCACCAACGTCACCATTGAGGACATCGAGAATGAGCTCGGCATGCGCCCCAAGCCAAAGGCCGCCGCTCCAGCTACAGTCGCTACCAAGACTCCCCCAAAGCCACCCCAACTTTCCGAAGTGAACAAGAGGCTTGAAAAGGTTTTGGATATTTCGAAGTTCCCTCCTTCCACTTCAGTCCTTCTTCAAGGCAACCCCAAGATCGCCACGAAGAAATTCTTTCTCATCCCTGACGGGTCTGGAAGCGCGACATCCTACATCTCCATCCCCAACATCTCTCCAGACATGGCTGTGTACGGACTCAACTGTCCATTCATGAAGCAGCCAGAGAAGTGGACCTGCGGTGTTGAGGGTGTCTCTGCTCTCTACCTCCAAGAGATCAAGCGCAGACAGCCAGAGGGCCCTTACCTCATCGGCGGGTGGTCTGCTGGAGGTGTTATGGCTTACGAAGTCACCCAGCAACTTGTCAACAATGGTGACGAGGTTGAGAGCCTTGTGTTGATTGATGCTCCATGCCCCGTTGCGCTTGACCCTCTCCCAGCCCGCCTCCACATCTTTTTCGATCAGATCGGGCTTCTCGGCACTGGTAAGCCGGGCGGTACTCCGGGCTGGCTCCTTCCTCACTTTGCCTCTGCCATCAAGAACCTGAAGGATTACGACCCGGTCCCCATGGACAAGACCAGGGCACCACCTGTCCTTGCCATCTGGTGCACTGACGGTGTCTGCCCCAACCCTGACGACCCTCGTCCTCCACCAGGTGAGGGAGAGGATCCAGCCCCCATGAAGTGGCTTTTGAACAACCGTACTGTCTTTGATGACAATGGTTGGGCACAGTTGCTCCCGAAGGAAAACTTCGAATACGCCGTCATGGGTGGCAACCACTTCACGATGATGAAGGGTGAACATGTAGGTTGTCACTGTTCCTGTCTTGACAACCCTTTTGCTAACATCATTGATAGGGTGCCACTCTCGGCAAGCTCATCCAGAAGGGGCTCAAGCTTTGAGTGAACAAGTAAATTGTACAGTTCAAATTGCATACATCTCCTTTGTTCAAGCGTTGAACTTGGAATGTTGGCGTTGGATTTTGGATAGAGTAGTTGCATTAGTTTCCCTTTGCATGATTTTGGGTTGACTTTGGAGTTGGATGGCCGCTAGAGGATGGCGTTCTTCGCAGCAGTCTCGTTCCGCAATTCTCATGCCTCTTTTTTTTTATGTTTTACGGCTCTATGGAATGTTTACATTGGATCTTGATGATTCTCCTTGAATGCTATCTCCTGTATTGTACATAGACTAATTGATAGCAACGAAAGTTAAACCCCAATTCTCTCTTTTCAACGTGCAGGTGTCTCTGCATCGTCCATCTGCACTCAACATCAGGACGTCTCTACTTCCTTTCCGGACTCAAAGCTTATCGAATTTCTGGCCTGCAGGGGATTTGAATATTCCATACTCGATTCACATCCAGAAGCCTTTGCTTACATTCCGGAACCAATGTTTGTCGAGGTTCTCGACTTTGCGTTTCATATCCACTATCTGACATGCAGATGCTGGAGTTACACAAGACGCCCCCACGGCTTCATCTACTTCCCTGCGCGAATCCTAGGTATATACAAATATATGTACATATATTTTTGTGTATCTTTGATATTGTCTGCCCTGTCTCAAAAATATTCCTTCCCAGAGGTCCACCCTTACTGCAGGTACATACACACTAAATCCTCCCAACGGGTTCCCCGTGCTTGCGAATTGCCGCATGGCATTGCGCTAACCGTTGGACAGGATAAACATTCCCTGTACTTCTTCAGCATTACTTCATTCTGCATTTACGCGCACTCGGACATGTCTTGGGAATATATGCCCATGTGAGAACCATTGCCATCGTCCCTGGTAAGCCACGTCCCATCATCCGCTCCACCCGATCCTTTCCGCCGTGAACACGAGGGGTAAATTGCTGAAGATGCTCATATATTGCGACCACGCCTTGTAAACTCCCTCAGTACCACCACCCCAATCCCACGAACATGCTCAGATCATTTCCAGATATGTATGTTGATTTACGATCCTCGTTTTCTTGATTGCTTGGTTTCGCGTTACCCCTTTCTCTTGGGTGCTGGAAAGTCCGAAATCCCATTTTTGCCAGCTATCGTTTTCTGGATTTGGGGTCTGGGGATGCGCAACCACTATCGGATAGTGGCGAGAGTAAGGAAATGCCGGGAGATTGGGCTTTTGGTGCAGCGGAAGGTGGAGAATTTGGCTGCTGCCGGAATTGTTTGCGTCTCCTCCGGATCGGCCTTGTCAAGCTCTTGCGAAAGACTCAACTAACCGGAGTGTAAAGGGCCTGCAAGCCACGAAATCCTCCTAAACTTCCATCAGATTTTCAAGGGACAATATTGCGTATTCTCTCCCGCCCGCGGATCATCGTGCTCCTTGGGCAAAGATGTTCACGGGACCAAGAACCTTATCGCCAACTCTAACACAGCAGAAATTGAACTTTCCGACGAATAGCCTCTAGACGCTGTGCAAACAGCATGCAGCAAGCATCACATCCTGGGGCGTCCTCGTGGGCATAGGCAATGGAACGTTACAGCACAGAAACATCTGTGCATACAGAGAAATTGCACTGCCAGGTCGATCTGCAACGAATTTTCCCTCATCCTTTGCTAATGTTGGAATATTCTTGTGGCCTCAGACTACCGACGAAGCTATTACTCCGCCCTACAATAGCGCTGTCAAACACTGCCGGTCAACACCATAAAAAGCGCCGACCAGCGATGCCTCTCATATATTAGAATATCACAATCTATTGATTTGCAGGTTCGCGTTTGCGAATCTCTTCCTCGCAACAGGGTCATAAGTGCGATAGGTTCCATCGCGATACATCCGCATCTGAGAAGGATCGAGATATTCCGATATCCGATTCGTTTGCCGACTTTCGAGGTGTCGCGTGAGTTGTTGCAGAGCAGCAAGAAGGCCACCAGCTATAGGGCGCGATGATCTTGCGACACAGCTCCCTGTGAGATTTTGAGATGCGTATGTTGAATTTGACGTCATCGCGCGTGGAAGCACTCCACGAAAGATTCGATGAGGCTTCTACTACTTCTCTAGCACTGCCGTCTCATGCCATCTCACTAGGTCTCTCTCTCTTCTCGTCCTAGTCTCATCCATGTTCCACGATTTACCAAGACGGGCAAGAGAAGGCAACTTCGTCCGACCGCAGATAATCCGCGACCGTTGTCCCTGCACAGATCAGTGCAATCTCAGCTTTCAGCACGATGGCCCCGAAACCTGGGTCTGACAGACTATCATCCACAGCTAGTCATGGTAGTTATTTGTGCCGGCTGCCTTGAGCTTGTCAATGAAGATCTCATGCTGATCATGACTGGTGTTCACTTCCTTGAGTGGAAATCTTCAGACGAAGGCTGTGTGAAAAGCCGAGCTCTTCACTGCATGCCGGATATGGAAAATGCCTGTTCCAAGAAGGGAGTAAGCCTAGGGCGGATAGGACCAGCGCAACCTCGTCTTCTGGATCATGAATTGTCTTGATTCCTTTGCATTTTAATCGTATCTACGCGGCCTCGCGGATCCGGCGCGAGAAGGTCTCGCGCAAATTTCTGTTTAGGGGTTAAGTAGCGAATCGGTGTATGAAGTCGATCAGACGAAGCAAAGTGGTTGGCTCTTGTGTCGCGCCGTGCAATGTGCGAGCAACCCTTCTAGTCGGCGAGGTCGAGGTGGAGCTCTTTGTGATGAGTGGTGTTCGGAGAAAAGGTGGAGGAGTCCGGAGGGCTGAGGTTTGACGTGTGCACCATGCAAGACTGCAGATCTCCGAATGCGAGCAAGGCTTAAAGTTCCTTTTGCTACTGTGTTCGCCTTGCCTGTTTAGTTTTTATTTCAGATGTTCTGAACATTGTCTAAGGCAGTAATTTTACTACTATCCGAGATATAACCAAGGACGAGGGTTCAAGTGGTGATACCCTTGATTGGGTGCCAAACAGGGAGCAAACTTGAAAGAAGAGCCCGACGAGAAGTTCCAAATGCATGGGTGCCGATCAACTGTCCATGCAAGCCGTTCAGCTCGATACGGAAGAGGGTTCGCCGTTGGACGGATTTCAATAAATTTTGCCTTTTCGTATATGCGGGTGGAGGTACCACAAAAATGCCATGGAGTCGTTTTCGGACACAGCCACCGGACTCCGTACTCAAGCGCCGCTGATTCACCGGTGTGGGCAAGCGGAGACACACTGCTCCTTAACCGTCAGTGCTTCGGGGCCGCGTGCAAGTCTACTGGAGTCATGAAACGAAAGGTCCAGACAATTCGTCCGACCATTTGCAGCCTCATAACATCATGATTTGCGTGCTCTTATGATGAAAGCGTGTGTTCTTAGAATGTCGTGACGTCGGTGAAGTTAGTCGTACTGGGATTGAGGATACGTTAATTTAAGGTTGGCGCTGACCAGGGTTTCTGGGGCAAATGCGGGCGGGATCATGAGGGGTACCTTCTCGTGGTGAGATCATTGTGTCTGCTCCTGATAGTGTCACATTTGGATCCGACTGCTCCGTAGCTCTTATCCCCTGTGACAGGCCGATTAATAGGGAGCAAGAGCCAAGATATAGTCACGTGAGTGATAGTCGAGGGCGGGGCGGAATTGGCCTCTCTCTTGGCAAGGGCCCTCCTCCACTTGGAGCCGCCGATAAGTCAGCAGCCAAATACCTCAAATGCAGAGACAGTAGAAAGAATTGCTGCTCGTGTACCGCAACATCAACAGCCCAGAAATGACCCCCACGGCGAAGTCAGGAAGGCACGTCACAATCCCCCATATATCTAGCCTAACTGACACCTTGTAGCAGCAAAGATGCACCCACAAACCCCCGCGGCATCCCTGTCGCGCCTTTTGTGGACCGAGTCGAGGACTATGTTACTGACCGCACTGAGGTTGAGAGCACAATAAACAGCTTCAAGGAGATGATATCGTACGTGTAAATCTGTACAGAGTCTAAACTATTTGAGATTCTCACTTACCGTTTGGTTCAGAAAATACCAGTTCATGGAAGCAAACACGCAGCGGCGTGCTGTTGGGCTCAAAGACAAAATCCCAGATATTCAAAAGACTCTAGATACCGTGCGATTTCTGAGAACAAGGAAGGTGCGAATATCAGAGTGACTTGGAAAAGGGGCTACTTGCTCATATCCAGCGCAGCCCGGATCAGACCCAATCGAGACCACCTTCGAGTTGAACGACACTCTCTACGCGAAGGCAGAGATTCCTCCTACGGACGAGGTATATCTCTGGCTTGGGGTACGTCTTTGACAATCGCCCCTGTCGCTTGGAGCTTCAGTTGACGCAACCAGGCGAACGTCATGTTGGCATACCCAATACCGGAGGCCGAAGAGCTGCTCCAGTCAAAGCTTGCTACAGCGAAACAGAGCTTTGCAAATTGTGAGGAGGATATGGAGTTCCTGCGGGAGCAAATAACGGTGTGGAATTTCCCCTTCACGGTCCATCTGCCCACGCTAATCACTATTCAGACCTTGGAAGTAGCGTTTGCGCGAGTATACAACTGGGATGTTGCGCAGAGGCGGAAAGAGAGGGCTGAGGTGGGAGAACCAATATCAAACAAGAACGCGACTTCGCCGAATGGATGATAGCAGTTGGGGTCGGTCCGGGGAAAGCATGCGGCAGGGTCAAGTTAGGGTTGGAGTTGAGAGGACACCTGCCCGGGCGTGATGGAGCACGTCATGAAGATCGGTAAGATCTCGAGCTGCTACAACCTTAAGAGAACAAAAAGGTCGCTTCTCAATCCAAACACCTGCAATGGTCTTATCCCATTCGTCGGAGACTCATGTGTCTTATTTCGGAGCGTGGCCCATCAGAAACGGCCAGGGGAGCTCCGACACCCTCATAATCACCAACCTCAGATCTCGACGGATTCTGTAATGCATACAGTGTAAGCATGACTTATTCCTGTTATTTTCAATATCCGAATTCTACATTCATGTATATTCTAGAAACCCTTATTCAAGGGTCCCTACCCAGAACGCCAAACCTACTTTCTTATTTCCTCCGCTCAATGCCTCCACGCCACCATATCTTGAGGACTTTCCCGAGGCTTCTGCCAGATCTCTTTCCAAAAACAATTGGCCGAAGAAGCCTGTCAGGCCATGTCATACTCCGCGAGCGCCACCTCAGCTCCACAAACTCCACTCGGTAAAGAGAGCCGTGCATGACGACTCAAGTTTCTGCAGAGCCTCTGTTCCAGAAAGCGACGGGACTTGAGGGAAAAGGTAAATCTCGTGATACGTGGCACTTCCAATTTGGATTCTCGAGTCCGAATGCAGTGGGTACCACAAATGTGCATGCATGTCTGCAGAAAGTAGACCAGAGCAGAGATTGGCGGCACCATTCACAAATCTCAAAGCGATTTCATTTTCTTTTGCATGAGCCGCATGCATGCTGCACACTGTGAATTCAGCGCGCCACATCAACATATAACGCACCTTCCAATGCTCGCCATTCTAATGTCTATCTTGTCCTCAACAAAAGGGATCTCGAACAAAAACCCCTCGATCTCAGCATATATTCCGATCTCTCCATGCGCACACATTGCATCTGCCGGCTCCGCTCAGCTTGGTGGCTTTGGTGTTAGTGTTAGTGTTGCCTAAATCGTCTGCTGATATCTGCTGATAAATGTTCCAAAGAACTCTGCATCCTGCAACTCGATTGGGCTAACATCTTGAAGGATTCTGTGGCTGAGACACAGAGTTTAGAAAGTTTATATTCTGTTGCTGTTGCTTCTGCTCGTCTTACCCTGTTCGGGCTTGCAGCTAAAGATATGTGAAGAATACTAACTAACGACGTATGGGCACCATGCATCTTGTCACTAAATGTGGGGAATGACAGGGGAAGCAATTTAGGACGTAAATGTGTGCTCGATTGGCAGTTTCCTCAATCCTAGGAGTGTCAAGAGAAAAACAACATCTGACTATATCCCAGGTTTTGTGATAGTATGCTAAAGCAGATACAAGTAGCAGCAACGAAGCAGCATAGATGAGCCATATAGCAGAGTGAGAAGTGTTGTATTGCATCTTGTCACCCAACATAGAGCATGATCAAAGAATAAATTAAGACAGAAATTTGCACACTATTAGTGTTCTCTCTAGCTCCGGCAAGGGGCGCATAATACCAACCTCGTCATGTTCCACGATGTGTGACAACATTCCATAGCTGAGACAGAAATAGATACGGAATCGTGCTAAGCTGAAGAGCGGAGCAAGGGAATGAAAATTTGGGTGGGAAACCGCGCCCTTGGTGTAGCGGTTCCTGTTAAACAAGAAGTGTTTACCTACTTAACAAGTTAATTTTACAAATTTCCGATATAGAATCTTCTTGCTCACCCTGTTTTTTTAGACACAAAGAAGTTGCCTTTTCAAGTCTATAAAGCTACAGCGTTACTTGAGAGTAATAAAGGGTAGTAAGTTACGGTGGATTTCCTATACACAGGAAGTTACTGCATAGCTATTTATTTCACCGTGCTAAGCTTGGCACTTAATACGTTAAACAATTTCTATTAGTTCCATATGCCTTGTTTATATCCCTCTCTGCATGTTCTTCTCAGAGGCGCCTACTTTTGTATTCATCTACTTCAAGCATAAAAACTAATAGTAAAACCGATGGTAAATAAAGTTAAAGATGTAGGATCAGCGTTAATTATATGCTAGCAATGTTAGTTCCCCGTACTAAAGCTCTAGTAGGGTCTATTTGTGAAAGGGAAGTAAGTTTACAGCTAAAAGCAACATACTCTCTCTATATATTATATCAAGAAGCAACTTCCCATCTCCATTTCCTGTAACTATTGGCAGAAGGTTACCTTTTTTCTTCTAGAGAACCTACTTCTCCCCCTAGAGAAATTCACTTCCTAGATGGGCCTGCAGTGTAGGGCAATTCCATGAAACCGAATGAGACACATGTGAATACAACAATTAACTAGAAGCTGTAGAACTATACCTAGAGGCTGCTATGTTGGTTTATAATGCATTGAAGCCATTTGAAGTCTCCTTGGAATCGTATATCAGAATTAGGGGGAGGGGGATTTGGGATTAGAAACACTGCCTGTTTGCAAGACCACTAACCACTAATTAGCCCATCCCAGTGTCCCAGATCTTATCTCGCCCACAAGCCCCGGTACAACTTAGGTGGCAATTCTGTTAGGGGACCTTCGCAGGAGTGGGAGGTTATTTTCATATTTGTTAAATGGGTTGGCAGACCAATATCGTCCCTATTCCAACTCAGCGTTTCCGCCTCCCACGATAAATAAAACACTCACTCAATACCTTCCTCTACTTTCTTGCTGGTTTGGGCACTTGCTGTGCTAGTCTCGTCTTCTCCGGAACCACGCGTTTGAACCACACCGACCCGCGTTTTCTCGATTGAGTAGTAGTACATATCTCGAATGTTGAATCCTTATTTGGTTCGACGCCATAGTCTATCACAAAGATACCCGAAAGAGTAGCCATTCTAGCCCCTAATGCGAGGATATTCTTCATGTTCTCGGAGGCATTCATGTTGATATATAGCCAGATGTTACTCGATATACATGCAGTTAGGTGTACTCGAATGCAGTTATCGCCCCCTATCAGAGATTTCCCCTTTATCCTTTTTAGGAGGTCGTGCGAGAGACCATAGTTTTCGATATTGGCAAGGGCCAAGGAAGTTGGTAGTAGAGTGAGGGAGTGAAAAGCTTGCGTATCCAGTCCGAATCGGCGAAGCATGAAGACACAGGGCTGTCTCAGATGGTGGCCGCTACAAGCTAGCGCCATGTCTACGTCACCGTAAAGCCTTTTTTGATGTCATCCGGTTCGCTGCACTTTTTACCGTACTGCTCCAGAGCGAGAACTTTAAGGTTTTGTGTATTGGCAATTCGGAACAAAGCCTGACGTGCAAAGTGGAAATCACGGAAGAAGAGGCATGTCGAAGGGACACAGAAGCCAGCAGCGAAGTTGGAGATCGGGAGTTGAAGATTGTCGTCAGCAGGCCACTTGATTGAAATATTCACGTCAAGCCCTTCGTTGGAGAGTTTAGGATACTCGATTTTGAAGACTCGCCAAGGAGAGGAAATCCATGTGTTTTTGTGAATAATAGCAAGTCAAATTACCCATTAAAAGAGAAGGGTTGGAGCGATACACTACGTATAAATCATATATCTCACAAGCTTATCGACAACTACCCACGGTAGTGTTCTCGAGCAACTTTATTTAAGTTGTCTATTTGGATACATATGCGACGAGCGCACATTTAGATCAGGGAAGCGATACCCGGAACAAGGTTGATATATGGGTGAACCTGAACTCGCTGACCTTTACATTGAATTGTCCGAGCGGCAGCAATGGGTGGAGATTCAGAAGTGAACTTCATTAGGAAGGCGGGAAGTATTAAAACCAAGGATATAGAGTAAGTGATGCGACGCTAAACAGGTGGCTATTTCTGCGATGTTCAAGACAAGCTTGAGAGTGGGCCGGTGTGTTGTGGTTGTGACGGGAGTGTAATAGATTGTCGCGGCAGCATCTCGAAGAAGTTTTTCTTCCGATAGAAGCTAAAAGGTCTCGACTCATGTGGGTAGTTTCGCCGTAACGCGAATCAGCTAGAGTCGTATTGTGGGTGTGATGGTGAAAGAGTGCAAGCGAAGGTGGGTGAGCACATGTGTTCTGCTAATGTTTCTGCTAACATTTCTACCAACGAGAACACCTTTAGGATACCTAGTTAGGGAGTCATCATGTGAGCGAAGCCGCGATACATTCATTCATCTGCAGTCTAGTGTTATGGTCCTGAATGAATTACGGTGAGGCGGAAAGATTGCTGAAAGTCGCATTGAGGAGCAGAAAATGCAGAGGGAGAAGTTTCTCTCTACATCACTCTCTGAGTCCAGCAGCGGGCCCCTCACATCTCTTTCCCATCTTCTTCACTATCCCTGTCTCATCTTCTACCAGAACCTACTTTACCCTGCTGGTAAGCCTACCAGATCTCGGGATCCTTAGACCTTAAACAGCTTCACTGGAGAAGCTGAAGAAAACGATGATAGCCTTCCCCATGAACCCCTATTCAACCTTGGAGGAAACCCTGTTGGGTGGAAGTTTTGCTCCAAGCCCAGAGCCAGTGTTCCTGACGGTTAGTAGCGGAGCGATTTTGAGGCTGTTCAGCAACTGTACGGAGTAGGCAGGTTATAGGAAGTTACTGTACGGAGGAGAGTAGGTACCTGTACGGGTTGTATACAGTGACAGCTTTTCTTAATTTACCCTGACCTGTTACAGGAGGAGTAGAAGGGGTGAGCAGGCTCTCTAAGGGCTTAGCAGTAGTTGTTCGTACTGTGTGTTAGTGTATTTCTAGTTTACTAGGGGTAGCCTTATTACGCAGCTAGTAAATCCCTCTTTATTGTAAGCGCCTAATTACACAAATAAGACCTTTTAGTGCATTAGAAGCTAGGATTTATGCCTTAATAGATATCCTAGCTAATCTTAAAGGCTATCCCCACGTTTAATTAGGCATTTTTAAGGTGCTCCTTAGCCTAGTCACTGCGTAGAATAAGCTAAGGGATATTACTTACGTCTTCTAAATGCGTTTAGAAGAGCAGCGTAGTATACTTTAGTAGGAGGAAGCTAGAGGATGCCTGTAAGGGCGCAACACGCTGCAACAACTGTATTGTTAACTAAAAAATGGAACTAAAGCATTTTATTATGCATAGAAACAAGGTTAATACCAGAGGAGCAAGATTTACGAGCAAATTGCTAAAAATAAATCCAGGAACAGCATTCTCTCCATGCCTTATACCACTACTGTAAACGGCCAGTACAGCAGCCTCACATACCGTACAGTATACGGAGTGTATGCCCTGTACGTACGTACGGCTCAAATCGCCTTGTACGGACCGTATGTACGATTAGGTGTACTAACCGTTAGGAAAACTAGCAGGAGCTTGAACCAGCTTGAAATGGCCTGAATATCTATGAGCTCATCACATCTCAGAAGGTCACTTAAGTTCGCAAAACTGCTGGTATCAACCATGTTGAGTAATGGGGCTTCGAGAAATGGCGCCTAGGGAATTCGAGTTCGATTGAAGCACCTGCATCGGTGATGGTGCAGGAGGTCGACTAGTAGATGGGTATCAATAAGAACGGTAAATGGAGCATCCAGCGAGTGAGGAGAACGGGATCGCGTCCTTGTTGTTGATGCAATAGTTGTGGACACGTCATGGGGAACGGAATCAGCCCTTCCATCACCCAGATAGTTGCAAGTACATGCGGGTTGAAAGCATGGACTAGTATGCCGCGAGCCTAAAGTTGAATAAAGGCGGTGACAGTGGGTCCTGTTAAAGACAGTAAGAAAAGGGGCAGGAAACCATTGAACGACTCCCTTCGGAAGAGTATGAGCGTAGAAGCATTCTACCGGCTGAAGACTTTTGCGGATTCAGATTTGGGCTCGTTGGCGAGGACGACCTTGATACGAATAGGATGCAGTCCGGCTTTGGCGATACGGACAATTTTCTGAGCGTCCACGGCTGGAGTGATGATGAGGATGAGGGGGAGGAGTGAGAGATTCAAGGATTCCCGGCTATCGTAAAATCAGCCTGCAACTATGATCAAATTTACTATTAACCGCAACTCGGACGCTATCAAAGGGAAATCAGCAATGGGTTAACAGGAAATGAAGAGAAATCAGGGACGAATAACAGGGAAGCGGAAATCTGTTAAATCGCTTGCTAGAAAGTCGTTAGGATATAAGTCTCTGCTCTGACTTACTGCTATCATGTTCTATCATGTTCCATCATGGCATCATCTTCACTCCCCCAAGGGGTGACAAGAGAACATGTAAACTCCATTGAAATGCTAAACCGCCATATATGTCATATAAGAATGCACCACCAAGCAGCAGCTAACCAGCCGCTGTGCCGTGCCCCTACCAACAACTCGAGATATCCTAATGCTACACTCAACCGAATCCAAAAACGCCGCTTGCAAAGTCTGCAAATGCAACAGCCGTTCGCCTAAACACATACACACAACTCCCACCTTAACCCACCCATCCCATCTACTTCGGCCTCCTAAACGGATGGGCTTCCGTATTCAATACCCAGTCATCCAGGCTCACAACTTTCTCCTCTGCAAAAAGAAGATAGAAGTATTTAATCGTTTCAGCTAGCCAGAAACTCTCCATTTCGTCCAGCAGCTCCGGCGAGGTTTTCGTAACATCGTCGATCGCGGAGTTGCCGTGCACTGTTGAGGTGTATTGGTCGACAGCTTCGAACATGCGCCACCCGACTTCACGCCAGTGCGGGTCGCCTGTTATCCGGTACATGTACCAGACGGATTCGATGGCTTCAGGGCTAGGGGTCGTCAGAGAGTGAGGATGGAAGGGGGTAGGGGGCTTTACCGTAGGATGTAGTTTCGGGCTTTGATGACAGCGACACCAGGTGGTAGCCGCTCTTCTTGGATTCTGTTCTTGACATATTCCTCATGTGTAAGAGGAGGTTTTGGCGAATATATGACTGGGAAAGCGGGTAAAGTTGAGCTGGGCTCAGTGCTTGGCTCAGTGCTTGGATCTTCTACACGGACTTTTGTCGGAGGTTCATCGTCTTCTCGTTCAATTTCATGCGTGCTGTTACCAGTCGGAAGCTCCCTATGGTCATCTAACTGTCGCTTCAGCAAGTCAGACACACCGGTAGTTGGCGTAGCTGCCGCTTCGAACGCACCGCTGGCGGTTGGGACAGGTGGAGCAGTCATGGCAGCTAGTTGTTCTTCATAAAACGCGGACGCTGATGCCATCTGTGCACTGTAGGTCTCCATCTGTTGCTCATACGAAGTAACGCGAGCATCCGCTCCAGGGTCTAGAACCTCCCAGTACTTTGTCTCGTTCCATTCGCACTGCTTCGTGCTTTCGCAAGGCACTGCGATGAAAGCTTCAGGCATGATACCGGTGGAGGTCATGTTGTAGGACCAAACGCATCCTTCTGTGAGTTTCGCGGCAATCTTCAGGTCCTCTTCTCGATTAAAGATCCTAGCTCCCATTGCGAACATGCCGCCGGCGAAACAGGTGAGATGCGCATTCTCTGCTTGGAACTCTCCTTTCCCGACCTTGGGCGGAATCGAAGGCACGCTGAGAACACCAGAGAAGAGAATGTCATCTCCGTTAGGAAGCATAGGACGGAAAATCAGGTTCTCCTTGACGACATCCATGGACTGCTCAAACATCGTACGGTACTTTTCGACCTGACCACCGAGAAGGAGGTACTCCTTGGACAAATATTCGTAGGTTGAGTCGGACATGCCTCCTAGCGTATAGTCTTCAGAGCCAAACTCGGAAGAAGATACAAAACCTTGGTCTTCGCATTCCGGCCGAACTGGAGTGAGTGAAGCCGAGGGGGCTGATTTATCTACAACACTTGCCGCTGCTTCTCCATTAGAAACCTCTGTGTCGTCGAGCTGTCTTCTGGCTTTGAATGCGGATTTGACACTTGCAGCCTTCTCCCCTTCCTTCTTGTAAAGGTCACCAACGGTGGTTTCATCATCCCAATTCTTGATTTTTCCTTTTCCGGGCTCATTCTTCCCTGGCACGAATACAATTGGACTCGGTAGATCGAGGGGAATAAGCTTCACAGTTGCGGTACTGGGTTGTTCTGCCGCTTTCCCCCCATCAAGAAATATTGCAGTCCTGGGCTGCTCTGTCGATTTCTCTTCAGCAACGAACATGATCGGACTTGGCAGATCAAGTGGAAGATGCTTGAGGGTAGTACTGGGTCCCTCTGTCTCGTTTTCTGTGTCTTTAAGTTCTAGGGGTGACTGCAGCGAGGTATCAAGTTGCTTAGTCCAGTCGATGCTCTTGCATCCGGATGCGTCCAAGTAAGTCGGCCACATGCCTGGCAGCCTTGTCCTATTCTGGAATTCCTCGAGTTGGTCTGTGATACGTGCTATAGCGTCATAGTACTTTATATCTCCCGTAACCTGAGCAAGTCTTGTAAATTCGACGGAGAGAGAACCGATTTCGGCCAAGACTATGCGGTTACTCGCACGGTGAGCCTGCGATGAGAAGGTCCTATTCAACTTAATTAGTTGTTTTGTTTGGATTGATTTGGACAGATGACTTACGGCCTCCAGTAGTAGTATGTTTGTGGCATCCTATTAGGCGTATCAAAAGCACTGATGAGAATTTCCGCAAGCTCTACTGCCTTGTCTATCAGGCTCTTGTGCTTCATTCCACTAATATCATAAGCGGCCACTAAGCCTCCTAGGTATCTGATAGTTGTCTCAAACAACGGAATATCTCCTCGAGGTGTAGTAGTAAAGTCAATTCCATTGACAGCCTTCACAGCCTCTTCAAATTCCTTCTCAAATCCCATGATCCAGAGTGTGTCCAAGGCATCTACCAAAGTGGCACCCCATGAGGCGAATGGATTCCTGAATTTGCCAGATACGGGTGATAGCTCGTCCTGCAGCCAAGCATTCTCTCTGTAGCCATCCCAAGAACGCTTGAATACACTTTTGATTCTGGTCAGCTTCGCTTCCCTGTCTGCCCTTGCCGCCGGAGACTCGTCCTTGAACGCAAATTGTATCTTGGGAATTGCCTTCGGCGCGCCAGAAGGCAATGGAATGAGCGATTTTGAAGCAATGGGGAAGTGTTCGCTTTGCTTCTTCCAGTGGATGGGCTCCACGCTGGAAGGTAACGGAGGCACCTCCAGTCGTCCTTCACCATGCTCAAAGAACCCTTCATTGGGTTTGGGTATCGTATGGTCATTTTCAGGGCCTCCAATGCCAATTGCCGAAGGCTTTGCGGCCGGGAAGGGCGTCGGCTGCGTGATCGCAGGCGAGAGAGGGGGTCTGTCGACGGGGCGGCTGACCGACGAAATCGCAGGAGGAGATACGAGGACGTGCGAAGTCTTTGCGGCAGGTATCTCAACGTCGAATTTCTTCGTTTCCTGTGCGACCTGAGGGCGTGGAATCCAGGTCATGGGCGACCCCACTGGCTCCTCCTTCCCACCCTTCGGACCATCGTTGTCCTCCACCTGCTCTCGCCATGATGTGCTCGAACTACCAAATTTATACAGCGCGAATACAGCGATTACGGCAAAGATCACAAATACTCGATATCTGCGGTAACGTAGCATCTTGAGTGGGTAAAACGGAGGAGTCGCGTGCGCAGCGCGAGGGGTACGAATCCGCCGAAGCGTGATATGGGAGCGCCAGACGAGGAAGACCTGGACAGAGCTACGTTGTGCCTAACATTTGGGCAGAATAAAGGAAGGAAAGAGGGCGAAACAGTGTCTCTAGGAGAAGGGATTATTGGGCTAATAGGGAGGATGCGGAGGGCAGTTGGCACACTGCACTCATAGCTTTGACCACACTTCCGGCTCCTTGGCCTAGATGCATGTGGGTTAGCGTCTTGGTTCACGGATGATATCTAGCGCCCCCGAGGTTGTGTTTCAAGGGCATCCTGAAGCTTGAAATCTGTTCCCTTGAACCCCAATCTCTTTAACTTTCTTCCATGGTGCGGAAGTTCACGTTGCTGCATCGTAATCCTCAAGATTGTCACTTCACACTTCTGTCGGGCGAGATGCCGATCCGGCTCCGCCTCCAGTTGGTGTTCCTCTTTGGGGATTTAGCGCATTTCGCCAACACTTAAGCTTAAAACTGATCCTGGCTAAATAGGGGTCATCTGTTCCCTCGGTTCAGTGTCTATTTATTTTTAACAAGGCGGGCACTGTACATCGCCTGTACCAAGAGGTCGAACAGCATTTCCCCGCATCTCTGTTAAGAACTCTTAAATTCATGCACCTGTCAGGGCGTCGCATTCACAAGCCGCGAGGCGCTCTCTGTAGTACAGAGAAGTGTGGACCGAACAAGACCGTGTGGCATATGATGACCTTCTTGTACCTCATCATTGCCCTTCGCCTGGTTCGGGTTGGCGTCCCTACGCAGCTGGTTAGCCTTCGTTTGACTCTGATGAATATCAGCCTCACCATTTGCCGTGCTTTTAACATCTCGTCGCACAGGAGCAAATTGGAGGCAATGCCGGTACTCGATGCAATGCAATTGCGAAGCACGCGGAACGAGTCGTAAACGCCTTCCTGCAGGGGGTCCATCGCTTCTCCGGTGGACAGATTCAGCCCCACAATATTGCCTTCAACATATTCATCCTGAAGCGCAGCCACTAGATTTTGGTCAGCCATAATAATGGTGATCTCCGTAGTGTTGGTACTCACGTGAGTCCTGTATATCGTGTCCCGAATTTGCGGCGAGCGTCTTTGGGATGACAAGTAAGGCATCCGCGAACGCTGTTACCCCCCATTTGGCCTTGCCTTTCACGGTCTTCCTAAATTTCTCGCTTGAGAGATGAGCAGCGCAAGCAACCTGGAAGGCACCACCCCCTGGAACCACGCTCCCGTCTACAATCATGTTGTAGACACTCCTCAAACCGTCGCGCACGGCGTCCTTGATCTGCGTAATAGTGTGCGCATTTGGTCCCTTAATAAGCAGAGTAACCGACTTAGGTTCCTTGACATCTTCCTAGACGATATTAAATCTTGCCAAAGACCCGGAGCTGGAGAACTTACCACGAAGGTGTACTTCTCTTCCCCTAATTGATGCTCATACACTAGACCTGCCCAGCCAAGCACGTCTGGCGTAAGGTCGTCTACGCTGTTCTGCGCAGTTCCACCGCATACAAGCTGGAGCCTTTCCATGTTCCTTCTCTTGGCTCTCCTCAAGGCAAAAATGCCGTTCTTGACCAGGACATCCAAGCTCAAAGGATCAATACCTTTCTGATTTATTATTACGAAGCCCTTCTTAGGATCGTTACCGCAGACTTCTTTCTTCAACTCTATAATCTTCCTCAGCTTTTCGTCAACAAACCGCCGCTCGCTCTCAACAAGTTTTTCCCTCTGATCTGCACTCGAGTAATAGAACCCTGAATTGATCTCGGACTTCTCGTACTCCAGACTGACGTTCAAGGTAAGGATGTATGCATTCTCCACCCTTTTTGGCATGTCTGGATGCCTTGCACCGTGGTCAAGAGCAAGCCCACGGATGAGCTGAGTGTCTGCGGCTGTTCGATGCTGCATAGTCATGATCTCAACCATATGTAGATCAGGCTTCGCTGGAGCTTGGTAGATGGCGAGGACCGCGTCAACAATATCGGGAGTCAACTGTTCAGCAAGCGAGCTGTCCAACTTGGTTGATAATGACGTTCGTGCCACGGAGAGCAGCAGTTCTCGGTCGACCTCCTTTTTGAGCTTGAACTCATCTAGGAACTAATGGGAGGGTCAGAGTGGACACTCCCACAAATGTCAAAAACACTCATACCTTCAGAGCCTCTGTCTTGGCGATCTCGTACCCATCTGTAATTACCCGGGGGTGTAGCCCTTCAGATATGTATCGATCAGCCTGCTTCAACAGCTCTCCGACCAGCAATACGACCGACGTGGTTCCATCCCCTGTGATATCATCCTGCGCAGTTGCGGCTCGTGCGATCATGACCTTTCGAAATAAGTACATGCAGGTAGGACGGATGGTACAGTACATACGGCAGTGGGATTTTGGATTTGCTGGACAAGAATTAGCTTGCGGAACAGTTGCGCCTGGTGAATTTAACTGACCATCTCTTTCAGCAACACACTTCCATCTTTCGTGAGTTTGATCTGCACCATCTTTGTTAAAAGAAGAACAGGCGACCCTTGACATTTAACGTACTGCACCTGCACCATCTACGAGCCTGCACAACGTCAGAAACTTGTGACATAAGGTGTGTCTTATACAAGCTCACATTTTCAAGGTCCCACGCGGGCCAAGGTTCGAGGCCAAGACCTGAATCAAGTCAACATGGCATGCACTACAGACCGATGATAGATCCCTTTACCTGCTGCAGTCCTTCGCCAGCCGAGATGTTGACCCGTAGAGCTTCGCCGCGTCTCTGTGACTTTGTTAGCAGGCGACAACTGCATCATGTTGCGTGCGACTTACCCTAGACTCAGCTTTCGGGTTGAGAAGCTGTGCAGCAGACATGGCGCGTAAAGTCTAAGGGCAAAGGTATAAAAGGAAGCACCGCAGCTATGGGGGCGTTGTTGGTAGAGAAGACAAGCTGTGGAGGGTTGCTCTTGCCTCGCGTCCCGCCAGATATTTTCGCGAATGAAAATGCAAGCACGGTTCATGATGCCAAGTGCTAGGTGCCAAGACCTATCGGGCCGAGTCTTCTCCCGGCCTCCAAAATTTCCTTCCGCGCATGGAATTTGTGAAGGCTCGACCTTCCTCAACGATTCCCCTCAATTCGCACCTGCAACGCTGCATCCAAATCTAATTGTCGCTAAACATAGTTGCCGGACTCGGTCGCTCTCACCATGTCTGTCGATTACCTCTTGCACGAAAACCCGGTTGGGTATGCAGTACGTCGACTTGAGCTCCGCCTCAAGCTCCCAATGTGCTAATAGCTCCCGAAGATCTTCAAGGTTGTTCTTCAAGCCGACACCATCGGAAACCGCTTGAAAGAAGTCCAAGCCAGTGTCCAGAACCTCGAAACCTTTGGAAAGATGGTGGAGCTGGTCGGCTTGGCCCCATTTGAGGGCACTCATGCTGCTTTGCAAGGTACTTCGGCGCTTTGGAACAGCACGTCGCGGCATCGCGCTCACAGTGGAAATAGAAATCAATGATATCTCCGAGGGGATCTTGTCTGATTTCCTGCGCGCCACCCTGGAAACGAATCTCCCGAAGGCTGGAAAAAAGAAGACGATCACGCTAGGGCTGTCGGAGAAGAATCTTGCCGGCAGCATCAAAGCTGTATTCCCCAATCTGGCTTGCGAAACTAGTGAGACAAGTGAAGTCGTAGCAGATCTCCTCCGAGGTAGATACGCATAGCTTATCTAGATCCAAATGACTGCTAACCTTGACCAGGTCTTCGTCAGCACGCTCAGAAATTGATCAAAAAACTGCAGCCAGGCGACATTGACAGATCCGTCTTGGGCCTCGGTCATGCTTACTCAAGAGCGAAAGTGAAGTTCTCTGTGCAGAAGAACGACAATCACATCATCCGTATGTTCCTGATCCATCCCATGATCTTAGATTTCTAATACAAATGCAGAGGCCATTGCTACCCTTGATCAAATTGACAAAGGTGATTTCACTGCTAACGAATGACAAAGTATCCCTTGTACTGACATTAGTAGATCTGAATACATTCTGCATGCGATTGCGAGAAAACTATGGATGGCATTTCCCAGGTATGGTGCATGTAATACGCCGCCTACTACGGGACTAACGCCTAACGCAGAACTTGCGAAAATCGTTTCAAGTAATGAGACTTACGCACAACTTGTTCTAACCATTGGAGACAAGTCCCGTCTGACTGAGGATGATCTTCACGAACTTGCCGCTGCAGTAAGTGACGACGAGGGTGTGGCCCAGGCAATTATCAATGCTGCAAGGACAAGCATGGGCCGAGACCTCTCGGAAGCCGACATGGACAACGTAATGGCGTTCGCCAAACGCACGGCATCTCTTGCGGCCTATCGAAGAACTCTCGCCAACTATCTCTCATCCAAGATGGGCACTGTGGCCCCTAATCTTGCAGCACTCATTGGCGACACTGTTGGAGCTCGACTCATCTCCAAAGCTGGTTCACTGACAAACCTGTCAAAATATCCTGCTTCAACTGTGCAAATTCTCGGCGCCGAAAAGGCTTTGTTCAGAGCACTCAAGACGAAGGGCAACACTCCAAAATATGGATTGATTTACCATTCATCTTTCATCGGAAAGACGGGTGCCAAGTCGAAGGGGAGAATATCCCGCTTCCTAGCCAATAAGTGCTCGATTGCGTCAAGGATCGACAACTTCTCAGATATACCGACGTCCAAATTTGGTGAAGCTTTGAAACGGCAGGTCGAAGAACGAATTGAATTCTACGCGACTGGCGCAGCACCTGCGAAGAACTCGACAGTAATGGTAAGTTTTGTTCCTCGTAATACCTCAATAAATACTAAGAGTACTACAGCAAAATGCTATGGATGAAGTTATGGCAGATCTCGAAGTCGACGGTCCGACCAATGGGGCCGCTGAAGACGTTGAGATGGTCGGCGGCATCACTGCGAAAGCTACTGAGCAAACTGTGCGCCAGAAGAAGTCCAAGAAGGAGAAGAAGACCGAACCTGGACCGGACGCGGAAGAAGTAGTCGTCGAGAAAAAGTCTAAGAAGAAGAAGAGCGACGTGGACAGCGCTATCTCGGAGAAGAAGAGGAAGCATACCGACGAAGTGGACGGGGAGAGTAAGAAGAAAAAGAAGAAGAGTAAGAGCGCTTGAAGGATCCACGTTGACCACTAAATTTATGTCGTCCTTCGAGTAGATTCTTGCTGCGGTTTTCTATCATATTTGGCGTTATAGGGACTTGGTCAAATCAGGCGTTCTGCGTCGTAGTGGGGCGATTTTCTCCCGGCCAATTTCTCTGGGGAGGTGTTTCAGGTATATGGATTTGCTAGGTGTTCTCTGACCGTCTGCGAAAAAAAAAAATTAGCATATGCATACCCCTTACTATTTAGTAGTAGTAGGAAAGAAATTCTTCACTGGAAATCTTACCCAGAAAAGTACGCGTGGATGTTGAATGAAGTGAACTTGGCGCAAATGTTGAGTCCCCAGACCCCGCGATTGAATTGCCTAAGTTTCGGCACAACATGTCTCACATGCGCTAGGTTAATTATGCAGAGATCGCTAAACATGTTGTCAGTTGCACTGTTTTGCACTCGAATAGGGAAATGAGCTGCCAAATATCGCACCATTCTTTACAAGCGCTAAAATCACGCGCTGACAGTTGGCCTGATATGACAACGGTTGTGTTTGGCCATGCTTCTGACTATTGCACAATGGCACGACCTCTGAGGTAGGTGGCACCAAAATCTAGATCAAATATATGTCTGATACCCAGCTACGCCTCTAGCCACATCTCACGGCTATCTGATGAACGTAGTGCAAGGTACTTTTTCGATTCATGCAGGTTGGCCCAGGCTAGTGGTGGATCAATGGCCCGCACTGGCCAATCGTCAGCCACATCTGTCGTGCATGCCGACCATCCATGAACGTGGTTCCGGGCGGTAGCCTCCACTCCAACACAACCAGACTGGCTAAAGACACACAGACGCGAATATGATTGGGAATATGCTATTCAATAAGCTCTCCACGACAGGGCGGCGTGCGGGCTTGATGAACAGAACGGCAGCGTAGCCGAATCAGGCGCCAGAGCTCCAGTCTGCGGATCGAGCTGTGGCTTAAAACTTCCTGTTCGAGGTACCGAGCTTTAGATGAGAACTGTTTTTCTCCGATGATCATGAGACGCCCTGGCTCAGGCTGGCAGACTCATCTCATGCCTGTAGCCGGTAATGATGAGTTTGCTTATAATGAAAGCCTTCACTTTGAGCCCGTTTGTGTTTTCAGTCTGACGGGAGAGTTTCACCCCGGATGTCTGATATGCCATCACTTCCCCCCTGTTTCCCACGATTCGGCTTCTCGACCGCGGGGGTCTTGGCCCGTTTTTGCATGCTTCTGCTTCTGTTGGTGAAATAAGGTCGGGCGGCCCTTGGGTGCCCCAGCAGGTGCCTCGCTCTCTGGAGAGTAGTCGTTACGGTCGCTCGCGCTTTGGCCCGCCAATGTGTGCTCCCAAATCGCCCTTTATACATGAACCCACCCCCCCCGAATTCAGACAACGCCCGCCACGTCAACTCCCTTTCTTTCTCCTTTCTCTCTTTCTCTTCAGTACAAAGTCCTTCTGCCTCTACCACTCTTTCATCACTGGAGCTTCACTGGATGCTCCGATCATCGAACGTTGGGTGGGCGTGAATTCTCGTGTTCCTCCCCCTGCACTTGCAAGTCTTTTAATACCTCTGCGGCCCGGGTCTCGGCGTGCACCTCGGTTTGACGTTCTCGACAACCTGCGCAGTCGTAACGGCTTTCTCGCGAGCACAATTTGGTGTTGAGCCTGCAATCCGCAAATTCGACAACGACGCCAAATACTGAATATCTGTTGGGTATTTCTGACTTTGAGTAATCCTGATAGTACTTGATTCAGTCTAACACCTTTATTCTCCATTATTTCGGCCTCCCCAGGTGCGTGCACGGATTTGGAGCTGGTGTGGTCGCTTTGCAGCAGCCATGGATCTGAATGAAGTTCCTTCATCGCCAGGCAGCCTTTCTTCGCCGCCACACTCGCCCGACAATGCAGGTTCAGGTACAATCCGCGTAGCTGGTGTTGGTGTTCACAGTACTCCAAACGGCACATCTCAGGCAGCCTCAACATCGACGCCTAAAAATAGTAATTTGACAGCAAGTGGCCAGCCTCGCAAAAAGCCAGGTCCAAAACCAAAACCAAAAGACCCAAACGCTCCAGAGAAGAAACCGAGAAAGCCTAGAAGGACTGCTGAACCCAAAGATGTGTCTGCAGAGCCAGCGCCGCGCAAGAGGAGGGGACCGAAGGCATCACTTGAAGCTCAAGCTCCAACACCGCCGCCGCCTCCTGTGGAAGAGAAGGTAGTACCGCAACAGCTTACACCAACACCGCAAACAAGACCCACTGAAATGGTTTCGGTGCTGCAACAAGAACCACCTGCACCAATCGTTACTCAGCCGCCTCGGGTGCTCAACAATCCCGAACCTATTCACAACAACCCTTCTCTTGCACACATTAGTGTTGCCCCTTCAACCCCGAGGCCTGCAAGCTCTGGTCAACGATATGATCCTATCCGCGGGGGCGTGTTTGAGTCGAAGCCGCCGAGTGCAGCAAGCGCGCCGCCCGTCTCGCCGCCGCTCAACCGCGCTAGCGCTTCTCCGTCTATCACCAGTTTGATTGATCCGCCATCAGCATCCAACTCGACCTATCCTCAAGCGGTCAGGCTGCAGCATCAAGCTTCAATCACTTCTGCGCCTGTGTCGCCTGCCGCCTTGTCATCGCGCCCTGGTTCGGTCCTTCCGCAACACGACCTCCAACCATCTCGACCCAACCCTACAACTTTCGTTACTACCCCAATGGAGATCGATTCGGACGCCAACTCATTGCCCAAGATGTCAGTCCCAATGAAGAAAACAGACTCTGCGAGCGCGGGTACGCCCTCCAACGCGCCTACCCCACCCGTTAAACCCGCTCGCCAGAAGGAAGCCCCACCACCTCTCCCGACTGGTAGCGGTCTGTTATCAGGAACTCCGTTCGGCCCGATGACCACCTCGAACGGCTCCACAGATTCCCCAGGCGTCAACATCTGGCTTTCCTTCCCGCTGAAAGGCCAAACGAATGTTACCATCAACTTTGCGCAAGAGGTAGAGAAGAAGTATGGATTTGCTGCACTTCACCCCCGAATTGCCGCTCGTCGGGAGCGCCAGCGTCAGATTACTGCTGCAGGTGCTGCCCTCGAAAAGGCCACTGGTGGAGGATCCAATGATGACATGTCTCTAGATCTGTCCGAGCCAGAGAGTAATGTTGAGATGGGTGGCATGGACGATGAAGCATCTGCTGGAAATGGAGGCAAGAGGAAGCGAAAGAGGAAGCAAGAGGATTATGACAAGGAGGATGATTTCATCGACGACACGGAATTGGCATGGGAGCAGCAGGCGCTTATGGCTAAAGACGGTTTCTTCGTGTATAGCGGGCCGCTCCTCCCAGAAGGCGAGAAGCCTGCCGTTGAAAGGTATATTTGATTTATCACATTCTTATAACTTGATGCTAATCATTCACAGGGCCGATGGAACCGTCAAACGCGGACGCGGACGCGGGCGAGGTGGTACAGTCCGTGGGGAGGCTTCAGGCAGAGGCCGAGGACGTGGTGGGGGTCCTGGTTCCCGTGGAGGCAGCACGGTTAGAAAACCACGTGTTACCAAAGCTGACCGTGCTATGATGGAACAGGAAAAGCACGAGCGTGAAAAGATGGCGGCCACGATCGCGGCAAAGCAACCCATTGCAACATATGCCGGCGCTGCGTCTATGTAGGTGTCGATACCTGTCACCTTTCATGTCATCTCAAATCCCTTATGCACTACTCCTGGTATAGATGTACTGTAAGATACTTCGGCGCTACCTTTCATGGCAATTCATGGGCGGTTTGTTGTTTCGTGGGTCCATATATTCATGGCGTTTCAAATGGATAGGATCGGATTGAGAGGACGGAAAAATCCATGTATAGGCGTTGGTGGGCTTGTGGCGATTCTTTAACTCTGGCGCACCTGCCGGATCATGTGGTTGCGATTACACGGGGTTTGACGTGATAGAATATTTACCGTAGCATAGCTGTGTAGGATGTCTCTATTTCAAAAAGCGCTAAGTTTTTTCTTTAACTGTGTTTATTAACCCGCCAGCACCCTCTATCTATACATTCTTGTCCCAAGTCTGTTTGCGGGAGCAGAAGTAGTTCATTCACTTTCCAAGCAATCATGAGAACTACTTCATTGCTCGTTCTTTCTATTTGAGGACGCATTACCTCTTTGGTCAAATCACCCACTCGGACTCTACGAGGAAGCCTCCATGGCTCTTTCTCTCTCACTCCAGTATCACGCATCCTTTCCCTCCACCTACTTCGACGAAGCAAGCCCGATAAAGGGCCTCGACCTTTCCAAGGCTACTCCGCTATCCCTTACGCTGCTACATCTAATCGGCCTTTACTTTGCCCTCCCGCCTACCATTAACGCCATCAATACATCGTTGCATTGCCTATCGTCCACTCCAGCGTCCAAGTACTACTCGCTAGTAGCTATATACCAACATGGCTCCCGATATCTCTCACCCCACCGTACCCGAAATCAGCGAGTATTCTCGTCAGTTCTACGATGGCTCTCGAAAGTGGAGTGTGGATGGCTTCGAGGATTCCAACGGAAGTAACGAGCCGCCCAATCCAAACCCATTATTCTGGCTGACTCTTCCTAGTCTTTCAGAAATGGGGCAATGACTCTAGTAATCGACCTCCCACACCAAACCCCCCATCATCCTTGAGTGAGCTTAGTGATAGCTTGGAGGATGTTGCCAAACACCACGACCCAAAGAGGCAGGATGACGCGGTTCCGATCCCTCATCAACAGCTACTCGCAAGCTACATCCACATGTCAGAGGAAGCAAAACTTGCCGCCCCTCCCCCCTCGTTTTCGAATCTCCTCGTGAAAGCCTTTACGGTGGGCGTTCAGTCAGACCCTCTCAAAGAATCTACTCTCTTGAATGGAGTGCTAAACTCGCAGAATAATATTTACCACTACTACCGTAAAACAGTGCTCCGAGGTAGCCTCTTTTCCGATAAACCTGAGGCAACCAGAGAGAGGCTTCTTGGACGGCTTGAAGGTATGCTGATTGGACAGTGGTATGCCGGCGCAGGGCTGAGCCTAGACGAGTCCTATCAGATGGTTGGGGTGGATTTTCCGGATGATATCGTTAAGGAGGCAACTGGGAGGATTGGGGGCCAGACAATACCACCTCCCAAAGCAATACCTTCCTCTTGGAAGAACAAGCAAAAGCAAAAGGGTGCGGTGGAGAATACAGTCGAGCATCGAGAGTCTACGCCCAATCCTCCACCACAGGGAGCTCTAGGCGAGCCTGCTCACCAAGCACCCACCGACAACAATGGGCTTTCTGAACTGCAGAATATAGAGAGGAATCCTAAAGAGTGTAAAGCACGTATACAGCAGCTAGAGGCTAAGAAGACGCGTGGTTCTATAATTCCATTCAGATCTCCTACGCACCTGAACGCTGCCAGGGGATCTTTCAAGAAAGAAGGCGTTTGTACGTACTCGCCTTCCAGATCGGAATTTCGACCATTAGTTAACTTGCTCTTAGGCACTAGTGAGGGTGTTGAGAAGGGTGTAGGTGAGCCTGAAAAGTCACCATGGTCGGCAACATCCTCCCTTTCTGACCCTCCTTCAAACCTGGGCGAGTTTGTCAAGTTCCTGGTACTGAATATCCTGCCCCACCTCTTCCCAAGCCAGAGTTATACTGATGCAGTTTTGAAGAATCCCAAGCCTACCATGCCGGCGGCCGCGAAAGGAGTGCAAAAGGTCTCAGAGGTGAGCCCCCACAGCGGCCGCCGCGAGGCCAAAAGTACTCCTGTGAGCGCTAGTGTACAGAGGCTCTCGAATCCTACTGTCAACGCCCAAGGGCACGTCTTAGAACGGCAAAACCATGATAGGGGAGGGATTAACGTAGGCTCAAAATTCGAGTCTGATTTGTCTAGGGGCGGCGACAACAAGAAGAATATTTCTCGAAGTGACCACGACGACTCAAAAAAGCGGAAGAAGAAGGATGATTCAGAGGACGGGGAGGATTATGGTGCTGCGGATGGCAACAGTAAGGGAGGCAACAGGGGCAGCTCGAACCCGGCAAGCAATGACCCAACGCAAGAACAAAGGAGCCGAAAAACCAGCCATGAAGGGCAGGCAGATACTGGGAAAAGGACGACAGCCCATGACACTCAGGCTGCAGAATTTGAAGGGGTAGAGAAGGACGAAGTCGAGCCGAAAATGCCAGCTAAGGGTAAGAAGACTCCGGTAAAGAAAAAGTGCAACGATCGGAAGGTATTGAGGGAATTAGGGCGGTCGGAGTCTGGGGAGGGGCCAGAGTCTAGCCCAGAAAAGCCAGCGAAGGGTAAGAAGACTCCGATGAATAAAAAGGGTGTCGCTCGCAAGGTATCAAATCAAGCAGAACCCTCCGAGTCTGAGGCTGAAGAAGAGTTGGAGTCTCGCCTGGAAGAGCTAGCGAATGGCAAGAAAGCTCCGGTGACGAAGCGTATCGCTCGGAAGGAACGGAAGGAATCAAAGCGTGTCGATTCAGAGTCTGACGAGGAGTCCGAGCACACCCCCGAGACTCTAGCGAAGGGATAACAGACTGATACAAAAAATGCTACACCATAGAGGACACCTCGCAGAGGGCTATCAGCGAAGGAGACACCAGTACCCAGGAGATCAACCCGGCAATTGGTGAGAGACTCGAGTCAATATTGAGTTACATATGCATAGATGGGTGACTGGTAGGCATGTTGTTCCATTCAGCTTTGGGAAAGCTTCGAGGGTTTGGGATTGCAACCGGCAGCATACTTTTGAGTTGCAAGTGATCAACGCTGCATAACAGCTGTTTATTGATTAGCCCAGTACAACACAACAGAATTGTCTCTGAACCTTTAATTCATAATCCATGATATTATCTACCCCACATCATGACGAAGTAATTTGACACAAGGTTGGGATCCTCTTTAAAGTCTTGCTAGATTTGAACAAGAGTTGGTTGGTGCGATTCACCCTACTCACATCTGTTATAGAGTGCCGATATACCGCTATGGTCACATCGAAAGGCACATAATACACTCTCGTTGCATCCGCCTCTTCCAAACCAGAGGCGAAGGCTAATCTTTTGCGTCACACACGCACATCCATATCCACCATTTATACGCCAATTCCACCATATATATATATATGTACAACCAACCGCCTCTCCAGGACATCATACACCATACGTAAACCCTAGTCATCATCCTACATCCCAGTCACTACTGCCACCGAACCTTCATCTTCCACTCATCCAACTTTGCTCTTAACCACGACTTCGTGGGCGCCTTCTCGATCTCCGCCATCAGCCTGTCATAGTACTCTGGATTGGAGACCGGCTTCAAGAGTCCTGGGGATACGGGATACCGGTTTTTATACCGGTTCTCGAGCAGCGAGTATACTGCATTGATATCGACCAGCTCGGACTTTGCGGAAGCGGAAGGAGCGGGTGTGCGGGATTCAGAAGCTCGAGGGTGGGGGGGTAAGGAAGAGGGGGAGGGTGAGGATACCGGGGCGAAGCGTGCGACGCGGTGTTCGAGAGTTTTTGTGAAGGGGAGATTGGGGCGGAGAGGGTCTTTTGGCCAGAGGGTTAGGAGACGGTGGTAGTGTTTTGATATTCTCTGGTTAATGATTGTGTTAGTATTGCCAAAATTCGATTGAATTGGCATGGAATTGGGGGGACGTACAGTGCTGGACATGTTCGTTATAATTTGCGATGGAGCAATGATTCGTCCGAGCGGGGGGGAAGTTCCCAAGGTTCGTGTTCGTTGACGAAGGGCTTTTGTGGCGCATCACGTGGAGTGGCGGAGCAAATGCAGGCAGGAAGTTCTCGGCGGTTCCACGACAGAGCCCCCGGGGACCAGCCCAGGAACAGACTGACGAAACACATCAGGGCCGCTCTTCTCTGTCTCCCGACCCGTGAACCTCTGCACCTGACATCTCCACACCCACCGTCCGCGAACCTCGCTGGAGGCTTTCCCTTCCCTTTCTTCCTTCCTCTCCTTGTCTCTCGAGTATAGACTGTATACTTTTCACACACATCATACGTACATCATGCCGACGCAGCGATATGAACGGGTACGTTCGGCAGCGCCTTCGCCTCATTCCCCCTACCCCCCCCCCCCTCCCCATTCACTCCTCTCACCATGGTCTCTGTCACTCCCTTTAGTCGTTTACTCACGATGCGGTACATGCAGATAGCAGAGCACGATGACGAAGACTCCTCACCTATAAGCCCGCATCCACAATACCCGGTGCCCTCGTCGCCGCCGCCTTCCTTCCACAGCCGCGCTTCCTCACCCACAGCCCTGGCCTCCCACCGCCTGCTCTCCGACGATCCCCTCGCAACAGACGCAGACCGCACGCTCGCCGATACCTTCGACTCGCCGTCCGATGATGAGGATAGCGATGACGAGCATGGAGATGGGATGGATGATCGCCAGCGGCTGATGCGCGGGAATCCAAATGAGGTGCAGAGTACGGATGTGACTAGGACTAGCGAGGAGGCGCCGAAGCAGGGGATACAGAGAAGGGTCACGCAGTTACCGGTGTTTACGAGTGCACCAGTTAGAGGGAGGATATATGGTGGCGGCCAGAATGATGGCGTCTGGGCCAATCTCAGCGCGAAGCCTACGAGAGGAGAGGATGTCGAGGAGAAGCCTCCGGTGCGTATATTCTCCTTCCCATATCTTACGTCCTATCAGCCAAATTGTTTCTAACCTGCCATGTGGACACAGACATACGAACAAGCCGCCGCTGACGCTACACCCCCCTACTGGGAAACCACCATCCTCGCCCCGGGTATGGTCGGTGACGAAGTCTTCGTCGAAGGCCTCCCCGTTGGTTCCGTCTTCAGCTTCGTCTGGAACGCCATGATCTCCATGTCCTTCCAGTTCGTCGGCTTCTTACTCACCTACCTGCTCCACACCACTCACGCCGCCAAAAACGGCTCCCGCGCCGGCCTCGGTATCACCCTCGTTCAGTTCGGCTTCACCATGAAAGGTGCCTCATCTGTAACCCCCGACACATCCAACCCAGGAGAGAATTTCGGCGGCGGTGGCGGCGGCGGCCAGGCCCCCCCGGATCCGAACGCCCATGATTTCGATCCTAATTCTGTGGCACCGGCTAGTGGACCTGTGTCCGGCGTGACGCCCCCGAGTTCGGGAATTAGTACGAGTGATTGGTTGGCGTATGGGTTGATGATTGTGGGCTGGTTTATTTTGATCAAGAGTATCAGTGATTTTGTCAAGGCGAGGCGGCATGAGCAGTTAGTATTGCAAAGTCCGGATCGGGGACTAGGGGTCGCTGTTGTGGCAGAGGGTGAGAGGCCGGAGACGAGTGTTTAGCTGTTTACTCTTCTCTTGGCATTCTTTGGGGTTTCTTGGATGTGTGGGAGGTGCGTTTGAGTTGGATTGGGTTGAATTGCACTGCGATAAATGGAGAGGGTTTTGGGGTTAAGAAGGTACGAGTATCTTACCGCAGCGTATCAACAACACTCTGAAAGACTCAGTTTTTTCTGTTTGGGTTTTTGGTTGGGACTGGTTCTTGTATAGCGTGGGATAGACTCCCGATACGATTTCTTTGGGTACTTTTGCTTCTAGGTGTAGAGAGGAGAGGATCGAGAGAGATTGAGAATATGATATCTTCTCATCGCATATGATGCTCTTGTTCGTTTTATGCTGCGATGAGATGTGCTTTGTGCGCCATATTGAGTAGTGTGTGGTGAGCATTTAGGAATTAGGACTCTAGGGATACTAAAATAGCAAAGCACATGCAGCCGAAATGATTGATGTTTGGAGACAGGACTGGGAATTAGGTCCTCTTTAACTCTCCCTCTCTACTTTATTCCAGCAACGGCTAGGCTTAAGGGGTAAAGCCCTATCTTTGAATTGATGGGTGTTCCGCAGTTTGTGTAGACCCAGCCCCTATGCCATGGCTATTCTGTAGAGAAGGAAGGTAGGAGTTCATATACACTATTTCTAGCCTCACTATGTCTACATAATTTAAACAGTACGTATGGAGTATTGAAGGGTGACAAGGAGATTGGTGTGTGAGAATGGAAAGACTGGTGCTGTGCAGCTTAATTTCATGTGTTGTTTTGTTAGGCATATCTCTGCATTTGTAACATTCATACTAATATCAGTGGCAGAATGCTCTTGCTGCATCAAGGCCATTCGTGTGCTTCAGAGTGGTGGAATGATTTTTAAAAGCAACTCCCTGGGGAAGGCAAATTAGGGGGGATTCTAGTGTAGTAGTGGTTGCCTATCCTATCCTCCCTAGATGTAAACATGTGAATCAGGTGAATTAGGTAAATCTCTGCAATAAATGAGTTCGGTGTTTGACTTGTAATGTGAACTGCTGTGAAATTGCTCGATTAAGACCTCAATTATTGGGCCCAGTGTCGGATGGCGAACTGCGAAGCATAACTATTCGAGAATTCTGCGGGTGTCATTTTCGCACTCTTTCGCTATGCTCCCCAGAATCCCCGCATACGTCTCCCTCAGGGTCTCTTGCTGTGATTATAGGGTCTTCCTCAAGTGGCCAAGTCTGATGCGCTTCCACAAAGCTTCTATCTAGCTGGTAGCCCTTCGAAACATGCCACCAGCCTGACTTGTGAGTGTACGTGTTATTCCTTCTCTTATCTCGTTCAGCCACCTTCGCAACCTTCAATCTTGAGCGACGGCATTGGTGCAATAATTGTCAATATCACCCTTCAAAGTAATATTTTGAAAAATCGCATCTTCTCACCTACCAAATCGGTAATAGTATTAACGATATCCTTCTCCTCTCGACTGGTCATGGGGATGTGAACATTTTGTATCTGCAACTGGAGGGATTTTGATAGCATATCGAGGAGGACAACCCTTTGGTGGGCTTCATCAAGGGCATCCATGATAATGTGGTCTTGTTCCGAACTACGAAAAACAGAGTTTAGCTCGTTAGGGAGGCTCCTGATCCCTGGCTGCTTCGATCCATTCTAGTCCTGAGAAAATAGGACTTGGATTGATTTGAAAGTGTCTGGGATACAGAGGGCCGATTTATAAAGAGAACAAAGAAATTCCTAACCGTATGTGTATCCTGGTCAGGAAAGCTAAGGAAGAAATAAAACACCAGCGCTTCATGTCGAGAGCCGTAGAGCTCAGTGATGTGTTGACGACGCAGAAACAAAGGATGGTGTTGCCACACCTAAGGGTACCATTTATCTACAGCATTAACTAAGGCGTCGTTTGCTATCGCTTGGGTGGTTGACTTTGAAGAGACCAACTATTGGTTCTTGGGCCCCGTCGGCGGTGGGCATCGTTGAAGTTCCACGAGGGATTAGGTGCTCCGAGCCAATCAAGTATCTGGCGACGCTGATTGTCTGAGAATGAAGGGGTAAAACACTGGAAATCTAAAGGAAGGATTCAGGAAAGGGAATAGCTGAATGAAAGATGTCAAGTTTAAACTTTATGGAAAGGTTTTCCTTCCATAAATCCATGCCGATGTGGCCAAAGGAATGTGGGCAAGGCTTAGGGACTCTCAAGGGCTTCCTACATTTGATCTGTGGTCAAGGCTAGTTGCAATGCAGACTTGGTGCATACTATCCCACCCCCTCAAAGTCCATTGCCAAGTTTTGATATTGTTTTTGATGTTAAACTTGTCTGGGCATTCTAGGGAGTTCTCGAGAACATTCAGTTCAGCCTAACATTGTTGAGTTGGACCTCCTTTGGCATTTAGACATCTCCGTGTGGAAAGAAATGCGGACTCATCTTTATCAACGCCTTCACAGAGGCTCACAAGAGCTTTAAGAATTGTACGGAGGGAGTTAATTTCGTCAAAGGTCCGTGCTATATCCCTCTACCCTTCATTGACAGCACGCAAGCCCCCAGAGTATAGACGATAATTTCCGGTAATCTGTAGGGTTGCAATGATGATAGCGGTAGCACTCAATAGATCTATATTAGTTAGATAGAAGATGTGCGGTTGACGAGAGGCAAATAGAACAAAGCTAAGCTTTCGTGCTTTGAAGAAATAATGAGCTAGCACAGCCATGCGCCCCAGCCTTGTACTAGAACTCACGAAATCGACCACGAACTCGTGGAATGGGTTTGTTGGTATCAAGGTTTTTCTGGGAAATGTCTGTACGTCTACACCTACCATATATGCTCCTGCATCTGCAGGATGGCTTCCAAAGTGCAGCAGATTAGAATCACTGTTGGCTCTGGCAAATACTGAGTCGAAGCTGGCGTATTCCGAGTACAGTGGAGAATTCTAATTATCAACACGGAGAGTGAAAGATGCTGGCCGTGGGGATGGGCCCGGAAGGACATGTTCAAGTGAAAGCAGCAACGGTCCAAGATGGAGCTCCACAGTAGGTCGCACAGTCCAAAGGAACCGGACACGCACAAAATACCTCACCTCCCCGAAAAAGAGCAAGAAGACTTGAAAGACGACGAGGACGGGAGACGCGAAGATTAGGGTTGCAACGAAATGGAAGGAGCGGTCGGCTAACTATATCTCTCTAATTTCTTGGGCACACGTGCACTACGGTGCTTTTGCTTCGGCGTCACTGTCCTCAAAGCATTGGTATCGTCATCATCGTCACCATCATCATCATCATCATCATCATCATCATCATTGTCGTCGTTAAAGAACGACAACCAAGAATAGCCCTGGCATTACCCGGTGAAGTGAAATATTTAATATATTCTGGAAAAGGTTGAAAAGCTCTCCACTTACTCGGTAAGTTTAAGGATTCTGTCAGGCAAGTTTTCCTCTCGCTGTATGCCTCCAACGTTCCGCTTGCCACGTCAATTTCGCAGCCAACGAAGCAAGCTTCTAGTTCGCAGGATAGTGGAGGCGAAGTACTAGGTTGCACCCCACAGCCTCGTGAGCCCTTCAGAGCTGTGATTCTCGAAGATCAGCTTTCGAGATTTGCTGGTGACGTATTTTGTGGCGGTGCAGTTACCTGCGCCACATGATCTGGAGGGCAGTGGTTTTAATAGCAACATCACTCCTTATTCTTGGCGTTTCATTCTTCTTTAATACTTCTTCTTGGGTCATTGTCAAGCAGATATTCCTGACTCCTTTCAAGAACACTCAAGACATTCCTGAAATCAAGTCTCTGCTTCCTATTGAGGGTACCCTCGAAACCAACCAGACGACTTCAAACTCACGAGAAGACGTTCGGTTGATCGAGCGCCCCAATCTCTGTCGAGCATCTGTTCCAAGATCTACTGCCTCTGTTGCACCTATTTACGTATCGACTCACACTTCGTGGACGTCCGCTGAACCTCAGACCCCCAACTCCACTCCAAAGCCTACTACCATCTACGTCACGGAGACAGACACTGTCTGGATTCACGACCCCACTAATTTTTACACTCCCCAGCTTACTGCCATCTACGTTACCAATAAAAAGACTCTCTGGATTCACGATCCTAGTACGATCTACCTAACAGAGATTGAGACTATCTACTTTTCTGAGTCGAAGTATCTCTATCCCCTAGAGACTAGTTCCGTTCCTACCCCTGAACCAACTTGCGACTACCTACCGGAACCGAGTTCTGATTACCTTGCAAAATTACCTTCCATCATGGGTGGCGGCGAAGGTTACCGAGCAGTGGGATACTTTGCTAACTGGGTAAGTTTTCCATAGCTTTGTCTCAATAAATGCACGTTGTTAGTTCTTTGATGCTCACAGTCTCTAGGCGATTTATGGAAGGCAATACTTCCCCGAAATGGTCCCCGCTGATAAGTTGACCCATATCCTCTACGCATTTGCCGACAACCGTGAGGACGGCGAAGTGTAAGTCACCTGCTGGATCTGCGCAATCTACTATGAATCTAACTGTAGGTTAGAATTCTAACAGACAAATGGGCGGACTGCGAGAAGCACTTCTCTGGTGATTCCTGGCAGGACGAGGGCAAAAATATGTACGGTTGCTTGAAGCAAATGGCTCTCCATAAGAAGCGTAACCGAAACTTGAAGCTACTCTTGTCCGTCGGTGGCTGGACGTATGCTCACGAGAGCAAGCACTTTGATGGCCCAATGGCTACAGCCCAAGGCAGGAAGAACTTTGCCGATAGCTGTGTTCGGCTGATTAAAGACTATGGGTTCGATGGCATCGATATCGACTGGGAGTATCCCCAAAACCCCGACCAGGGCGAGCAGCTTCTTCTCTTGTTACATGAAGTTCGCCAGGCTATGGATGTATATGCAGATGCTCTTAGTGGGTATGGCTCGAGACCACATTTCGTGCTCTCGATCGCTGCGCCTGCAGGTAAGCAGAATTACCAAAACATGCCTCTTGGAGGAGTTGCTGCAGTTACTGATTTCATAAACGTCATGGTAAGTTCTCGCATCATATCCTATTGATCAGATGCTAACCTTACTTAGGGCTACGACTTTGCCGGCAGCTGGGACCAACACGCCGGCCACCAAGCCAATCTCTACCATTGCTCGTCCTGCCCAACCCGCACCCCCTTCAATATCCACTCCGTCCTCCATGATTACCTGGCCGCTGGCGTCCCCGCCTCCAAATTTGTCCTCGGCATGCCTTTATACGGACGCTCCTTCTTGCAAACCTCTGGCCCAGGGAAATCATATACCGGCGGCGTCGGCGAAGGCTCTTTCGAAGGGGGTGTTTGGGACTTTAAAGCCCTGCCCAAACCAGGTGCTGTGGAACACATCGACGAGGAATCCGGCGCGAGCTACTCTTTCGACGCATCATCCGGAACCCTTATTTCATATGACAGCGTTCCAATGGCCTGCCGAAAAGCGGAGTATATCAAACAGAACGGTTTAGGTGGCGCCATGTGGTGGGAATTGAGCGGAGACAAGGCCGGCGATGAAAGTATCGTGTCAAACGTACGTACCCCCCCTCTACCCCGCGGTAGTATTTCCCTGTGTTTCCTTCCGGTGTACTACGTAATCAAACATTTCACAAACGACTAGAACTTTGGTGGGGTAAAGCTAATCTTTACATGATAGGTTGTTAGAGAACTTGGTGGACACGACGGGGGAAAGATGGAGCGGAGACACAATTGTCTGTCCTATCCAGACAGCCAGTTCGATAACGTGAGGAAAGGTTTCCCGAATAACTAGTGTACTTGTCGACATGTCCTGTCAAGCTACGGGGATCGACAAGAATCACGACTGACATGACTGCGTATGGAGTCAGACCTCAGACATACGTGCAGTGCCCAGGAACGGGGGTATAACTTGTTTGATATTGAGCAAGGGTGTTGGAGGGGCTCAAGTGTTGCGGAAGGGTCAATGGTTTCTCGCTTCACCTTTCCAAAATTGAGGACGGTTGCACAAGGCCTGAGGATACCCTCCCCTTGTACAAACCTTGTGTCGCAAAATTGAAATCCGTCTTACTACTTTCGAAGGCCTTTTGAAACATGCAGAAAAATTTGTTTTGAGTGAATTCCTGAGGCAGGCTTCTTTATTCGCGGCATGTGATTGGACGCTAGGGAGAGGAATTTTGTGTGGTCTGCACCCTCCGTGCGCGACAATTTCTTGAGAATTCGATAGTATAGAAGCCGAGGATGTCAGAGTGACGAATCTAGTTGTAGAAACCACTGAACACTATTTTTGCTGCCCTAGTGTTGTCTTACGAGATGTTTTATCTGCAAGTAAAGCTCGCATTCAAATTTGCACGCTTCTTGGCCTAACTGGCGATTGTTAGACGCCGTTCTGCGCGACACCCTGGAACAAACGTGGGAGGGTTGCGGCAACGTTTTGGAAGTTCGGAAGCGGCGGAAAGAGAAAGCACTGCGCAGCGACTGCGGGAAGCCTTCGCTCGCGTCGTGAAGCAGGATCCTAGTATGCATGCACGCGGACGGGAGACAAGGGTGATATGTGATTTGGCGTGCAGTTTCGGCGGCGTCGGGACATTCTGGAATACTGTCTGGGCATGAGGATACTGTCTGGGCATGGGGAAGATCATGGATGTTCAGGTACGTACTGTTAGATATGCACTTTTTTGTTGGAATCTTCGATGGCTTTGAGAGGTTAATGCATGAGTATGGAGGGGCTGCAAATACTGCTCGTAGTTGCATATACTACGGCCACAAAACCTACTCGGACATATCTAGCGAAGTCTATTTGAGATGTGTCGTAATTACTATTAGCAATTGCGTAGGGAACAGTATTAGGAATACCACTCTTACCATCCCTAGTCGTGTGATGCATAATCTCTGTATAGTATCTAGGTGTCCTTCGAATAAGAAGAACTGGCACCGAAGAGAAGTAATTATTTTTTTGGAGTGGGTAGAAGGCCGAAGCAGGTGAGGTCGCATGTAAAAATCCTTCAGTGAGGTTAGAGGAGTTTGCGAGCAGGACATGAAGCGCATGAAATAGATGCAATGCATTCAGAAATGATGTAAGAAAGGTCGTGGTCCCGTGCCCAGCGGGTCGCTACACCAAGCATGTATATGTACAGACCTGGGCTATAATATGCACAAGATCTACGTGCCAAAGCTTCTTGAATATCAATTGCCCTGTTATATCAAGATCGTAATACTGATGGAGTCGACAACTACTGTTTCCTTATAGTGTCAGTCGCGCAAGTCTCCGACGGAGGTAGTATGCGCTGATATGCATCCTCGCCCGCATGTATTGCATCTCTATGCCTTAGAAACGTCTGTATCCGCTCGTCTCGATCACCGGCGGCCATCAAGGTTGCTCTGTGCGACTTGGCCAACTCGGTGGCGGCTTCCTTATGCACCTTGTCTCGATGTTCCATTATGTTGGACGAGAACATGTTGGCTCGCGTGCCCTGCATGACTCCCCCAAGACTCACAATAGTAAATATCAAGGCCACAAAGGCAAAATTCGACACCGCGACGGCACGCGGGTCCTGGGTGTGTTGTTCTTCGTGTTCCCGACGATACCATTGCTCCCAGTCCTCCCACGTAGCGTTCCTCATTGGATCATTTCTCGATTGCCAGTGGTTCTGCGCGGACGGATAGGGCGAGTGGTGTGAGGGATTTTGGGGATGTGCCGCCCATCCATGGCCCCACAAGTCGTAAGCCCTTCGTTTGGCGTCGTCAGATAGAATGGAGTGGGCAGTAACGAGAAGGCGGTAGCGCTCGAGGCGGATGGTATGGGGTAAGTGGGCAACTGGGGACGTAGGGGTAGCATCGGGGTGGTACAGCTTTACGAGGGAGTAGAATCGGTGTTTCGAGTAGGCCTCGTCCCTGCGGATGGCGAGGATTTGATAAGGCGTGGGAGTCTTGTGGGGATGCACCGGGTCGGGCCAAGTGAGGTCACTCTCCTCACAATGCGAGGAGGTGTGCTGGGCGTAGTTTCGCGTCCCCCACGAAGCCCGCGAGTGAGGATGCCGGCATGACGTACCGGACTGTGAAGGGGTATAGCAGAAGGGAGGTAGGGAGCTATAGGACGAAAGAAGAATGGCGGGCTTCTTGGACATCATTTCCGCTCATGCCCACCCGCATCTCGGGCGCATGTCTTCAGTACTGGCGTGGTGGGGTGGAAGGGTCGTGGGTGAACGACGGCGGGGATCCTTCGTTTGCATTGACGGATCCACAGGCACTGCCGATGCGCGCACGGATCGGCGAATGAGCATCGACTTGATAAGCGACATCACTAACGCCCATCCAGGCTAGCCCACAAGACCAGAAAACGAGCACTCAATTGGACTCTCTCCACTCACCACCACGACGTTTCCTCAACACTCGCCGTGTCAAACTGCAGCCACAAGTGCCCGCGCGGCTTACGCTCTATTCTAACGGCCTCTTGGGCCGCTACGCTGAATTCGACTCAGGTGGGGGCTTCGCGCGCAATGCGACTAGTTCTCCAACTCTTACAGTTTGATCGCTGGCTTCAGGGGTGCCTAGGCATCGGCTGCGCTTGTACAATTTGACGTGTGAGGAACCTAGTTTGGTGAATGCATGAAATGCAGACCTGAAGTAGCACTATCACATTATTCTGTTTGTGGCCGTCTGTCTACTTCTCTCGATGGATAGTGGCGGCCTATAAGTTGGCTGCTATTGCGTCCTTTCAGTAACAAGTTCTCCCTTCTTGTCACTTCACTTCTTGATCTATCCTCTTTCAACTTTTGCATTCAGCCTTCATGTTAGCTATGGAGCGCCGTCACGACTTGGAGCAGGAGCTCCTTGATTCAATTGAGCGAAGACGAGGCCCAGAGGGTGAGCCGCTTGCTGGCCTTTTCGCGCTCACCCGGGAGATGGAGACCGAGGACGAGGACCAATTCGACGTAGATATGACCATCTTGGACTTTCTGGCGTTCAAGGCCACAGATACTGTCTTCCAGTGGAGAGCAAGCTCTAATCCCCACCAGTCAGACTTGCCAAGCGCTCTCGTGACCACGACGGCTGGTAAGTTCCAAACCGTTCCCCAACCACCGCCTTTAGCCCTCATTCAATGACCGAAAAGATTTATGCTGATGACATCCCCAGAATGGAGGAGTTTACTCAAACACAAATACGAAGGACGTCGCCTTAATGGCCAAACTGCATTTCGTTCCCGCCTCTTGCAGTTTGTTCTCCTCTTCACTCATAGACTGAATCATGATGAAACCTGGACGACACCACAGTCTTTGTCGGAAATCCGCACACAAAACCGAACCCGAGCAGTTTACTGGAAACAGAATACCTCACACTCCCCCGCGCTGCGTCAGCCATTTGACACTTTTCATGAATTTCCGCTATCCGACGGAGCTCTTGCAGAAAATCGCCATGAACTTGCGTCAGCGCTCGACATGTCACACGAAACGCGGAGATGGGTTACGGATCTTGATGGAACTCCCTCGTTGAGCTGTCTGCTTCCACTCTTCATTGAATTGACTGCAGCGCGTTCCTCCCTCGGTGACTTTGTACCTATGTCGGAATGGTTTCAGCTTACCGCGAACTTCATGCTCCAGGCAGTCCTCGAGGAATACTTGCGCAACGGTGCTTCGGGCGAGGATGAGTTCAATACGATTTTTGCCTTTGGTTGCCCTGGGACGACGGAGGAGCCTGAGGATGCCACGGATATTAAAGCGATGCGAAAGGTATTTTGTAGAGATGACAATTCGCTGGAACAAGTGCATGGGTGGTCAAAATGGAAACGCCAGTACATTAACGAGGTAAGATATTTCTCTCAACATTTCTCCTTGATTGCATGGTTGACTCTCCCGCAGCTCCTCCCGCAACCGGGCTCTTCCACTACCTTCCTCCAGGCCATGGAAGGCGCTCAAGATCGGTTCCCATATCTAGAATTTGAAGCGAACCTCCTCGGGTTTCTCCAATACCTCCACAACGGACTAACAAAACCTGACCTTGTTCAAGTGGAAGAAGGCCGTATTACAATCCACGGGAACGAGCTTCCAGAATCAGAATCAAGAGAGATGTTCCGACGTATGGGCTTCTGAAAGGATTGGGGCATACCACATGCCATTTCGCATACGTAGGAGTACTTCTTTGATGCCATTCTTCTTTGCTTTTCATTCTTCAAGTCAAAGTTCAATGGCGTTTTGCTAAATGCCGAAGAGGAGCTGGCTGTGGCTTTGTTTTGTTATTGTCCTTTTCTATACTTTCATTGTTCCTACAATATGTCTGTTTAGTGGCTTTTATTTAGCCCTTCCAGGCGAGGCTTGATACGACGACTCTTCACTAGATACCTACGAATATATCATTCCACCCTTGGAGTCGCCCGGAACCGTACATCGATTAAAAGTGGCGAGTGAGGTGCACGACCAATTTTCCGAGGGTTCCTCTCCTTCTATTTACCTTTCTGGTAGACATACTCTTAGCGTCGCTAAATGTACAGTTCTTGTCCCTCGTATGAGATAACGAGTACAGACTTCACGATAAGTTTTCATATAAAGACCGCTTGTTCGTAGAGTATTTCCTCATCTGGTCTTCCAAATGAGCGTCGTACAACCTCTGCGGGTATTAATGACTGTTCCCATATTCTAGTTGAGGCACCTTCGTTACTGCTACATCACCCAAAACCCAGGACCTGGGTACGACATCTGCTATTCGCCCTACCAATATGACCACTACTTAGCCACTGATTTCTGCTATACTACTCACAAGATATATCGCTAATTTGAGATTGTTCTGCACTACCTCTCCCCAGTGACACGCTCTCGGGCACTCCTTTCGCGTGTTGAGAGATGACAATCGTCCATATGGCAATAAACGCGATTGGTTCACCGATAAGTCCACCGATGAAAAGAACTGATTACGAGCGTCCCGATTCTTCTCCGCCACTAACGATTCTTGACTCGGTTAGGTCCTGGGAGGCTTAGGAAGAAACTGTGTGTGAGTCCTAATTAGAAACATTAGTCTCACCGATTTCTTTCAATATTCGACCCAATCTTAGAATCTAATTCGCTCACTCAAGCCATTTACCTCAAGCTCATTCCCATTCTTAGCTTCTCCTACTTGACTTCTCGCCATGTTCTCCATCCCGGTTTCTTCTCTCTCTTCATTTATTCTTGCTATTTACTCTCCTCAGAGAGCTCTCCTTGTGACCTCTCACTGCTCACCACTCAGCACTACCCCACTGGCCATTCATCGCTGTTGTTTTACTTATTTCATTCCCTCTAGTTAAACTCCGTAAACATGTTCGTCTTTCTGTCAGTGCTGGCCTCCCTGGCCTTTCTTTTTGCTCAGTTCGGTGCATCCAATGCCACCTACGATCGTGCCAGCATCATTCTTGTCCCTGGAGCCTTCCACCAACCTATTATCTACGACAAGGTCACCCGCCTCCTCAACGACGCTGGATATCGAAGCATCCACGCAATTGCTCTGCCTTCCGTAGGAACCGTAAACAACAGTCGTGATCCTGACATCAATGCGGTCCGTTCTGTCCTTGAGAGCGAACTTGCTAATGGTAAAGATGTACTCCTTGTCGGCCACAGCTACGGAGCAACAATTATCGGCGAAGCAGTCAAAGGGCTCCAATCCGACTCCACACAATCAAGCACGTTACTGAAACGCTTCTCTCGTGCCACCAGCTCCCATTACGGCTACCGCCATCGCGGCCGCATTCTCGGTCTCGTCATGCTCTCAGGCTTCATCCCCTACATCACCGAAGTTACAGACCCCACCAGCAAACCTGATATCCGTACCGTCGCCCCCTTTCTTCCACTTCGTCCTCCCCAAAGTCTTCTGGGATGGTGATCTGGCCGACGCGCCACCACAGCTCATCTTCTACAATGATCTCTCGACGCAACAAGCTAACTTCTGGGTCAACAAGCTCCTGTTCTCGGACTTTGCGGCGTTATCGGCTCATGCAACATATATTCCGTATACGGGAGATTTCAAGTGTGTGTATGTTATGACGGCACTTGATAACGCGCTTCCACCGATTTGGCAGCAGACATGGATTGATCAACCCGGTGCATTGTTTCAGGTGGAGTATGTGAATGCGAGTCATTCGAGTATGTTGAGTAAGCCGAAGGAGGTGGCTGAGATCATTCGAAAGGCGGCTGGGGAGCATAATGTGAAAGGTTGAGGAGTGTACTACGGTGGCTGTGGGATTGAGATGGGGTTTTTCATAGGGCAATATTTCGCTACTCAAAGGCCCTTTACTCGATATGTAATCTTCTATTTGTAGATTCAGTGAATAGACCGGGCCAGGTTACGAGTTCATAGAAGCTATGAAGCTATGTTATACTGGGCTTCAAGCTTTCACCTAACTGCTCGTATTGACTCTTCTCAGCTGTGGACTAAGGGTCTGAGGTGCTATATCATAGAAAGAGTATTTTTAGACGCCAAGCCATGAGTTGATTGGACAACCCACCATGAAGCCTTTGGGCATACAGTTTCCTTTTGCGATGCCTAAGCTTTGTGGCGCTCGGAGATGAGATTACGCTCGCATCGTCCTCGTAATCTTTGCAATGTAACCGCACAACTTTCCGAGGGGGTTGGACACAATACGTTCATATCTGTTCATATCCATATGCCTTGTTCTACGGATGTACACGAAACCATTAACGATGTTGAAGGTACGATGAACCCACAGAATTTCCCTATGGCACTCTCTAGCCGCTAGCACAACCCTAAAGTATATAAGGGATATCGAAAAGATCCCCGAGGAGGCGCCGCTAGACAAGGTATCCCCCCTTCGTGGTTTATGAGTTAAGCGATCGTCTCGACAGTGAGCATTTGCAGCAAGACGACATGGCGCGGCAGGTGTCAACAATAGCGGACGGACACTTTGATGAATTGAAGGCTGGTTGTGTAAGTAAAACGAATACGTAGCTTATGTGTAGTCGAAATCTTTCGTAGAAAGAGGATGCTAGCTACATTTATTGAAACTGAGGTGCTCATTCGGGTTAGGATGCTTGGATAGAAGATAATGGCAACTTTGAAAATCCTTAAGAGTATGACAAAGGACATGCGTCCTTGGTAGGTACTGCCCGGTAATAATTGATTAGGTTTGCTGTAAAGCTATCGGCAGGAATGGTAGTTTTCCAGTTAAAGATGCATTTAGGAAGATCACACCCTGGGACGCAACACTAAAGAAGAGCCACAGACGTACCACTAGAACTAAAACAACCATCCCGAGAACCTCAATCACCGAGGCCCTCATAGCCCGACCACAGCTAAAGCCACAGCAACCTCTATGTTACGAGAGAAGCCAGTGAGCTCCGATGAAGCAGTAGCTCAAGATTAATTGAAAGAGGATCGAGTGTGTTGCAAGTGCAAGAAAGGGAATAGATGGACAACATCTCTGACGAAGTGTGGGGGTTGTAATGTTATATGGTGCTCTGGCAGCCTTTCTATGGTGAGGATTGGCTTGGAATTCCTAATTATCATGTAATGAGCATACCTTCCATAACGGAGAACACGGAGTAATTCAGGATAGAGATATGTGTTGCATTGGCAAACCACCTAATCTCAGCAAGAAGTTTAGCACCGCCCTTATACTACATAGTATCTGATAACCTATCGTATCCAGGAGTCATCCCACTCTCTCCACAAGAATGACCTCTTCACCAGCTACGACCTCTCTGGACTAAATGAGGCTTCCAGCCAGATGGAGTGCAAGGTCAACACCAGTTACCAAAGAGCTGATGTGCGGTCCGAATTTTTCAATCCTGTCGATGAGCGCATACCTCTCACAGACACAGCACATGCTGTATCTCTTTGGTGAGTTGTTAGTATCGCTAGGACGAGTTCCCTCCCAGAGATTTCCATCGGTAATACAAGGCTTTATCTACAGCACCCCTTCCTGAAGAACTCCCAAGAGATGAGGAACTACTTTTGTGGCTACCTGCTCAATAGCCCGCTCCAGCTCAGGCCCTTGCCAATTTATCTCAAGGTCCAACTCGCGTACGCCGAGGAACAGCTTCCATAGAACTCTCCCCAACTACCTTGCCAACCCACGGTGTAGGCTGTCTTATCATTTCAAGTAGTAATATAGAAAATAAATTTGCCGGCAGGGACTAGCTGTATCGATGCGTCACTGCTAGTTTTACAATAAATTCGGCGGGGCCTGGCGTCATTGTGTCATCTATGCTCACGATCTTAGAAAGCGAAAATATGAGAATTCTTCACTTTATACTTTCCGAAGCCCGGCTTGAGTCTGTAAATTTCCTTTGATGACTCCAACCACCAGCCATTGAGAATGATTCCATCGCCATAGGTGACAACATTAACCTGGTTGTCCTTCGTTTGCATTTAACTTTACTGGCCTTCAAGAAATATGGATTCTCCTTACCATCAGGTTGGAGTTTACTCTTTCTGTGATAGTCCAGACGCCGTTACTAGAGTTTTCGACGAAGATGAACCTAGTTCTTTCTGTAAGACTAAACTCGAGGTTGGCGTATATTGCAACAGCTAAGGGATGTCTAGCAAAGCGTTACCCTTAACACCTCGCTCATCTGGGATACTCCACTAAGCCTAGTAAGACCTCCTTGATACAGGCGGGCTCCACATCATCTCCAGTCGCCAGGTTTTTGATGGCCAAAAGTAAGGCGCCTGGCAGTTGATCTGTGATTGATTTTCAGGCTTGATTGTTGCAATATTTAACTTGAATTCTGTGCGAGGATCAGACGCACAGCTGTGAAGTTGAGAGTGGGACGAAGACGCCGTAAAGCAAACACTCAGTATCTTCTGGTTTTTTTCCCCCCCTCTTTGGTAGAATTTTATTGTTGCCTTCCAGTCAATTTGGGTTTGGGCTTCATTTACGTGATTGCGAGCTTAGGTGTAGTGATCGGGTCGGCAAGGATGTCCTTCTGGAAGAAACTTCGCATTGCAGGTTTTAAACCTCGCATCAGGGCTTAATCGGGTTGAGATTGAAAATGATGGAGTAGAAGCCAGGGTGAAGCGGAGTGTAGGAAACAAAATGGAGCGTTGGTCTGGTAAATGGACGAGGAGGATTTGCAGAGGTGCTGCAGGTGCAGGTATTGATGAAGACTGACATACTGGAAACTGTGCAAGGGTTATATCAAATGATGAAACAAATACTAGAGTAAGTGGTGAGTCTAACGATAGAATAGTGAAGTAGTGGTTAGAAAGTAACAGCCATAATATCCGTAACCTGATTCGCGGGCCATTGGGGAAATTATCCCCACTCTCCGACTAGCTGGTGTTAAGGAAGAGACGTTCGCTGCTGCCTGGTAGCAATATGTGGACGATATAATCGAGCCTTTCCAAAGCTGTCACCGACTTCAGCCAACTGAATGCCGGTATTCGGCTGCCAAACAATGTTAGCGCTCGTAGTCGCTCAAGTAGAAATCTAGCGAGAGATGCTCAGATAGAAGTGAAGCTGGAGTTTTTTGAGGGCTCACTTCAGAAATTCAACCTTGAACAAGACTTGGCATGTTGTCAAGTGTAAGAAAGTGGCTGGGTGGACTTCTCAACAATTCTTCTCTCCTCTGATCTCTTCACCAATTCACTACCATCAAATTGCCGTCTTCAGTCGAAGTAATGCCCAATTTCAGATAGCCCATTAGCTGCATCCTCGAAGCTATCAATGTCACTAACAAGACTCACAAAGATCCGAAAGATACTAGAGGTATAAGTTCGCAGAACCAGGATGGGGTCGGGTTTCTTGATTCCCCCCAGAACACCATCAATTCCTTAGACATACATATCCAGAGCAATCTGAACGAGACATATAAAGATGCTATCGAAAAGTAAATGGTTAGAATAAGCTAGCCCTAGAGGGAGTTCTAAATGAAGCTCTAAAAATACGAGGCTAGCGTCGTGGAGGATTCATCACGGTCAAAGCAAGGTAGGCTCCGCGGAAGATCCATTAGGCTCTTAAAAGGGTTAATACAGCCGTCCAAAATTTAAAAGAGGAGACAATATGGCCCAAGTAGGATATCAAGGTCAGTCTTTCTCCAGAGGTACCATAAGTAAATGCATCAAATACTGCTCCTCTGTTCCTTTACCCATATGCCATATGTGAGTTAATAAGCAAGCAGCCAGATATCCCTTAGCCCGACAAATGCAAGAAACTCGTCGACGTAATTCATCCGGTAACTATCCCGGAAGCGTTGGGAGATAAATTTCTTAGCCTTTAAGACCAGAACCAGGAGCACAATAGCGTGAATGAGGTGCAACTCGATTACCCTAAAAGGTAGTAACAATCACTATGCAAAATTGAAGAGACGCTTGGACCGGCCGGAAAGTAGAAAGCAAACGCTGGTTTTACAGTCGTTGTAAAACGAGCTCTAGGTATTCACTGCTTCTTATCAACAACTGATACTTACGAATGCTCATGAAGAGACAAGAGCAATACCCCTTGAACAGAGAAAAGTTATAGAGAAATTTGAAAGCGCTTTTGAATAGCAGATATGTGGCCTCGAGATTCAGCTTAAGGGAAAGCAGAGTCCTCGCTTTTCTTTCGGTAATGTGTTGACATTCATGTTCGGGGACTTTACTGAAGCACAGCCTGGAGGATTCGATAGTAACAGGTGCACTTCCTAATCTGTACTCTTGACTGATGGCAGTTAGGAAGTCCCTCTTATGACCTCACATCCAAAGGATGCTCAAAAATTGCCCACAAATACAGCGAGGGAAACAGCTCGCGAACTCCATACAAGCTGGGCTGGTGAGCGTAGCAGGCAAGATGTTAACTCGCTAAGTACAAGCAATCAGCAAGCGTCAAGTTCGATGTCTTTCGGCAAGTCAAGTTTGGTGTTCTTGTCCACAATTCAAGCCGCTGATTCTGAGCGGCAAGTATATTTACACGGCAGAGTATCTAGCGCACCACCGGACCCTAATGACCAAAGATGCGCCAGATATGGGAGCATCGAGACAGAAGATCCGCACCCTCAACCCCCCATTCCCCATCATAGGAACACACCAGACACTAGATACGCACTAAATAGCATAGAAGATTCAATTATTCGAGATTTAAATTTCTTAGCGACTGGCGATGATGGAAAGGAAAGGCTGTTGGTATTGCTCCGAATGCGATGACGACCCCATCGCGATGTGGCAAAGCGTCTGTACAGCTTGATGGAGTCATTATACAAAGGATTAGTGCGATCAGTGTTGCCGTGGATGGGGCAGGGATAGCGAGGGGTAGCTTGATTATTGTCGGCTTTGCGGGGTGATAAGGGGATGCACTGGAGGAGTACTTTTGGTATTGCTCTGTATATGGTAAATATAATGGGATGTGGCTTGATTCTTGTTCAACTTGCAGGCAAACGAAATGCGAACATTTTACGCGAGTAAGGGCAAATATTGTCTCGTAGTTCCAAATTCATCATCCACCAGGCAGTGAAGCGAATCATCCTGTTATTGCAGTGAAATCTTGAGAATCCTAAATCGAAGAGCTGTAAAGCGAAAAGCTTCGTAGTACCTCTTAGAATATTTGGCAAGTTCTGAGGTACATTGGCGGGAGGGCATAATTTGTGGACTCTGCTTTAGGTAGTAGGGAGCATCGATGATGTGGATTCCTGTCTTGATCCAGACTCTCCATTGTCCTGTTGTAAGTGCGTGTGAAAACAAGTTCGAAGGAGAGGGGACAAGACAGAGTAAAAGACATCGTGTAAAGTTATAATGGTTTTGAATCTATACTTTACCTAGCCAGAGATAGATGACTGTTCTGTTAGCTGCGCATCTGTTCAATGTGCATTTTGGACCTCAGTATCGGCATGTCATTGCTACTGCATGTCATTGCTACTGCAACATGTAACGTGCTTGGTCAAAAGACTCTCTCAAGGCATAGATAAACTGATATATAGTTCATATCATAGACCCTCCCTATGCAACGAAGACGTAGCGGACTCAGTGTTGCTCAGTGTTGAGTTCAACAAGCAGATTAGCCTTCCTTTCCAGGAAGAAGGGGGCTAGTCCTAATTAGGAATGATTACGTAACAGCTCGCTTACGCGCACAGCCGCCACAATAAACAATCTAACTAACCCAGCTTCACATCTCCTCCTGCCACGCCCACTAACCCACCTAACTAGGGCAGTGCAACCTTACTAGCTAATCCTAAACTACTAAGGACGCTATAGGTACACATCTTACTTTATCTACACATTTTAAGTTAAAATCTAATTAAAACAGCTTCTAACACTCTTTACTTACTTCTAACATAGTAAATTATGTCTAATAATGCTATAACAACACTAAATAATAACTAGTTATAACTTAATAATAAGCCTTTATTACTAAAAATTAATACTAAAGTTATTATTAATTTTTAAAGTAAAAGCCTAACTAGAAGCTAAGACCTCTTAGCTAAAAAAGCTAGTGCTAATAGTAATAGTAAGTTTTACTTTACACATATTATAATCTAGAGCTAATTAAAAAAAATAAAGGCGCTAAAGAATAATAAACTTACTTTATTAAATAATATATTATTAGAACCTACTTTTTTACTTTTTATGCTTAATACATTTTAACTAGAAGACACACAGTCTTACCTAAGTCTAATAGCATTACAGGTAGGACTAAACTAGACAGTGCCTGCCTACGCCTTTAGCTAGACTAGACTATATAGCTTATAAAGCAGCTAAAATTAAAGCTAGTAATAGTATAGTAAAAGTATAAGTAAATTTAAATTAATCTAAATTAATATAACTTAAAAAAAAATTAAACTAATAATATTTTTTTATAGCCTACTTTTACTTATATCTAACTTATATCTAGCTATAGAGAATATTAGTAGTAATTTGCTTATTAGCTAAGTTGCAGACTATATCTACTACTATAAGGTCTATATCTACAGGCCTAGGGTTAATATCTGCAGGCTTAGGGTCTGTACTAGAACACCTAGTAGCCTTAACATAAAGCACTTTTGTTTACTTTAGGCAGACTGTACCTTTTCTAGCAGCAGTTTATGCCACTATATTCCTAGTATAGACATTATAGATATAGCATAGGTTAGGCTTTACCTACTCTAACTTTAATTATTTTGCTTTATTAAATAAATCTAGCTAAAGCTAAGTTAAAGCTAACTAAAAGTAAAAAAAAAAAAAAAATTATACTTTAGCTTAAACTTTTAAGTAGTAAATTTAAGTAGTTTAACTTTTTTATAAAAAACACTAATTTATATAAAATTATTAATCTAAAGCTACTATATAAAGAGGTCTAGACTACTATAAAGATAATAGGACTCTCTAGGCGCTTAATAAACCCTAAGTTTATAAAAAATTTAAACATAAAAGTAATAATAGCCTATTTAAAGTTAGTTAAAATGCAAATAAATTAAATTATTATAGTGTGTATATAAGTTAATCCTTTTTAAAATAGCTTTAACCTAGTTTTAATTAAAGTTACACACTCTAAAGTAGCTAAAGCACTAGTAGCCTTTATAGTAAGTTAGATTTTATAGAATCTTTACTAAAAATGCTTAAAAAAAACAGTAAGTTTATCTACTATATATATATCTCTAACTATTTTAGCTATAGTTATGTAAATTATTACTATAGTGTAAAAAGTAAAAGTTATAATTTTTAAAGTAAGTTATTCTCTTTCTAAATAAAATATACTTAGATACTAATATATATTAGTAAATTAAACTAAATTTATTAAATAAAATAAAGTTTATTAGCTAAAGAAGAAAAAAGTAATGCTTAAAAATATTACTACCTCTTTAAAAAGCATCCTTACTCTGTAGAAGAGTTTAGCTATGCTAACATCTACTCTAACACTAAAAGGGCCTAAATTAGCTTTAACTAAGGCAGATCTAAGCCTTTAAAAAGCTACTTTAGTTCTAATCTATAATAAACCTACTATTCCTTATAATCTAGTTATAGCCTCTATAATTAACTTATTTAGTTACTAAGTTTTAAGAACTAGGGCCTAGCCTATATAGTAATATATGTACATAGCTTTACTAATTATAATTAAGTTATTCTAAGAAGTAATCTTTATAAATAATAAATTACTATAGTTTTAGTTTAGTTAAGTCTAGAACTAAATTAAAAATATAATAAAACTTATAATAAATAAGTGCATAAAACTTAGTAAAGTAATGTAGTCCTTATTATCCTAGTTTAACATAGTAGTAAACATTAGCATAGCTTTTAATGCTAAAGAAGGCCTAGCTAATAGTAATAAAAAAAAAGTAAAAGAGCCTAAAATAACACTAACATAGCTAAAAGTTAATTTAAAAAAGATAAGAACTTAAAAGATACTAATAATAAAAAGTTTATAGCTACTAATAATATAAAAGTTTTTACTAACACTTTTTTAAGTTTTAACTTTTTATTTATTAAAAAAGTTAAGACTTAATTAGCTATAAAATAATCTTATAATAAACATTTAATCTAGTTAGAGTTAAGTAATATTAAAAAAAAAAAAGTTAAAACTATAGTAAATAATCTAGGCTACACTAATATAACTATCTCTATAAAAGGCACACTAAAGAAAAGAGAATTCTTTAAAAAGTGTAAGCATAAGCTTAATAATTATTAGTATCTTTTTTAGACTAATTAAAGTAGACTTTAAAAGCATTAGGTAAAGTTAGTAGAGTTACTTTTAGTTTACTAAGTTTAGATAGTTAGTTTATTTTCTAGATAAATGTAAGTTAGTGTAGTAGCAGTTTACTCTAGCACTACACCTACTAACACTTTCTCTACTAAAGTTAACAGATTAACCTTATAATAATATACTTACTATATAAAGAACAGCGTTTATAATCTTACAATAGGTAGCTAATATAATTAGATTATAGGCTACACATAACTATTCCTATAATAGATATAAAGTAAATTAGTAGCTATATATTATTAAAACTTTTAAAAAAATAATGCTAAAGCTTAAAACTTTAAATACTTATAAACTTTTTTAACTTTTTAAAGTAAGTAGTATTTTTATTAATCTAATTAGTAAAATGTTTTTTTTACTTTTAATATTAATTATCTACTTTCCTTTTCTAACTAGACTAGTGCTAATAAGCCTAATCTATGCGCCTAATTACCTAATAACAGATCTACACTAATTAGAGATCTTATAACATGCTACTATTATAGTAGCTTGTAGAAGAAAGAGGAGCAGAACTAGATATTAACTTTATTAAAAGTAAAAAAGTATTTTTATACTTTAGCTTATAATCTTTTAGTAATAACTAAAAATATTATGCTAATAAATAATATATAAAGCATTTAAGATTATAATAAATTTAAAGTATAATTAAAAAAAATTAAAAACTAGTTAAAATAACATACCTAATAAGCATTAAGCTAAACTTAATAAAGAAAGTTTTTTAATATATACTATTCTTCTAACCTTACATGCCTATGCCTTAGCTAAAGAGTATGCTAGAAATAAAAGTTAGGCTTAAAATATAAGTCTTTTAATTTAACTACCTTAGTATTATAAAACATAAGCTTTAGAAGCTTTATGTTATAGTTTTATATATAAAGTAGATAAAATTAGGTAGCATTTAGTAGATTACCTACTACCTAACTATAAACTAGTTTATCCTAGAGCAGCCACTCCTAGACAACAGTAGAGGGGAACTACATCTAGGACTAAAGCTGCTCTAGATAGGGTAGGTAGAGGCTGCAGTAACAGCTTTACTAACACTAATTTATTACACTCTTATTATTAATAAAAGGCTAGTCTAGGTTATAGTTAAAGTTAAAAAAAAATATTATACTTAAGTAAAATAGTAAAAAAATAATAAAAGTTTTAGTCTTATAAAAAAATTAGCTTATATAATAAAGTAGCATAAAAGTAGCTTATGTTAAGGTAGGTGTAGCTAATACTTCTCTTCTTTTATCTAGTTAGACTATAATTAATACAGGCAAAGTAAGTAGTTATAATGTAATGCTAATTAAGCATCTTTTAAATAAACATTTACTACTTAATACTTAGCATAACAGCTATAGGCCTAATAAGCTTTTTATGTACAAAAAAGTTAAAAGGCAAAATAGCCCTAGCAGATGTGTACATAAAAAGTAACATAGCAAGTAGATAAAAGGCAAAATAATAAAAAGTATAATATAGTAGGTAAGAAGTAAGAAAAAAGTATTATAGTAAATTAAAAAAAATTAAACCTAATTTAAAAAAGCTAAGGCTAGATCTATTATTACATAAAGCTAAAACTAGATTTTTAGGGGCACTGCCTAAAATAAAATAGCGCAGGACTAATATAATTATAATAAAAGCAGACGTTACTAATAAGGCAAATATAGTAGTAGGGCAGAAATGTACATGCACTATATAAAGCAGTCTATAAAATAACCTTAAAATATATAATATTAACTACCTTGCCTATTAAACTAGGCAGAATTAGAATAGAGATGCTAGATACAGTAGTAATACATAAAAGGGCTACATATAACTAGCTATAAGTAAAGATAGAATATTATAGGTTAACACTAATAATCTTAAGCAACTAACCTTACAACTTATTAATAGATATAGTAAAACAGAGTTAAACTAAAATCTAATACTAAATAATTAAAAAAAGTAAGGTATTATTATTTTTAAACACTAACTTTACATGTATAATTATTTAGATCTAACTATTAAACTTACTACTAAGTATTTTACTAATAAAGAAAGGCGCTGTCTAGCTAACAGCAGTA